TATTATGCTTGCTTTGTTCTAATTTTCCAATCATTTCTCATCGCATTGCATACCTCTTTTGTTTATACATAACGTGATGGATTAGGCAATTAAGGTGAGAAATGAAGACGAGAATATTTCTTTGGAATTTCTAGTGAATTGAATTCTGGTCTGATGAAAATTTGACAATGCTACTCGCTAATTTGTTTGTTTTTGTGATATTTCTCACAGTGAAAAAAGGAAAATTGATCCCGTTAACAATCAATTATCGAAATTTGTTCATCATTCTGTGGTAAACAACGAAAAACACAAACAAACAAAGGAATCAATGATTCGAATCATTGGGCATTTAATGATCCATTTGCGGTCGAGTGTCCAACCAATTGTTTTTGTTCTCGCTCTTGTTAATTAATTAAATTTCCGCTTCCACGCGGTTAAATTCCGTCAATTGTTCTTTAATAAAGAATCGATCATGATCGGTGACAGCTGCCACCTTTTTAAACAGCGGAAATAATTTGTGGTAACGGGAGATGAAACAATTTCAATTACTGTTTAATCAACAACAATTGCGGAAGTTAAGGATGTTGAAAGAATCTCACGATCTTAAATTTACAGTCGCGAAAGGAAAAGAAGAACTTTCTTAATTTAATTTAAAAAGCATTTTGTTTGCTTTTTAAATATCAGATGACAAAGAATTCCAACGAAACCATCGACAGAAAGAAACAATAACTGCATGACAGGTCATTCTTCCGATTCAATGGATGTCTGTGGACGCGAAAAAAAATAAAACATTGGAAATTCTAATCCAATGTCGCTTGTTTTGGGTAATTAAGTTGTAGGAATTAATTGGATTTGACTTTCGCAAAGCAAAGATTTTTCGTGCTTCGTCGTCTGTTTTGAAAGTTGGTTAGTTAGATATTCGATCCCACTTTTGTGGTGATCACAACTTCAAATCTTTATGACACTAACCAACTAACTTGCTAAACCAAAATAACAAAAAAAGGTTGTTTGTGGGTCCTTCAAATGCCACCAATAAATTTCATTTCACGATCTTTTTTTATCAATCAGTCGGTTCAGTCGTGAGAGTGCCATGAAAATAAATAAAAATTATAAACAAGCGAAAATGAAATTCCAACGAATAGTGTCTGCATTAGTAATTTGATATAAGATCAAGAAGTGAAGATAGCGCAATGGACGTGGTCGATGAAAATGTAAGAGATGAGATGTAAAGCTCCCAGACCTGCCTGGTGGCTATCACAAACTCACCAAAGCGAAAATCCCTTGAATTTCCTAAATTTTTAAATACTGCGCATCGACCATTGAAAACCAAAATCGAAGAAATAAATTCTGAGTAGAAGATGATCATTAAAAGAGTCTGAACTCAGTGCCCCAAGTCCTTTCGATTCGTCGTTTCTTTTTTAAAAGTAACAATAAAATCGCATTACTTAGAGATTCCGGAGCGAAGATAAATGGAAAGCACCACACACATGATTCCTCCAAAATATTAAAAAAAAATTGCATGCAAGCAAAAGCACATAAAAAGTTATGAATTTCTTCAAGTGCGTCTTGCCATGCATTGCACCATTTCAATGTTCTTTTCTCTTTAACTTCATGTGCAATCGAATGAGTGAGTTTTTGGTTCCAACTTTATGAATGCAATGTACAGGAAAAACAAGAAGAAAAGTAAAGAAATCTGTGAAAAGCGTGAGAATAATTTTGCGCGCGATTTTCGTGGGCATTTTGCTTCTTCGTTTTCGGGTAAAAGCATCATCTCAGTACATCCGAAAAATCGCCTACAACATTCCATTCTTCAATTCATCTTTTCGTACAATGAACAGAGCTGACTGCAGTGTTTATGTACTTCATAAGAATGGTTATCACTGCTCCTGATACACTTAACTGGAGCTGAGATTCTTCATCATCTTCTTTTTATATATTTTCTGATTTTCATGTATTCTTAATTTCATTCTCTGCTGTTCTGCTTTAATTTTTCTTTTTAAAAGCAGCCGCACAAAAAAAATCCTAAAAGAATGCAATTTTTTGGGTGCATCAAGCTTTAGCTGACTTGTTTTAAATATTTCTCTCTTTTTCCATTTTTGATACCTTGTTAGTGTCCATCGATTGAGTTCGACAAAGACGTAACAAAGAGAAAGAAATAAACTGGTTCGCATAAGATTCTCAATTTCAATTTCCGATAATAATAATTTTCAATGCGCCGCGTCGAAAACATGAAATTTTGCTTTTGACTTTGACCGCGATTTGTTTTTCATATTTTTTGTTTTCGAAATGGAACTTAATTGAAATTATGTCTGGTGTTGGGTCTGAAATGTTTGCTTGTGTAACCCTAACCAACATTCAACTTTAATTAACTCAATCCCAAAAATTTTAATTAGTCGCAAAAGTTTCTTTGCTTACGTCATTCATTAAACGAAAAAAGATTTTCCAAATGTTCCCATGAGATTTTATTTTTATATTTTTATTTTTTTTTGTCAATGAAAGCACTTGTTGGATCCCGTTCCCGTCTCCCGACACATTCATAAAAAAATGAGAAATTTCCGTTTCGTCGCCACTCAGTTACAGAGGCAAGAAAGAAGAAAGAGACATTCATTGCATGAAATACAACCGACGATCATAAAAGTCATTTTAATTTCAATATCAGCTGTTGACGCTTCATGAAATTGCGACATGCGAAGTTGCAATGCAGCGATGCTTCAACTTTCAAGGAAGGGGGCGTAAATGAACCAGAACAGTTGCTGATGATTTTGCGCCTTAGTGGATTAATGAAAATCTGGAATTTTTTCATTTTTTTATTATTAATTTTGATGTTCGTTAAAAGAATTAATTCATATCTTAATTATTTTTCGGGGCTCTGGAATGGCATGTCGAAGGCCAAGTGAATATGACAAATGAAAAGATTATTTATAAGAAATTTTTGAAAGATGTGGAAAACGTCAAATAGAAGTTTTGTGACTAATCTCTCTAACTAATTAAATAATTTCCGCCCTCCAAAAGAAGCAGCAAAAAAAAAATTGTCAACATCCTGACTGTACGAAAAATAATGAATTGCGTCAAAAGTCATATCAAATTCTGTCGGCGTGGTTGCTTTCTTACTCATTCATGGTAAATTGATAACAGAAAATTATAAATTTGCAATAATTCACTTTGTGGGCATTTAAAAGTTTAAAAGGAATTTTTGTTGCACTTATAAATTGATTGAAAACGAAAGGCTTTTTTTAAGTATATAAGTAGGTAAATAAGCTAAAGCAGAAAGAACAAAAAAACGAAATCGTGAAGACGAAACAGGGAAAATAACAGCAAACAAGGCAGCAGCATAAATACAATCGTTTTTTTTATGAATGAATTTTTCGAAATTTATGAACGTGTGTGATGAAGCAAGATAGAATGAGTAAGAATAAGAAGCTGACACACAATGAAGCAGTTAAAAAAAATCGCGGACTAAAGAAAAAGAAGAACAAGAAAAGAATGAAGAGAAGAACATAAGAAAGAAAAATATCAGCTGTCTCGATGTGTAAATAAAAGTGTCACTTTTAAAGAATTCGCAATATATTTTCATCGCGATGATAACTGGCGACATGATTCCTATTTCTTTTATTCTCTATTCGGCAGTCTATTTGATTAAATGTTCATTTGAAATTGACTTTAATTTCAATTCGTATTCTTAGTCTCGTCGTTTAGACTTACAAAGGCCATTCGACATTGATTCGATGTTCAAAGGAGAGAAGAAAGATCGTTGATTGCGATTCCATTCATCATTCGATTTTTATTTGCGTCAAATCTCATCTGATAACTTATTTCAAAGATAATCAATTAAGTAAATCGCAAGAAAACTGCCATTTAATCACATGAGATGAAGTCGATGGTTTTGAAATAACAACCCGTTGTGGACCACCAGCAAATGTTTTAATGACACAGCAAACGATGATCAATTTATCAATGATATGTTTACAAAGGAACGTCATTTCTTCAATGTCTGTTTTCAGTAAATGCAAAAAATCTCAAATGATCAAACACTGTTGCTATTTAGTAATGCAAAAGCGATCAAATTCAACCACAAATTAAACATTCAACTTGTGATGATATTATTCTCAAGAGTGTTTCTCAACTCGATAGCGATATTCAAAAGTTAGCGTTGAAAATACTTCAATAAAGCACCAAGTCATGGAATGTTTTAAACAACAGCCTTCTTCCGCTCGCTTGCGATCTTTCGCGTATATTTTTTCTCTGTTTTAAAATGGCAAGCAAACTTACATGTTTTATTTCTTAGTTTTTTTTTGGTAGAAACCAATTAAAGCACAAAAAATTATTTTGTTTTTTTATGGCGATGCATTGCTTCGGTTTCTTGCGTTAAGGCAAACAACCTTTAACCGAATCTTACCGCTTTTTGAGTCTTTCAATGCGGCAGAATAACAAGATTTATGTCTAATGAATTTTTAATGAATGCAAGAATGGTTTGTGGAGCACAACATTCCATATTGGCTTGAACAGCAGTGGTTGATATTTACTTTACTTAATTTGAACACATAAAATATTCATTAATTGATGAGTTGAGTGGTTTTCATCGGTTTCTTTAATTTTTCCATTAATCACGAACACGCTGAATGTTTGAGACATCCAATTTGTATGAAAATAATTTAATTATCTGTCTGACATGCAACGTAAACAGCTTGCTAATTTGACACATTAAATGTTAATGAGCTTTTTCATATTTCTCTTTTTTAATTTGGCGCTTGCACCTTCACAAACAATGTGAACTTAAAATAAACAAAGATCCAACATTTCATTTTACTTTCTGTCATGAATTTTCGTTTCATTTCATAAATGTTATTTACATAAATTCATTTATTTACACATTCAGTTTTAAAATGAAAACGATATGTTGCTAAAAAGTCGATGGAATGTTTTTATTTTCGGCAATTTCGTTCCATTGTAGTGCCTTGTTTCGCACATCATGTTAATTAGTAACCGCATTTTTCGTTTTCTCAGTTATATGTTTGTCCACGCCGTTTTTTTCTGCTTTTCTTTTGGTGTTTGGTGACAAGGTTGGTTTGCATGTCTTCTTAATTTACAGAATTTCTGCGGAATTCCTGGAATTCAAATTGCAGTGTAAGAAGAAGCTTCACAGCAGAGTCGTAACAAGGATGATTGTTAATCAGCAGGAAGTAATCATCGGGTATAAGGCGATAACGAATTTGCATATCATTCTAAACCCTCAGACGTGGCAGTTCAGAAAGAAAAGATTTAGAGTCTCAACAATAAAATAAAAATTTCCATAAAATTCATGAATGAAGCTCTAGCGAGATCGCAATAAGTTAACACGAGCAAGCAATTCAGCATTCGATTCGAGGATCATTTTAATCGCAAAACGAGTTTCTGGTTTCTGTTTTCTCGTGAAAAAATATAAAGGCTGGAGGATCATCTGTGACCAACATGGGATAAACCAAGGTGGTCCATTGACTTAATATTTTCTTCAGTCTTTAAAGTATCAATGGAGATATGTAGAAGAATTATGAATGATCTTAAGATATGAATATTAATATTCAAATTTCTTTCTTTAGTGTTTGTCACCAACTAAATTAATATGTTGATCACTTACATCTGTCACTACTTCAACTCTCTCATTCCGCTACTTGGAAGAAAGAGTCTTAAAACGACAATTAAGTGACATCATCATCGGAATCATATTTATTTTAAAATGTGTTTTCGCTTAGTCGCAACTCAAGAAAACACTGAAGTGACAATATTTATGCAAAAAATTGCTAAGTGGAATCGGAAATTTATTCAAAGAGGCGCCCGACGTATAGTGAAATCTTATCAATTCAAAGAAATTTTTTTCATCGTCAAAGAAGCGCCTGTTGCATGATAAGCTATCAAGTCAGAGTCAATAATTTTTACAATATTTTTTCAGCAATTCTAAAGAATTTCTTCATCAATGTTATCGATATCAATCGATCGGTATTTGCAGTAATAAGGAAGGGAAAAAATGAAATATGTCACCAATCAGCTTTGAAATATTGCGAATCTCCTCTTTGTTGTATTAGAATTTGAAGAAATTTTTCATTTCCATATTTGGAAGAAATCACCAAAAATCGGTAAGAAATAAAATAAAAAGTTGAACGTGAAAGAATTCTTTATTTTGTTATCGGAATCTGGTTGCAAGAAGGGAAAACTTTTTTGTGGTGTTATGGATAGAATTCTAAATTGGATCGTTTTATTTCTTTCAAGTTTGTCGTTCAACTGCACGTTCTGCAGTGAAGTGATTATCAGATTGGAAAACAAACGTTCATGATGATGTTTAATTAAAAGTTCTTCGTCTTTATCCTCTTTTCTTGTTTCAAATGAATGTTTTATTGATCGAATTGAATCGATTCGACGAGTTAATAAGTCAAAGGAACAGAAATTTATTCCAATTTGCACTAATGAGATTTCCGCCGCTCTAGAATTCCACGATGCAACCAATTAATGAAATTTGATGTCTAAATATACCAGTCGCTAAATATTTTAATTAATTAAATCAAACTTCAAAAACACATCTCACTAAAAAGTTCTTAATTGATTCATAAATGTAAGAATCTCGTTCTCAAGACCTCTTGTGTGTTGTTTTGACTCGCTCGGAAATAAATATTTTCTCGTTTCTCAGCTCAATAGAAATGCTTTTAAAACAAAGGTTAATTAACGATTCCATTAAATTTAACGCCGATTATTTACTTCTCGCGCGTGAGCTCGATGCTTTTGCTTATCCAAATTCCAAAATGCTGTATGACAAGACACTTTAATCTCTCACTGAAGATATAAAATATTCAATTTAAATGGTTAAAAATGTACGTCAATAATCATGATAAAGTTTAACAATAAAAATAATATCATTAGGCAACGAAAGCAAAATAAATGACAATAATCGAGAGAAATAAAATAAAAACAAATTCACCGAAAAGAGAAGCACCGAAAACGCGAAAATTCAATAAAATCTTTTTTATTGTAACGTCGTGATTATTGTTCCAGCTTCGCTTGTGGATCAGTTGGAAGCGAGATGATCTCTGTGGTCGTGAACAGATAATTTTAAATTTTTGTTTGTAATTCTCATTCTATTTCAATTAAATGTTTCTTTTCACAGGAGTTTGACTGTTAAATTGAAGAAAAGTTCTTTTCATTATGATCGTTGACATACTAAAATGCAATGAAAGTATTTTCATTAAACAAGCATTATGTGTGGCATCGCATAACCACGACACAAGACAGAGAAAAAGAAGAAATAAAAATAATAATAAATATCTAAAGACGCCATCAAGTCTAGAATTACATTAAACAATGTAATTGAATCACGTGATGATTGATCACGCTTCTATAAAGTGTAAGTAATGAACGATGACGAAGATTAAACATCATGTTTTGTTACGTATGCGATGAAGCCATTCAAGCCAATTCTTTTCAACATAAAAAAAAGTTTGCGTAATTAAATAAAATAAGAAAAAGTTGCACAACAAGGATACAAAAAATTTGTCGTCAATATTGCTTACAAAAATCTTTTAACATTCTGTTTGTGAAGTGATCACTTTGCGACAACCAACAGCGAAGCAAGAGAATTTGAGCCACAAGAACATTCCAAGCTTCTTTTTCCTCACGTTCTTGGTTTAAAATTTGTGCTCGATAATTTATATTCTAAGTTCTTTCTTTTCGTCGTCGTTTCTTCGTAATAAAAGTTCTTAAAATATTTAATGATTTCACATTTAAGATTCAATTTTGATAGTAGATGATTTATGGCTTTAATTTATTTTATATAAAATTCGAATAAAAAGCTTTTTATTGTGAAAGCTTTCGTAAAAGCTTTTCCTTAACACTTTTACATAATAAGTTACACGAACCGTCTCGCCGATGTAACACAGAAAAAGCACTTTCACTATCGTTCGCGATTGTTAAATAAAATTTCGCGACTGTGGAATTTTTAATACGAAAATGAAAGAAGAAAAGAACGCGATCAAGAATAACCGGTTAGAAGGAATGAAAATTGTTTTCTCATCGATTTCTTTTGCTTTCGTTTGTTGGTACATGGCGAGGTAAGAAAGAAATATTCGCAATTCTTAATAATTCTGTGATCGTCGCTTGATAAAAACGGAGAACGAAACTTCATTCAACCTTTTAATATATTTTTCTCGCAAGAAGAAAAGAACCCGACGAGGATTCCAAACGATCAAGAGTATGAAATAAGAGCCACGAGATGTGAGATGAGAAAAGGTGGAGATGAACATTTATTCGCTAATGAAAAGAGGAATTTTAATTTTATTAAACGAAATCTGTTTTACATGCTGTGTGCGTAAATGAAATTTTCATCATCACAAAGTAGCTCGACACTTTCAACTTTAATTCATCAAGAAAACATCTGACCAAAGAGAGAACTGATGATTAGTCATGTTTTGTCGGTTTCTTGCAGTTCTCTTATTTACCAAATTGCAAATCGTTAATCTCCGTAATCTTGATGCCAGCCGTATGCTGCTTCTTAATTAAGTTCAATCTTAATTTCTTTCAATAATTCGGATTATCTTTTAATATCTTATGTGGTCTGTCACAGAATGAAAAGCTTTTGACTTCATTTACGAAACTTTGTTGCACGATTAAGTCAAGAAATAACTGTCAAAATTTAATTAGAAATACAACGCTCATGTGTATAAGCCACTGATGCCTTAAAACAATTTAATGTACTTCTTTATTGTGAAACGACTTTACATTGTATCTTTAATTAGTAAATTATGTTTGAGTTTGATTGGATCCGTGAATATTTCCGAAGTTTTGTGATGTTCTTAAAGAGTCATAAAAGCCAATTATTGAATATTTATGATATTTTCAAAATATTAATCAAACATCTACTCGTACACGAACAAGAATTCTTTAATCTATGCGAATTTAACTTCGGAGAAATGATTTCATTCTTAAATTTCAGGTTTTTTTTTCGCTAATTTTTCCCAGGAATTTCGAGGCTCTTAATTAATTGTTGTTGTTAGATTGAGGCTGTTTCAGCTTAAAGTAACAAAAAAATAAACTTAAAGCATTCAGAGATGCCGTAAAAATTAATAAATTAACAAATTCTGTTCTTTTTCTTTGTTTGACGATGAAGTAGAGAACCTGCTTCGTGCCACTGCCAATCGAATTCCACCGCTTCTAGATACGAACAGTTGCAAGGACTTTGAATGTGAATAAAATGATCTGATTATAATGTAGTTGCACTCAGGTAATTTGATATCATTTTAGAAGGAAAGTTTTATGACTATGAATGAAACATTGAGAGAGAAGCAGAAGCAAAAATTTATGTGAATCGCCAATAAACGAGACCACCATCATTAATCTTATTCTCTTGTTTCTTAAAGTGCTGTCCACTCTAAATGATAATAAATGTATTAAGTTTCATTGAAAAAAAAAACAAGATTGCTTTGGATCATCCTGAACTTCTTCTACATGTTTCATATACCTATTTAAGTAAGTTTATTTTCCACTTTACTTTTTTTTCTTCCTTCATAGAAATTATTTATTCAAAAGTTACCTTCCTTAGTCATAAATCGAAATATGATTGAGTCGTGTGTGAATTGATGTGAGATCCACAAAGCTGTAATTTAAGTGCCTTTGCATGTTTGAGGAGGAAATTCCACTCAAACGAATACGATAATAAGTACTTTTTAACTAGATCAGATTAATCCAAACATAATGTCGGCACGTCGTAATGTGATTGAGATCTCTTTACGCAATTTTTAAGAGACACAAGGGAACAGAAGAAGAAGCAGAAGGAGATTCTCATTAACCAACAACTGACTGCTACGCATGTAGCACTGTAGCATGTAGAGTGAGTACCCAAGATCAACAGAAGAAGAAAAAGTGTATAACTATATAAACAATTGACGGATTAAAGAACATATCGACAGACTGGTAATTATTCCGACAATAAACGTTTACGGCGCAAAGCCATTCGCAACTCTTCAGATCTCACCTCTCGTTTTTGTGCCACACCATCAATAATTAGAGCTTCAATCGATCTCACTTTATCATCATTAAATAATAATTTTAATATAATTAAGTAAAGTATCAGGGAATTGGCAGTCAGGGATATCTTTTGCGAAAACATCAACGCGTCTTATTTGATAAATATGAAACGTTTGGCTATTGAAATTAGGCGCGAAATATCTCTATTCATCTCTATGAGAAACGATCACCAATCGGGCTCATTTGGTATTCACAATGAGGCTAAAATGTAACAATAAATCAATCGACGAATGGGGAAAAGAAAGAAGAAAAAAAGGAATGATTCGTTAAACAGAGTCTAGCGGCCTATAAAATCACTTTGAAGGTCAAGTCTATGTGTGTCTATCCTCACACTAGGCACATGTAATAATTTTTTTTGTGTCTTGGCATTTTTTTTACTTCTTTCTTTATTCAACATTTGCCTTTTTTTATTTCAGAAATTTCAGACGTCGGCATTCTTTTTCCCAATCACCGAAGAACTCGATTGTTTATTACAGCTCTTAATGCCAACATTAATGTTAGAGAAGAAAATAAACTATCGTCAATATTTGGTTGAGAATATTTCGAGAAATTCAAATTATGACGTTGATTGGAATGAAAAAGCTTAATTTGTGAAAGCTTTAAATGAAGCTTAAGAAGAATGAATGCTAAAAATGTTTTTCCCCAAAATAAATGTCATTTATGAAATTATTTATAATCAATCTTGTATTATTTATCGAAACAAATAAACTCAAATGCGAAATTCTTCTAAACTTACTCAGCAGCGGAAACTAGCAAAAAGAGTAATGGACAATAAAAGAAACTACTTCATCATCACATTGTTGAGTTGTCTTCTTTATCTTTATCATCCCCCCGAGATGAAATAAGAACATTAAAATAAATATAATTCATAATCTCAAACTGCTTAAAGTGGCACAGTTGGGGAGCTAAAAGTTGATCACAGCCTTCTGATTATTTTATAAGTTTTTATTATTTTCCCTTTTTTGCTTCCCCGCTGCCTCGTTATGTACATTTGTATCTATCACACAATTTATTTCCAATAAGCTTCTTTTAGCAAATCACCTCATACTCCGCTAAATAATGAAAAATAACTTTCGATTTCAAGTTCTCACGGATCTTATGTCGCACGTCTTCTTTGTCACCAATCCTCAATTAGTGGAAGTTGAAGTTCTTCTCCCCTTAATTTCTCAATATTTTTTCATTCATTCTTTAGGCTCGTGGGTGTCCATGAAAAATTGAACATAAACTAGATTATCAACACCTAAAGTTGGTGGAATTTTGACGCGAGTCATCATTATAATTCTAAAATAAAAAAAAGGAAGCAAGAAGAAGGAAAAAAAAAGTTTCAAGGGAGCAGAAAATAAGCGAAAATTGCTTTGTGTCGAATGTCTTGAACGAAATCAAGAGAGAAAAAATTACCAGCTTACAATTTCGTGGGAATAAGAAGTAACAAAGATTTAATTTAAATATGTATCGCGACTTGTGCGGCTGTTCCCTTTTTTTTATGTTGTTCTTCTTTACATTCGCGCTGTTCCACCGAAACCTTTCATCCAATATTTCATCAAATTATGATTGTTTCATGTATGAGACTAGCATAAAGAGGAGATAAAGACGATCAGACCTTTCAATCACAATAACATCAATAACATTAACAACAACAACATCAACAACAACACCACAAACAATAATAACATGTAAAGAACATTAAATGAGAATTGTTTATTTTTGTGGCGCGGATTCTTGCTCTCACTCTTTCAATCTTTTCCACTGATTTACTTAAGAATTAAAACTCGAAAATATGTCGATCATGTGGAATTTTTCATTCTTCTTTTATATGCCATTTGCTAGAATTAAGAATTTCTGCTTTTAATCCGTCGACGGAGAATGATAAATCACATTTTCGGTTTCCATCAATTGTGGGCCACAGATTGAGTTGATTTTTTTTTTGATTAATTGTTAGTTGATGGTCGTGGGTCAAGAGTTCGCGTGATGTTCCATAAATGAAAGAAGAAAAATAAAAAGCTTTTCAATTCTGATTCACTTAAGAAGCACTTCACCCGGGCGTACTTGCTTCATTGTTGGCACGAATCAAAACCATGAAGCATATTTTCCGCGCCTTTTTGTTGCTTTTGGCTTTTGTTGTGCACGATTGTATTGCTTCTTTTCAAACTCAATTGCCCTGACCGGCATCTTTCGCCTCATCTACCGAAAATAATGATAAATTTTCCCTAATCATTCGTTTCCGTTCCGTTCATTCTCTCTCGCGAGCTTCTTTCTTTTTTTTCAGTTTGCCTCTTGCCTTTTGCATTATGCATGCGCAAGAATGCAATTTACAATGCGCTTACAAAGAGTCGAATATTGTTTTATTTATTTTCTTTTTTGAATCGAAAACCTGCAGCGAAACTGTATGAAACCGTCAATTATAAGCTACGCAAGATTACCTTTAATGTCGAGGTATTTATTGAAGAATGAGATGTGGCTCGGATTAGCAATCTGAAGCCTCAAGAAAATTCTTCAATTATTCTAGAATTCGCGCATAAATGTAATGTTTAGAGTACGAGCAACATTTTCGAGTCTTTCTTTGATGTTTAGAGCCGCGTCGAAAATATTTCGACACACAAAGCACAATAAATGCTTTTTTTAAAACAAAACAATAAAATTTCATAAAGGAGAAAAGAAAAGAAATAACTAAATTATAATTTATGCTCCAGAAATTGGAATTCCAGAGTTAACAACAACAATCAGAGAATTTATTTCTTTTTGTAAAAAAATGGCGACTTACCTCTTACAGCTAGCGATATGAAAGCCTGAGCATGCTTCCTTATCTTCTCGGGATCGATGTCTGTACAGTTTTGGTTTTTTATCGGTAAACGTGAGATAATCAGATCGATAAAATCCAGTGGTGTAACGCATGACACGTCCCATTTCAGACAGCCGAGAACTAATAATTCCGTGTCCTAAGTAAGAAAGAAAATGAAGAATTTATAAATATAAGCGTATCAAATTCCATAAATAATGTGATGCTTCGTTAAATGCATAAATGCATCATTAATAATGCGACAAAACGAAAATAAACCAAAAACACGACAACTATGCTCATCAACTGTGAGAAAGAAATGTTAGGAAAAGTGGAAGGCGAAAAAGAAAAATTCTCCGAAATCTTGAAAGTTTTTTTTCCCTTTCATCTTTTCTTTGGTTTCTTAATTTTTCATTCTTGCCGATCTTGTTTTGGTTTTGCATTACTGCTGCTCCTTTGCTAACATCGCTGGTCATTTATGGTACGACAAAGGACAAAAGCCTTTTAAAAATTCTTTCGGTTTTACAGTAAAAGAAAGAAAAATAAAAATTATCCCGAAGGAACAGCAAGAGAAGAGACGACTGCAAGTATCGAAGAAGACGACAAAAACTTTACATTCATGTATACATATCAGCACATCTCAGACGGTGGGTCTTGTTTTGCAATCATTGTTAAGTCATGTCACATTTCTATGCTTACATTAAATCGAATTTTATTCGTTCTAATTCTAAAATGACGTAACAAACAAACAAACCCAAATATTTTCGCTTTTCTTACAACAATCCGCAATTCTTATCATGCCGTTGAAATGTAAAATTTATATCTCAAATTGTAGCCTTTATGTAGTTCTTGTTATTTTTTTTCCTTCTTATTTCACCATCAAAAATTGGAGTTCTGAGGAATGTCACAAATACGTATGAGAAGTCACCAATATTGACTGATTTGTTTATTTTTCCAATTTTGTTTCTTTCTTTAGACCGCCTCTCAACTTGGAGAAATTCTAGACATTAATCAAACAAAAACTATTTGAATATTTATTTATTAAAGAATGTTTCTGAAGATATTAAAGTTTGAAACTGTAAGAAAGTCAAAACCACTTCTGAAGTATTTTAGGAGAAATATGCAAAAAAAAATTCATAAAAATGTTTAATTACATGGTTGTCTTGGTTGTGTTCGCTTTCGTTAAATCGAAAGGAGTGTTTTTGGTGAGAAGCTTCGAAGTTCGAAGTAAAGGCAAACATTTCGCTCAGTTTCGCTTTTATTTCTCTTTATCAAGTTCAAGTTCGCGACGAAGAAATTTCTAACGAATGAAACTTTTTTGTGCTTGTTTGCGTAACCGGTTTAATTTCCAGATGATTCCATTAAAATTCCTTTAACTGAAGATCGGGCTTTGAGACTAGTTAAAGTTTATTTCTTCTCCTTTTTCCTTCATGTTTTGATTTATTATGTTGGCGAAAGAAATCAAGTCCCGTGCGATAAGCATGAGAATGTGCAGACGCGACGAAGTTCAATAAAAGCATTGCACTACAAGACCATTTGATATGCAAAGAATGCCCAATTAAAATAAAATTAATTAAACCACTTGCATTCGCCAGTTTCAGGCTTTTCGTTGTCTCCATGCTTTCTCGCGATTCCAGGAATTCCCCGATTTTTAAGCCCTTTTAGCATACGTGAATTGTTTAACCGAAACGTGGTCTGATTTCTGTCTCGCTATTTTGGCGACACATTATCAATTCAATTATAATCACAATAATCATTGAAAACTTAATACTCAGATTGCATCACATGAAATTTATTTTTGATGATAACGCCAGGTCATAAAAGGTATGAGAAAGTTTTTATATAAGAAGCTCTACCAGATACTTATCTAAGATAAACATTGCTTAATCATTATCTTAATTTTAACTTCATTCGCTCTCATCACTAGGTGGCAAAGAAAAACACAGAACACTCTGAAAACGTATCAAGGTAAGCAAAAGTCAGCTGTTCAACTTGAATTGATAATTATTTGGCTCCAAAGTTTCATTTTTATTATTTCATGCATTGAAATGTTGATTAGTTTCAAATTGAATAAAGTTTCAATGTTGTTCTTATCAATTCTTGTAAGATTTTTTCATTGAATTTTAGTTTCTTTATGTGTTTGTTGAACAGATTTTATGCGAATGAACTTTTCAGTGAAATTGCGTATCTTATCTAGCGAATTGTTTCTATAAATATTGGATAATTGAACAAGAGAGAACAAAAAGGTGAATGAACTTAGATACACTCGTAAATAAATTGAAGGTAATCATTTGAATGCGTATTCACAAAGTGATTGTCAGATCACGTCATGCCAACACATGATCAACGACGGCTTATTTCATACAATGGTTTTGAACTTTAAACTTAATTTGGAAGCAATTTAAGAAGTTTAATTTATTGCATAGACATCGTCAGATTTTATTTTTCCTTTTAAAAGAATTCTTATCAGTAATTTGAAAAGCCTTCAGGCGTCGATTGAAAGTTTTTAATTAAATATTTTTGATAAATGTCGAAAAAGAAACTGAAGATAATTTGAATCATTTTAGGATAGCACAGCACTTGTGCGTTTGCTTGACTGCAAGTTGAAGTTTAAATTAATTTCTGATGTTAAATTGCTTACAAATTTCTTTTAAAATATTTTCTTAATCGTAAAATTAATAAATAAAAATGAAGACGCCACTCCAAAGATAACACAACAATGTTAATCTATAAATTCGCACATTCTCGCATCATTAAAGCGATTACAAGAGTAAATTCAATGCCAGAATACCTTCGCGTTATTTCTACATTTGATTTCATTAATTAATTGCTCATTAGTCGACTTTGCATTTCATGAGAGGTTATCAATCATTTTGATTCATTCATTCAGTTTTTTATAGGAAGTTGAAGTTATTTTTGTAAAATAAATCTGCTGATTGGGTCATATGCAGATTTCTTGAAACTTGAATTAGTCAAAAATTTAATTACGTTTTCATCATCTCATTGCGTACACGATGTCCGTGTTCATGTTTGGGAAGGTTTCAAAGTGAAAAACCGTTCGCAATTCTCACACAAAAAATCAGTTGAATCTAAGATTAAATTTCATTCATGAGACATAATTCTAATTATAGTCTGCGAAAGATGTATGAACAAGATGTAAAATTTTTAAAAAGATTGAATTAAAATGATTCAGTGGTTGGTGGAAGGGGGTTGGGAATTCAGTGGGAACATCAGATATCGCGCTGTTTTCAATAAAGTTTAAAGGCACCACATGATTGACATCAAGGTATTCTGGAGAGAGGTTGGCATGCCCCCTATAATTAGACAAGAATTTCCGAGGAGTTGAAACACCAACAAGAGTCTGAAATTACTAACTTGTTTAACAATTTTCGCGTACTCATTCTAAATGGAAGGAAATCAGTGGAATCCTAAGCAGTCATTTCACGAATATTCTTCGCGCAATCTCATTTCTTCGATCTTCATTTGATGCTCAAGCTTCAACTTCAATCAAATCGATTTAATGCAATTAAATTGATCTGGAACTGTATAGCAGTTAATGAATCATTCACGAATTTTCCACTTCATCATGATAACTTCAAAATTTAATATTGGAAGCGATTTGTGAAACGTACAACAAGATTTAATGATAGCAATTCATGAATTTTGAATGAAATATCCGTGACGTTTATCAATTGATATTCTTGACACAATTCATCAGGAGTTCTTCTCTAGTTTTCGGCGTCCCACAAACAAGAAATTTCTTTCAAAACTCGATGGATGGTTTCTAAGAATTACAAAAATCGCGTTCATCGTAAATATTTTCAAGGTTAAATATTTCGATATGAACAACAGAAAGGGAAAAAAATGTTTAATGTATAAATTGAAGAATGTTTAAATCTCAAGCGGACGAAGAAGCTTCTTCTTCCCTCAATTGTGTTCAAGTTTTTTTTTTGGAAATGGTATCATGATAGCTGGCGGAGCAAATAACAAAGAACTTGTTCGACCGTTTAACACACAAAAACAAATATCCCCGAAAAAGTATTTACCATTCGCGGATGCTTTCTCACGTTCTGTTTAAGGTTCTTCGCTGCTTTCATTCACTCCCGTCTTCTTTCTTTTTGTGATAAGAAAGAACATTGAGAAGAATGACAGTGGTTGGCAAGCGAGAACCATTATAATCAGAAGATTTAATTTTGTGAATAAATTTTCTTTGAGAAATTGTTTAAGATTACGGAAATTAACGAAAACCTTGACGAAAACATTCGATGTTGTTTCTTTTTTTATAAAAATTTCACATTTCTCCTCCTATTTGATTTGTATCAAAGGTTGGCGATAAAATAAATCTTAACTTTTGACGACACAAATATTATCTTTGGGATGACGGCGCTCGATGACAGTTTATTTTCATTTCTGAATTTTACTTTCAATGTCAAGAAAGAGAAATTTCAAGATTTTGTTTGTTTTTCGTATTCAACAATTCTTATTGGATTTCTTGCACGTTTCATGAACTATACGACGTTGGTGTCTACCTGAAATAAATTAGAATTTATCGAATGCTACTCGAAGCAGCATAATGAGGGTGAAATAAGAGAAATGTCATGAGAAATGATACAATTAAGGTGAAATGAAAAGAGAAATCTTCTTTGAATCATTCTTTGCATTAAATTTATGCGTTTCGGAAACGAAATTCACACACTTTTCACTCATAAAAAAAGAATCCTTAATCTTTCTATTTGCTGTTGTTCCTATTTGAAGACCTTTTGTTGGGAAACACAAATAATATCCTTTTGGGATTTCGTTTCTGACTGTCTTCCTGTTTGAATCTTTCTTTTTAAAAAAAGGAATCTGATATGGATTTTGCTGGATTTCTTCATTCTTGCATGGACATTTAAAAAACATTTTTTAACTTCTTCAAACATTGAAAGAAACTAAAAGTAGTTTCGAGCCCAGAAGATTAAAGAAAATATAAATGTTGTCGTAAGAAGGATGTTGGAAGTGAAGTCATCAATGGAGCCGTTGGCTTTATTAATAAATGAAAACATGTGTGTCCAAGTGACATTTGGAAAAACGTTTTAGCAACTGCACTTTGAAATCCTATTAGTTTTCCGCTTTCTGGTAGCCCTTAAGAAATCTGAGACGATAGACTTCAACTGACCCTAAAGATTTGCGTTTTACTTATTTTTTAATAAAAAGAAAGAAAGAAAAAAATGTATGCGAAGACGGAATGAAAACAAAAGCAATTCTAAACATTCCATCGAGAATCGTTTTCTTTGCTTCGAAAGAAGAAATATTTTGTGTAAGTAGAATGAGCAAACAAGTTGTCGCTAATGTTTCAACAAGCGTCTAAAGGAAGTGGTGTTAGAAAAATAAATTATTTGTCTAGTCTAAGTCGTGATTGTTGAGGTCCACAGCCCCACAGCCTTGACGCAACAGATTCATAAGAAATATTCCATTGAACTTATTGAGCCAACATTTAATTCATAATGAACGCGACCGAACTTAATTTTAATGTGTTGATGTTCGTCAGAAAGCGAATTCCATCAAACGTTCGACCAGAAGAGTCATTCACAGGATATAACATACACTTTGTGAATATAAAACAAATTAACGACTCTCTGTGTGACAGCAAAACAAATATTTGAGTGTTTGAAATTATATTTGAATATTTGTTTCGTGGCTGTTTCTCTTTTCGTTCGATCTAATATTTGCCACCTTCGCTTTCGCGGCTGATCTGGAGCTGCGTCAATAAAATCGTCATCGAGATGTTTTATTTGCCTTCGTTCAATGATAAGGATGGAAAATTGAAACATTTCGGCTAACTTTCAACTGAAATCATGTTTGATGGATAAATAAACATTTTATTCCGATATTGCAGTCATAAAGTCATAAAATATATTGCACAACACATTTTTTACAATGTTTCCCAGCAACATGAATTAGATTCTTGTGAAATTCTTCTTTAGAACCTTTCTTTGTTGTCCTAGGTGCCATTTTCAATTCTTCTCGAAACCGAAATAAAAGAAATTTAACGGTAAACACTTGAGAAATTTTTGTCTCTAACGTATTTTCCTTTCGGCATTTATCGAGAACATCAAGACAAACATATCTAATATTTTGATTAATTTGAGTTATTGATGAAAAGAAGGAGATTATGATGGAACTTTGTGAAGAGAAAAAGCGGAGGCTTCTGTAGAAATCTATTTCTAAAAAGCATTAATAAATAGTGACCTGTGATCTTCTTATTTATTCTGATGGTGATTTAGTTAAAAGTAGAAGAGTAGTCATTTGAAGTCCTTCGCAGAAGCTGGGGCTTACATTCCATCGCTTCATTTTTCTCACATAACTTTGAAAAGTGAAGGGAAAAAGAAATAAATTGTTTTTCTGCTCATTTCAGACTCTTTTTCTTTTTTTGTGAATGAAAAGGTTTCGACATCATGTCTCTTGCCATTGAATTGTGCAAGTTTAAATGCCGGTCTGATTTGATGAAGATAAAGAAGAGAAGAAAGCATCATCGCGATTGGAAGTCAATAAATTCTCGCTCAAATTGAAATTGAAAGCGAACGGTCGTGTAATGAAAGGGAAAGCAAGAGGATGGAAAAATGCAAATTACTCGACTTTTGAAATGGGAAAATACCAAGAAAATGTGGCAAAAACGAACTCACCACATCATTGATCATTAACAGCGTTTGTTGCTTTGAGCGTTAACGAATAAAGTTTAAAATTTAATGACTTTTTTGTTTTTGTTTTTCGTGCTTTTTTATCAATCAATTTAATTGGGATATTTTCTGGGAGATTTTCTGTGATGATTGGACGTTAACTTCTTGTGGCAATTGTCGCTTTTATATTTACTTTTATGACTCGATATAAATATTTAGTGTATGAAAGACAGCAAGTTAGCAATCACATTGGCTTATATTTAGTATAATTATGCATCATGCTGTGAAGGTACGATGAAGACTTGCCAGAGATAAAGTAAAAGTAGATTTCATTCGAATGTTTATCATCATTATTTCATCTTAGAAAACACATTTAAAGTAAATTACGACTTAAAGTCTTCCTTTGACTACCTACCGCAAATCATCACGCAGATCTCCAATCTACATAACTAATTATCTATGCTCAAAATTCTTTACTTTTCAAAATACATACCGAGGGTTTTCTTCTTAAAACCTTGTTTAGCCCGAGAAGTTGATAAAAAATTTATATTTTATGCAGAACGAAGCAGAAAAAAAAGGAAAAATTCATCAAAAGTTGCCGCATTAAAATCTTATTCTTTTCCTTCTTCACTTCTTCGACCCTTGGACGAAGCTTTAACAATCATCTCTTTAGCATACACGAAGAAAGAAAACGGAAAAGGAGCCTCCTAACGAACGGTGGGGCCTCTAAGAAATGAGGAATAGAAATAATAACAAGCAAATGAACACAAAAATTCACAACAAGCTCATCGAGCTCGAGCAGAAGAGTTTTACGATTTAAAGAGCAAAACGAAACGAGCCTTTAACAACAATAAAAAAATCTTCTTTTCTTGCATCGAAGGAATAAGAGTTCCAGGAAACCTTCTTTGAATATTGCCTCACAGGCAGTTTTAGACTCTTTTTTGTTGCTGCATCGTTCACATTTTTATGGCATAAAATAAATATTATTTTTTTTGCACACTTGAGCCTTTTTATTTTGTCTCTTTCTCCACGGTTCCCATTACTGGCGAATTTTTCGTGAGAAGGAATTTTTGTTCATTTTATAAATGCTTAATAAGCGCCATCGCTTTTAAGAGAAGAGATTTAAAAGGAGACTTAGCCTTCGGTGCAGGTAAATAACCAACAGCTTCACACTCTAAACGAATATCATCGACGATGCTTTTCATTTTCGCTATTCACTCTCGTGCGATTATTCCGCATTCTGAAGTGATTAATGAATTTTTAAAAGATTTCTTTCATCGAGACATTGAGAGTGTGGGAAAAGCAACAAGTTTTTTTCTGGTTTTTACTGCAACGCTGTTGGAGTGTCGAGAATATTGATTTCGATATTGATCCTTTGTTGCACGCTTTTTTCATTCTTGCCGAAAAATTTCAAAGAAAAAATTCTCGAAAACAAAGAGAGAGAATTTTATTCAAGTTTAAAAGCTTTTGTTTCATCAAAAGAGGTTCTTTATCTCTCTGGTTTAAAGTAAGTCGATGTTCTGTAGTCTCCTTCAAAAAATATAAAGAAAACACTAAAATTATAACGCTTCATTAATTTGATTACCCAAAGCGACTTCCTGTGATCATTCTTAGTTGATTAGTCGATTCCTCTTCATGTTGAAAAATATTCTGTTGGCACTCAGAAGTTCGTAATGTTATCACTTCAATGAAGGTCGAATTAAATGATTTGCATTCAAAAATATTGTAAGACAATGATGCGTTAAGTAAATAAACTATTGCAACCTTCTTTTTATTAGACAGCAGCGATAAACTGAGATTTAAAAATAGAAAATTCATCATCATCGCCAATCTTTGTGTAGCTTTTATAAAAACACGAAATTGATTCGGTCACAATCACAGTTGACTGACTGAGTTGCAAATTTCCTGAATAAGTACTTTGAATATTATGAAGTAATTTCTTTTATGAATGAATTATTATAGAACATGAAGCGAGAGAAGGAAAAAAAATAAGTAAATAAATAAAGGTCAGATGGGAGTCATCAGCTGATTAAAGTGACACACATTTTCATGATCGTCGGAGCCGGCTTTAGTTGAATATTTTTGAATGTTTTTCGTGGGCCGTTTCGCATAGCTCACATGTTTGTAAATAAATAAACATTTTAATAATTGTAATCAACTGAAAGGCCGCCAGAGAATTTCTTTCTTCTTGTCTCGTCATTTTTTTTTTTGCTTCCTCCAGTTTTTTGATATCAATTTAATGAATACAAAAATGCTCGAGTTAGTGATATAAAAATACAAAACAACGAGTGAAGAAGAAGACTTATGCGGCAATAAAATAAAAAAAATCGCGATGAATTCAATGAGTTTGTGTTGTGAATGGAGCCATCTAAATGCGCATGAATGAGTTGAAATATTCACAATAAACTCCATCAAAAGCTCTTTAATGTTGATGATATTTTAACAGACAATGAGCTTCGATGTTCTTCTCTTGGATGAATCATCATTTTGATTGAGTTGTGAGTGCTCAAAAGACTTTGTGATGACTGATTTAAGAAGTTTTCCAAAGGATCATTAAACAAGCTGTTGATTGATTACACGGATTGCCAAAAAAATCTCTAAAAGTAAAAAATTCCGAGGAAACCATCACATAACTCTTTTCCTTTTGCCTTATGCATGCAAATCTCTTCACTTTTATTTTTGAACCACGCCGCATGACACCCAAAGCACCAACGTTTGCCACCAAAAACCTTCTTAATGAAGAAATTAAGTTCAATGCATTAAATTGAAATATTTAACAGTGAAAAAGCATTTTCAGCGAATAAAATGAGAATGAAGAAAGGAGAAGGCGAGAAATGAAGCGAAGGGAAAAACATTAAGTGTTACATGATCAACAACATCGTGCAAATTCTGAACGAGAATGTTTGCTAAATCGATCAGAAAACCATTGAAAAAGACTTCAAAACGAAGAACAAGAGGAGGAGAAGTAAAAAAAATATTAATGAAAATGAAGATGGAAACAGAGGATGAGAAAGGAATTTTTGTGTTCTTTCGAGTGAATATTCATTTAAAGGACCACAAACGAAGAATTTTTTATGCAGTCGACAGAGAGTGCAATATCAGCACAACTTCCATTAATAAAAACAGATTGGGTTTGGTCAATTGAATTCTCTACGCTCAAATTTTCACTCGATGATGTTTTCGACTTTCGATGTTAAGATTAAAGATGTGAAAATCATCATTTGAAGATCCAACAGCATTTGCAGTTTGCATGAGTTATCTTTGCTTTAAATATTTACATGAACCTTGCAATTTGCACATTGGCAATTAACAAGCAAACATCACAAAAAACAGCAAAGCAAAGCTTTCGTAGTCAGCAATTAATGAAAAATTCCATTGACGTTTGTTCACCTAAGTCATTCAAAGCTATTTATAATTCACATTTGTCGCACAATCTGTCACAACTTCAAAATTTGTTTCGAATGTTTGCGTTTATCAACGCTGATTATGAATGGATTTTGTGTAAGATGAACTGCTCGCATTCCATTTGTTGCTAACTAACAATTGATTTTCTTCACTCTTCACTCTCAAGAACCAATTAATCAAAATATATGATACAAATAACATTCATCATAATATTATGCAAACAACATTAAAGCATAAAGCTGAGTTAACAACTGCCGATAACTGATCGATTCCGGAAAGAATGGAATTTAATTCCATTCATATTTCAGGCATGATAAATTGAAATCTCTGTTTATCACTTCCAACAAATAATAAAATTCTCCAAGCTTGATTTTATTTTTATTTAGTTTTGATGTTTAACAAATTCCCGAAAATAAAAAATGTTTTATGAAAAAGATCGAAAAGGCGAATAACTCTCAGCAAAAAGAGATATGAAAAATATAAAAAATATTACACTTAAGCACTTTATCGTGATTATCATCTTCCGGCGCATTCAAAAAACGCGTGAATGACTGAAGAAACTTTGAAAACTGCACTTGAGTTTCCTCTTGAAAATTTTTATCGTTAACGTGTTTTGTACGGATTTCTAATATTTTTTCTTAACGTTCTTAACAGATCAGAAGTGTTAGAGTTGTTTTTACATATTTCCTTCTCAGTTGGAATATTTGCTTTGCTGTTTGTTGTTAATATTTGCAAAATCTCATAAGAAAGCGACCGAAAAGTTTTTATGAATTGTTTAAGAAATATGAACAAAGCAAAGAAGAATTTTCAAACATTCTTACAAGACGAAATCTTAACGAGAAATTTAATTTCTATTTCGTATTTTTTCTCTCGGCAGTTTCCTTTCGCCTTATCTTTATGTGATGCTAATATTAAACTAACTTCAACTTCTCCCCCTATTGATATTTGTTCCGCTGAAATATTTTGTGGCTTTTGTCTGAGATGTCACATGGGAATTTCATGGAAGAAAATTTGAATAAAATGTCAAGCACAGTTTCGTTCACATCAAAAAGAAATATTGACAATCTACGTACACATCTTTGATATTTGCGCCAATAAAAAAGAAAATAAATATTTTCTATAACAATCAATTTCTGCTCTGAATTCAATTCAAATGAGAGCGGAAAACGAAATCGTGAATACTTTGAGGACAGCAATTGATGCCGCTTTCGATTGGGAAAACTTTTCAATAAAAATTGTTTCGAAATAATTCTCGGTTACTTCGGAAAAGCATTCTCAAACATATCGCTCAGATAATAACGTATAAACACAAACCAAAACCCTAATTCTAAGAATTATTCCATTTCAAGAAGCTTTTATTGTTCCTTCTCTGTTTCAAATTTTCTTTCTTTCTTTTCTGGTCATTTCACGAACGTCTCAGGAATTTTTTTACTCTTCATTCGTTTGTTATTTCATTTGGTTGCATTTTTCTTTCATGTGACAAAAAGAAAGAATAAAATAAAAAGAAGTTTTTTTTTTCTAAATCTTTTGTTTCTCCTTTCGAAAGACCAAAAGAATATTCTCAGATAGTGAAGGAAACCAAGAAACATGTGATAATATGCATGTATGAATGAGATATTGACAAGAAAGAAGAAACCCTTGAAGCATATGTATTTTAATTATCAAAAACATTCCTTTATGCATAAAACATAATGCGATTTCGTGTTAACTCACAGTTGGTTTTCTCAAGTATCGTCATAAAAGTTAGTTAGTTGAAAAAATGAATTGTTTTTTGGGACAGTTAACTGCTGAGTGGTAGATTGTCAAATAAGTTTTGCAAAACTCAGACCTCTAATATTGAAAACACCCGAAAAAATAATTCTCAGCTCGTAAAACGAGAAATTCCAATGTAATGTGCGTCAAACAATCAGATGGAAATTATATTTGGGTTAAGTCTTCGTTTGCGGCTTCTCATCTGAAGTAGTGAAACTTAAAATGCTTCAACATTGTTGAATGGTTCGATTACGATTTTTAGTAAACTTTTTTAGGGATGAAAGGAATGCAAGCAGCAACGGGACTTTCATTTGATTTTTATTTCTGTGTTATTGATTCAACCGCAGAAGTTAAATAAACCAAAACCGAAGCATTTCGTTCAAAAACATGATGAGAGATTTCCTGGGATAGAATGTGAAATGAAAAGACGCAGTGTAATGAAACTAATATTTGACTTTCGTGTCCTTATGAGTGCCCACCCAGTTAAAAGAAGTTTCGGTTTTTATGTCATCCTTTAAGAAAACATTTGGATAACTTCAAGTTTCGTTTTCCTTTTCTGCATTCACTCATTTAAAGGGACAATGTTGAAAATTAGAAGCTCAAACAGAAGGACTTTGTTTACACTCGAAACTGGTGTGATGATCACCGCTTGTTACGAGCCTCAGCGCCTAATTTGTGATTTTTCTTTGGAATTCATTTCGAGATTCCTTTAAACGAGGAGATAATTAGAAGAAAAAATGTGAATTTCAAAGACAACAAATCGTTTCTTTCAACAACAGAAACAACAATATTTCATTTATGATTCTTTACCCTTTTCTTAAGCCGCTTCTTTCTCATTTCAACAAGAACACAGAAAAAGCTCTCAAATAAATAAAAAACAATAAATTAAATCACTCACCATCAAGTCCCGCTTCGTGATGCTGTTGTCAGTATAGTAAATCAACACTTCTGGCTGGAGTGCATGGGTGGATGGTTCACGTAATTTCGATGCTAAGAACGTGCACGTGGCTGCCAATAATTGAAGATTATTTTTGCTGATTGGTAGTTTGTTGAGCACACGATCCATGTAGTTAATGGAAAGAATCGACACTTCTTCTTGGCACATTCGCTCTTCGCATAACTGCGGGTTGGAAAAAAACGGAAAAGGTTTTAAATTAAATTCTTTTTTTTTGGGTTGATGTTAAATGTGGTCAATGATATAAATAAAAAAATTGAAGTCAGTCTTGTTCGCACTTCCACGAAGCGAGTCATTTAGCTCACATGATTGACCCCGAGAAATGCTTAACCGCAAATTATATTTGAACGATTTTTTGTCGAATCTTAACCGACTGCTTCGGTTGTTTATGAGAACGTTTAAATGAGACGATTGATCCACATCGTCTGAATGTGATCTGCAATTTCCTGTTTGCGCAATGCATCAAACATGTATCGAAATGGAGAAAGAAAGAAACAAAAAAGAAAGTTTTTGTTTTTGAGGCCTCACATGAAGTGTAAATATCAATTCACGCCCGATTTGCATAACAACGAATCGTTAGCATAGGTTGTGTTGTTTCTTTTACGCCATATTTTCGATTATTGGGTCATTTCATAGCTTTTGAATAATGCAAAAATATTTTCAAAGGGTTTTTAAAAACAACGCGACAAAGTAAATTTTGTTCGCTTCACTTCAGTCATGAATAAGCATTTCGAGGAAAGAGATTTTCTTTTTCTTCTGGATCTTTATACTTATTTATTGAAATAAGAATAAGAATTCATTTGAGTCTTGCATAACAACGGATGAGGATTGGGAAGTGAAGGAAGTTTTTCGATTGATTCATGACCCTCCCCTTGTGACGACGACGACTCAAACGAACGCTAAAAGAATATTGAAGACATAAAAGGTGCGATTAGCATAACATTGAAAATATCCAGGTGCTGAAATTTATGCCAATTACCTAACAGTTTTCATTCATACCAACTTAGATAATCTTTAAACATGCCATAAAACGATACATCAAGAGAAACTTTGTACAACTCTAGTCACAGTTGTTCAAACTCAACAACCTCACATTGAATGATATTCGTGATAAGATGTCGCTTACTTATTGGCGACTTATACATCATTTTTACATTTATCCGCTTACCGGAAACAATATTCAAATACAAAAAAAAAATATTTATGAAAAAATAAAATCAAACAAACCCGAACGCGTGATAATGTTATCATTGAATAATTTGTACTTCTTCTTATTATTCTTATTACTATGTCGAATATTTTCGTGCTCGAGTTCATTGATCAGCTGAGACAAAAATTTTCAAGTGACGAAAGCGCTAAGAATATAAAAAAAAATTGAACGAACGAGTTGTGTGTGGCAAAACCTTGGGCTAATCGTCCTAGAAATATCTTTCGCACACTATTTAGACTCTCATTCTAATTTTCAAGATACGAAATGGTTAATAAATTGATAGCTCATCTATTTAACGAAGCTTCTCAGACTGATGCTAGAGAAAAAAACAAGAAATAAAGGAGGCATCATAAACGTTTCCTGTCTTAATCCACCGCGTGAAATAACAATAATAAATTAACTTCAACTCTCGCTTGTTTTGTTTGCTGTTGGAAGTTTGAATTTGAAGAAACTATTTAAGAGTAGCTTAAATAAGCCTTTGGTAATTTTGAAATCTGATATTAAGTATGTATTTCAATGGAAACAAAACAGTCTTAATGATTAGAAATGATTAACCGAAAGAATTAAAAATAAAGACAAGGGAGAGCTGAGTTTGCTTTCGAGAACTTTTTTTTTCAATTTATTGTGAATCAGACTAGCGAAATAATTTAACTGCTAAAGTGACCTTGAAGATCTACAACAATTTACTTAGCAGCACTGTTGATAGTTTTTCCTTTTCACATCGTCTCGACATAAAACATTCCAAATTTCAATGGCAAATCTTTACCTTTCCTTTCAACCTTCATTTTCGAGAATGGAATTTAATTTATTTTTGGATATCGCAGAAGGGGTGAAACTTGCGTCGTCGTGGCGATATCAAGTTAGACCTGATTTTAAAAATCCATTCATTTCGCAAAAAAACAAGACTCACAGATGAGATGGAGTCATTGACAAGTTAAGTAGTGTTTCTAAGTCAAAGATAGAGCAAAGTCAAGGGAACTATTAGATATTTGATATTCCTTTGAGTCGTTCCAAGAGATTTCTTTAGGTTTTGATTTAGACTTTCATAAGAGAATTTACATTTTTAAATGAATAAAAGTTCCTGATGGATCATCCACCAAGGTTAACGCACAACCCTATTCATCTATTATTCGTGTAATAGCGACGGCAATCTCTGTTCACTTAATGATACATGGCATTAGAACCCTCCTAGCTATTATAGAACTTTATGTTTAAAACATTTCCGTCTCAGACACTTTATTGTTTGCTTCTTCATCGCCATTCCAGCCAGCACATACAAAAGCTTCATACGAAATGAAATTCAAATTGATAATGCTACGTAATCATAAATCGTGTCTTCTTAGTGTTTATTTCAGTAAAGAATAAGCTACGAGACTAATCATCTGTAACCATTATCGAGCAAATCTCAATTTATTGAAATTACCGCCCTGGATTTTCTGCCTTTTGTTTCTTTCAACTCTTTTGATATAAACACAACACAACACAAGAGGGGAGAGAGACTCGCAAGGGTCGGTAAAACATCAAATAAGATTTCAGCGTCAAGTTATGTGTGTGTACATCCTTTCGTTGATCAAAACGCGTAACAATTTAGATATTCTCGTCTGAAAACGTTATGAGTCGCGCAAATCTCTCATTGTCTTAATTTTTAATCGCATTGTTGCTTTCTTGTTTTGAGGGGAGAATTCGAAGAACAGAGAAGAATGAGAAATGTAAGGAAAAAATCGTCAACAAAAAACATATGGGATGTTGAGTGATAAAAAGAATTCGTTTGTTTGTTTATGCTAAAATATGTTTTCATTCATTGGATGTCATTATCAAACCGGACTTCAAACACTTACATAATTCATATTTTTCAAGTGCAATGTGACTTTTTATTTAAATATCAAAGAACGTTTATATTTTGTCGACCGGATATCATTTTAGAAACGAAATCGGCGCAAATGAAGACGACAACAAACAACGAATGCGGGTCAGTAAACTGCCGATTAACGACTTGATTATTATTAAATCTTTCCTTCATGCAGTTGCGGAATTTCTAATGGAGATGTTTGCTGTTCTCAATGTCGAACGCTTATCTAAAATGATTACGAATGGTCTCGCTTGCTTGATCTGGTCTTGCAGCAGCTTCATTAATAAATAAAAAATAAAATAAAAGAAATATCCTGATGACTTTGTTTATCGACCATTCTCGCACTAAAGATGAAAGGAGAATTGAAGATTTGGAAATCACTTTGATGATAAAACTCACAAGTCTTCGGTCTGTCGTTAAATTTTACAACTTTCGATTTTCACCGCAGGAATTAATTTCTTTTTCTTTTCGGTGATCTTAAGATTCGTCGACGTCGAATTCCTGTCGTCTGGATATTTGATGATTGCAGCATTTTTATGCATTCTTTCTTTTCAAATATCTTCTTCGTTGGAGTCATAAAACTTAAATGTATGACTTAGGAAGACACTCTCGATGGAATGCTCTCGATGATTCCTTTTTCGCATGCATGAAAGATGGAAATGAATTCAATTGTTGTTGTTTTCAACAAGAATGTTAGCCCTAGGTGCCGCTCTACTTCTTTTGGCTTTATATTTTCTTCAACTTCTTCTTATTAACGAAGTCATAAAGAAAAAATATAAAAGCGAAATTGCTATTTTCACATGAAATCACCTTTTGTTTGAATCATGTTAACGCTGCGTGTGTGATGAGCTCGAGACCCGAATCTTTTTTTTTTGTTAGAGACAAAGCAATTTAGTAACGAGCTTGGCCAGTCAGCACGAACTAAATATGCAAACAAGAGTTCGTGTGTCGACTGATCATGCAAGATAGCAAGCTAAATATTTCTAGCATATTTCTTGCTTCTTTTTTTTCTGTTTCTTCACATTAATGAACTACAATGGAAGAGAAACTTCAATGATAATCTTTTAATCCTTTCTCTGTCCTTTTCAGTTCCAAGAAACATAATTTTAAAAGAAAAGAAATCCAATTAGCTTTAAGCAGCATCTATTTAGTTCTTCATTATTGATTTGAGAAATCTTAAAGTGTTGCTTCCAATGAGTTACTAAACCTTGAGATGAGAAGAAAAAAAAATCAAATTTCAAGTCATCAAGCAACGAAATTTGCTGTTCAGCACAAATGTTGAAATTTTAGATTTCGTTTTGTTCCCCATTCGCCGCGAGAGCAAATAAATCGTTCTCGTTTCTTAATTATTTTGCATTTCTCATCTCTTTGCTTCACTAGACGGTTTTCGGCATTTTTTTTTCTTTTGCGGGTCAAACAGAGTCAAATGAAACAAGCACACACGATTATCAAAAACATGAAATTCCATGGAAGTTCTTCTAAGTCTTGCAGTTCTTTTTCGAACAAAATCATTGTGGTTTTGGGTTTTTAACTTTTTTTTTTGTTGCTTCTCTAAAAATTCTTAATTTAACTACCTTCGAATGCTTTAATTGTGGTTTTTCTTTCAGTACCCTTCCTGAAAGTTTGAGTTCATCTCATACATGTCATCGCTAGCCTACTTGACAACGAAACAGCTGACAATGATTACTTCCCGCATGGTCATCATCTTCTCCCACGTCGTCTACAAACATATTTAACTTTTCCGACAGTTTTTCTTCTTGCGTCACTATAAAGATAGAAGCGCCGAAGCAGCGACATTTAAAAATTAAATCGCTCACCGTGCGATATGTTATATATTCACATATTTACTACATACATTATAACAATCGTCGTCTATAACTTGAGGCATCATAAGTCAACAAGAGAATTGATGCGAAACGAAAGAACAGAAAATTGGTTCCGCAGCATCGTCGCTGTGAATCGAAGGGGTTCTGCGTGAGATAATTCAATTCATTACAATGATGAGATTCAATTTTCAATAGAAACGCGCTAGACCAGATCATTGGCAAAGGATTAGAATAATAATTGAAACATCTGATTAATCGTGTAGCTGAATATAGATATGAGTTCGATGATGACTATAACTATGTGCGGCGTAATATTCAAAGGTGACTCGAAAGTCATGTGAACTACTGAAAAAAGCGGCGAAACTTGACTGAAGGTTTTTGGGACATTTTGTGAAATTCAAATTTCCCTTTAAGTGCCGAAAGCAACGGTAAATTGATCCAAAACATTTGAAAGCTCAAATTATTTCAGGCCCAGCTGTTCGATCGCTTGTTTTCATCAAAATATTGCCACGATCATCCGGTTGATCTTGACGAAATGTAATGAAATGAAGATTTTATTCAAGACATCAGCTGTAAGTCTTTTATCTTCTTCAGCAATTCGATGAAAATATCAACAATTCAAAGTACTAGACGCGACCTCTTAAAGAATCTTTCACGTTTCCCTTTTCGAGACGATTTTCTAAACAAATTTTTTTATTTCTTTTTTCTTAAAAAGCTTTTTCTATTTTCGCTTCTTTCACTTCTCTTTCATTCTCCCGTCGTTTCTCGGCAATTTCTTTTTTGACTTCGGCCTACACACGCCAGCCAAGAGGCTAACAGCGACAAGACGGCCTATCATGTGTTTATTTATTTCTTTTTTCGCATTTTCTCACGCAAAAATAGAACAGACAGCCGAGAAAGAAGCCGTCAGTGAAAGTGAAAATTTGAACGATTTCTTTACTCCAATCGTCGTCGTTGTCGTTGTTGTTAACTGTTTCATTTCTTTACGTTTTTGCGAATTGTCTAGGCTATGTCGGAAGTGAACACAGATACAAAAAATATACTTTTAATTTCGTTTGTCTATTTTTAGCATCGTACGCATTGCGTTCGGTTTGCTAGAAGATAAAAGCGAATTCCGCGACTTCGCATTGTCTTTCCATTCCATTTTGGTTTTTGACTGAGGTCAAGAAACTTTAAAATACTTGATGATTAAATAGCAGCAACACGCGTTTTGTTCCGTACCAGTTAATAATTGTTAGAGTAGGTGCGTTAAACAACAAAATGTTCCTTTAAAGGTGACAAGAAGCGATGATCAAATCAATTGCGAAATATAATTATGACTAATTTGAAATTTAAACCAAAACAAATACTGCTTTAAATTGATTCTTTGAACATTTAATAAATACAATGTATCAGACATCAACCCCGAAGAAGACGAAATTAAATAATTCAAGAAGAAAAACAAACTTTATTTGTTTAAAAAATAGTTTTGTGGTGTGGTGAGTCAAGAAAAGGCATTTAAATTGTTTAAAATCCATGTATGAAGTGTCTCGAAATTAACGACACGATTTTTTAAAACTTGTCAGTTGTTGATTATTCATCAAAATTTTAGTCAGCAACAGAAGCATTCACGTACTTTGATAAATCACGTCATAAATGTAAGAACTTCATTCAAGTTGCGAGTGAAAGAAAAGTGCAAATTGCAGGAAATTTACTTAACATTGCGAAAATAAAATGCGAAGCTCAACCTACAATGTACACGAGTGAAGCTTCATTGACACTTGGCAAACAATCGATAACAATTTATCAAAATAAAGTTGTTGGTTGAATATTTGAAATCAGAGAATTCTTATTTCAGTGTCATTGCCTTTGATGGTAGAAAAATAATTCTCATAGAAAAGTTCTTCGTTTCGATTGATTTGTGATGAGAAAGAAAAGTTGAAAATTAAAGTGAGAGAAGGAAACATTCCCAGGAGCATAAATTAGATTAGAATTGTTGTTGATGGAAGAATGGCATCTCTCGAACCCCTTCACTGAGGACGAACCTTTTCTCTTTCGATTATTGGAACGACGACTCTATTAATGTGTCGAGTGAAAGTGATCATAACTTTACCCTCATTATAAAAGGCACGCAGAGAAAGAAATTTGAAACAGAACTCACACATAATTTTTCGCTTGTAAAATTTCTTTTTAACATGCGAGATTTCTGGCATGTCAGATGCCAACTCACATAACTTTGATGTTAAAAGAGAGTAAATAATCTTTTATGGCAATTTTCACTTTAAAACCGATAAAGCAATGGCTCATAAATCGACCTATTATGCCTCAGTTGTTTAGTTATCGAATTCGAAAGAAAGCAATGTCAATGCTTTGAAGCCCATTCAGATCATGTTACACAATTAATTTAGTCTAATTTAGAACTTTCCTTTACTCTCACATTTGAGTCATAAGGGTTAATTTTGTTTATGCACGCATTTTCCCATCGATCTAAATCATCAAGCACACATTTGGGTCAATATTTAAAAGGATCAATTTTAGCATATAATGAAGATATTCAATGTCGGATTCCACAATGGCCAGTCAATTTTACCAAATTTTAATTGATTTATTGTTATTTTTCCTCATACAAATCCAATCAATTTTACTCCGTCGTAAGGATTCATTAAATTAAACATTTCTTGTCTTGTTTTGTTGTTTAAATCTTTATTTGTGATTATTCTCTCTCAACTGAAGGCAATCGACGATCGACATAAAGGCAAATTTAAGTTAAATAGATTTATTCATTCCATCTCCCCCCGTTGTTGTGCGTCAAAATGAAAGCACAAAGTGCGATTGTTTTTGTGTTTCTGGATGAATGTCTATCATTTGCTTAGCATCTTTAGAGATTTCTCACAAGGAATTCCGCGTATTCGTCCATTTCTCATCTCCATGCGGCGATCACACACAAAAAAATATTAAATAGGCAGCAGCAGGGTAATTTTTTATGATTATTTTTCTTTTCATTCTTATTTTCATTTTTGTGGATCATAAAACAAAAAACTTATATGAGCGAAAATAAAGTTGAATCACGAGCTTATGAAGAAGTTCAAGGAAAGACATTTATTGGTCTTCGTCTATTGTCGACCTATTGCGTATGCTTAATTATGAGAGTGAATGAGATTTTCAAACTTTATTATTTATCTTTCCACTTCGGATTTACTTGACTTTAAATGTTTTTATTAAAACAACGACAAAAGACCCGATATCGATCTATCACAATAACTGAGATTATTTTGTTTGTTGTTAGCTTCAAAACAGCCTCAAGACACAAATTTAACTAGCAAGAACATAACTCGCTTGACTGAAAAAAACATTCCAAAGAAGTTTTTTGCTCCTTCATTTGAATATTTTATGATAGCTACAACAAAACAAGTATGAGAAAAAATCTATAAAAACTAGAAAACTTAGTTAATTTCTATCAGTTTGACGGAATCTTCAAATTGTGGGTCTTTAAGTTAAACAACAGGGAAAATTATAATGTCAGTCGGCAAGCTTATGATTAGGTCACATCTTCATCCATCAGTTTATCTTATGAGGTACCATATTTAATATTCTCTTTGATTCTTTTAATTAGTCGCCTATTATCAACAACACAACAAGTAATAATCACTACAGAGTTTCGATCTCCATCCTCCTTTCAAAAACTCGTCGTTGATTGAAAGCCACACGAAATCTCTTCTAAAAATTGTGTGTTCGGTTCTCATCCATTTTAATCTTCGTTATTGTTGGTGTTGCTGTTACAGGAAAGCAAAAAAAAAAAAAGAACTCTGCCAAAAGGCAAAGACGGAAAAGATTCAGAACTAAAGTCATCATCGAGACATGACAAGATGAAGAAAGAAAAAAAAAGCGTAATAAATTATTTCGTATGAGGTGGAATCAGAAGAATTTCGCCCTCTTTCATACAAAATTCTCAGAGGCGAACTGCGCTTTGCGTCAATGCGTGAACGTATTAATTTCAAAATCGTGATTTTCTCATACCTTTAAACATTTCAGGTTCAAGGCTCTTCCAATTAATTTTCTAATTTCATCATTAAGTGTGCAAATCATGCGCACAATTTATGAAGTTCCACTGACCTTGTCATAGTTAGATGTGTTAGATCGTTACATCTCAAAGATGTTAATTCAGTTTCTCTCCTTAACTCTCATTCGCATTTTCGCCGAAATGATATTGCGAAATAGACAAAGAGTGGAGCTTTAGGTTGCCTTTTTTTTTTGCGTTTCTCTATGATTTCATCGCGCGAACAAAATGAATTGGAAACGATAGCTTCTACTAGATCTTCGGATGCTGCTTCAACGAGTGAACTATCGACTCTGGTTTTCAGTAACCGAGAAAAAGAGAGAGAGAGAGAGAGATGAAGATGGAGGGAGTGAGAGGGAAGAAAAAATCTCAAACTTGCCGAAAAAAAACGAATTTATGTGAATGAACTCGTTCAAGATCAGCAAAACAAATATTCGAATCGGACTATCTAAGCGCTGTGTTGTGAATGGCAAATTGCGCAAAATAAAAAATATTAAAAAATTTCCGGATTTGCCAGGTCTGTGGTCTCACGATGCGATGTCTTAAGAGCAAATCATTAAATATTTTGTCTTTGTTTTTAAATGTTTTTAATTAACTTTTCGGATGATCTCGACATTCTTATCTAGTTCTTTACCACTTCAGACTTGCATTCATCGACACAAATCCAATTGGCGAATTCTTTCGATTTTCATTAGAGATGATAATTTATGATAAATACTTTCAAAGTATTTTCTTTTGATCATCAGAAGTCTTCTTCGTTAGGTTCAACGAGTCTAGTCTTAAAACATGCTAAATGAAAGTGTTAACAAAACTTTTGAAGTTTCTTGTTACTGCGTAGCGGATAAGTCATCACAGTAATGCTTTTTTTGCAGCGGAAGACTCAAGAAGAAACTGCGCCAACAATTCTTGCGCAATGGATATTTAATAATTTAAAAAGCCACAAACATTTCCCGTACTTGCTTGCTTGCAATCTATTCGTGATTCCTTTTACATCGATTCTTTGCCAACTTTTCGAGACTTTGTTGGTCACTGCCTTATACAATAAACGCGTAATAGATTCATTTTGTCATGAGTGCCACACAATGCCGATAAATTGTATGGCTAAATTGATTTTCTTTTTTTTCCTTTTAATTCATGAACGATTTTAATAATTATCCAACAAAAGACGTTTAGAATGTTGATCTTTATAAATTATCGCAAAAATTCTTTACATCGGACAGTGTCAGTGCCCAATTACAATTGGGATTACGATTTGCTTGCTGTTATTAATAAATTTAAGAAACAAAAAAAAAGATTTCTTTTAAACGATGATGACTTCATGTCCATGAATGTGGGAATTGAAATGACTGCAAGAATTTGTCTTTATTACGTAAGTAAGTAAATTTCTCTCTGATGTAAATATTTCGTTCTACATGTAAACACAAAGCGAGCGTACGATTGCGAAAATATTTAATAATTAAAAAAAGTTTACATGAAAGGTTCATTTGATAAAGCGTTTGTAATTAACCTAATAGCGTTATCAGTAACAAGAAGCTTTTGCTGCCTCGCATTGATGAGTTGACAAGTTGACATCGTACATTATTTGATGTTTTTACATCACGAGATTGGCATTAAAAATGGAAATTTATACAAAGTACACGCGTCTATTTTAACGCCAGAAAATGAAAAAAATTGAAAGCTAAACGCATGAGTAAGCTGAAAGAATGAGACCTTCTGCTACCTACAGGAGAATCGCGTGATCCTCTTTCTCGGCTTGTGGTTAAATTTGTCGCTTTTGTATATCATCGGGGGAAGAGTTACTCGAGCGGATCATTTTCAGAATGCCGTTGTTAACGTAACTTTAACTGCTTCAACGACAGCACAAATTTATGCATTCAAGAATTATGCAAATAAAGCAAAAAAGCTTAAATGCTCAAAATGTTTTTTGTGTTTTCTATTCTATAATGTTTAGGGTGGGAAAATGCTTGATTGGAATTATTTTTCTTAAGAAATTGTTTTTTTTCTTCATGAACAGTTTCAAGATATCGAAAAGTTATCGAAATGGCTGTTTGTGTTCAAGAAGAAGAAGACGTCAAAGTAAATGTAATAAATTATTTTCACAGATCATTTATTTGCCGATTCTTAAAGTTCATAAATTAGAAATAATTTGAGAATGAAGGAAGAACAATTTTATGTTCATTCTAGCGACTTAATAACTGAATTATTCCCGATTTACTTCTTCATTCATTAACACTGGCATTTAAATGAAGTAAAGTAGATTAAAACGAATTTGATCATGAAATTACTCTTTCGCTTCTTTATTTGTTCCAAAACAATAACTTTTTTTATTAGTTCATACTTCATAGCAAATGATTCAATTGGACTTTTAAATGGATGAAATAGCCAGACAAAAAAAAACGAAAAACTTTTGAGATTTGAATAAAATTTAAATGGATTTGCTTTTGAAGTTTATTGACTTCTATTATTTACAACAACCAAAGTATATGAATTAGTTTAACAGAGGTGAAAATGACGAATCAGAAAAGTTGTTAAATTGAAAAACATTTACGTGTTGACTGGTTGTTCACCATCTGCTTTAATTTCACGAATAGTTCGCTAAATGCAAAGAACAAAAACAAAAACTAATCAATATTCAAATGAGCTTTTGTGAAGCAAAGCTTCATTTAAAGCTTCTCAAAGTTCACTTTTAAATTTTTAGAACGAATTTTTAATATCTGCTTTCTCAATAGAAGATCTTAAACAATATTTTATGTCGTTTCTTTGACAGTGACAAGATTGAAAAATTGTGCAAGATGTTCAAACATATTCGATTCTTTTGTGGATCCTTATGAGAAATTGGAAATTTCACAAACATCATCAGTGAGACTGATATAGGAACAATTGGTTCAATCTTCTATCGCAATTTTCCGTTCACCATGAAATCAGTAACACAAACAAATGAGAAATTGTGAATTGGGTAAGTAAAAGATATTTTTCAACCCTCAAGAAAGAAATGAAAGAAATTTTTGTTGTTTTTTCGCAAGCAAAAAAAAAGGTCTTGAACATTGGATCATCATTTGCCATTTCCCAACTCTCAGTCTCAGGTAAGATTTATCTACATAAATATTTCAGGTAAGGAGTTTAAAAACAAACTAAAGATGATTCTGGGAAGATTTAAATTTAAAATTATTCCGTCTTCGTTTTTTCTTGCAAGAAAACTCAGATTGAAATCTTGTTCAATTGAAGGATTCGTAATTAAAGGAAAATTATTTTCTTAGGCCGATTACTCGTTAGACCAGAAAGGAGAAAAAGGTTAAAAGCAGCATCGGTGTCATTACTTATTTATGCTTCGTCAACTTCGCTTCTTTCTAGTTAGGAATATTATTGCATTACAAGATTCTTTTAAGAAAAAAAAAATGTTTTCAGGTCTATTATTCTCTCGTATAGTTTACGTGCAATTGTTGACGACGATCGTTGCTTCTTATTCGTCCTGAAAAACTGTTGCGTTGCATTGTACGACAACTTGAAAGTATAAGGAAAGAAATCGAAAAAAAAACGTATTATTAAAATGGGGGAAATAATAAGCAATGGAAAGGTGAAGAACAAGAAATTTTATAACATCTGCTGCTGATCAAATGTGTCGTCTCAGCGTAGTATTTTTTTTTCTTGCAAGACTCCTTGCACGAAGCATTGAACTCAATTTTTAATTTCACCTATTCATGATGCTTTTAACTAAGTCGACGCAAATTTATGAGAGCATTACATTGCGATTGTTTTCGTCATCCTAAAAAGAGGGCTTAAAGACACGGCTGCATCTTGCAAGAAAATGAAAAATTTATTCCAGATTGAAAATTATTCGGAAGAAAGGAAAAAAAATCCTTTTGCTTGCTCGAGGATTATTTTTGTTTTTACATGAAACGAGTTATGAGGAAAAGTCGTCGATGAAGGGAAAAAGAATTTCAACGAGTGTCAACGAAAACAACCCTTGCATGTCTCCTGCTCACTGGAGTTAACCGACTCTTGAGTTTCACAATGGAAGCAGTCAGCAGTACCTGTTCAGTCGGTTGAAGAAAGAGGAAAACGGATGTTTGTCATTTTCATTTCATTCGACTTTCGAGTTCGACCAGAAACAGAAATATTAGAGCCATGTGTGCCTTTACTATCTTGATTATCACATCAGACCCTTATAAGCATCGCGTCTTCCCTTTACCCACATTATATGTCCGACATATAAAAATGCATCGCGAGGAAAATTTATTATTTCTTACAAGAATCATCCAACTGATGTTATTTTTTTATTCTCGTCCCTCCACCGGTTCCCAATTCGAATTCATTTTATTGCGTTTACGAGTCTCCTTTAATTACGCTTGACTTTTTTTTTCTTTTGCGTTTCTTTTCCTTTTCTTATATTCATTCTTGTTCTTGTAATATTACGAGACGTTTTTCTTATATTGTTATTATTGTGTACTCGGGTCGCTTCGCCAACCAGCTGCAACTCTATCGGTGAGAGCGACCAGCTGCCGTATTTTTATTTTTATTTTTAATATCAAAATTATATTGTAAAGGTATTTGTTGTCTTGAGACAACCTTACAGGAATCGAATCATGCATTTTCAGCAATTCAAATGAAAAATGTGTGTAAAGGAATCTCACTCGCGTTTCAGACTCATTTTAGGTCATTAAATTTCAAGTGATCGTTTTGTGTTGATTATTTAACATACGCAATGTGAAGGATTCCAATGTCCTGTTGACTGCAATTAACAAACTGTTGAACCCCGTTTTTGAAATTAAAAAAAAGTTTAAAATTTTTTTGATGTTGTGCACAGGACTTGCGTAATTAACTTTAGTTTGTTGCTTTTTCACTTCCTTTCAATAGTGAGTAAGCATGTGCAGGGAGCACAACACAAACGACACCGTTAAAATAAAATTAAATGGAGAAAAAATAATAAATAAGTAAAAGAAAAAAAAACTCACCTCAATAACCCATTCGGCGACAATTTTTCGCATTTGCGGTGTTAGTGTCTTCTGAACTGTATTGAAGTAGGCACATGATGGAGTTTTGTATCGTTTTTGAGATGTTAATAAATTTTTCAAACAGCGATCTTTGAGGAAGGTCGGATCTTCGCAAGCATTTGAGAATAATTTTGCCATGCCAGTTGTTGCAATGATTGGTTGTTGTTGATTCTGATTGCCGGCACTTGTTGCTGACTTCTCATTTTGTGGGAAATCAACGTAAAGATTGTATTCATTCTCCACATCATTAATCATTGTTTCATTGCAGGACAAATCCATCCTGATGAGGTTTTCTCTTGTTTGTTGTTTTGTTATTGTTTTTTTTTCTTGTTCCGGATTTTAGCAGGAAATGAAATTTATCTTAATTCGCTTTGTATTATTTTTCTCTGAATTCTTTTGATTATCTAACTGTTCACGTGTGTGCTTTCTAAAGTTCCAGTTTCTAATTCTTTTTTTCACTTGTCCGTTTCAACTTCAAACTATTCAATCTCTTCACTCACTTAACACCTTAAATTGATTTTCTTATTTTTTTTTATTTTGAAATTAAAACTTTTCTTTTCGTCTTTTCATGAAATTTTATGACTTTATTTCTTATTCTTCGTTTTTGCACAACTGAAACTTTTTTTTTGTCGCCTCTAAATGCTGCTGATAAAGAGAAGTTTAAAAACTCAGCAGAAGTTTTTTTTTATTATTTTGGGGAAAAACTTATGAGACGGAGCCAACACAAAAATAAAAATAAAGAAAGAAAAAATATTATTTTCTCTCCAATGCTTTGCTCTGTTCAGATGATGTTTACTTCGTAAATGTTGAGTGTAGAATAAACCTACGAAATAACTGAATGAGGCAGACTGAAACCAAGGTTTAAATTTTTTTTGTGTGTTGCTTTTTCTTTATCGGCATAATAGCATTTGGGAGAGAACTGATCGTAAGTATCAGCCAGAAACGAAATTCGTTGCTTCGCTTTTCGTTCTCTCGGGCTACAAAACGTTCTATTCCAGTGTGCGATCAAAAAATAATGAGAGACAAGCAGGCAAACACGAGAGATCGTTTTTGGTTTCTTTTTTCCAACTCATATGTTTTGTATTTACTTAACAGAACACACAACCAAACTTTCTGTGATGTTAAGAATTGTGCTGTTAAGAGAGGACGACGATTTGTGCATTTTTTTCGCTACAACGCTCTGGCTTTCTCTCCTTCTCTTGATATATTTTCGAAGTATATAAGCTGAAATTCAATGAAGAAGAAACAATCGTTCTTGTAGGAACTAAATCGTTTCCTTATGAAAATCCAATCGTTTTATATTATGCCATCTCGATCCCTACACTTCTTTACGTCGTCGTTGATGATGAAGAAATAAAATTAAAGAAATGACGAGAGAAGCTGTGTTTAGCGAATAAAATTTGCTTCGTTTTTAAGATTGCGGGGGATTTTAAATTTTAAATGCCTTTGATAACTTTTCTATAAAAAAGTTTAACTTTGAGTATTAATTGAGATAAGGAAGCATACAAATTCTGATAAGTAACTGATAATGAAGTTTTCTTGTTTTTATTTTTAAATTATATTTCTACGATAGAAAACACTGTTGACATATGTTTAACTAAAGATTTATACTAAGTCAACACGTTACGAAAGAATTCTCGAGAAATCTGTTAACTCGATAAGAGAAATTTATGCATTGTAATCTAAGAACGACAAAAGAATGCAAAACTTGAGTCGATTTGGAATTTACATGGTCAGTAAATTTTGTTCGTGGTAGCGAACAACAAAATGATGATCAAATAACGAAGTCGAAAACATTTTATATTGAAATACGATCGTCAACCTTGTCTCACTTCGATCTTCTTATCCAACTTGTTCCAAAAGCAATGCGAATGTTTGTTAAGTAAGAATTCTTATGAAAGATTCGACGAAAGTTTTTCCCATGAATGAACTGAACAGTAAGTCAATACATTGATCATAAATGAAATTGAATTTAAATACACCAGTTGGCACCAAATGACATAAATAAGGAAAAAAACACTTGTTAAGAAAAAAAGCAGTAAAACAAACAAATTACACACAAAGTTGAGAAAAGTTTTGACGAACGAATGTTAAAAATAAAATATTTGCCATGCGATATCTTTCAGTTTTATTCGTAGAAATTTTCAAGTGTATGTATATGACTTAAATGTGCACATTGCGAAATAAAAAGAAGAATTCTAAACAGCAAGTTCCAGACCGATAGATAAAGTAATAATATTTTTAAATGAAATATAAAAACTTGTCGACGTGCAACTTTGTTAGGAAACCGTATTGAATTTAACGCCCTGCTTCTGTTTCTTCTTCTCCTCACATTTTCCTTCATTCTTACTTTTTTCTAATAATTCATTGATAAGACTTTGAGGTGTGCTACTTGAGTGAGAAATTGGGTTATGCAATCCAAGTGTTCAAGATAGATATTTATTATGAGGTTAACGGTGGGCTTGTGGTGAAGATTAAAGACTCACATGAGTCGTTTGTTTCACTTTAAATAGATTCTTCTTCTATGTTCATGTTGTCAACACTCAATTTAAATGCCTCCATAGAAAAAGATCAGAAAAAAACAACAATAGACAATTTCGCAAAAGAAAAAAAATTAACAAACTGCCAAACTATAAGTCATAAAGTTAAATAAAAGCTCATTTATAGTATTTATCAGTCTTGCTTAGATTTCCTTGTACATAATAACATTTTTATTTCATTTGTGTGCCTTCAATTGAACTTACATTAGTAGTTGGAAGTGCTAAAAATATATTCAAACTTTTATTCCAGTCAAACTTTTTTCCAAACCGATAACACATCGAGCGGTTTCTGGAAAATGCGCAAAATAATTCGTTCATTTCTTGTTCTATTTCAAACACAAAATATTTTAGTTAAATATATTTATATGAGTCTATTGACTGCCCCTGTGAATGTGAATGCACTCGCGAAATTATTCACTGAAACGCCAGCAGAGATAAAAAAATATTGAAATCCATCACAACTCACTCGAAAAGCCAGTCTCGCAAATTGACTTTATCTAGTAGTTGAATAATTTAGCAGTTTTTTAAACTCTTTAAATTCTAAATCGCACACATCCTCGTGTAGAAGTGCAAAGACCTTCCGCGAATTCTTTTTTGTTTCTCGAATTGCAACAAAAACTATTCAGCAGGATTTAAAAAACATGAAAAATTAATTCAGCCATAAAAAATCGGAGATTATCGTTGTTTAATCACGTTAATCGCAATTCCGTAGCTCGATCATTGATGTTGTAATTTAAAAGTTGCAGATTACTAAAGCTTTTATACTAAACATTTCGCAGCTCATTTTGTAATAAAAAAACAAAAATCCAATGCAAAGATTAAAATCTTAAAATGTAAAGAGTGAAAAGCCATTAAGTTCCATTTAATTTTTAAAAGGAATGTTTGATTTGGGTCGTGGGTTGCTGTTGCCTTGAATATTTATTTATATTTGCGTTGAACGAGAAATAAAAATTTGTCTAATGCAAATAACTTCAATCTTATCAATTTTTTCTTGAATGAAAAAGGAAAGTTTTTCTATTTGTGTAAGCGATTGAAATGTATCAATTTTCTCAAAGAAATTTCTTTGGATTTTTATTTGCTTTTTAGATTGTTAAATGAACGTCATAAATTATCATTCATTCAGTCCCCAGCGAGGTTTTTGAAAACGCTCTTCTCTTCGTTTAAAAATGTCATTGGGAAATGAATTTGAAGACACTGATAAGATACCAGCATACTTATGTACATAGGATTCTCTTCCAAATTCATAACTTCAACTTGCCTTGGTAACAAAATTTTATTTAATTCAATAAAAAAAATTAAAACGAATTTTTTCTTGCGTATTCTCATGTGCGAATTTTTATTTTTTCCCAGTTATCCTCTGTTTATTTGCGAACGGACGCAAAAATTCTCTAATTTGAACAGCATCATCGCAAGCAAAAAAAAGATCTATTTGCCAAGCTAAGATCTTTTTGCGGTTTCTACGAAGTCAAAATACGAGAAGAGCGCGTAGGGTAGATGAACCTATTACTGAAATTTTCAAAGATTTTTATCTTTTAGTTATTTGACTCAATTTATTGAATGTCATTACGAATATGAATAAATTAACACCAACCCTAGATATTTTCTATTAGAGATTATGTACCAAGCGCTAAATAGAAAGAAATCTGAAAAGCAAATAACAATAACCTGCGATCAGAAGACTTTCAAGGTCTCAGTCTCAGTGTTCCTAACCATTGAAAACGCACAGAATTCTTTCATGAATGAATATCAGAATTAATCGTTTCATTTGTTGAATGATCGTGACTTTAATCCACACTTTGAAACTTCTCCTTATCAGCACAACTCTCCACTGTGTGAAATTACGTACAAAGCCGTTGCATAATCGAAACATTCCACAATGACTTCGATTATTTACAGTTTCATATTGGGAGCAGAACTAACATTTATTCTGAAAAATGAAATTGAAATTTTTCATTCATCATGGTATGGTTTCAGTGCTATTTAGGTACCTGTTGTATATGTAATAAGCACGTATGAATTGGAAAATAAAAGGGAAAACTTTAGCTTGTAATTCGCGATCATCATTTGGCGATTATGCTTCTTTTTGCACGCTTTTTCTATTTCACCACATCGATTAGTTAGAATTACACATTACGTTCTGGAAGATTTCTGGTTTTGTTCAAGAATGTTAAGTCATAACAGGAAATTTTTGACATTCCTTTGAATCGACAGTTCATGAATGAGTTGATTCTGTAGTGTCGGCAAAATTAATCAATATTTTGACACTGTCGGGATGTTAACGAGTTTAATTATGCGATTTCCTAGAAATTTATCTAAAAATTTATTCATTTGGATCATGAGCTGAAAAATGAACTTAAGTTTTAAAGCATCTGCGTTTATTTATTTAGTAAGATTTTTTCTTTGAGTTTAACTTTGTTATTTACATGATCATTTAGAACATCACACTCCCATACACACATCAAATGTTTAATTCAAAACTTAGTCACAACAGCGTCAAGTGCGTCATGATTGAATGATTTTTAATTTCTACTATCATATTTCATGTTTTTTGTGGGACATTTTTTTTATCAGCTTGTGACTTGTATTGAAAAAAAGTTTTTTTGTAAAGAATTTTAATTCGTGAGTAAATAACAAAAACTATGCAAGCGTTTAACTTTCATTTTAAAACGATGACTGACACTGATTTGTGCAAGCAATATCTTAACTTTTAAATCTCTGGGCTTTAACGCTGGATTAGAAGACGATAAACCAGGTCAGATCAAATGAATTGTGTGTACATGATAATGCAGTGAAGCTTAAAAAACATTCACAAATAAAAATCGTCGATTAAAAATCATCAACACAAAGGTAATACGTGAGAGCGAGTTTCTTTGAAACAGCTCAAAGCAATGAATTAATTTTTTATTGCATAATGAAAAAGAATGTTTGAGAATTACTCGCTTGTTGTTAAAAATTTTCGGAGCCCTTTTTGAAACAGAAAACAACAATAATTGCCTTGTCGACCGCCATGTAATTTTCCGTCTTCTCATTCGTTCAAAGATGCAAACAACTAACGAAATAGCGAACAGAAAGAAATGAATTAATGCTAACGATAACAAAATTTAAAGTAAATTAACAAGATTCGATCATCATAAATTCAAATTCATTGATGGTGTCTGAAAGGAATGGAAAAATATTCTGGTTTTGGTTTAAGTTTCACACCACATTCCTTACCTTCTTGTTTAAAAACTTTAAAGTCAGAATGTATAAAAGAAAGAAAAGGAAAGGTCTCGTTAGAACAAAATGATGGAAAACGTGAAAGCTTCATCTCAATTCACTGTAGAGCCTGCAAGCGCCATGACTTTAACACGTTTCTCATGTCTACATCAAGCAAAAAGTTGCTGTTCTCTCCACGTGCCTCTGTTTGAAAGACAAGACTAATGGATTCGAGATGAAACCTTTTACTGAGCTCATCAACAACGTGCGGCAATGCGAAGATCATCTAGGTGCTTAATGGAAAAATAATGATCATGAAACGTTTAGATCCACTTTGAAAGTGCACAAACAACGATGAAAGCTGAAAAGAATTGTATTGAAAACACATTTTTTTTGCAATTTATTTCACTCGCTCTTTATTTAATTCTATTTTTAAATTCATAAAATTTGCATACAACACATTGAATAAAATAAGAATTTAAAAGTTTTGTTAATACCAGTGGAAATGATCATTGAACTCTTGATCGTTTATAAACATCAAATTTTGACGATTTCTCATGAACCTTTAAATAAAAATAACAACAAATAAGTTTCAATTTATCTTCGTTTCGCAATCCAAAATTGCTTTTATTTGATCAATCAGGTATTTGCGTCAATTTAAATGTCAATAAACTTGAAGTATTTTTGCAAACATAATTTCAATATCATCTTGCGGTGTTCTCATTTAAAATTCACGCAAAATCTAATGAAACGCACGGATTTGCATACTAAACTCATTAAATAATCGAATCCAACTATGCGCTAACCAGGAACACAAAACACATGACAAGTTCATTGAAATTCATCGCATTAAAGTGGTCAAGGATAAGAAGAAAGTTGTCTTTGATGGGTGCGTTGATCGGGATTCACGCATAGACTTTATTTTCAATGTTTTTGTCAACCGTTAATAAAAGTCAATGCTTGATCCGATTCTTGATATTCTACGATAAATTTTAATGACTTCGAACTTCGCATGATACCGCAAAAATTTTAATTCGCAAAAATTTTCGCTATGCAATTTGTATGTTAATGAAGACGCAGTTTTAAAGTTTTACGTTATGAATTTAATCACTTCACAGTTTGCATAAATTTCTGATTAACATAAAGTGCGTACGATGTTATCAGAATATAAATTTTTAAATCCCAATAGTAAGTTCCTTGATCTTTAATTTTTAAAAGGCAACAAGTTTTGCTTTTCAAGATTAGCTTTTCGTTTTTTATTGTTGCTGAAATGTTTGCAGGAAATAATTACAAAATATTTTGATTGAATTGCAAACCTTCATCTCTATTTTTACTTGCACCAGATTTCACAAAAACCTGCTGACGAATTTCAACGAAGAAGAAGAAGCAACAAAACATATTTCCTTAAATTTAAAATTTTTGTCTTCAACCTTCTTCTGTTTCTTTTGAGATTTAAATGATGCTTCTTTGAGTAGGATGACTTTAATTGCATGCATTTGGATGTTTTGCAAAGTAAATTTTGAAATAAATTTTTCCTCTCGTTGTTCCAACAAATTATTGCATTAAATTTTCACTCAGTAAGTGCTTTGATTTTCTGTGATTTTTTCCTTTCATATATTTACTTACACTTATTTAACTTGTTGAATGTCATGGACATGTGTCGAACTTCTTTTTTTTTGCGGTGGAGTTCATTTGGTATGAAAACAGACATTTCAATGACAATATGTAAATTGATATGGGATCATAAGTCAAGTTGGATAGTTTCGCATAGAACGGAAGTTCTTAAAAGGAACGACACTTAAAATTCATATTGTGACACCATTTAAGAACTTTTCCCTCTAATTTTTATTATGAAGAAAACTTTTCGTTTCTTCACGAAATACTTTTGCATCTTTGAATTCCCATTGCGCACACATGTACGTAAATTTTTCGCCGAAAAGAATATTCATAAGTCACACAGTGAGATAATTTAAAGTAACACTGACGTTATGTGTTTGGGTATTTACATGAGCCGAAAAAGCGAACATCTTGCCACCAGAAGATAACTTTAAATGCTTTCAAATTCCTTGTTTCAGTTCTCACAAAAGTGAAGATGCGAATAAAATAATGAAATAAAGCAGATAATTCACCAAAACGATGTGATGGTAGGGTGACCAGATCACGTACAAATCAATCTAAAATTTCAAACTTGTTTTATCGCTTTTCCAGATCAACTTCCTTCTTCTTCATCATTTTAATTATTTCTTAAATTAATCAAACCACCATGGTCATGACTTCTTCCCATTAACTGCTCCTATGTAATTTATTTTACTGCTTCTTATATTTTTTTTCGGTGCAACAACAAAATCAATTCCATAAACGCAAAAAAAAAACGCGATCGTTTGTATGTGCGCAAAAATATTTTTTCGTTTTTTTATCGCTTTGATGATGAAACACGGACAAGAGTTTATTTCACCAATTCCATTTAAACTTTAAAAGTCTCGCCTGAGGAATACTGAAGAATGCTTGACTCACCAACGACGATGAGTATGACATCGTTCAGGCAGAATAATTTCATATTCTCTACAAAGGACGTTAACACCAGCTCTGTTGTTTCTTTCATCCTGCATCATTTAAACACGTTTTAGCTGTCCACTAATAGATAAATTAATAGCTTATCTTTTATTCCGTCTTGCGAGTGTAATGAATGAATTCTTCAAACCCGCTTGAAGATAGAGCTTTGAACTTGCAACAGCAAAAAAAAAATCGACAGTCCAAGCAACTTTTCTTCTTCTTAAAGCATTCCTTTAACTTCATCTTTCTCAACTTGTCTATTTATATTCTTAGTGAATACGACAAATGTTTCTCCCACGTCAGCTGTTTTTCATAAAAGTGCGAAACACAAAATCAAAAATTAATGATGAATAAATAAATAAAAAATTTGGTGCATGTTCGAAATGTTTCAGTTGATTTTTATATAAAAACAAGTATATAAGAAAGAAGTTTAATACGTCGACATTAAATTGACTTTTGAAACCTCCACTCACAAGTTCAATAAAATCTCAATGAAAGAGTCAAGAGCGAGAATTGCATAATCGCGAAGTTTTTGTGTATTTAAGCGTAGGCGAATTAAAATCCCGACAATATTTTTTTTGGAGCGTGGCGATAATAACTCTACGCGTCATCCAACTTCGTTGTACAGCGTTTTTCGTTATCTACAAATTAATAATTAAAGAAGAATATAAGACGCGACACGGGGGAACGAGGCTGATGATGATGGTGGTGTGGCGACGATGAAGTATTTAAATACCCGAAAATTATCAAAAGAATAACAAGCAAATGCTGGTGGCATGGCAGATGTGTGTTGATTTGCAGCTTGCAACCGACTTCTATTAACTCTTTTGTCTTCATTGTGTCTGCCTTTTAAACATCGTTCATTATTTTGGCGAAAAATTTAAATGTCCAAAGCATCTCAATGAACTACCAGGTGAAACTGTTTTTTATTATTCTCTGCAGTCTGTTTTTGTTTTATTTTCAATATAATCGAATGAAGATTCTCAAGAATAAATGCATGATTATAAAATTCAGATGAATCGGATGGAAATGAATTTGGCACAGGAAAGAAAACACGAACAGCTGCTTCCGCGAGAATCCAAGACGCTTTATTGTCTTCGGCAAAAATTAAATTAAAGTTTTCTGAAGCTTGTTGCTGCATCGTTTCATCGACTGGCTGTTTATTTCGTCTGTGAATGCATCGCAAAAATTATATATTAAAAATATATACGAAACCACTAGACATGAATCAAGTCGGTGGATTTTTATTCTCAAACGAAAAACAACAAAAAAAATCATTTTTTCACTTTTTAAACACCACACACATGATCGTATTTTTTATGTGCATGGCGATGATAAATCACATTAAAAGAACGCCAAAATGGATGGTTTTTTTTGATATAAAAAGAGTAAAGAATAAGAACAGTTTTTGGAGTGAGACGATTTCCGTTTTAATTTACTCAAAACATTTTATAAGCGCATCAAACCCTCGAGATCTTCATCAGAGAGTTCTGCAAGTTTTCAAATTCTGAATCAATCATTCTATCGAATACTTTCGCTTTAATAAACTGCGCAAGTGAATAAGTAATTGGATAACAATTTTGATCTCATTTAATCCGAATTTACCAAGGAATTTACAATATAAACTCATAATTTTATTTCTCTTTTCAAACATTTTTGTAAGCACCAACGAAAACTGATGAAATAGCGCAAAAATCAGAAGAAAAGCCTTTTAAATTAATTCAATATAAAGCAGAAATATGGACTCAGCGATATTTCTTTTTTGTGTGCAGAATTTGATTCGTTCTTTGTAAGTATCGACAGAAAGAATTGAGAAGGAATAATTTGTTAAAAAGTGATGACGAACTCCAAAGAGTTGAGGTGAAAAGACTCTACAGGTTTCTTTTTTTTATCTTCATGTTCATTTTAGTGCGAATATTTCTTTACATCATCATGTATATCTTTGGCCATGTACATAAGCTGTTATCAACCCATATAAGCAGTTGACAACTTGAAAATTAATACACGAAAAAGTCAGACAATTACAAAGTCACACGCTCAAATACGTTCTGGCGCATACATGCGAAGGAAAAGTTTTACGAGAGAGAAGTTTAAAGACGTGGCAAAAGTCATAAAACGCGACTTCCTCTGTTCGACACTTTTGCACATTTCCTTTTGTGAGCTCTCCCTGTTACCCATAGTGCTCCTCCCCCACACAAGGTTTAAAGACCAGACTCTGCTTGTTGTGAACTTCCATTTAAAGTCATAACACTTCCTGGGATAGTTTATTGGTTGATAAGACAGGAAAGACAAGCAAAACCCCGAAACAAACACTCGTCTGGCTTTTAAATTTGTTCAACGATGTTATATTTATTTAAAGAATAAGCTGTCGAATGAACGATAAGAATCTTTTCAGTTCAATTATATTGAAATAAGTAAAAAACACTTTTTGGGAGTATACGAATGGCATTAACTAAGCGATGATGCATTCATCACGAAATTTATGAAAGAAAACTTAGTCATTTCTCATATTCTTCTTCTTATAATATAAATTTCTTTTATCAAGACACAAGTCAACAGTTTCAAGTCTCGACATTCAAATTTCATTCAATTCCAAAACCATTTTCGCTTACAGCACAAAATTTAATTTAAATTGCAAAATCGTTCGCGATTCTAATTACGTTCAACTACGTTTTTTTTTGTCAATACGGAACATTTCCATAAAGCTTTCGTAATCAACATGTGAATTGTTTTTCATTTTTTTATATTTCTCGTATGGTTGGTCAATGGACGAGCTGTAAGCTTTAACCTTGAAAATGAATTCTAAGATGTTACTACTGGCATTCGTAAGTGTTTGATTTTCCTATTAAATTCGAACCTTCTTTTATGATTACTTGCGCAGAAAAAGAAGTTTCAATTTCTATTTGCTTCGCGTGTTCAATTACAGTTCTAAATTGCGAATGTATTTTACGATACCATTTCGAGCTTCTTTGGTGGTTGCTGTGTTTCTTTTTAAACTTTAAATAGCCAATGTGTTTAAAGGGGTAAAAAGAAAACTTCATTCGTGAGAATATAATCATTGGATTGTTTGTTATTTTTTTTTGTTACGAAAAAGTCGTAGCTGGTCATAGCTAACACAAATCGACAAAATAAGCAAACCGAAGATGATGTGTTGGCTGAATTATTGTTAGATGAATCTTCTCTTGACTAATTTTGTCATGGACCGATGAGTGCATGTATGTGGGAATAAGATTCGTTTTCTTCATCTTCATTTATATTTTATGGATTATTGAACTTTTGTCCGTGAGTTGGAAGTCTGTTGATCTTTATAATTTTTTTTTGCTGTTCCATTCATACTCGAAAGATTCGCAAAATTGGTAATTCTTGAAATAGAGAGTAAAATTACAGCAAATGTACTCAAAGCGATATATGCGCCTAATGAATAAACGTTTTATAAAATTAGAAGGAAAAAAAGAAGGTTTGGCCTCGCTATAAGAAATCACTGATCCATGTAAAATCGTTATTAAATCATGGCAATGACAAATTATCAAATAATTTTTCAGTCGATGTGTGAAGCAATAAAATATTTAACATTGAATTATTTTTAGTCTCTCGGGGATTTTCCACTTGCAAAACTGTAGAAATGAAATAATGTTTTAGATAAAGTAAATAATATCAGGTTCATGACTTCATGCGTGTGTGATAAAAATAGATGAACGAGCGAAGCATTTATTGCGACGCAAAAAATTATTTAACACACCGAATTTCTGATTCATATTCTTTCACAGTTCCATTGCGTATGGAAATCAATTAGCGAAAAAAAAGAGGAAAGTAAAATTCAATAATTAAAAATGAAAATACAAACAAAAATATCTTCACTCATTTTTTTACAGAAGTCACATGAAAATATCAGAAAGTTGCACTCTGAAAGAAAATTCAGAAATTCTCAGTTTTATATTTTAGACCATTTCCACTTTTAGACGATTTCACTAAAAATTATTTTTTTCTCCATTTACGGTTTTGATCCTTCTCCAAATATTTAAAATTCATAATTTTGAATATTTTCTCTATCAGCTTTTCAATTTTCAGCCCTTCATAAACTTTCTAAAGCGATTAAATAATTTTTTAAAATTTCACCCGCGCAATCGGTTTTAAAATCACGATCTCGTTGTTTTTGTTGTATTGAAACGATTGTGACTAAATTCAATTTTTTCTGGTTTTATATCGAGTAAGAATATGAAAATATGTGCTCGCGGTTTTGAGCCGTGAGAAGTTTTATGAGAGTGTGGAGGGGAATCGAGAAGATCTCAAATAAATTCAAGACTCTTGTTAGTTTTTCGACGATTTCATGTGCTCTCTCAATGAAAATATTTGCTTGATAGATCAAATGAAATAATATAAATATGTGATAGAAATATCGCCTTCGGTTGATATATTTTGGATGTTTAATATTTGTGGGCACTCTGTCATAATATATTTAGATCATAGAAATATGATCGTATCAAGTTATATCATTCAAATGAGAAGATTCTTCTATAACATTTTGCATCATATAAAACTTTCATGACTTCTATGATGAATATTTTTGGTCACGCTGTATTGAATGTATGACAACACATGCAACATTCTGATATTGTTGCAATGTTGCAATGTTGTACTAACAATTCGCAAAGATTCTCAAACTTCTTTTTTAATTCCACAACTGAAAGCTTTTATGGAAGAGAAATTCGAGATGAAAATCAAAAAATCTGTAAGAAATATAGAAAAGAAAAACTTTTCAACATTGAAAATACATTTATTTCTTATTAGTTCACAAATTGCCAAAGTATTGTTGAAATGGCATATTAATTTCTTTTTCTATGATTACATTCCTTCACATAATTTTCATTCTTTTTGATCAAAATGACTTTTAATTTGTTCTTTCACTTAGTTCTCTCGTCACTTGTTCATGTTGAAAAATATATTCTTAAACTTTTCTTCTTGATTTGCATTTACATTTTTTTTAATCGTTCCAGTATGTTTAACGACTCCAAGAAAGTTTGTGTTTGTATTCGTAACAATTCTTTATAGATTTAATAAAGTTTCTCATAATTTTCTTCTGTTCTTTTGTCATCTTTTATTATTAATATAAAACACGTTCTCTGCTTTTTAAAGAAGATTTTCATTATCGCGAAGTATCTTCACATTAGTATCGCAGAAAAGAAATTTTGTTTTTTTGTAATTTTTGGCCTTTAATTGAACTCTTTTTTTCCTGTTTTTCCTTTTTAAAAACACAGAAAAACAAGCGAAGATAGTTTCTGATACGAAAACTTCTGATTTTCAAATACTTTCAATTTACCATAAAACATGTTTTGTCAAATTCTTGAAAGTCATCTTATCTGTCAACATTAAGTTACAAAATGTATTCAAGCATTTCGATGTCAATATCATCGAAGGAATTTGAATCATGAGCCCCTTCTGAAAGCAAACTCGAGAGTTGGAAATGTCAAGCTCACATTTCAGACAAAAAATAATTCAAATTTCTCCGTGAACATTTCTCATGATTATCAAAACGTTGATAAAGGAAAAGGAGGAAATATTTAAAGTTCAATTTCGTGTTCTTATTATACGAAAGAAAGTTTTTTAGTCTGTTTGTTATTTCATAAAATTCTATTAGGGACGATATTTTCATTGAGTAATTTTGTTTGAATATCTTTTGATATTTTTTACTCCAAATCTTTATCATTTCTTCCACCTTTAATTTCTAAAATCTTTAGATTGAAACATTCTTCGATCGATCACGTAGTGAGGTGTGACTAACTAATGAAAGAATGTTTTAATCATCGTTCATTTCCCAAATGTTTTCTTCATCTTTTAATTATACTTTTTTGAGTATTAAGTATATGTAGCTGCACTGTTTATTAAAATATTAATTCGATATTTGACCTTAAATTACTAATTCTTTAATTTTATAAAAATTAAAATAATTTTTTGTTTTCTCATTCACACAATCACTAAGTCGTATTGAACGCTGAGTAATGACAGACCACCCAGTGAGTTTTCATTTTCAAATATTTTATTTTACTTCTTATTGAATCAAATTAGTAATTAACTGTCGCTGAATTTTTTTTATATTTTTCTTCTCTACTAATAACTTTCATATTTTATTATTTCATCTTTTAATTTAAAATCAAATCCATGGGGTTGAAATAATGTAATAAAATTGTAGCTTTTTTTTTGTCAAGTTGCGCTAAAACGCGCAGTTTGCTTTTCACTTCATTACAAACTTTACACAAATGTGAAACAAACTTTATAGCTTTCTCAGGAATAAATAATCTAATTAAGAGCTAAAACTTAATCGTCATCAGCAACTCTACAAGAATCCCAAGTAGGGATCGTTGTCAACAAAGTCAGTAAATTCAATAAAATATTCAGTCTTACTCTTAATTTTAGTGTTTTTTTTCTTTAACATCATTCTTTTCATCTAAAATCTGTCTACAGCTTCATCGAACGACAGTCATAAATTCAATAATCACGAAATTTTATTTCGTATCATTCAACTGTTTACATCTACAATTTTTTTTTGAGCCTTGGCTTGCGACTGATTTTCATCGGATAAAATAAATTTTACAGTTTTCTTCATTTGTTTTCTTTGAGTTACGACAAAAAGCAGTCGACTGAAGTGTAATTGAGAAGACTCTAATATACAATTGAGAGTTCATTATTTACACTAATTTTCTTTGTCTCATTTTTTTTAAGTATTTTTGGCACATGTTTCACTTTCGTCTTAATCTGATTTCCAAAATGTTTTTGTCATTCATTATATATAAGTATATATATTTATTTATTTATTTATACAAAGAGAAATCATAATTCTATATGAAGATATCTTTGATCAGATCTCAAGTGAATTTCATTCACTTCACATCTCATCGAACATCCTTCAAAGACTTTAATAAGAATTTTCTTAAAAATTCGAAGAAACAGTTGTTTTAAAAACATCTTTTAAATAAATTAATTACCTTTCTCACTCTATGACTACAATTTTCTTTTTTATTTAAAAAAATATCTCACTTGACTTCAGAGCGAGTCCTACACGTGTTGAGTTTTTTTTTCTTCTTAATTTTCATTCCTTTCTTTCATTATTTATCTAAAGCTTTACCTGACTTCTCAACTTCTCGAATGTTATCCTGTAAATGGTTCTTCAAAAGTTTCATTGATCATTGGCTTAGCCAATTGTTGAGAGAATTGCTGAATGTGATGGCATTGGACTTGGATTAGTCATTGTTGAAAGTTCTGTGTCTTGTCCGCTATTCAGAACTTTTTCTTCATACACACGATCCTAATTTAAAAAATCAATTTACTCAAGACATTCTTAAAACAAGAAATGAAATCTTACCTGAGCTTTATCATATTTGAACTTCTTGAAAAAATTACTTTTGTGTGCATCATCATTATAACCTGATCCATTATAGTTTGGATTTGAAAAAGTAAGGCGTGCCTTGTTCTTCTCTTTCCTTTTTGAATGACAAACTAAAACTACAGAAGCAAACAAAGTAAAGAAGATTTCTTAAATGTGGAAATTAAAAAAATCTTACATATAATCGCAGAAACAACTAAAAGAAGTAAAAGCGTCATAACAATCACAATTCCCAACATCAGAGATGAATCATGCGGCTTAGTAATTGGAATTGTTCCTTCTGTTGTGACTGGTAAGTAAGTTGTGTCTTCATTATCTGGTGGTTTCATTGACGACTCTTTAATCTCTCGTTTACATAATTTTGCATCGGAATAATTTGGACATTCACAAAGATATTTCACACCTCCAAGATATAAACACAAATGTGTGCATCCACCGTTGCTTTCATTACATGGATTGAAATATTTCGGTTGGCGATCTGCTGACACTGAACGAATTTCTAATGCACCTCGAAGATTGTGACGAACATCTTCGGGATTTCCATTGCTATGTCGAGACACTCGAATCACTGATTTGTTGAACCAATCAGTGAAATAATAATAACTGTTGGTTAATGTAAATCCAAATGGATGTTCAGCATTGTTGATAATTCTCGTTCTCTTCTTTCCATCAAAGTCAGCCATCTCGACACGATCATGAAGTGCATCCGCCCAATATAATTTCCTAGCATCAAAATCAATTGCAAGACCAGTTGGAAAGCCAAGATCTGAATTGACAATCACTTTGCGATCAGATCCGTCTAATAAGCTTCGTTCAATTCTTGCCGCATGTCCCCAATCAGCGAAGAAAAGAAGATTTTTGTACAGAATCATTGAACGAACATCGTCGAGATTGTCGCGTAACAAAGTCTTCCGATGACTTCCATCAAGTCTCGACACTTCAATCATTTTCAATGCTGAATCAGACCAATAAATGTTGTTAGCAATCCAATCGACAGCAATGCCATTGGGAGTGTTTAAACCAGTTGAAACGATGGTTTTAATGTCATTAAAATTCTTCATGTTGACTCTCTTTATGGCATCAGCATTCACATCAGCATAGAATAAAAGATTCTTACTGTGATGATAATCAACGACAACAGCACCATGAATTCCGTCAATTGGCAGCACAACATCAAACATTTCCGGCGTGTCAAGTGAAATTCTTCCAATTCCTGAGCGAAGTGCAATGAGCAAATAAGAACTTGGCAGATCCTCGCAATCTCTTCCATTGCTTTTCATTTTAATGCCAGTTGGACATTGACATGAGTAACCTCTCGGCTTTCTCAAACACAAATGTGAACATCCACCGTTGCTATTCTTACATGCATTGTCCTCCAATTGTTCGTAACTGTCAATCACTTTCACATCCATTAATCCTTCAAGATTCCCCGCAACAATCTGACGAGCTGTTAAATTACTCTTCTCAGCTAAATGAAGTGCATTTGTCTTCCAATCTGTCCAATAAATCTTTGTTGGTGTCACTGCGATTCCATATGGATGTTCTTGATCACGAAACTCAATCACAACTTTACGGAAATTTCCTTCAAAGTCACATGATTCAATGTTGTGCAACTGAAATTAAAATTGTTAATTAAATTAACAAGATACTTAAAACATTTAAGAGAACTCACCTTTGCATCAGTCCAATAAAGATTTTTCATGATTTTATCAACAGAAAATCCATTTGGCCATCCAAGATTATTCGTCACAATTCTCGATCGTTTCTCACCATCCATGTCAGCTCGTTCGATTCTTGGCAATGCTCCCCAATCAGAGAAGAATAAATAACCAAACTCATAATCGATTGCAATAGCTCGAGGTGATTCCAAATCTTGCCATACTAAAACTTTTCTGTTTGTTCCATCAAGTTCGGAAACTTCAATGCTTCGTCGACCAGCATCGGAAAAGTAAATCTAAATTGGAAAAGAAATTTTTAATGATCTTCAATGTGTTAATTAACTTTCTTCTTACCTTTCGAGAAACTGAACAAACGACAAGACCTTCAACACTGTCCATACTTTCACCAAGGATCTGTCCAACATTATGACCATCAGATGAACTTCTCATGATTAAATCTTCAACATTATCCGCCCAATAAATGTCGCCGGTATGTAAATCAACATCCAATGCATAAACATTTGAAATTTGTGGCAATGGCAGAACGACATCAATCATGTAATCAATGTCAAGCGACACTTGCCGAATATCAGTTCGATGGGCAAAGATAATGTACTTGCTTGGTTGATCTTTACACGTTCGATTATCTTCTGTGAGTTTAACGCCAATCGGACATAGACACGTGAAATTCTTCTGATTTAATAAGCAGATATGTGAACAGCCGCCATTTCTTATTGAACATGGATTACGAATCATCTTCCGCTTCCGATGGAACACTCGAATGTCCATTAAGTCACTTGTGTCAGTGATGACACTTTTCCGATTCTTTCCACTGTGTTTGTCAGCCATTAAAATGCTTTGCAAATCCCAATCCGACCAGTAAATGTTCTTCTCATACACGTCAATGCCAAATGGATGTTGAAGACCGTCAGCAATTAAACGATTTCTTCCAGTTCCATCAAAGTTCACAAATTCCAAAGCTTTCGTTCCAGCATCAACGAAGTACAATCGATTGTTGGAGAAATCAATTGCAAGTCCATTCGGATAAAGAAGATTCTCAGACACGATTGAAGATCTTTCCGATCCATCCATTCCAGCTCTTTCAATCAAAGGTGTGTCCGACCAATCTGACCAGAACATCAAACCTTGCAATGGATTGACGACAATGTCACGAGGTTTAAAAAGATTCTGCCAAACAAGTAAAGCTCTTTGATTTCCATCCAATGTTGCAACTTCAATTCGATTCGTCCCAGCATCGGTCCAATATAATTTATTTGTAATCCAATCAAGTGCCAAGCCAGCAGGCGATCCTAAACCATCTTGTATCACCGTCTCTTGATTACTGCCATTTAAGAAAGCTCGATTAATTGTACTTTTACCAACATCGCTCCAATATATTCGATCAGTTTCACTGCACCAATCAAGTGCAATTGTCGACTTCAAATTATCTAATGGAATCACCATGTCAATCTCTTTCATTGGATTCTTTGATTCAAGTTGTCTCATTCGAATGTCTTTCTTTCGTGCAAGCAATAAAAGTTTATCTGGAACTGATGTGCATGTTTTCTGATCATCAAGTAATGTCAAACCAATAGGACAAGCACATCGACGTGACGTTTTATTTGGAAGACATAAATGCGAGCAGCCACCTTTCAACTTCTTTTTGTCTTCTGCACATCGATTCTCGAATTTCGGTTGACGAGCTTTATGATAGCTGTGAATGTCCATGGGAAAGTGAAGACCTTCATGAACATGTCGAAAATTTTTTCCAGTCACTTTGTTGGCAGATGAAATCGTCTTCGTATGCCAATCAGTCCAATACATGTTGTCTTCAAAGATGGTCAATGCAAACGGATGAGGTAAATTTGTACTTAAAATCTTCTTTCGATCTGTTCCATCAAGTTTAGAATTCTCAATTACGTGATGTTTGGCATCTGCCCAAAAGATTCGATTAGTCGCAAAATCTAAAGCTAATCCATTCGGCCAATAAATTCCATCATTGGTTATAGCAATTCGATCACTTCCATCCATGTAAGCTCTTTCGATTTTAGCATTTGGACCCCAATCAGACCAAAACACGAAGCTATGGAAAGTTGAAAGTTATGAAATTGAAGAATTCTAATAAAATATTTCACTTACTATTTCCCTGGATGAATGACAATCGCACGAGGCTTATCAAGATCATTTGCAGCTAACACAGCACGTAACTTCCCATCAAAAGTCGAAACTTCAACTCGTCTTGTACCTGAATCCGTCCAGAATAACAACTCGTGGATCCAATCAACAGCAAGACCGCCCGGACTCTCCAAGCCCCATTTAATGACATCTTTCACATTCGTTCCATTCAAAAATGATTGTTTTATGACATCAGCTGACACATCAGACCAGAACAGTAAATCTCTTTCATAGTGATAGTCAAGAGCGATGGCATTGGGCAGTCCCTTGATGATTGACGTGTATTGATTGTTGCTTAAAGTCACTTGTCGAATATCACCACGGTTAGCCATGATAAGCTTCACAGCACCGCCAAGTGCTTTGCATGTCCTTAAATCTGGTCTTAAGACGTAACCGCTGATGCAACCACAACTAAACATTTTAATTATTTAAACATGTCGTTATTTAATCGAAAGATTTTATCTAAGAAAACTTACATAAATCCACCAACAGTGTTGTTACATGTTTGACTGCAAGGATTGTTCGTGAACTCACATTCATTGATGTCATCACAAGTAAAGCCATCAGCTCCAAGAGTGTATCCAACCTTGCAAGAACATTCTTCTTTGCCATTGTGTGACGTCGAACAGAGTTGTTGACATTGAGAGTTTAAAGGACACGTGTGAATAGTCGAACAATTCATTTCATCTTCTCCTTGCATGCAATCCTTGTGACCATCACATATATGCTTTTGACTGACACAGTAGTTCTGTCGACGCTCTCTTGGTGAAATCAGCTTCGATGGACAAGAGAATTGTCCAATGTCGCACTTAATATCACAATCAGTTTCGTCTTCACCACGTTTGCAATCAGGTTGACCATCACAAACCCAATTCTTTGGTATACATCGCGAGTCTTTACATGAATATTCATCATCGGAACATTCACGATTGTTGTTTCCAATGTCACTGCAATCTTTTTCATCTTCACCAGAATCGCAATCTTGTTCTTGATCGCATCTCCATCTTAATGGTATGCAACGACCGTCATCACACTTAAACTCATTTGATGTGCAACTGATTGATTTTTTCGGACAATTTTCTTCATCTGACCAATCACCGCAATCGTTATCACCGTCACATCGGAAACGTTGAAGAATGCAACGGCCACCAGGTCCACCCATACCTCCCAACATTCCTTTACATTTAAATTCACCTTCGGGACAGTTTGGTAAAGGAAAATCACAACTCATCTCATCACTTCCATCATCGCAATCTGGTTCACCATCGCATTTAAATGCTAACGAAATGCATGCATCATCCAAACATTGAAATTCATCATTTGTGCAACTGATGAGATGAAGAGAAGAAAAAAGAGATAAATTTTAATTATTCTCACGAGAAAGGAAAAATCGAGAGAGAAGAAAAGAGGAAAATTTTGATTTGGAAAATCTCATGAGAAAGGCAAAACAATTCGAAGACATTTTCATCATCTTCTTACTCGATTTTCTCTCTTTTCTCTTGAAGATGCGCCGTTCCATCAATGATTTTCATTCATATAAATTTTCGCATAAAATTACTCGAAATACAGTGAAAAAAAAACAACAACAATAAAATCATGATGAGTGAATATAGGAAAGCAACAATAATAGAAAATAGAATCCACCCACGCTCTTTGACATTGAAAAAAAGGAAAGAAAATAAGTGAAAAGAAAAGAGTATAGCGGCATTATAAGACTCTTTAATAATGAAAAAAGATATCCGATTAACAGTGAACAGAAATAAAGAAAGAAAAATAAAAGATATTTGTAATAAGGAAACAATTGGTTATGAATGAAGGGTGTCTTGAAGAAAGTCATTATTTTTTCACGCTTATCTTAAGTTATCACCCACAGAGTCTCTTTCGGGTGTCGAGTTTGTACGTTGTGTAGAAACCATTGAATAAAATATTGACGAATGTCTTCAGAAAATAACTATGACTAAATCAAAGAAAAGAAACATATCCACCCACGCAAAACATTTTCTTTATGCTTTAATGGACAATTTGAATGGGAGGCTTCTTTCTTTCTCAATTGTTAACTATTTTCAGATGATTTCGATGTCAAAAATCAATTAACTTACGTTCTTGTACAGTTTCCCTCATCAGAGTTATCTCTGCAATCGTTGTCACCATCTGAAATTCGAAAATAAAATTCAATAAGTCGTCAAACAAGATTTTTCACTTTATAATTTACCGCAAATCCATTCCTGGGGGACACAAAGTCCATTCAAACATTCGAATTGATCATCGGAACAATTTGTTTTGCCACCACAATGTGTTTCATCGGTGAAGTCATTGCAATCATCATCGCCATCTTAAAATGAAATTCATGTTGTTTTTCTCTCTTTTAGATATTTGAACTGATAACATTTAAAGAAAGTCTCCGCAAACTCACCACACAACCAATCTTGTTTGATGCAAATGTAGGTATTGGGACACATGACGTGTCGAGACAGCGTGTTACCTTCACAGTCACTTTTCATCTTCTTGATCATTTCTTCAGTGATTTCACAGTCTTCTTCATCTTCTGCCTCCGGTCCACAATCAATTTGTCCATCTGAGTGGGAGAATTTCACATAGAAACGAATAAATGACATTGAAAATGAGTTTTTCTTTACCGCAATGTAAGTCGATGTGAATACAAGAACAACTTTTCGAGCAGAAAAACTCCAATGGTCCACAAGTTGCATCGCATTCTGCTGATGTTTCAACACCACCTGGATGACTTCCACTTAATAAAATTCCTTCATCTATGACAACGTCATCATGTTCAATGAAGACATTATCTCTACTTGGTGATATTCCCTGTCTAATCCACACATCATCGCGTCTTGTTCCGTATCCCGATGGTCGAAAAACGGGATCATAAATGCCTGTGTGATGAGTGATTGGAGTTTTACCGACTCGAGTGTTGTATCCAGGTGGTTTATGCGAGATATGAGACAATGGTGGCTGTTTGATTACGATACCATGAGATGACGACGATACATCATCAAAGTGAAGACGTTCGCGATGATTTCTTTCACGTAACTTCTCTTGCTTGTCAACATGAATCTTGTTAAATGTTTCATCGTCTGGCTTTCGCAATGATCCTGAACCAAATGTTTGTCGTGCTGCTCCATGATAACTAACTTTATCATTCTCCGGTGTTTCGGTTGCATCGTCACAAACAGCTTTTGGTTTTGTTGTTTGTGAATGTGGGAAGAAAAGTCGTAAATTATTTATTAAAATTTATAAACATAAAGTCTTCACTGCCTCGTCATTACTGTCGCAATTTTCATCCATCGCCTACTCAAAAAGATATATTTCGATAATTTGTTCATGAAAATTTCGATCAGTTTTGCTTTGGGTGGTTAAAGCGCAAGCGCTGAGAAAAAAATTCAGTATAAAGCTTCAAATCGATATTTTACTTTTTACTCAGCATCCCACGGATGGAAAAAAAATTGTTCAAAAGCAAAAAAGATGGAAGACTTTTCATGTTTTGTCGTTTTCTTTTTTCTTTTAATTTTCTTGAAATTTAAATTGCATACGACCTACTTACCGATTCCAATGACATATAAAGACAGCAGTGTAGCAATAAAGATATTAAACATTCTCCTCTGCTCTCGAGTAGAGATTTCTTGTCGAAAGCTTACGAAAAGCTTTTAGGGAGTTTCTAAGATTTTCAATTTTTTCTTCGCTGACGTTTTCTTTGACTTTTCTTCACTTCTTCTTGAGAGTCTTTTAGATTTTTTAACAAGATACATCAAGAAAAATGATATATCTTAGGTCAACCGATTATGACGGTGACAGTTAATAAAAAATCTTCTTTTATATCCTTGACGCATCATAATTTTTCTCGTTACTCAGAAAAATGATGAATATTTTGAATTGATTAAGTTTTTACACATTCATAGCCTTTAACTTTGGAAAGTTTATCCTTTTATGCTTTTTTTTCTTATTCACATAATCACTTTTGAAAGGCTGTTTGGGTGTGTTTAATTTTTTTCACAACAACAAAATAACATTGACGAGAAGAAATTTGGTAAAATAATTCTTAATATTTGAGCTTAAAGTTCAGTTTCTGATCATTTAAACTTTTAATCTTCTACCAACATTATAAACATTTGCTTAAACTTTCCTCAAATTTCAAAATTCTTCACTTTGCAAAGGAATTTGTTTTTTCTTCTTTTTGTTTCTTTTTCTTCCTTGGAAGTATGTAATCTAAATTTTATGATTCAGAGTACGCGGTCCGAGCAAGACTGATGCTGAAATGAAAATTTGTCGAAGATTTTCAGAGAGATTTTCGTGAATACTCGGAAAATTTTACTCTCAATTCAAATGATGCTTTTCGTTCTCTTTTTTCTGCTTTTTTCCTATTGCAAGATCTAATAAGAGTTTCATATAAATCAGTTGTTTTCTGTTGAAAGTTACAGCTTTCATGCAGTGAGTTAAATATGTTTACAGAAATAAAATGTATGAAATATGTGATAAATTTATGAATTAAAAGAAAGTTGGTATGCTTGCAAATGTGAAATTGGAGATAAATATTTAGAGATATTGTAAAACTTAACTGCTTCAAATTCATCCTGAAACTTTTAATTATCATGTTTCTTCATAATTAAATAAGAAACAAACTTCTGATGTTTTGAACCATTCATTGTCATGGTTTGTCTTATTGACATTTTGACACATACGTCACTCAAAAGATTTGAATTGAAATATATCCCAACTCTGTTCTTGACTTTGATGAATATCTCGTTAACTAACAGCAAATTTATTGAATGTTTTTCCATGCCAGGACTTTGTTCCGCGACACTTTTTTGTTCCAAACCACAAACGGAACAGAGCGGGAACACAAAGCTGTTCCGGAAAAGAATGAGAAACAAAGCCATGTTTCTTGCTTATTTTATTAACTCTAATGTTCAAACTCATAAGTTTAAGCTTGTCTTGCTCATAGATATTTATGTTGCTTGAGAAAATAATGTCGATGAAATTTTCTTGAAATTGATCATTGGAGGATATCAAAATACTTATCAACGATAAATATAATTAAATAATAAAATCAAACATTTAAAAATATTCTTTTTCAAAAGTCACACGCAAGAAGAATAGTTCAAAATAACAGTAAAAGAATAACTCTTGAAATATCCTGAAAGCTTTTATATGCTTAAAAGCTTATTCAAACCGATAAAGCTTTTCAAAAACCGTTAAAATATTTGTGCTTTCATTGCAGGTTTTATTTTCAATTCATACGTCGCTGTTAAAACCTCAACTGGAAACTAAAGTAATTTTAATTAAAAGTAATGTAAAACTTTGTTTTATCGTTCAATGTCTTATTTAAAAATGAACTGGGTGAACAATTTATTATGTTTTTATTATGTTTAATGTTTTCTAACTTTATTTTGTGCTTTGGTAACTTAAAAGCTCATGGTTATGCTTTCATCATTATCAAATCATATTCAAATTGTAAACATAAAGGATTGTAAAGAATTTTCAACATGTAAATTATTTGTAATTCTAAAATACTTTACTAATTATGGAAACGAATTCTAAAAAAAAATCATAAACTCATAAAGTTTAGGAGGACAATTGTGTTTAGATAAATGGAGAATTTATTTATTTGACTATTCAACTGACTACAATATTTCTTAGCCTTCTCTCTTTCTTAACCTTTTTAATCTAAAACATAAAACACCCAGTATCCAACGTTGAATGCAAGGAAAGCGACGGGAAAAATTACTCGAGAATATTCGTCAATAATGTTGACATCTTTAATTTTTGGTATCGAAGCTCGAATCACAGAAGCTCCACGTTTAATTGCATGCAACATTTTAGGACGATGATTGTTTCTTGCAGCTCGATGACGCAATCCGGTTCTGACAGATGAACCATACGAACGAGTTATTCTAAAGCTAGGAGGGAATTTCGCTAGGTCAAGATTATCAGATGCATCAACTGGATATTGGCGATTTCTTAGCGATGCTATCGGAGACATTCTGACATCTTGAAGTTCTATAATGTCCTCGTGTGTTGGTGTTGAAAGGTTGTTATGGTCTGCTCTACCTAAAAATAACTTCTTCGTTAATGAATTTTCTCTTCCTATAATTAAATTAATCGACAGACTTGAAGACTTTTTAGCTATTCCTTTAATTTTCTTGCTTTTCTTCTTCGCTCTTTTGCCCCAATAAGTATAATTCACGGCTGCATATTCTAAAAGCGCTGCAAATACGAATACAAAACTCATCACTAGATAAATATCGATTGCTTTCACGTAGGAGATTCGTGGTAGTGAACTTCTGACACCTGTACTGATTGTTGTCATCGTCAAGACAGTTGTTATTCCTAATTTTTAAAGGCAAATGTATTTAAAATTTTCATCCAAATTTGTTAAAGAATAAAAAATACCTAAAGCAACTCTAGCACTAGTCGCTTCATGATTTATCCAAAACGACACCCATGAAAGCATCACAATGAGTATACTCGGTAAATATGTTTGAAAAATGAAATATCCTATGTTTCTTTCAAGTTTAAATGACAATGAGAGTCTTTGATAAACTCCTGTAGCCAACTTTTCCTGAATAAAAATATGAAAAAAAAGTTATGAATAAAAAGAAACATAAAATGACACAAAAGAATTTTTTCTCTTCTTTTCAATACTTTTCTGTCATTTGTTTCGTAGCCTTTTATTGTAAATTGTGGCAGTTCTGCTTCATCTACACCTCGGATAGGAGTTTTCCTCCAGTACATGACAACATCAGACACTGTATAGCCATCTGAAAATATTCAATAATTTCAGATAATAAAAACATTGTGAGAAAATGGAAAATCTTTCACATACAACTTTCGATTTCAACTGTACAGTTTTGCGAATCTAATGGATAATAATGCAAATCCATCATGCATGCCAATGTTGTCGTAAAACGCATGCCATATGTGACAGAACCATCGCCTGCCAATCTCACAAGTTTGTTACGTTCAGTGACATCATGAAGGAAACTGAAAGGAAAGATTTTTAATGAAAGTGCAATCGTAACATGAACGAAGATCAAACCTATTCTTATCATTTGCAAAAAATGTATCCGGAACCCAAATCTTTTCGGCAAAGTCTCCCGACAAAGTTATCATGTCTCTTGACTCTTCTTCTTCAATATCATTCGTTCCTATGTATTCGTTATCTTCCACATTTTCGACCATTAATGTGTACGTATTGAAAGCTAAACGCTCGTCCCTCCAATATTGGTTAAGATACATTGTTATGGTGTAATCCTTAAAGAAATATTATTTGAATACTTCAATCAAAAATGTTTCACTTCAAAAATCGTTTTACCATATTGACTTCTGATATTGCATCGAAACTAGCTGAAATTATATTTCCATTTAATGTTTATGCTTCATGTTATTTACATACTTATGAACCAACATGCTTACCTACAGTCAAATCCATGCCAACAAATAATGGCTCACCTACAAACAAGATGAGAAAGTCAAATGAGAGGGAAAATGTGTCAGAAATTGAATTTAAATAAGTTGCTTTTGGGGAAATTTGAACACGTTGAAATTCATTGAAATTCCAACGAACTTTCAAGTGAAAAACCAATTATTGCAGATGAAATTGCAGGAAATGAAGGTGTTTTCATTCAACATCTCACGCTCAAAATGTCATGTTCGTCTTCAACACATCCACTTGAGTAACAGCACGATGGAAATACGAAAATATTCATCTATTAATTATGTTTATTGCACAAATCCTCATTAATAAATTTTCATTTTCTTCTTGAAGATTTGTTTTATATTTCCGTCGACGTTCCCTTATTAAAATGCATGATTTTGAACGTGAGATTTCAAGGAAATCACGATGAAAATTATGATTAAGAAGAGAAAAACTTTTCTAATTTTCCTTTTTTGTAAAAAATTCAATTTCATCGCGAATTTGAGGTTCGCTTTTCATCTCATCATGATTGAATTATGGGCACATGATGAAAATTACGCAATCATCAGTCATGTTGTCATTTTTAGCAGCTCAACTCTCTTACATATAATTTGTATTAAAAATTCATTAAATGCATACCACCAAAGTTAGGCCGTAGTCTTATGTCGTAACCTTCAAGAATTCTGGCAATGGTTTGTGTTACGTTTTCTAAACGACTCGCTGCCATCATTTTTTGTTCGCTTTAATAAGAAAAGAGAATAAAAAAGCTTTTTAAATGTGAACTAATCCGGATCATTTCTAATTCATTTGCATTTATTAAATATTCAATCATTTATCAAAGACCTTCTTGGGATAACGTTAAAGTCATTAACATATTTAGCTATTAAGACGGTAGCGTTAAATATCTTTTGAGGGCAAATATTTAGCTATAGATTCTATAAATATATTAATAATGAAAAGAGAATGTTAAATCAAGTGGAACGTTAGAGCATTTCACACGCTCTCTTTACCCCACAAGATAACGATAATAAAAAAGTAAATTGATTGATTTTTTTTTCTCTGAAGAACCTTCATTGACAAGAGACATTTTATCTATAAAGAAATTAAAGGACTTGAAGGAATGAATATGAAGACAAAATCGAATACTAGAATAGAATATTCAATGACTTTAATTAATTTAATTAAAATTAAAAAAAATGCTCAAACTGCAACTTTAAAAGTTTAGAGAAAGCTAACCAAAGATTCTACTAAAGTTGAAAAGAAATTTCTGTTAAATAAACTTTCATGATTTGATTTTGTATGTTGATTGAATTTGAGGGAAAACGAAGTGAGAGAAAAAAACTTTTTTTGTCGTCAAACATGGAACACTTTGATAAAATTTGTTTTTATTTTGCACTTTTATTTTTAGAAGAAGTTGAGCAAATTTTGCTGTTTTACTTTACCTTTGCTTCACTGAGTTTCCTAGTATGAAATAATGCGCTATTAAAATGCTTCGTAAAATCCACATGATTATGTTCAAGTCTTTTGACTCGAAAATAACTTAATCGATAGTTAAACTAACTTCAACAAACTTTTGATTGTTAACTTAATAATTACATGATTTGCTGACTTTGGTATTTGAAAATTGTTTGTTCATCCATCTAATTTGATATGAACTTTACACTTTGTTAACACTTCCTTTAAAAAATATTTTCATTCGAAGAAACCGTCACAAATTGAATCTTAGAAATAATTCTTGAAGAAATTCGTCATTTTCACTCGTCTGTCAAGATAAATAAATCATTAAAATGGCGAGAGAAAAAAAAATCATTTTTCATTCACATCTTTTAATTTAAAGAGTAAATAAATTCTTCATCAATTTCTCTTCTAAGTCCCAGTAAAAGTTTTCGTGGAAGAAAAATTATGACAGATGTTTATAGGGCAAATCTTACTAGGGCGTGATAAAGCACATGATATAAATAATTTTCAAAGCAATCTGCTTCTGTTAGATGCTTTAAAGTGAAATTGAAAAAAAGAAAATCTTTTGAAGGCCATGCGACTTTTTGGCATTCAAGGCGACACATTCAGGTCCAAAAAATTAATATTCAGTATGATTGGATTCCTTTTTACATAAATTCATACACATAAATTTTATGAAAGCACCCACTAAGATACTTTTTATTCGAAATCCTTTCTCAAATTCCTTTTAACCACCCTAAAGAAGTGAGAACGTTTGGAAGTGAAAAGTTTCATTTTAAATTAACTGGAAGAAGGATCTTAAAAGTGTCACCAAACTTTTCTATCTTACACGGATAACAACTTTCATTTCTTCTAACTTTACTTAGATTAGAAAATTCAAATTAAGGTTGTAAACCTTTTGACAATATTTTGATTCCACATTTTATTTTTAGAATCGTAGATAGTCGCTTGATTTATATTGCAGAGTAAATATTTTCAGAACTATCATGGAAAAACTTATGTTTCCTTTTTAATTCTTCTTTAAAGAAAGCATGGGAAAAATATTTATTCAATAAATGTGTCATACGATTTACGTGCAGGGAATAGAAGAAAGTTAAATGGGACAAGGAACTTTAAAAGAAAGAAGTAGAAATTTTTCTTATATTGAATACCAAATACATGTGAGACAACAGTTGAATATAAAGTGAGAATTATTCACAAGAGTAAACGGGGAAGGAAAGGATAATTACTTAAATGAATGAATCACCAACAATAACTGTTGTCATTAAATTTAGGTCTTTGGAACATGTGCAGTGCTTTTCCTCTTCCACTGAACAATGAATCGAAAATCACTTTAATGAAATTTTCTTCTTTCATGTTTCCTTTTTCTCTTTTCAACCTCATTCTAAGCGATTCAAGTTGATGACGACAATTTTACTCTTGGAAAAGGAATGTTTAATTACTTATGCTATAAATAAATGCAAATTTCAAGTTTTTCTCTTTTTGATATTGAAGAGTTGAGATTTATGATGGGCAAACACAAAAAATCTCTGAATTTTAAACATTTCTCAAACTTTCCATGAGGTTTTTTAAATTTCACCATTCCACTTTTATATTAAAAGTTTTCTTTTTATTCCATTATAAAAAGTTGGTTGAAACTCCAAAGATTTCCAGTATTTTCTTAAGACTGTCCAATATGTACGGAAAACCAAAATTCATAAAAACAAAAACTTTGCAATTTTTTTTCTCACTAAAATTAAAAACAAAAGAACTTGAAAAAGGTTTGATAAAGTTTTCCATAAAAAGGATTAATTTTTTGCTTACTCTAAGGATGGGATGGTAGAATAAAAAAGAAAGAGAATGGACATGAGTGAAGCACAAATGGTTGATGAGTTTAAGTTGCAAGCGACCCATTTGCCAATGATTTTACATCATAACCTCACAATTTATTAACATTATGTAAATGGTTTTATCGATTTTCTTTTTTTCCTTTTCAACACAATTTATTGTTTTATTTGTTTTTCGGGAAAGAAAGAAAAAAATAAGAAATCGTCCCTAGCAGTGATGACGACAATAACATGATAAAAAAAGAACAATATCTTCAGTCGACTTGTTTTCTGCTTCAGAAAAACTCTCACAAATCACCGAAAAACTTTCCTTTTCTACTCCAGACTTCTCAACAAGTTGTCAATAAATTTTCGATAAAAGTTATGAAGCAATTATGTCACAACGATTAATCGGTAGGATACAACAAAGAACAAACCAGCCGTCTTTATACACTTCTCACATCCGCCACATAATTCATCAATCATTTTTATTCACATTCATTTCTGATTTATGTTTCGTATTGTTTAAGCAATAAATTTCCACAACACTTCACAAATCTCTTCTGCATATTTTTGACATGAGAGAATAAAAAAAAATTTAAAAGCAATCAATAAAAAGGTCAGGATGTGTGTCAATGCTGAATCTTTTTTAATTGCCGGAGATAATCTAAATTTGTGACATTGGAAAATAAAAATGATTTATCCTTTCATTTAAATTAAATGAATTTTAATTAGATGCAAATCACTAAAACTTCTTCTCACAATTATTTTTTTACACACAATTTTTATCTTCCTTTTTTTTAATTTTCAATGTCTAGAAGAAGCGCGACAGCATCAGTTATGTATCACAACATTTTCGTTTCTGCGAGTATTTCACTTCACAATAAAGCTTTCGACACAAATTTTCGAGCAGTTTTCTCTTCGGTGATTGAGAGAATCATGAAAAGTTATTTTGAGGGGAAATCGTCCTCGTGTTGTTGTCGCTTTTCTCTTAACATCTTTTTCGTTTAAAATTCTTATCATAATAAATTTCTTCCTCTGAATCATTTCCTGTATTTGTAGTTTAATATTGTTTTATGTATGCACAATAACGTCATGGCATATCCGCGGATTAATGATAGATTTATTGATGACAAACATTGACCTTGCTTAACATTTCCTGAAGTTCCTTCTCCATTTTCTCTTTTAAACAATCGAAATTTACTTTCATCATGCTTCGTTAAGTTACAAGCAAATATTTTTGTCAATAAAACAATAAATATTGTTGATGTTAAACATACATTTTCCTTCTTCAATTCTTAAACTTCTTTCTGATGTCTCTCATAATCTGCAGAGATTTTCTATGATTAAAAGAATTTCTGGTTAAAAACAGCTGATATCGTAATTCATATTGACAGACAATAACAACAGCGATGGAGAGTTTGTCATTCTTCTAAAGCACACACAAAACGAAACTATAGAAAGCTTCTGGATATGTTTTGTCATTTATTCGTTGTTTAATGTATTCGGAAGCAACAAAAGAAACTTCATTGGAGATGGACAACAATAAGCGCTGTTATGACTTTAAGAAGCATCGGTCGTTTCTATTTTAAAATTATCAAGAAAAATTCTCATCCATTTCCTTATTTATTTGAGTTTGTTTATCACCCAATGCTGCAAGTGTTGTTTAGAATTGAAGAAGACGAATACAAATAACCGCAGAGGACAAATATCCATTCCAAGATGTCATTTCAAAGGTTGGCTATATTTTAAATGAAACTTTCTCATCTTCATTGCACAATTCTTCAATTTATTATTGGAAAGTTCTTTTAAGTGTTGAGTAGAAATTTTAAGATCCTAAAGCGATAAACTCCAAGTCGTTTTGCACATTTCTAGAATCTTAAGTTTTATTTTTTAATAAATAAGAATAAATTTTGAAAAGCTTTAAGCAACCTATTTAATTACAATAAATTAATCTCGAAAAGTTACCACAACATTTTAAAACCTTTTACGCGTAATATTTCATTTCTTGGATCGGCCACGCATTGCGTGATAAATAGAAAACTCTACTTCGCTTTTTATCTTGCGTAGACAGAGAAGCAAGAGCCACATCTGTAATAAATCTCAATTTCTTTCCCTTGTTACATTCCGCTAGACCCAAATCTGATTGTTTACTCACAGGGTGAGAACGTTTTAACAAAAAATTAATTAGGAAAATGTTGAAGTATTTGGATGAGTTTTTGGCAAATTGATATCTTGATTTAATGTTCATTGTATCGAAAGAGTTCTTAAAAAATATAATTTCATGCTTGAATTATTAACATACATCAGATAAAACTTCTGAGTGCAAGTTTCGAACTTTAGGAAGTTTCTGTTGTGTCCCCTAAGAGGGTAAGAAAAGAAAATTTATGACATAAAAAAATCGTAATTCGAACACTGCCACTCAATCATTGAACGTTAATGAAATTTATTTATAAATTTGGTCTTGTTTTACAAATCATCATTTGTTGTCGATTGTTTTTCCATCCGCCGTTTTGATCTTGATGAATTGATAACGAACACACAGAAGTTCTCTCCGACTCTCAAGCCGAAAGATTCTGAAGTGGATCTCGTTACACGAAATGAGATTTCTGCTACAAGAAACATTTAACAGCGCATGTGTTAACACTCTCTGCTGAGAAATGGTAAAAACAGATAACTGGTGGGAAATTTCCGAACGTCGATCTAGCATGAAGAAACTGCCAGAAAATTGTTTCCTACTTTTTGCAACTGCAAACTTTTCTTTGTGTTGCTAGCAAACAGAATCAGTCTTCAATGCGTTTAGAGTTTGATTTCAGACGTGACAACGGCTTGACGCTCCTACTCGGCCTCGTTATTAATTTAAGTTATGTAAAGTGAAGCTTTGAAAACTTTTCACGTGAATTTAATTATTTTTCTGTAAACATAAAACAACAAAAAATAAGTTTGGAAATTTCAAATTTCTTTTCGTATCAAGCGGATAAAAAGTTTTTCCCATTAATTCGTGCTAAGAAAACGCATAAGAACGTGCTGATGCTTCTTCAATTTCGCACCATCTTTTATGTTGTCAATTTTCTGCTGAATTTGTTTATTCACGATTGAGGGATTACAGAGATTATTAAAATTTGATGTAAACACAAACCAGTATCAGATAAATGGAGGAAGTTTAGCAAGAAGGAAACATTAGTTAGATATTTCAATTAATCAGTTAATAATGAAGATTTTGTGATTTTGTGTTTCGATCTTCAGTAAAACAAGAAACGATTGAAAGCTTATTTGACCTCAAATTCAGTCAAAAACTCGTCATTAATCAACGAGTGTCAAAATTTAATCATTTAAATTATTTACAAGCTACCAAAGTATTATGTCAAGTGGGAATTTGGTTGAAAACAAACTTTTTCAGACTTTTCAAACAGAAATTAAAATTAATCAAAGTTCATTTGCTTTTTACTTGCTTGATTACATTACGAGCGACCCTTTTCATTCAACTAACAATGTTTAAGCAGCAAAGTGTTTATTTCCGGTTTTTAATCTTCATCCGTTTTTTCTTTAGAATTTTTTTTTCTTTCGTTTCGTGATGAAGATATTTAAATTTTGAAACCACCCTCACCGCTAAGGAAATTTATCCATTTACACATAAATATAATTTAGATATGTAAAGAATGGAAGAATACCACAATACTCAATTAAAATTTAAAACGTTTTAAACCCTATTTAAGTGTTAACAACTCATCTCATTGTTGCCGGTTTCACGAAATATTAAAAAGACTTTCATGTCGGTACTCAGTAAAAGTGTTAGAATTAAATTAACTTGAATTGTCAGTAACAAAAACTAAATATAGAAATTCTCTTAACCAACTGTTTGAAGACATAAACAAAGAAAGCTTTTAAGGAGAATTAGAAGTGAAAATTTAATTCCTAATTTGTAAGATGATTTTCCATCGCTGCGTCATCGCGCTTTTGCAATTAACTTTTATTATGTAAGTATAAAGTCAAATATAATGTTCAGTGTAAAATTTCATTGCGTTTTAATCGTGATGCTTACATTGTTATACATGAAACATAAATATAAAAACCATAAATTAAATGTCTTGGTTTTACAAGCTGTTTTCTTTTGATAATATTTGATATAAATGTAATTGATGGCTTTCGAGTGGATTGACATGACTGACATGCAACATGATTACGACATGTGTAAGCTCTGCTTCAAGACTTTCGATTTCCTTTCATACATATTTGCAATTGAAGAAAATTCTCTGAATTAAAACTGAAAAGTTCTTCGCTTTAACAAAGCCCATCTGGAGTGGTGTCAGCATTTTAAGAAACATGAAAGAGTTATTAACTTCTCATCAATTCTACAAATCCCTTAGAAGAAATTTAATTGTCTCAAATTTTAGTAATCCTTTTGTGTTTAATCAAATTAAAGTTTTAAAGAAGAGTGAAATTGAAAAAAGTTGTTGACAGTCTCAAAGTTTATGGCGAATTTGAATTTTATTCTCCCTCATCATTTGTCATTTTATTCAGAAAAATCTATTCTTCCGTTTTGTATCCTTAAAATTGGCCCCAAAAGGATAGAAAATCCCTTGATATGAAATAAGAGACGAGCATAAATCTCAGCATTACTAAGAAATATCACTTCAAGTTTGGGATATCAATTTAATTAAGAAACTTTCACGCAATATCAAAATTTCTTCAAAATGATTTAGAAAAAGATCAAAAGGTGCTGAACTTTTAATGAAACATGTAGAAATTCTGTTTATCTGGTAATTCTTTTATGAAGAAGTTTCTGCTCTTGACATTGCAGCAGTTTTTTTGTTTATCATCCAAAAGGAATCAAGAATCCTATCGATTAATGAAGAATTGAACGAATACTTCAATTCCTGATAGTTTTTTTGTAAGGAGTTGCATAATGTTGAAGGTATTTCAATTGAGTGATCAAAACCAGCATCGGCTGCAAGATGAGATTCTTTGATGTCTTCGATATGCATTCAAATCAATTGGAAATTTTTTTCTTAGAGGTAATTTTTCTGAATTCTTCTATCACAAACATTGTGACGATCTAACGAATGTATATTAACGATTAGACTTTAAATAATGAATACAAGAATCATACAATTCACACATTCTTTACCTACATTTGATGTTATGTATCAAGAAAAGTAATCTGAAGTGATGCGACATACAAAATGATTTTTTTGAAAGCTTAATTAAAAGACTTTATTCAAATCTCGGTCATCACTTTCACCATCTTTAAAAGAAGTACAAACTTTCATTCACATAAGTAGGTACATGCATAGAATGTAAGAACATTGACATACGACGATGTATCGTCTGCTATTATCTCATAAATGCTGACATAGTAATTGCTAAGCTTTTCATTATGGCAACATGTAGAGCGATGCAATTATGTATTCTAAAGGAATTTAAATTTTCCTTTTGACTAATCTATAGCTGATGACATACATGCATACTTATATGTTCTTCGGAATGGTTTTTGTAATCTTCAATAATTATTCTCTTTGGATTCACGGTTGGATGTTTAAGATGCAAAAACTTTCCTTTGGTTTCTTCAGCTTTTCCAGCTTGTTCAGCGTTTTCCTTTACAAAAATGCAACGTCTCATGAGAATTTTTTGATTGCGTGTTTTCAGAAAACGACAATCTGCAATTGAATGTGTAACGAATGATGTTATTTCATTGTCATTATCACAAATCTTTTTCACAACTATTTTGTCGAAATGCAATTTTCAAATCTAATCAAATTCTTACATAGCTTGTTAAAGTAGGAGACGAACACGTTATCAGATTGTTGGAAAACATTCAGTTTATGACACTAAAACACCGGAAGAAAACGATCCTATTGTGGATTGGGAATTCTTTAGAAGGTCACGTTTGATGCTTCTAACTTTGACTTGAGGGTAATTCAAGTAAGGAAATGAAATCATCTCATAGGACTCGTTTTCCAAAACTTTTCGTTTCCTATTTAGTTATTAAAAATATTACAAAAGCCAAAAGAAGAATTTGACTGATTTATTAGGAATTTGCAAATAATTAAAATTTACGGAACTTCAACAATTCTGCAATTAAAGTTACGCTAAAGAACGAAACAAAAAAATTCTTTAGAATCTTGAACCTGTTTTTAATTGACGATGAATAATTGCATAATTTAATGAAATGGAAATTTTGAATGCAGTTTAATTAGAGTAATTTTCACTCTCGAGAAGATTGTCAAGAGTTTTCAACGATTTTCTGTATAATTTCACTGCTGAATTGTTGTGAAAAATGCAACTTAACATTCTCACTTCATTAGCAAAGGTAGGAACAAACGATATGTTGTGAAAGTCGACAAAGTTTTAATTGAGTTTATTTAGTTGCATTCCAGCCACTAAGTTGAGGTTTATTTTGTAAATTTCTTGTCTCCAATCGATGATGAAATTAAAGACAAAATAATTAAGACAACAAATGTTGCTTTCAGTTCATCAAACATTAAATCGCTTTTCTGAGTATCCTTTTATCGTTTTACGTTAACATTCGAGTTATCTACACCGCATGTTATGTTTTTTTATCAAACTACTCAAAGGAAATTTGCTGTTGGTGCAAATTATAGAAAAGCTTTCGTCACGTTTCAACTTCATTTCTCTCGTGATATTCACATAATGTACGAGCATATATGAAGAATGACTCATCGCTATGATGTTTAGCATTGTTTTTCTCAGTTATTTTGTTATTTTCTCGATCTGTCTGCTAAATTTTCCTCCTTTCAAGCGGAATGAAAAATTAGTTTCAGTTTTTTTCTGCTATTTCAGAAACTAGCCAAACATGAAAATTGTTTGAATCGATGAACAATATGCTGTCAAATCTTTAAAACAACGATTTGAATCGTTCATAAGGCGGAAAAACTGACATCAACTTGTCCTAATCTTAAAATTTCCATTAAATAATTTTTTTGTATGAAAAAGAATTTCCAAGAAAACGAAAATTTAATAAGAATTCTTGAGAAACTTTAAGAAGCTTCTTAAAAAAACATTGAAATTGAGAAAAGAAGAACAAAGAAAAGTATCTTTAAATAAATGACATTTTTAGAGAAATTTTTGAGTTAAGGTGAACGATAAGCTTTTACAACTCGACAACATGTTGGCACTGGTTGGATGAAGGAACTTTTCAACATATGTTTTATGCAAATATCTCTGTCAGAGAAATAGTCTGCTTCAACAGGAAACTTGTTTGCATTTACATTTGAAAGTGATTTGATAACGATAACACATGTTGACATAAGTAAAATTTTGGCAAATAGATAGTCTCAACAGATGATATCATTTACATGAATGTAAAGTTTTAGGTGTACAACTGAAAGGGTAATTAAGATGCTGATGGTTTTGCGTTGTTGAGCATGTTTTTTTATTGTTCAATTGTTCATTGGAATTCAACCGACCACTTTCTACAACCTTTTCCAATTTAATGTTCTTCAAATCCTGAATTCATTCAATTACAAGATTTCGTCAGTTGTTCAAAAATCTCATACTTCGAAACATGCCCGAATGATTGAATGGATTATAAGTTAAAACTGAATAGATTTAAAATGAACAAGAAAACGAGAAACTATTTCTGTTCCCTGTTGTAATTTACGTGCCATTTAAGGGTAGAAAAATCTTAGCAATAAGGATTAAATTCCTTTTTCTCACTAAGCTATTATTCCTGTAAGTAAATTTTTCTCAAATATCGGCAATGAAAATTACCGTCAAATAAGTTGACATCTAATTTAAAACTTTTCAATAGATTTAAAAGCATGAAAACTTAATTTCGTTAAACAAATTTTAAGTTTCATTTCAACAGTTGAAGGAAATTCAATTAAAATTGTTAATTATTTTTGCAGATTCAATTTATTATCGATCAAAAGCACAACGGCGCAACAGCTAAACGACATAGAAATCATTAGAAATGCTATTGTAATGGCAGTTGAGAATGATACAAGATTTTACAACAGTTATGAGAAGTCGAATTTATACAGCAGGTTAGTAAAAAATTCTTTTTATCCTACCCAGTCATTCCACTTGCTAACAACTTTATCTTTCCACCCACCAACTTTCTTTTTGACTGTTTTGAAAATTCCTTTTTCATTTTTCTCCTCGTACGATTCTGTCGTGGAAGGAAAGAATTCATCAACACGAGCGGTGAATTCGAATGGATCTGATGTCGTTGTACGACGTTCTGACAATGTCTCAATGTTTAATCCACTGAACATACTCGGCGAGAACGGAGAAGAATCTTCCATTGACTCTCGTGGCTTTGTTGTTGATTCTAATTCATCACTTTCAATGAAATCTTCTTGATTATGAATATGATGACGTGGTGTTATTGTTGTTTCTTTAGGTAGAATATAATTCCATTCAGTTGTTGTTGGGAATGTTTCTCGTATTGTTGAAGGAGATTCAGAAGGAGGCAAATGAACACGAGAATCAGTTGAATATTTACGGCACACATTATTCACCACAAATCCATGTGGAGTATCATATCCAATCGTCTTTTCAAATTTACAATTCCATTCAGTGGCATCAAAACCTTTTTGACTTAAATCACCAAACGACTGAGTTAAGATAAGAAAATTCTCTAAATTCTCTTTAGTGCAACAGTTTTCGTTAACAAAGAAAGTAATTTCGTTAACTTGATCAAACGAGAAATTGTAATTGCGACCAGTTCCATAATGTTCGTGAAGAGTGAATTTTGTGATAGGATTTCCGCGAGCCGAAACAAACCGAGTCCATTTATTCAATTCAAGTTCGCTAAGTTCATTCTTATCAACATTAATTTCTGTAGATTTGCATGTTCTCAGATCGAGATTCCGCAAGTTGTTATGGTCAAGTTGAATACTCTCCAGATTGGGAAGATTCTCGAATTGTTTATCCCCAAACTGACTTATCTGATTATGCCCTAAGTTCAAAGTTTCAAGTTTATCATTTCTCATGAATAAATCATTGGAGATAGTCGTTAGATTGTTGTATGCGATTGAAAAGTGAAGAAGATTTGTTAACGGAAGTAGCACTGTCGGCGGTAAAGTTTTTACTCGATTGTAGTCAAGATAAATTGCTTCGAGATGACTCAATCCATAGAACGCATTTGGATGTATATAAGAAATTAAATTATACTGCAAAACGATGAACTTTAAAAGCAAACAATGTTCAAAAGTTCCACTTCGAAGCTCTTCAATCTCATTGAATCTCGCCAAGAAATATTTTAATTCTTTGGCATTTCGAAAGTTTTCACCTGAGATTTCTTTAATTTGTGTCAATTCGACATCAAGATGCTTCAATTGGGGAAATTTCCGGAAAATATCTGCCGGCACTGTGAACAAATCTGACTGTCTAAATGATACAGCATCGATTAAAGTGCTCTTCTCTGTCACATACACTTCAGTAGAGTTAAATGTGAAAATATTGTTGAACTCGCATTGCAATCCACGATCAGTTTTCTCAATAAATCCGCATTCCATTTCAATTCTTTCAGCATGACTGGTTATTGCCATCAGCAACAGTAACATCAGACACCTGGAAATGTCATAAGATTTCATGTCTCACTCTTTCTTCAGAAGTTTAATTAATTAAGTTCTTACCTTAAAATCATCTTCTCACTCTAAAATGACTTCTTCACTCTAAAAGATTTAATCACAAAATGAACGTCTCGTCTCAATTATTTTTTGAGTTTCCATCGAATGTTTACATTTAATCTGAAATGAACTTCTAGCATCATTATCATCGTATCAACATGAGATGTTTGCCTAAAGGAATTCCCTCTTAGCAATAAAGTGTCGAAAGGTTATCATTTCTAGCAGCGCGTATATATTCATTCAGTCAACAAACATTGATTGATAAGATTGCCAATGAAGTAAAAAAATTGCAAACACAAGAAAGTTCTTTCGAGTAGATAAATAAAAGAAAGTTTGAAAGTAAACGTCTTACAAATCATTAACGCTTCCATTATCGCTGAAAAATCCCATTATCGTCTTAAAGAGATGATAAGATTTGAGAGTAAGAAGGATGAAAAGAAAAATGTTTAAAAGAGGAAAAATGTCGCAAATTGAAAGTTGTTAAAATATGCGAAAACATGTTACACATGCATGAGAATAATCTCAGCTTTCTCTTCAAGAGCTTCCAAATAATTTTGCTGTCCTAAGAATATTTATTAACAATTTCTTGTGAAATCTTTCAATAGTGAAGTTTATGAAATGAAAAAATGTTCTACACAACAATCATTTAAAATGTATTAGCATCATTTTTTACTCACACGACTCGTGTGTTCTTTTTTATTTCTTCTCTTTACTTCAACAATAATAACACAACAGCAGTAAAAATGATGAAAGTGACGATGACAATGTTGACAGTCGAAAAATTTACAATTTAACTGACATATTAACAACACCATCAAGTGGTTTCTACATATACGAGCATCATCAACAAAAGCAATCACATGAAGAGCTTCATTACAAACCTTTCTCGTCATCGAATGAGAAAACGAAAACAAAGGACCGCTATTACATTTACAGTCACGTCAAAACAGCGAAAGATGATGAAGACGATATGAATCATTCTGATAACAGTCGTAAAATTCGGTCATCTGTTTTATCAGATAGGAAGCAAGTTAGCCGAAACATCAGCATGGTGTTGGAGAATCTCTTGATGAGTTACGAGAACTCTCAATTGCCAACTCATGGCGAAGGTTTGTCATTTTCTTATGATTACTTTGGGGAGTCATCATAAGCATTCTGATTTAAATGAATATTTAATACTGTAATCAACAAAAACGAAGCAATTCTATCTTCTTAATGGAAAGTTGTCCAATGATTTCTTTTTCGCTTTCATGACAATTCAAAAAAGAAAAACCGGCGAAATGAAAAATTCATAAATCAAAGGGTGGATTAGAAAAAAGTGCAACATGTTGTACGAAAAACTTTCTGTCATGGCTTAATTGAAATCTCTAACGAATAAATATTGCCGAGTTGTTCTAAATTAGTTCCATTGCGAAGCTAAATTTTTTAATGAAAAAGTTCTTCTCGACACTCCAACGCGTTGCTTTACTGTCTGGCATGATGCCGCTTAAAATTGATGTCGTTTTTCTAGCATCATGAAAATCTACGAGACCAAAAATTATTTGGCGACTTCTCACAGTAAGACTGAATATTTTGGATACTTAACGAGACGTTTTAATTTTTTCTTCACACATTTTTGTGTTGATTCGACATGAGAAAGAGTTGACTTTGAATTCATTGGAAAAGAAGAATTAGAAATCATTGAAAAACGTTCCCAGACTTTATTTAGATAGAAAAAAAAAACATTCACAATAAAAACTCATAAGAAATGGTTTCAGGATGTTTGTTAAATAATGTTATGAGAAAATCAACTTTCAACTCTCTTTTTTCAATTTATGATGACGACGATGCTTTCAGGAGTTCCAACTATCGTCAAGACAAATATTTTGATACGAAGCATGGGACCAGTAAGCGAGTTAAACATGGTAAATATGTCGAGAATTATTATCAAGAATTATTGTCGATATTCTCATCAATAGGATTACTCAATGGACTGCTACTTTCGACAATATTGGCGTGACAAAAGATTAAGTTTTAAATCTCCAATTAAAAGCTTATCATTGAGTATTAAAGTAAATAAGTGACAGGAAACTCAATTTAGAAAATGTTGTCATCATTTTCACTCTTTTTTAGATGTTAGAAAGAATGTGGAAACCTGACACATATTTTTACAATGCTAAAAAGTCGCATATACACACAATTACCGTGCCAAATAAGTTGCTAAGATTGTCAGACAATGGTGACATTCTTTATTCGATGAGGTAACTAAAAACCTTTCACAAGAGTTTAAATTCCAATTTAAAATTCTCTCGAGAGTTATGGAATGAAAAATACAATTTTGACATTTTTTATCTACTTGAAAGACTCACGATAAGAGCTTCTTGTCCTATGCAATTGCGTAACTTCCCAATGGACCGTCAAAGTTGTCCGTTGATTCTTGGAAGTTGTAAGTATTTGTTGAATATTTAAGGGAGTAGAATTCCTGAACATATTTTTATGTAATTTAAGGTCATTTGCCTCATGTAAATTCTTACTCAAATTTGTCCTTGGATAATTGACCTTAAAAATAATAAAAAGCATTATTGAGAAGCAAACTCAAACTCTGATTGCTAATTTTTTTATATTAAATTGAACCCTTTTCATGCCCTCAAGATGCTTACACAAATAAAGAACTTATCTATGAATGGTATAACAACAATTCAGTAAACTTTGAACCTGGAATGGCATTAAGGTAGTTAAGAAACAAATTTGTCATTTCAATCAACTTTTTTATTCATCTTTACATCAATTTTTCTTAATTTTTCAGTCAGTTCGACTTAATAAGTTTTCGACAACAAAATTTGACATTTACAAGGAGGGAAGGAGATTTCTCGACTCTCCAAGTTTCTTTTAATCTTCAACGTCATACTGGATATTTCCTTATTCAGGTTCTTCTTCCATTTCTTGAATAAATTTTACATTAAATTCTTCATTCTCAGGTTTATGTTCCATGCATTCTCATCGTTATTCTATCGTGGGTATCATTTTGGATTCATCGTGAAGCGACAAGTGACAGAGTTGGTTTGTGCATAACAACTGTTCTTACACTCTCAACCATCTCACTTGATTCACGAAAAGATTTGCCCAAAGTTCGTTATGCAACAGCTCTCGATTGGTTTCTGTTGATGAGTTTCTTTTACTGCATCGCGACATTATTGGAGTTTGCTGGCGTTCATTACTTTACTAAAGTTGGAAGTGGAGAAATTCCAGTGTCGGATGATGAAGATGAATGGGAAAGTGTTGAAGAAATTGAAGATATCGGCGGACATTTAAACAATTTACTGATATCAACTCGTGAATCTCCACAACGTTTGATGAATCTGAACAACCGATTAAAAAATTCCTTAATTTGTCCAATCTATAATGAAGCTGATTTTAGAAATGCTTACGATTTTTCAGCTTCTGGATCACAATCTGGAACTCACTCACAACTCTCGACAATGGAACGAACCACACAAACTGATGCACCAAGGAAACCCAAATGGAAGCAATTCTGGTTATGTTTCATCGGGAATGACGATTTTAGGAAACAAAGAGCTAGAGAAGCGACAAGTGGATCCAAGAAACATGTCAATTCTGTTTCATTGATTGACCGAGGTGCGAGAATATTTTTCCCAGGTTGGTGATGACTTTAATAAATGAAAGTTTTTCCCATGAGAATATTTTTTAAGAAATAATGAACTTCGTCAATCGGTCAATGTTAAACATCTCATAAGATTTATCTATCGATGTTCATATCTGATCAATATTAATCCCAAATATTTCTCATGAATTTTGATTAAGTGGCTGAGTCAATATTAGAATTATCGATTTATATTTCATTCTTTTTCTGTTTCCAGCATCGTTTGGAATTCTGAATCTGCTTTACTGGTTGTTCTTGTACTACCATGACTACTTTCATTGGACACATTCTGTTTAATATGAATACTTTTAATTACTCACTCATTCGCATTTAATTGTTTATTAATGAATTTAGTATCTAACAATTCAATTAATGCTCCAGAATGAATATTAGCTGAAGTGATTCAAATTCTTGTTAATGTTCATGAATAAAATAAATAATAACTTAAATTTGTTTCTTCACACCTTAAAATTTAATCTCAGAAATTTCAGTGTTTATACATCAACGTCATCAATGTCAACGATAAGATAAGAAAAATTGATTCGGATTTTCTTCCAGAGCTTGATAAGACTTGATTAATCCAATCGGCATATTCACTGACGGAGTGGTAATACAATCGGTTGTCGTTTGATTCACAACCTGATTCACTTATTAAGAATCCATCTATCATGACACCCGCACCACACATTACTGAAGCAGCAATTTTAGCACTGCATGCTGCAGTGTTTGGTGATGTTGAACAGAAAACATTTGGATTGACATGATTACAATATTGAGGTCCATAAATAGTGACAGACTCGGATTCACCGTTTAGAGAATTCCATCCGTATAAGTTACAAGACGAATTTGTTGTGAGCCCGCCTAGAGTTCTAGGTGGATCTGCATTGTTATAAAGTTCACCAAAAGGAGCCTGAAGTAGGATGAGATTACATAATTTAACAGAGTTAACAAAACTTAGAAAGCTGCTTGAGACTTACTTTTATCACCGCGATGTTATTTTCTTTATTCCCACCGATAGTATAGTTCGGATGAATAAAAACTTCGTTCACAGATACTTGAAATTGAAAGAAAATTAGTTAAATTTATTGCTCCTTCTTATCTGATTGTTACTAATAAGTATTCAAATGAATGATAACTCACATACTCTAGTAGAAGTCAATGTATCTGATGATATCAAGGTGTACCGTATATACAAATATCTTGAAGGCGCAACCTCGAGGCAACTTGCAGCAGTCAATGCGTATTGTGATGTGATAATAGTTCCAACACATAAATATCTAGTTGAATTATCAGTTGAATCTTTATCTGTTTCAAGGATATCCACGAAAATTCTGTTTTGCCCATTAATATTATAAAATTGAAACGAAAAAATAAAAAGTAAAAACAATTTCGATGTCACTTCCATTTCTCAATTTAAGTAAAACTGTTCACAGCAAATGATCGTTAAGAACTTCGAAAAGTTTTGATAACTCGAGTTATATTTCTATCACTTATCACCCTCTATGAGTAATAATGAATTGATATGAATGCTTATCTTAACCAGGTATTTCTTTTTAAATCTTTTATTGGTGTTTTATTGTAGATAATTGTTGGTTTTATATTGCTGAAATCTTATCTCTTACATATTTTAACAAGAAGTGACAAAAATAAAGAATTAAAAGGAAATGCTCGCAGGTAATAATCAAGATTATTGTGATCATTCTGATTCATTCAAAAAAAAACTATGACAAATTAAGTTTTATCTTTTGTAAGTATGCATATGGACGATAAAAGGTCTTTAACTAAATACATTAGTCTAACTAAAACATAATAAATAAATTGAAAAAACTTAAATAAGTTTAAATTTTTCTTAATTCAAGTTTCTACGTAAATTAATTCTCACAATTGTCAAGCTTTGTCTGTGATTGCTGTATTTTAGTTATTTCAGTTTGTAATTAAAATATTATTTAATAACTCAGTTGATTATATTTCCATACTTTATTGCTCAATTATCAGTAAGAGAAAAGAATCAGATGTTGATCGGGAGTTTACTTAGATCTTACAGTTTCAAATTCAACGTTATCAACATCATTGATAAGATAAGAACAAGTGACTCAACTTGCTTCACTGAACTTGATAAAACTTGATTTATCCAACCGGCATGGTCACTTATTGAGTGATAATACAATCGATTGTCGTTTGATTCGCATCCCGATTCACTTATTAAAAGTCCGTTCACAGTGTCTTCTATTCCACAAATTATTACAGAAGCCAATCTTGCGTTACATACTGCAAAATTTGTTGATGTTGAGCAAAAGACTTGAGGGTTACTTGAGTTGCAATATTGAGGTCCATAAATATTAACAGGTTCGGAACGAGGAAATCGTTCTGCACCACCCCATCCTACTAAATTGCAAGACGAATTCGTTGGGAGTCCTCCTAAAATTCTTGATGGTTCTGCATCATTGAATAATCCAGAAATCTAATTAATGAGATGGTTTGATGATCAACTGATTGATGAATAAGGAAACAACTTACTCGAACAATGCCGATATTATTTAAATTGTTCTGACCAATTGTATAATCGGGATGAATGATAACTTGTTCTGCGTTTCCTTAAATTCATGAAGTTTAGAAAAAATCAGCATTTGTTAAGATGCTAAATATAAGAATTCAATTATCATTTACTTGTTATTGTTCGAGTTAAGCGCCTCGTATTGTAATACTTCGAACATATATCCTGTTGAAAGGTCGAACAGTAAGACAACTTGCTGTTGCTAAAACAAATCTTGGTGCAAGAACTGTTCCGGAACAGAGGAATGGAGAGTGCGATTGTAAATCAATAATGTCCACTACTAAAACATTCTCTTGCAGATGCGCTTCTTGTATCGGTTCATCTTGAGCATTAATTTGCAGAAATAATGTAAATAACAAACTAAGAAATGCAAGTTTAAACAAGTTCAATTCCATTTCGACAACTACTGAACGCGTCAAGTTTACTTTTCCAAATGAATATAATTTTATTAATTAATTTAAAAAATATGAGAAATCTTATCTGAGTTATCGATTTTTATTCCTTTTAATTTTTATTTTATCAATCATCTAAAATCCCACCATAAACAATTTAATATCACAACAAATTCAAAAATTGTTTTTTTTCACACGTTTGTCTCAGAAATTTCAGTGTTTGAACATCAACGTCATCAATGTCAACGATAAGATAAGAACAGTTGATTCAGATTTTCTTCCAGAGCTTGATAAAACTTGATTGATCCAATCGGCATATTCACTGACGGAGTGGTAATACAATCGGTTGTCGTTTGATTCACAACCTGATTCACTTATTAAGAATCCATCTATCATGACACCCGCACCACACATTACTGAACCAGCAATTTTAACATCGCATGCTGCAGAGTTTGGTGATGTTGAACAGAAAACATTAGAATTGGTGGTGTGATTACAATATTGAAGTCCATAAATAGTGACAAACCAGAACTCACGGTTTCCATCAATGTATAAATTGCATGACGAATTTGTTGTGAGCCCGCCTAGAGTTCTAGATGGGTCTGCATTGTTATAAAGATTCCCAAAATCAGCCTAAAGTAGGTTGAGATGAATTTAACAGTGAATATTTACTAACAAAAAGTAGAAAGTTGCTTGTTACTTACTCTTATCACCGCGATGTTGTTTTCTTTATTCCCATCAATAGTATAGTTCGGATGAATAAAAACTTCGCTCTTAAATACTTGGAATTGAAAGAAAATTAATTAAATTTCATTGCTCCTCCTTAATTGATTGTTTCTGATAAATACTCAAGTGAATAATATCTCACAGTGAATATAATAATAAGGGTTATCTGATAACCTCAAGGTGTACCGTATAAACAAGTATTTTGAAGGTGCAAACTCGAGGCAACTTGCTGGAGTCAATGCGTATTGTGACGTAATAAATAGTTCCAACACATAAATTTCTAGTTGGAGTGGAATATGCAGCTATATCTTCTTCAATTATATCCACGAAAATTCTGTTTTGCCCATTAATATTATAAAATTGAAACGAAAAAATAAATTCTTTTAATTCGAGTTTCAACGTAAATATATTCCCACAATCATCAAGCTTTGTCTGTGTTGGATTTATTTCAATGAACTTGAGGTTTTATGCATGTATATATGTAACTAGCGATAATCTTAAGCGTAAAAATAGTGATAAGCCTTTTGTTTCGTAAATTTATTTAGTTTCAGTGTTGATTGAGTGAGGTTCGGAATTAAAATTTTCAGCTTCTCAATTTGAAAGGAATTCAAGATGAAAGTTATTGTTGATTGCGACACTGGAAATGACGATGCATGGGCCATAATTTCACTACTTAGGTCGGAAAAAATGCTGAGAAGCTACGAAGTTATTGCATTAACTTGCGTGCATGGAAACACAAGTGTAGAGAACTCAGCGTTGAACAACTTGTTAGTTCTAGAAACACTTGATCGTTTGGATATTCCTGTCTTCAAAGGTGCAGAGACCGGTTTCATCAAAAATAAAATATCAATCGTTCCATTTCACGGACTTGATGGTTTTGGAATGATTTATGATAAGAAACCGAGCAAGGAATTGATTCAAAAGAAACATGCAGTATTAGCAATTAAAGATCTTATTGATGAGGTTTGTTTATTAACAGAAAATATTTTTTAAGTTTATATTAAATTAATTCAAATTTCAAAGCACTCAGATGACGTCACAATCATAACTTTGGGGCCACTTACAAACATTGCGCTTCTCTTCAAAATGTTTCCTGGAATATCATCAAAAATTAAAAGCTTCTACCTTATGGGTGGAAATCATTTGGGAATTGGAAATATTACAAAATGTGCTGAATTTAATTTTTGGAACGATCCCGAAGCTGCTCAAATATTTTTTGAAGAAGTGAAATGTTCAGTTTATATTTTTCCACTTGAACCGTGTGTTACTGCTGGACTTTCATTGCCGTTAAATGAATGGCGGTTTAAGGTATTGTCGAGTAATAATAATCCATACACAAATCTGCTTGATCGAGTTGAAGCGAAAGCATATGGAAGTCGAAATTGGGATATTTGGACACCTTGGGATAATTTCCTCGTTTCTTGTTTCATCCTCCCACGCCTTATGAAAAAAGTGACAAACAAATTTGTAACTGTTGAATTATCCGGAAATCACACTCGCGGACAAATGATCATTGATCACCAGAAAAAGGAGAAACCAAATGCGTTTATTATTGAAGAAATTGATGTTGAAGAGTTTAAGAAATTTATGTTGTGGGTGTGTGAACACGATGTTCCTGATTTTAGTTTTGAGAAATAAACAAAACCAACAATTATCAATAGTGTTTTTATGTGTTTGTATAAAAACTGTTCACCACTATTTGATAAGATGAACCACATTTGGTCATTTACCCTACCAATGTGCGATGCCAAACCACATTAATTTCAACACCAATGAAAAAAATGAAATTGGTTTGTACACATTTTGTTTATTTTTCTACGAACGCAGATTGATAACGTACGTTAATTTAATCATACAACATCAAAATTATTTCAATGTTGATGACAAGTCAAAAACATTACAAAAGTTTGAATGTTTTCATGCGATGTTTCAGTTCACATCCTGACTTCAAAGAATTCAGACAAAATTTTAATCTTTTGTGCTTGCTAAGACATTAAAATATTAAAAATGAAGGTCATTATAGATTGTGACAGTGGAAATGACGATGCTTGGGCAATAATTACATTGCTGAGAGCTGAACAAAAGTTTAATTTCAAAGTTCTTGCTTTAACTTGTGTTGATGGAAATACTACGATCGATCATTCAGCTGTTAACAATTTATTGATATTAAAAACTCTTGATCGTTTAGATGTTCCTGTTTACAAAGGTGCAGACAGTTCGTTTATTAAGAAACACACTCAACATGAGTCATTTCATGGTCCTGATGGTTTTGGAATGATTTATAACAACAAACCTTCAGATGAATTAATTCAAAAGAAACATGCAGTTCTTGCGATTAAAGAATTCATTGATCAAGTAATTGCAAATTAGATTTAGTATAATTAAAGACAATTAATTTGTTATTTAAACAGAATCCAAATGATTTGTCAATAATTGCAATTGGTCCATTGACAAACATTGCCTTGTTGTTCAAACTTTATCCAGAAACAGCTTCAATGATAAAAGGACTTCACATAATGGGAGGAAATCACAAAGGAGTTGGAAATATAACTAAATGTGCTGAGTTTAATTTTTGGAGTGATCCCGAAGCTGCTCATATTGTTCTAGCTGAAGCAAATTGTCCAATTTATATTTTTCCTTGGGACCCTTCTCGGCTAGCCAGTGAATCGACACCATTTGACGAATGGCGGATAATGAAACTTTCAAATAATAATAATCCTTATACGAATCTTCTTGATCCAATCGAGATTAAAGCTTATCGAAATATTCTCGCTCATTGGTGTCCGTGTGATTGTTATCTTGCGAGTTGTTTTATCCTCCCACGCTTGATTAAAAAAATGAATAACTGTCACGTTACTGTTGAGTTATCTGGATATCATACTCGCGGACAAATGATAATTGATCATCAGAAGAAAGAGAAACCAAATGCATTTGTAATTGAAGAAATTGACGTTGAAGAGTTTAAAAAATTTATGCTGTGGGTTTGTGAACATCCCGATTCCGACTTTGAATGAATAAAAGTTTAATGTTTTTATTTATTTTATTCAATAAAAATTCGTAACCAAACAAATCAAAAGAATATTTTAATAAATTTCTGTTTTAACTCTTGAACCGAAGAAATTCTTCCATGAATGTGGGATTTTGATGTCAATTTTGTTTTCAGTTACTGGAATAACTTTTAGAACTTCGTTGACCTTTTCACAAAATTGCAGAGCATCGGGAACATTGTCACCTTCTGATACATACTTATAAAATATCACTGAAGGAATATTAAGTTCGGTTGCTCTCTGATGAAGATGTTTCGCATATCCACAGCCAGGAATACGAAAGTCAGCTGGTGATTCATTGAACCCAGGAAATTCCTTTCGTTTCATAAGTTCGTTGCTAAGATATTCATAAGGACTTTTTTCTACAAAATGCTGTTCATAACTGTATGCTGATGTGAGAATAATAACTTCAGAAATATTTTCGCTTTGTACAAATTCAAAAACTTCATTTATGTAGCCAAGTAACAATGCGGCAACGACCGGTGTTCGTGTTTGAAGAATTACAAGTTTATTTTTCTCACAAACAAACATTTCACTTGCTGTGGTGACTTCATCCTTATCGAATGTAAATGCTGAAGGACCATAAATAGGAATCACTCCTTCATTCCAAAGCTGAATTGTGAAATAAATAAATTTCAATCTTTATTGATAAATTTATCATATAACATACCAATGCATATTTCTCCATCTTCAATGATTCAATAAAGAGATCAGTTGACAATTGAGCAACATTTCCAACACAAACAGATGGCAGAAGTAGTTTAAAACCTGAGAGGTTTACATTTTTTAACTTTTTGATTGTCATGTTTGTTTATGTTTGAAAAGATCTTTATCTAAGATTTGATTCAGGAGGTTTTGTAGACCCCTTAAAAACGAATTCAATTTTTTATGAACAGACTTTGTTAAGTATAACCATGAAAATAAACAAACATCAAGAAAATATAAATACCCTATGTAGAACTATGGACAAATATATTAATGTCAAAGATTTATTTATTACTTCAAATCGCATTTATTTTTAACAAATTCTATTGTATAAAAAAATACGCTGAACATTTTCCAGTTACAAATCGTCATTCGCTTCATTTCAATAATCTGTAGTGCTATCAATGAGAGCCGCTCCACTACAACGTCTTTTGTGACTTTGAAGATCCCGATATGCTTCAAACATTTTGTCACAAGCGCATTTGTATATTTTATTCGTGTTGTGTAATTTTTCGCAATGTCTTCTGATGCTCTTCAAATCACGGCAATCATATGGACAATATTCACATTTGATTTTCACTTGTTGGTGACTCTTCTCGTGATTTCTTAAATCTTGTTTTGTGAGGAAGGTGGATGGACATTCTTTGCAGAAGAATTTTCTATCATCTTTACTTGAATGTCTGTAGACAAGATGGGAACTCACATGTTCCTTCCGTTTGAAACGTGCTCCACAAATCTATGTAAACATAATTGAGATTATTTTTATAGTATTTAGTAGGCACTAATAAATCATTAATTACCTCGCATGCAAATTTCCGTTCATCTTGACCTTTTGTATGATTCTTTGAAATATGCCTTTGAAGTGATTTGTCATCTGTGAATGTACATTTGCATATATCGCATTGAGCTTTTCGTGTGTGAGTTTTCATATGAGCCAGAAAGTCTGCACTTGAGCCAAAGCGACTTCCACAAACAAAACAAGTATTACTATCGCAATCAAGCGAATGAACTGTGTACATATGTCTCTTCATGGTGGTGCGAAAGGAAAATTCGATGCCACAATTTTTTATCCAGCATCGAAAAGGCTTTGGAGTGTCTTTAGGTCTCTTTACGTACTTTCGTTTGACCTTCGATGGAAGTTCTTCCATGGCAATATCTTGATCGTAAACAATAATTTCTTCATCTCGATCTGTAGTTGCAATACAAACTTCGAACTCATCGCAGCCCTCTTCCTGTTCTTCATAGTTATCGTCAAGTTGTTCGATAAATGTCTCATTTTCGTTTTGACTTTGATGTTCCTCATCGTTGAAATTTTCTTCAACCTCTGTTGCTGAGTTATTTATATCAACTTCCTGCTCTTCTAGTTCCGTTTCAAAAGTATCTTCTGGCGTATTCTCGCATTCATCGTAGTTTTCACAAGAATAACTTACACTATCGTCGTGTAATTCTTCTTCTGATTTTGTCATTTCATTTGCTTCTTGTAATGATTCAAGTTCATATTCTTCGTTGTCTTCTAATTCAAAGTATATTTCGTCTTCTTGTTGCGTTTCATGTTTTATGTTATCTTTAATCTGAGAAACTTCACTATTATTGCCTAATAGTTTATTCAAACGTTTTTGGTTTTCAATCAAGCCATTTCTTTAAAAAAAGTTATGCTTAGTCACTAAAATATTAAATTCATTTAATTTTTATATTTACCTGTATAAGCAATGTTTATTATAGTGTTGATCAAACTCTTTTATGCAAGGAATGCAGACTTCTGAAGGAAAGTTTGATTTCTGTTCATGATTATCAGGAATTGTAATATTAAGGTTTGTTATTTCATAAAATTTCTTTTCAAATTCTTTATCGATTGGAAAGAAAAGTTCTTTTTTCTTTATAAGACAGAGTCTACAAACATCTGTTAACTTCATTTCAAAGGATTTTGAAATAATATTTCTTCCACTTTAGCTTAAATTAATTCATTAAGAACGATTAGAACAGAAATTGAAAGTTTGGTTCATGAGGAAGTCCTCATTTGATTACGAGCAATATATTTTCTACGCGCGCTACACACTCCACCTGAAACTAACTTTGGTGAGGCGAGCTTCAGGTAGAGAGTGTTAACATTAACCTTTTCCGTATTGCGCGACATCTATAATCATTTTTGGTAGAGGGGAAAGAACTCTTACAAATAGTGGCGCATTAGCATATAATTCAAATCAATCCGAATTAGTTTGTTTTTAAGAGTTAATTAAATAAATTTGACTGTCAAATCTTGTGATTTACTTTTTTGTAGCGACATTTTAAAATCCGTTAAGGCGACATCTCCCAGAAATTTCAGGAAGTGAAAGCTCGGGCCCATGTTTATGATGTACTCAGTCATCATTTCCGACTTTGGTACGTTCGCGCGGGTTTGACCTCCCATACAAAATACCCAGAAAAAATTTCTCCGTGCGTGATAATTTCTCCGTGCGAGATAATCGATCGTAGCGCCGCCACTAAAAATATATTTTCGTCACTCCCTGATAAAAAAATCACTCCCTGATATTGCGATGGCAGCGCCGCCAATGGTTGCATAATGAACTATCTACACTTTAATAACTGTCGCACACTTTTATAGGAAAAGTCAAGACACTATTTTTGAATATTTTTCAGTTAAATGTAAATGAACAAAAAGGAAGAGTGAATTTCCTTAAAATTTTTAGTTGGACCTAGGATAGAAAATTTTTGAGAAAAACTTGAATAGGACTTAATTTCATATTTCTTTTCGTTTGACCCATACATTTCTATATTAGTAAACGAATCTCATATCTAAATGCAGAAAGAAAGGAATTATCGAAGCTTTTAATCAAAGAGATATTTAATGTTGATACGAGATTTTAATCAAAAAATCAAATTGATATAATTTTTAATTATAAATTTGGATTAGGTGAAAAGATAAACTCTTGTATCAGTTTTTGAGTTTTATGATGTTTTATTGAATTGACCATACATAAAATCTACGAAGTAATGGAAATAAATAAATTAAATAACAAAGTGGTGAAGGAAATTAGATAGATGATGGAAAATCTAAATAAATATCCCCTGATTTGCACTTGATAAAATTTCTTGTCAACAACAAGAACTCTTTTGTTATAAGTAAATAAATTCAATCATAAATTAAAGTCACGAAGCACAAACATTAACAAGTGCTATTTCAATTTTAAATTATTCAAATTTTTCTATAATTGTTGCATCATGTAGAACTTTCAAACTTTTAATGCTGCAATCTTATTGACAATTTCATATTTACACTTACAATTTTTAAAAACTTTTGATATAGTATAATACTGAACATGCATAGTATTTATTTTATCAGCTGATTATATTAATTAAGGTGATTCCATTTGATTTCCTGAATCTCCTTCAGGATTCTTCTCTTTGGTTTCCGCTGCTTTCTGATTTTCTTCTTTCAATTCCTTCAAAATTTCTCTGTTCGACATTAAGATATCTATTAATTGATCCTTGATGTTGTCAACATTTGATTCCATTGTATCGAGGATATTATTCAAGTTGTCAATTTCATTGCTTACACTTTCAAATTCTGTGTAAATTAAAATCAGATAAAAACATGTAAACAGCTATTTAAATTTAATTTATTTTACCTTCTAGATCTACATTAGTGTTGTCTGAATTATCTTCTGCAGTGCTTTCACCAGGAGTCTTATTCAAACCCATGTTGTTATCGTTTTGATTTTTGTTGTTATCCATCTACGATATTTTTATGGTCACATGAATAGAGAAGAAGTTAGCGAGATAAAATTTATTTCCGACTGTTCATTAGTTCACATCCTGTCTGACTGTCCATAGAGAAACAAATTTTATAGCAAGACAAGCTGTCAAATTCAATATCGCGGGGCCTTAAACTATGGTCTTTCTTTTTGACGTGAGTTGATTTTCGTGAGGTAAGGAAATATTTTAAAAATATTAAATTCTCGATGTAAAACCAAATCTTTTAGAACCTTATATGCATTAGTCTTATCATCAGTAAAATTCCAACATTTAGAATGTGTTTCCATCATTCGAGATATTGTTTCAACTACTTTATTTGAGTTAACAAAATCCTAACCGCACGTTGCTTACAAAAATTACTAAGAAATTTCATAATTAATTATTAAATTTATTTTTATTCTTTCAGATAATCAAAATGCAATTACACATTCGTGGACAACAAACACACGTGTTAGAGGTTCAACCCTCAGAAACAATTGAAAATGTCAAGGTATGTAGTTTTAGTGAAAAAATTTATATGCAGACAATTCAGCTGGTCTCCGGAAGTTTAATTTCGTCGACCTTCCAGAAGTCTTGCTAAACTAAATAATGATCATCTTAATGAGGATGTTGATTTGTAACCATCGTCAATAAATCTCGAGCGGTGACCAAACATTTCTTTCTCGTCTATAGCTAAGAGAATGAAAAAAATGTAAAAAATTGCAGTTTTCAGCGAATTTTCGTTTAATCTTTTAACGACAGATTCTCCTAAATACTGCTATAGTAAATGTTATGATCCATGAGGACAATCTAATCTTGTTATGGTTGTTTCCTAAAAGTCATTCCAAACATTTAAACTTTTCGAGAATTTTAATCTTTTTACTGGATTTGAATGAATTCTTTGCTAATAATTATTTAATGTTTTCAGGCAAAGTTAGCACTCCTTGAGAATGTCATGGACATTGATTTTACCCTCTCTTGTGAAGGAAGTATCTTGGCAAACGATTGTGAAGTCTCATCTTTGGGAAGCATCGAATTGGATTTGACTGTTCCATTGTTAGGAGGTAAAGTGCACGGATCATTGGCTCGTGCTGGCAAAGTCAAGGGACAAACACCAAAAGTTGAGAAACAAGAGAAAAGAAAGAAGAAGACCGGACGTGCAAAGAGACGTATCCAATTCAACCGTCGTTTTGCTAATGTTGTTCAAGCTTTTGGACGACGACGTGGTCCTAACGCAAATTCAGCATAAGAAATTTTGTAATGTCTTAATAAGCTTATGCATTTTCTGAAATAAAATTATTTGATGGAAGTCACCTTTCCAACAGAATGTTGTGTTTTATTTTTATTTTTTATTTATTAGAAAGGGAATGAAGAAATCAGGTACAAGAAAATGTCTTCATTACAAATAATGTCACAATTTTAAGAAACTTTCAGATTGTCAAATTTTATGAGAAATTTCCGTTCATTTCTTTAATTAATGACGTAGATTCACCCATGGCAATAATACTATCAATCAAGCTATCAATAAAAAATCAGAAACCAAAAAATTCTTGTGACATATCTTACAAAATGTTCCCTTGTCAGTTATTTTTTCATTCTTATTTCAAATATTTCGTGTCATGTGATGTTTTTTAAAAAAGTCTCATTTAAAATAATTTTTCAATAGGAAAGCTACGCCGAAAAATAATAAATTGAAGAGATAAATGTGTAAAGATCTTTTATACTTAATTAACATTACTTTAAACAACATCTTGTAATGGATAATTTGATCAATTTCGATGAAGTAATCGACAACAAAAAAATTCAACGCTCGAAATCGCCAATTCCATTTGCTTATCCTCTTTTGGTTCCTGAAAAGTTAACAAATGACATAAACAATCCATTCGATCGATTAGAACAATGTTTAGCATATCCTGACGATCCTTTTGAAAGCATTGAAACTCAAGCTCAATTGAAAATAAAAATTGATCCTAACGAGGAACTTCATCTTCAGGATGGCTCATTGTAAGTAGGCGTCGTCTTTTATATAAAATAAAATCAAAAAACATTCTTTGTAACACTTTTAGATTTTCCTTCGATTGCTTCTCAATGGATTCATCTCAATTGTCATCATCGTCGAATAAAAATCAAAGTACAAAGAACAGCAGCTTGAACAGCGAATTATCTCATAAGACTGTGAATCGAAGTCAATCTGACTCAAGTAGCACTGGCAACTCGAAGTTATGTCATGAAAAATTAATTAAAAACAATTCAGCTGATAGTATTCAGAAAAAGTCGCAGCCATTACTTCGATTGAGTTTCTATAACTCACCAAATTCTCCTTTAAAGTGCTCCTCATTTAATAACAACTCAGATGCCGACAACATTTCCGTTGAAGCTAAAAAAATTGCAAAAAAGTTTGCTTTGTCTAAGGAACTCTCAAATGAAGATATCAACAACATTTCAAGTCAACTTGTTGACATTTCATTAAACGATTCAGATTTTCAAGATCTGAATTTAAAGGTTCTGGACAATAAAAACTCAACGGTCGTCCCTTCACCACCATCAGCAGATAAAATTGCTAAATTACAAATGCAACTTCAACGAATAAAGAAAGAGGCTGACAATGAAGTTCCAGTTCCAGTTAAAATTAAACAAGAGAAACTCTCGCCAATTAAACATGAAGATAAAATTAAAGAAGAAGAAATTGATAATAAAGAGTTTGAGGGAATTTTACAAAACTTAAGGAACGTCATGTCACTCGGCAACAAAGATGAAGCGAAGAAACATTTAAATCGTTTGAATGAATTGATTGGTAAAGATGAGAAACCTTCAAATGAAGCTAAAAATACTTTACATGTTCAGCCAATTGTTCGTCAAGATACGTTCGAGATCGACGCTGATACTGGAAACCGAAGCTATAAAAACTCGACGACACCGCAAAAAAATGGGAGTGAAGAAATTGTAAAGAAATTATCGGAAATTTTAGGAAGTTCAGCAGTCGAAGTTCACTCCTTGGATTTAGGAAAACATGCAATGAATCAAACGAAGCTTGTTGTTGTAATGCCAACAAGTACGCCAATGAAGAAACCTCAAAGGCCTTCTATGTCGATGAGTACGTCGAAAGTTCCGACGTCAGCAATCAAAGCATTAGAAAAGAAACGGCCACTGACGCCAATGAGAAATTCTCTGACGTCAGATCGTCTTAAACGTCTGAGTTCAGCAACGGCACCCCGTCCAGTAACAAATTCAAATCCTTATGCACAAAAACTTGGTGTTGGAACAGTTCGGAAGTCATTAATGGGATCAATGGAGAAAAGTCCACATAATTTAAAATCATCGATTGATGGAAGTCGTAAAACTATGACAGGAACACCGCGACGATCAGTTTCAATGAAAGCATCGATTCCACAAGTTAGTGTTAGTAAGCCATCACCAACAAAATCATCGAATTTCCGTCCATCAACAAGTGCAGGCGTTAATTCAACAACGAATAAACGAACGTCCATAGCTTCATTTGATAAAAAACGACCATCAACTGTTACAGCTTCGAAGCCATCGTCATTATCAAAACAAAACTTTTCAAAGTTCAAAACACCATCAGCTGTTCGAAAGGTGCCTAAAAATGATGACGGAAGTCTTGTTTAATTCGATTCTTCCGAAAAGTTGTGATTCACATTTAAATCTTGTCAATTAAAACTTTTTTTTATTATTAAACATTCCAAAATAAATTTCCTGCCATTTTCAACAATAATTAAACTTTTTTTTTGTTAATTAGATGATTAGAGAAAACTAAATTTAATGACAATCATATCTGTGGACAATTGTTGATTGCCGTTGACCGTGATTTTTGTTTTAAAAGCTTCTCAATTCAAGTTGCAAACTGAACACTTACTTAGATATCTTGTAAAGGAAAATAAAAGTTCGTTTGCAAAAGGAAATGGAAAAATTTATTATAAATTGATTAGTCGCTTTCCTCGACTGAAAAAGGAAATTAAAAATCAATTTTCACTCTCGGTTTGTGGTGTTGAAATGGCAGAAAATACCGCAGTTTAAAACACGACCTTTTATTAATGATCGCATCGAACTCGTGAAGTTTTAAATTAACTACATAGTTGTATGATTTGAGGAATGTAAAAATAAATTTTTGAAAAGCTTAAACTTTCCTTTCTCGTTCCGTTTAATTAATCAGCTTTTCCTTTAGACACTTTCTCGTAACTTTTCATTGAAATCGTTTTTTTTTTTCTCTCAGTTTCTATTTGATTGACATCGGTCCTTAAGTAATCTCTTTTCATTGATATTTCTCTATTCTGATACAAGAAAAGGTATCTTTAAATATATTTAATCCCAATATTTCCCTCCATATCCATTCAAGACACTAGAAAAGTAAGTTAGAGCAGTTAAAATTTATTAGTTTCGTCTGTCCCCCTTCTTTCCTTGATTAATATTTCTCAATGTCGAAAGTAATTTTCATAATTTTTTATCGTCAAAAAAAATCCCAACGATTAGTTAGAAGATGGAAAATGGCTCGTTCACAAGGGATAAATGACAGTTATTCAACAAGTGAAGAAGACAGTCACAGAAACATAAATTTTTATGACTTTAATCTACATAAATTCATGCTTAAATGTATGGAAATCTATTACCGATATTGATAAAACAAAACATTGGTAGATGAAATATTTTTGATTAATTTTTCTTCTTCATCATCATCTTCGCCTCAATCATGTGACGACATCATTAAAAGCAACTCGTAAAAAGTTGTGAATTTATTTTTCTCTCTCCTGAAATGTTTACTATTGAGCGAAATTGACCTTCGGATTTTTATTTTGGGGATTTGATAAACGACAACAAGCACTTTACAAGATGTTGATAGAGCGTTAATGACTTTTATTTGTTACGCATGATGAGCGTGCTGCTAATGGAACTCAACGTAACTTATGATTTGAAAGAGTTTCTCTCAATCTTACATTCTTGTTAAATTGTTTGACTTTTTCAATTGTTTCTTTGTATCAATTAATTAATTTGTTTATGAAAACCGATTTCGTCTCAGTGACATTGAACATGTGTTGGGAAGCGGCTGAGTAAAATTTTCAAATCTCTTATCGGATCATAAAACAATTTGTTGGAAAGATTTGCATGATAATTAATTGAGTTGAGTCTCTGGACATTCATGTTTTTTGTTTACAATTAAAAAATAATATTTCAGTTGAGTTGAAGTGCGATGGTGTTGTAAATAGCGTGACAATATTCAACATCGGGATCGAAGAGAGCTTTCCGAGCATTTCGGCTTGAGAAATGAAAATCGGAAAAACTTTTCCACTCACTACAGTTTTCTCAAGCGAAGAGCTTCATTTCTGTTTAGTTTCGTGCTAACCGTCGAATCGTTAACATGGAAAAAGTGAAAGCAAATGAAAATTCTTGTAAGCATTGTGACTTTTGAAAAAGGAAATTGTGGCAAAGTACTTTTTTATGATCTTCCATTGCATTGCATTTTTACTCCAGGTGGAGTCATTAGAAAAATGAAATTAATTATTTATAAAATACTTACGTTTGCACGGAACATGAACACCTAAAGAAAGTGAATAAATGCAAAGTTTTATTTAAACTTAAAGTTCATTCGTGGTTGAAGTCATTTCGACTTGCTTTCATTTTACATAATCAACAAGGAGGAATTTTAATTAAAGTTTATTCAAGGAAAACAGTTTAAAAGTGAGAAATAAAAGGAATCCTTGGCTTTTGTTGATAATCCTAAGAATTGTTTGAAACATATGTGAAGTCACACTTCATGATAAAATAAACGCAGCGGAAAGCATGGAAAATTCAAGTGTTGAATATTCATTCGCACATGATTCACGATGAAGGCCTTTTATATATTTTTATTGTACATATCTATGATGGAAATTTATGACGATTCATTCTTTCATGTCTTCAAATCTATTAGAGGGAGTGAGATAACAAACTAGACGAACAAAACTGATTTGGTTCAAGACAAAAAGAAAAATTTGAAAATCAAAACTTTCACTTAATCTTCCTTAATTATATGTTGTGAACAGGTGTTTCAATACATTCGTGTTAAATCAGTGTTAATAAAAGAACTATCGATGATTCATTCCTATAATTAACAGAGTTGGGATTTGACTGACTGACTGACAGACATTGACTTGTCAGTCAGTCAGTCAAACGACTTGAGCGGAACATTTGTATGAACGCTTCCCAACATAAGAACATTTTTGTTTGCGATTTTGACTGACTGACTGACTGACTGACAGACATTGACATGTCAGTCAGTCAGTCAATCGAGTTGAGCGTGCAATTTGCCCATCTCTGATAATTAAAGGAAATATTTCATATTTGTAATTGTCATTTAATATTTAATAATCCTAATTGATTGATTTCCTTCGTAGATACTTTTTGGAGATTTATTGCGAGAAAACTATAAACAGACAATAAGAAGAGAAAGAACAAACACAATAAAACTAGTTGGAAATAAATATTTGATTAATTTAGGAGACGTCCGAGAAAACAAAAATTTTCCTGAAGACCTTCACTTCCAAGTGGAAGCTTTCTTAGTTTCTCGTGAAAATAATATTTCATATTTCACTTTCTTGAATATCCACACAAAAGTGGGAAAAGCTTCCAAACATAAATAAACTATAAATTATATCGCACGCACATTTTGCCGGGTAACTGCTTTAAGAGGGTTGAACTTTTAATCGATACGCGAAATAATAAACAACATCAAGCGGATAAGTGATGATAAGAAGCAGTTAATTGTTTCTCTCTTTGCCCTAACAGGAATTGGGCTGTGAATGGAAATTGAAAATGGGAATGGAGCTTTTATCACAGACAATGCTATGTTATAGAAACACATTAAATGAACAGCTGATAATGACATAAAAGAACAGAAACAAACACTCCCAGATTTTTATGTTCTGCTGCAAAATTAAATATAAAAAAACTTCGCATTGTTATTTTAGATTATCTGCTTTCTAGAAAGTTAATTGATTTTGAACACTTTCAGATAGATTATTAATTGATGTTTCATTAAACTTGCTTCTTGAAAATCTTATCTTAAAGTTTTCTCCTTTTTCTAGAGAAAAAAGAAACTTTTAAAAATCATTACAAATTTCAAACTCGTCTGAATCACATTAAACCTCATAAGGAATATCTGATGAGAACTTAATTCATCGTTTTTACTCGCCACATTTGTTCCCTCCTTTGTAATTCCATCCTCGTGTCTCGTGTTAAACGATAATAAATGTTTATATGCAACACAACAAATTTTCTCAGCGCTTCTAATCGTTGAATGCTTTATTTCGCGAGTGATAAATAAAAGAAAAGTTAAGAAAGAAAATTGGAAAATGGAGCGATTTGTGTAAAGAAAATATAAATGCTTTTGAAAGCTTTTTTTTTTTGTTGTTTTTGGAATCATTAACCGTGAATGTTGGGAAACAATAAAAATTATAATAAAACAAAAATAAAGGCGGGATAAGAACATAAGTCGGAATAAAAACAAACTTTAATAATGGTTCTATGGATAACTCAAAGTGCGATTTTAATTAATTTAATTTTAACAATAAATTCTCAAAGTTCCTTTCCTAACACAACAACAAGCACAAAACGTGTGTCAGCAGCGACGATAATTGGTGACTTTAAAATAGGATTTCTCGTTTCGGTTCGTCTCTACACTCCTGTAAAGAAACACACAAGAAATTTGGAATGTGGAAAGGTGAGTTTATTAATCAATCGAGATGAAAATAAGTGTAAGAAAGGATGAAGGGGAAAATTAACTATGTAAATGATAAATATTTACAGAATTTCTAAAAGAGTTCCAAAGGCTTTCTCTTGATAATAAGTTTTGTCAAATCTTTTGTGTTACTTCGATGAAGCATGGGAGAAAAGCACTCGTGAGTCTTGTCACAGTTTGCCATAACAAATATTTTATTGCGGTAGGAATCCCAAAATGAAATATAACTAACACATTATTTAACATTCATCAAGCAGTTCGTTGATTGTTCTGAACAGGTCAGGGAAGAAAATTTTAGTAGGTAATTCATGAGAAAGTTTAATACTTGGGAAATCGTGTCGCATTTAAAATATTTATACTTCGTCAAGTGGAAAGTGGAGTGAGTTACAAGCGGAAGCAAACGAAAATCTAAGAATAAATAAACGCGCGAAAGAGCTGAGAAAATTGTTCTCTAATTTAAATTCATAAAATTCCTGACTTATGAAATGTGAAACATGAGAAAGTAATTTGATTATGACGTCATTGAAAAGTATTTCATTTCCATTTATTTGCATGGTGTCAATTATCTTTCTGCACGCAAACTCAGCTTTGTGCCTTAATGACTGATACAACGATGATTAAGCGACAATTCTTTCTTATTTTCTTTTGCTTAGATCCGCGAACATTACGGAATACAAAGAGTCGAAGTTATTTTTCAGACGATCGATAAAATTAATCAGAATCAAGATCTGCTCAGAAATATCACGCTTGGTGTAGAAATCCGTGATACATGTTGGTATGCTCCGATAGCTTTACAACAAACGATTGAACTTATCAGAGAATCAATAACTCCATTTTCGGGAAAGAAGACGACAAATGCTCATAAAATTGAGCAATGTTCGAGATCTTCGTTAGCTCATGGCATTCATGAAGATTCTCCATTGATAGGAATTGCGGGACCAGCCTCAAGTTCAATCGCCCTTCAAGTTCAAAACCTTCTTCAACTTTTCTCCATTCCACAAATCGGATATTCGACAACCTCTAAGGACTTGTCAGATAAGATGAGATTCAACACGTTCATGCGTGTTGTACCGTCTGACTACTACCAAGCCCAAGTTATGATCGATATTGTAAAGTTCAACAACTGGACGTACATTTCCACTGTTCATACCGGTAAATAAATGAAAAATTATTTGAAAACAAAATTAATTCTATTAAATAACAGATGAAAATTATGGACAGTCAGGAATTCAAGCATTTCGTGAACTTGCAGATCAAAATGGAATTTGCATTGCTCGTGAAGATTCTGTAAGAAATTTTTTGTTGTTTATTTATACCGAAATGAGTTTTAATAACATTTTTCGTACATTCGTGAAGATTTTAAGCAACGACGACGAAGAAAAGTATATCGAGTTGATGGACAATTTAGAGAAAGACGATAACGCCAACGTAATAGTTTGCTTTTGCGAAGGAATGACAGTTCGAGGAATTCTCAAAGCTATCAAGCGACTTAATCTCACTAATCGTTTCCTTATTATTGGAAGTGATGGATGGGCTGACCGTCAAGATGTTGTTGCTGATTATGAAGCACAAGCTGTTGGATCGATTTCTATTCGAATTCATTCTCCTTACTTAAAGTCATTTGACGATTATTACTTCTCATTAGACCCTTTCGAGAATCATAGAAATCCTTGGTTCAAAGAGTTTTGGGAAGATAAATTTCAATGTAAAATGCCACTTGAAAGAGTCACAACAACTACGACAAGAACGACTACAGAATCTAGTTCAACATCTTCAGACTTTTTCGAGACATTAACAACAGAAGATTTTGATAACTACACAGATTATACGACAGTTTCACAAGAGCCAATGACAACTCAAACTCCTTTTTGTACAGGTAATTGAAACATGAGCTTCAGGCTTTTGTCGCGTAACACTTTTCAATTCATCATTGATGAAACATTCTTGCACTTGTTGCTTACTAACCATAAAGATAGAATGAAAAGAAAAACTTGAAGTTTACAAAGCGGAAAGAGATCTCAATGTGAACTTGTTCGCATATCAAAAAATCCTTTCATCATGTTTACTTTTTAATGCTTTGATATAAAACAAGCAGTGACGGGATGTTTCATATTGTTAAATATGAATATTTAAGTCTCAATTTCAAAGCCATCATCATTGAGTGTTCCGTGAAAAAAAATTAACTTTTCATTCGAATTGTGAATAATGAATTAAGGTTCAAAATGTTGATTTGCTTTACAGCATAGTTCGAAAAGTGTTTGAAAAAGCTTCGTCACTTTAATCATTAAAAAAGCTTCATGTAGAATAAATATTTTAATTAATTCTTATTACTAAACATGAATTCCCATTCTTGTACGATGTATTAGAATGTGTTGCTACCAGCCATTGTTAATTCAGTTGTGACATAATTTCTATATGCATCTCAAAGGAAATGAAAAGTAAATAAGCTTGGTCTGGGTGGAGTTTTTATTTCCCACAAAGCGACTTATTAAATTGCTAACAAAAGACAATTTCTTACCTTTCGATATAAAATATAAATGAACATCATATAAATATTAAGAAAAGGTTGAGTACGATTGAGTCATTTAGGGATTTAACTGATAAAGTTTAATTCTCATTCCAATCACCTGTGGATGTTAGATCTGTAAATGATACCTTTACGAGACGAGCTTCTACGAAATTGTCGATTTGTGTGTAGTTGATAATGAAAATTTCATTCATGAACATAAAAATGAGAGAAGAAATATTTCTCTCTAATTCCTGCTAAAAGCACGTGGCAAAAGCTCATTCTCAGAGAGCTTTTAACTAAAGCTCTCATTTATCTCTCTCATTTTCTTTTATCATTCTATCTGCCATCCCTGTTAAGTTAAAATTAAATTTTAATGTCTCGACAGGTTATGAAGACAACACGAAAAATCACCGACAAGAACCAAAATTAAGCTTTCTTGTTAAAGCAATTTACACGATGGCTTTTGGACTGCAAGCTTATCATGATGATGTGTGCGGCAAGGATTTTATTGGCGTTTGTCCAAAACTTGAGAAATCGTTTAACCACACGATATTTTTTGTATGTGAAAATCTGCTGTGACTCAGCAAAGGGTCAATCACGTTAATGTTTTCTTTTTTCTGTTAATCTCTACAGAATTACCTGATGAATGTCTCATTTGTAACTGATGAAAGAGATAACGTTGATTTTAATCAAGATGGGGATGTTCTCGCCCACTATGATATTATGAATTTTCAACATGTTAATGGATCATTTGCATATGTTAAGATTGGAGATTGGCACAATCATACTTTGTACTTCTCAGACGAATTAAAGACACCAAATGGTACATTAAAGTTCTTATCGGTTTGTTCAAAACCATGTTCTGCAGGATACTACAAGGTAACTAAATCCAATCAAATTTTAAGTGTTAATTAGTCAAGCTATTAATTTTTTTATAATCTTTCTTTCATTACAGATATTTCAGGAAACCGGAGATGCGATTCAAAGTTATTGTTGTTGGATGTGTGTCGCTTGTGAAAATAATCAATATCTGAAGAATGAAACTTATTGCGAAGATTGTCCTTTGGGTTCATGGCCAAATAAACAACAAACAGGTATGAAAAGATAAATTTTTTGCTCATGCCAAAGATTTTAAATTATTAAATTATTCTTTTCTTTTGTTTGGATTTAATTTCAGTTTGTGTTATAAATCCAATAGAAATTATGGAATGGTCAAACATTGAATCGGTGATTTCAACAGCGTTTTCCATCTTAGGAACAACATTGTCAGGCATTGTGCTTATAATTTTTATTCATTATAATAATACGCCAGTCGTGAAAGCATCAACACGGGAACTTTGCTACATTGTCTTAGTTGGAATGATTTTGTCACATCTTTCAATATTTTTCATTCTTGCACATCCAACAGTCGAAATGTGTGCACTCAGTCGGGTTTTGCCAGGAATTTCATTCTCAATGATTTATGGAAGTTTACTGATTAAAACAAATCGAATTGCGAGGCTTCTTGCGATATCCAAGAAAAGATTTCCATCGAAAAATCTCAAATTTATGTCACCATTATCACAAGTTATTCTAGCAGTTTTATTAATTTCCATTGAATGCTTCATTGCTATTGGAATTCTTTATAAAGAACCACCGGAAACTGAACTTCGTTACCCCCGTGAAAATCAAAATTTGCTTGTTTGTAAGGAATCAACAGAAACAATCATTGTTCCACTTGCTTTCATTTTCCTTCTAATATTTTTGTGTACTTGGTTCGCATTTAAAACGCGAAATGTTCCAGAGAATTTCAATGAAACGAAATTCGTTGGATTTGCAATTTACACAACCTGCGTCATCTGGATTGCGTTCTTTCCAATTTATTATGGATCAGAAATGCAAATAATAACAAAATGTTTGTGTATTTCCCTTTCATCAATCATGACGTTGACGTTCATGTTCCTTCCAAAAATTTATATAATTCTTCTTCATCCTGAGAAGAACATCCGAGCATTATTCACAACTTCAAAATCTATTCGATGTCATATTGGCGCAACACGACACACAAATCTTTCACATAAAACATCAAGTTCAATATCGGAATACGGTGCACCAACCAGTGAATTTGAGCCAACATTTCAACGATCTTTTAAGAAATCTTCTTCGTCTCAAACATCAACTGAAAAGCTTAACGTTGAGCGCAATGACAAGTCATGTTCGCCCATCACCGATGAAGTTTTCGAATGCTTCTTAACAGAGAAAAGTGATACACTTTTGAATTCATCTCCTCAAGATCCATATTACGTTGTAGCAAAGAACTCTGAGTATATGAGAGTTCCAACGTCTCCAAATCACGGTAAATTGAAAAACAATAAAATCTACATGAAAGAGAAATATTTAAATGGAAACTTATATATTCATCCATCGATGAATCCCACCAGGAAGCTGCACCATCATAAACCAAAGCGTCGTGTTGAAAGTCCTAAACCTGTTTTATGTGTAGAGTGCTTAGAAATGGAGAAAAGAAATGTGAAAATTTTACCGAATGTCATAAACAAACAAATTGTTACAATAAAAAAGAAATCTCCAATTTTTACAGTCGAAAGAATTCCATTTGAATCTAATGAAACTTCACATACAACAGACGATCAGAGAAGAATCGCTATAAGCGAAGAAAGTTTGTCAGAATGTTCGATTAGCGACACTGCTTGTGAGCTTAAACGAATAACAATTAAATTAAAATAAACTTTCCAAAGTCTTTTTTGTAGTCGATGAATTACGTAATTTTGTGCCAATATTTAAGTTAATTAGAAATGTCTAAAAAAAAGAAATTTTCTCAATGAAAAGTTTTTGAAGAAAAATAATTTTTCAGCATAAATTTCAAGTGAACATAAAAAAATTGTCTTGAACTTGAAAATATTTTTATTAAATATAATTCTAGTTGAAAACTATAAATCTTCCTTACTTACAATCAAATATCTTAATTCTCTCTCTTTTAATTAACCATAAATAAGAAAAAGGAAGGAAAAGAAATGAAAAAGTTTAAACTTAAAAAGCATTTATTTACATTCAAGAATTATGCTGAATGAGCTCATCAATTGTGGGACGAGATTAACTGCTGTAGCACAGTTCTTGATAAACTTTTTAATATGACTTTTAATTCTTTTAATGAGATTATTGTTGTTACATTTGATTGATTCATATTTATTGTGATTTTTTAGTAGTTTCCTTAAACTGTTTAAGATTTCTTTACAAGAATCATGTTCATGTCTTTTTCTTAAGTATAACTAAGAGAAAATCTTTGAAAGCTTCTGGAAAGCTTAGTTCGTAAGTATAAACAAAAGAACTTTTTTCCATGCACGCACGTTTATATATTTAAGTTATTTATGAAAATAAATTATAGAAATCTTCATCTTAGATCTGAAATTCATAAGTCTTGTATTGAATCTGAATCTGAATAGAAAAAAGAAAGAATTAAAATAAACACAAAAAATTAAATGATAAATTTCACATCAACTGGGAAAAGTAATTTTATTAACAGCCACAAATTCTCAATGAACAAACTCATTTGTGAGATAATTTTGATTATTTGTATTATCAACAATGACGCTTGTGTAATGAGCATTTGTCGATGCCTTAAAATCGTTATTATAAAGTGAAGTATTCGACGAATCATTCATAGAGGGGAAGGTGGGAAATGTGAATGTATAATCGTTCTCGAAATGTTGTTGTTGATGATTTGGATTTTGCTGAATGTGATGATTGTTGAATAAATGTTGATGTTGTTGTTCTTCCGAACTTGAACTTGAACAACTGTTGGAAGTAGCTGAATAAGGTCGTAAAAGATTCGATTCGGTTTGTGTTGGTAAGCCGGTGCTGTTGTCCATGAAGTAATTGTAATATTGGTCAGTATCATTGAATTCTTCATGATGATGATGACTCGTTGTCATCGGTTGTTGATGATTAGACATTGTTTGATGGACGTAAGGATTGTATTGATCGTAGTCATTAGTTACATGATGTTGATGATGCAACTGACTCTCATTATGCGATATGTGCATATTGTTATTATTATTTAAATGCTGAAAGCTTTGAATTTCCTTATGATGAAGTTGATGATTAACCGGTAATGATGTCTGATGTGATTGAACATTTTGATAAACTGGATTTTGCGTGGGTGTACTTATAATTGGAGTTCGACTTGGCGTTGATGATAATTCTGTTGCCGGTCTATTAATTGTGCCTTGAACTTCATTTAATAACAAATCTTTCGCTTCTTTCTGACTAAGAACATAATTAACGCTAACAATACAGAGGGGTCGTGACGACCGTGAATTCTGAACAACAGTTGCGTAACTTTGCACCCATGTCCATCCTCCACTCTTCGTCATAAATCGATAGTATTTAGTTGTAACTTGTCCTTTGTACATCACTAAAATAAACACAACCATAAATAACAAATCAATTTTATTACCTCGTAAAACAAAAGCAATAAACTTACAGATCTGATGTGCATATCGCATGGGAAGAACGTCAGATGCGTGAATGTATTGATATAATGTCTTTTCTATCAAGTCTTGTGGCTCATATCCGGTGAGTTGTGATACTCTATGAGAATAAAAAATCGTGAAAAGGTTTTTAAGTGAAATTGATATCGAATAAAGCAAATAAAGCTATCTTTAAAATAAATAATCGTATACATTTCCATGCTTGTGTAACTGATATTCAACATGCTGGCACTTGACTCGTGCACATCTTCACAAATAGATGGCGCTACATGTATGATAGTTTGCGATGAATTTTTTTCTCATGTAGACAAAATAAATAATGAAAAGTACAAACAAAAAAAAATGCATCATATTTAATTCGCAATAACGAGTTGTAATAAAAATTTGCAGTAAATTTGATGAGATTTAACACGTTTAATGGATTTCCCTTTTTTTCTTTTGCAAAAACGTTAGCGTTGTTTATTTATGGGAGGTTGAAGGAGAAAGCAAAGCTCGTTGCGGGGGTGAAAAAATGAAAATGTGTCTAGTTAGTGAGCTAGAGAGGGACGAAAAATGAAGAGAAATAAATCCCCATCATAACAAAATTCAATGATGGGAGCCAGGAAATGGTGATGATGTTTCATGGAAGCTTCTGTATTGAGAATCGGGTGAATGTTCAAATATTTACTTTTCTTTAAACAACAAGAAGAAGAGAGAAGAAAAAATGATCAAATTGGTATTTATTTGTGATGTCGGTCGTCATTTCATGAAATTCTAATATGGAACAATTTAAGTAAATAAAAATATCGATTTTCATTGATTTACTTTAAACTTTCTCCGAAAAGAAAATGAATTTTCTTATCGCTTACCTTGCATCGAGGAAAATTAATTTGAGATCCATGCTCGCCCTGAACATAAACATATTTTGATGAAGTTTAATTTCTGTGATCGCTGAAGGTGGTAGGGAATGTCCAACAGCAACGAGTCCAAGGTTTTGTATAAAAGTCGGTCCATTGCCTTCGCCATTGTAGTTTGAATCGTGATAAACTCGAGCTTTTAAGTACCCTGAACAATGTATCACCTAATGGAACGACAAGAAAGAAAAGAGAGAAAGAAACGCTTATCAGATTACGTTCAGTAATTGGATTGCAAATGATATCACCATGTAATGGTGATGATGTTTTTAACATAAAATGTTAACAAAAAAAAGCAGTAAAAATGTTAATTTTCGCACAAAGAAAACAAAATGAACGATTCTAAGAAATTTCAATAAAAATAAAGTTGAAATGTGATTGGAAAAGTTGAAGTCAAATGAAGTGCGAGACTCGATGGCTGTAGCGTGAAAAACAATAATAATTATACGTGACTAAAGATATAATAAACAAATCGTAAATTTGATTGTTCAACCTCACAACAATGTTGCAAATTCACGAAGAAGTGAGCTAAATGAAAACAATTCCTGTTAAGACTCCCAGCGTATTGTGATCTCAAATTCTCAATTCGAATTTTGTTTTACTCGATAGTCGAAGTCATAAGAAGAATTTTCATTTCATTTCTCAACATCAAAATATGCAAATAAATTCTCGCACAAATTGCATAATTGCCACAACATTTGCATTTTTATCATCTTTTTTTTTATCGTTCATCAAACAACAGAACAAAGCAAAAATGTTAATTAAAAAACATTTTTGCAAATATCCTTAGAAGTGGAAATATTGGGTACTCAAACATTTATGAACTGCTATCGTCTTTCAAATGCTAATTTTCATAGAAACACATTTAGATGCATCAAATGCACTTTGCATTAAGCCTCAGTTGATTTAACGACGGTGAAAAGAGAAACTTAACTCCTTTCACAATACAGCTAATGATTAATTAGACAAAAAAATTGTTCTTCTAACGTGCTGATGCATCTAATTATGAAGTTTTACATTCTACATAAGAAATAAAAGAATAAAAAAACATAAAATGCTCTCACTTTATAGCCTGAGGTCGTGAGACCAGCGTTTCTCTTTGCAAGAACACATTTCATGCGCAGGAAGAAAGTTCGTTCGATCTCAATCGTTTGAGTCTCTTGATGGCGTGGCAAATGATGCGAATGATGATGATTATGATGGTGATGATGATGATGATGTAAGTGGTGTTGCTGTTGTTGTTGATGATGTTGGGGAAATGTATGATGAGTTGGTGTTGACGGTGAATGAATTGGTTGGTTAGTAAAGTTATTGACATTAATCTGTGGATTTGGTACGGGTGGAATGACAGTATTTGGGACGGTCGATGACGCCACCAAAGGTGGTGTTGCTGTTTCTAAATGCACTGGTGAAACGCTCTCCATTTGTGGAGCATGCATCATTCCATTGGTTAGTGGAGTTTGATGTCCAAACATATTCTGTTGAAGTGACAAGACTGCAACCATTTCGTCTTGATCAAAGTTGTGAATATATTCATAAATCGAGTTTCCTGTTAATTCCACCTGAATGTTAAATAAACTTTTTATTAGCACATTAAAGGCTTACAAAATTTATTGATTCTCATTCACCTGACTTAATCCTAAATGCACTGATGCCGTTTCAGAGATGTACATGATTTTACCATCAGGCGCAACAACGAAAATGAATCCGTCCAATGTTTGCAGAAGATGCGATCCGAGCTCTTTAATCGCAAGTTCTCGAGGATTTGAAGGGATGTGTTGTGAACCCCAAGCTTCACCAAGTCCTATAAGCATTTGAATTGTGAAAATAATAATCTTTAACCTTCTGCATCATCATTGGAAAAATCGCTTTAATCGCTTAGTGATGCAAGCAAAAATAAAGAAAACAATGACATGAGTTGTGAAGGAAAACGTAGAAGTCTCAGATTTATATTACGTTGTTTTATTTATCATTTCTACCATAAACTTCAACAATAAAAGATTGCAAATTAAATTTAATTTCACTTCGTCTTCAATCAAAATTGTCAACGAGTTTTGTTTTCATAAAATCCTTCACTTCATTAAATTAAATCTTTTATTGTTGAAGTTTATGACATCTTTTCATAGACACTACAACTTAAAAATATTATTTCCATGTCAGCATAAATGTTCCCTTCAATAATTTGTCTCTTTAAGTGGCGCGCTTTATGTTGTTATTCTTTTCAACTTTCAAAACAAATTTTTTTTATTCCATTGAACAAACGTCGCGAGGTTGAAAAACAAAGTTTTGAGCTTCATGTTTCATTGAAGCGTCTTCTTTTAAGTGAAAAGATTTTTAGACAATTGATTTAGCAACTAATGTATGTATCTAGTGAATCTTTCTTTTGTTTATTCATCCGTTTTCTCGTTTCCTGAATTGATTGCAAATCTTCTTTAAGAATCACCTTCGGCGATATTTTATGAAGAACTTCTGACTGCGTGGGATACATTTGGATTAATGAGAAGAAAAAAAAGTTAATGAGTGTAAAATGTTATCCTACTGTTACACAATGCTTGATGCAATCGACCATTTGAACGAACATAGTGTGAAAAAGCAAGCCAAAGAATAATAAAAACCAGGGAATTATCCTTTAATTGTTGAGAAAACTCACTTCACTCACTTCCAAGTGAAATAAAAAATAACAACTCATCGTTTATTTGCACAGCAAACAAGATTTAATTGAACGTATGCACTTGGAAGAAAGAGTGACTCGATTTCATTTGCGGCAGCAGGGAGTGAAGCATATGCTTTAACAAAGGGAGAATTTATTCGCTTGCCGAGACACAAATTTTTATGATTTTTTAATTGTGTTATTCGTCATTCTTTATTTTTGTCATCGATAATAATGTTGAGAGGATGTTAAGTAACGTACACACACAATAACTTCCGCTACAGTTTGAAATTTATCAACCCGCAGCTAATCTTCATTCTTCATTGTTTTCACTCCTTTTCAAAAGGTTTTCTTGTTCAATATGCTTAGCTAAGATCTAGAAATGATGATAATCCATCATAAGACTAGGTGAACTAAAGAAATTGCGATAATATCTCGAAATAAATTGTGACATTTTCCTTCATCACGTGTTTCGAATTCTTTTTCTTTAAAACTTCAACATGAGGTGAGTGAAGTGACGAGTGTTGTTTGGATTAAAATTCCTTCATCTAATTTATTCGTCAACTCAACTTCAACTCATTGAATGCTTGAATTTCAAATCGTCTTGAAATAATGATTGAAAAAGAGCAAGGAAAGAGAATCTCAATGTGAAACTTTCAAACTCAGTTCATTAAAAAAAATGTTTAAAGCAACAACAAGAATTTTAATAAGAGGTGAAAACATGAACTTAAATTGCACAACTTTTCTCAGCGATAAGCATTTCTTGCATAATTACAGAAACTCGCTAATGACAAGCTCAAGTGCTTTAGAAGAATGTGGAAGTTTGTGATGAATTTCCCTCAGCATTTTGTCATTTTATATCAAGGAAACGAACATTGAAAAGTATTTTAATGGAAGAGTGTGCAAGCACTTACCATCTGGAAAAACTTGTCGCATTTTAAGGTACGATGTCGTTAGTCGAATGATAGATGCTTTATCTAGTTGTGATGTTATAGCGCTGGGTAAAGGAAGAAGTTTTGCTAGCTCCAAAAACTCGGCATTTTCCTTTTCACGCCTCGATCGAGCCGCATTTTTGCTCTTTTCTTTCATGGCACAGCGTGCTGATAAGCCTAAATTGAATGAAAAACAAGAAAAATAAAATGAAAATACATTTTATGAGTCAATCAAAGAAAAGTGCTGTCATAGAAATTGATTTACTCGCTCGTAAAAAGATATGGAACTAATATCAATCGAGCAGTGCACGACGATAATCTCATCATTCAACATGATTTAAATTTTCCGCCTTCACAAGCCCTTCTTGTTCTTGAGAACAGTAACATATTTCGTCATTATGTAAGCATATTGAATTGCATTGGAAACATAAAAAACAATGCCATTCGATTGACTTGAATGTGAGTAAATAAACTTTGAATCACTTACAGAAATCAATTTAATTATTTATGTTTAGATTTTCTTTTAACTTACAATTAATGTGAAATGTCATTAAAACATTAATTTTGTTCTTAATATTAATAAAAATTAAACGCAACATTGACTCAACCACAAAGATTCTTTAATTATTTATGTCATTTGAAAGTAAAGTCAGTTGGAAGTTAAAATGCTTCAATAAATCTAAACAGCAGCAATTAGCATTCTGTGCCAATTTTTATGCAGAAGTAATGAGTCTTTACGATTATTACTCGTCATATATACAGATTGACAATAAAAATAATTACAAAAACAAATACTCAAAGTTTTTCTCGTCGGTACACAATTTTTACTATTGCATTGTGTATTTTATGACACTAAAAGCCGATTAACACTCTCAGCTAACAACCCGCAAATATTAATTATTTTATATTGCAAAGACATTTCCTTTTATGATTGTAATATGTTTGAATAACAGAGCGAAAATCGGAATCGATTTCTTGATGGTGTTGATTAAGTAGCGTAAAGATGTGAATGGTAATTGCGAGGGTGGCAATAACCATAACATTTTCCCTTCTTTTTCATTGCAAGAATTTTTGGTAAATCAGGATATGAAGTGAGAAAGGAATGCGAGTCACAATTGAAACTAGAATTCATTTTTTGTTGTTAGATTGTGGCCATTGGGCAGTTCACATCAAATTTGAACGTTTCATCATTTGAACAAACATGTCTGAGTTTTATGTATTTAACAATTTTTAGTACTCTTTCAAGGGAGATCTCAATGCTTCTTCTCCTTTCAGTTTAAACTTTAAAGTCAGTGGAGTTGTTTACTTTAGAAACTGAAGAAGGGAAAAGACAAAGATGTCGATACACTCAGCTAGAACCAGTTGTTCAAGTTACTATCTCGATAAAGATGATGAGACTTAAGTACACACATTTCTTTCTTTTCTGTTCGTTGGTGGAAAGTCAAATATTTACCGGTTAAATTCTGGTTTCGGTCAGTCAGTGGCTTTCGAATGATTTTCATTTTACTTGATGATTTTCTTCTCTCACTTTTAATTAACAATTGCTTGGAAAAATGTTCAACATTTGAACTTACTCGTGCACTTGCACAACGCAAACTAAGCCCAATAAACTGTTTATCACTTCACAACTGCAAGGTGAACTAAAGCAGCACAAGGGTAAGGTGCTTGTTATGTATTGCATTTACTTTTTGAGTCTTTTACTGTTTTTCCATTGGTTGAGAGGATGAAACTCAACAATTTTATTCCTTCATTCTTACCCTTCTTGTTCAAATCTATTTCTCTTTTCTGCTTTCGATTGGAAATACCTGCCCAAATATTCTATTAAAGGAAAAAGAAGGAATGTTCGTTGAGAAAGATATTTCTACCTGAAGAATTGAAGAATTTTACGCAAGGGATGAAGGAATGACGTTGTACATATAAAGCTGATGGTACATAAGTTAAAGTTATTTCAAACATTGCAATGGAGAATTTTAATGACTTTCACATCACAAACGATAAACTTAATGATAGCAATAATTTCTGTTTAGTTTTATATTTCAGCAGTTATAAATAAAAGTAAATTAATCTTAAGGAAAGCAGTGTCATTACCAAAAATGACTACAAATTCACCCACCTACACTTTAAGCATCTTTTTTAAAGAAAGAAAGAAAAAGATTAAATAAATGTTAATTGATTTGAACCCACAAAGTTCTTCCATCGTCGTCATGAAACCCTCTGACTATGTCATCAATCTGAAAGGGATTAGATCTGAGGATTTAAATCACTCGTCGTCGTTTCTATGAAAACATAAGACAACAGCATTAATTAACATAATGTTTTCGAGTTGATAAGGCTTTATGTGCACATCCTCAATCCAATAACGTTTAAGTGTTCTTCCGATTATTTTTAAAGAGAATAATCCCATTTAAAATAAATAAACAAGCAACTTCACCCACAGATTTACTGAACGTAGAACTTTTAGTTCGTTTTTGTTGCTTTGGACGAAAATAAATGGTGAAGTGTCGAATGGCATTATGGACAATGCATAATAATTACTCTGCCTTTGGTTGGTTGCTAGTCATACCTGATCGTGGGAAGATCGCTTTGCTATTACATATTTCTAGGATTTCCCTTAAAATATCGGAACTGACAAGTCTTTTCCCAGGCTTACATTTCCATAATTTCTTGTCGTTTCCTTTGTTTTGCTGTGTCTTCAATACCTGTTGTTTTATGATGTTTTCCTATTCTTGTGCATATTTATTGTAAGTTCCTTTCTCTTTGGCAAATTGATGGGAAAAAATCTGTTTGACACATGTTTTTGAGTTTTGTTTCTGTGATCACGTTAAGTTTATGCTAATTATTTGGGAAAGTGAAGGGAAAGATTTGTTGAGGTGCCGTTCTCTTCATATTTAACTTATGTTGGGGTAATCCAAGAAATAATTCAATGCCATAAAATTGAAGTTAACATTCTCGCCATTTTTAAATTGCGAAATATTTGTTGAAAGTTTAAGCCGTAAATTAATAAAGGAATGATGCAAAGTTAGCCATTTTTTGTAGATATTAATAAATTTAAACCCTCGCTACATCTTTCGATTTCTATGAAATATTTTTTGATTAATATCTTTCATTCCTTCATTCAGTAACGAACACAATTAAATTTAGGGTCAGAATGATACTTCAAAAAGGCAGCATAAATCGTTACCTTTTCTCCATCCATAGAAAAACATATTTTATGCTTACAACATAACAATAAAGTTAATATAAAAAAATCAAAGTTCATTCTGGAAATTTTTCTCTCTCCTACTCTACAACAGATTTATATAATCAACGTTTCCTGACTTTGCATAAAGCGAGCAGATTAAAAACTTTTGCCATAGTTTTTTTCTCTTTTTTCTCGATCTAAATTGTGAGGACAATGCTATGTTTGTGCACAATGAAATTGAAAGCAACGATGGTTGGTACAACTGCGTCTACACGATATCGTGTGACTTACGAGAAAAATTTCAAATGTTCTAAAGCCAATTCACACAAATTTATGAAACTTTATGATCTAGGAAAAAAACTTCAACTAACTCGTTACAGAAAAGTTCATCGAGAAGAAAATTTTACTCGATTAAAGTTAAATATTTTAACTTAAGAACATTTAGAGTGTAATTAAAAGAAGAAAAGAGAAATAAAACCAAATTAGAATGTTCAACAACAATCAAAAATTGAGATACTTAAATAGAAAATAAGTTGAAGTTTTGTCTCAAAACTGTCATAAAAGAAAAATTTTGTGACAACATGGAGAGTTAAAGCAACAACAGCGTCAGCCTTTTACGTGACAAGCATTTTCAAGAATGTTTTTCTAGTTGATATGTCATGCCCTTCTTCAGGCCCTCGTGTGACTTATGATGAAGATGTCTCATCTTTTGTGATAATGAAATAAAGAGAAGTTTGTTGTCTTATGACGCTGTTACTTGTTTATGTTTTGCTATCGTTACGAATAAACGAAGCATTGAATGTTCACTCGAATGAACATTGATTTGTTAAATTTTATGTTCGTTGTGTCGACACAAAAATATTATGTTTTATGCTTAAACCTATCAATGGCATAACAGTGAAAGAGATGGAAACAATTTACAACTCACACCCTACACTAACAAATCGTTTCTTTGTCAAGAATCACGTACCTTCTGACATCACGTCGAAAATCAATTAAACATCAACAACAAAAGTGTTAAGACATTTCAGTTCAAACCGAAAATTCTTGGATAAATTCCATACGTTCCAAGAATACTTTTTAAAGACATTTCCTTCAATTGCCACAAAGTCTAACGTACGCAAAAATAAATATCGTATCGATCGACAACTAGAGTAATTTATGACATCAATTTCCAAGGTTACCGAAAATTGTGCTACTGAAACGGAAACCTGAATGTGTAAACGTTAAGTAAAGTCTAGCGATTGACAAACATTGTGCTCTCAAGCTTCCTTCGCGACATTATTTATCTCATTTATCAAAGCATTCCAATCACCAGAAAATCGTTAAAGTAGAAGAAACTTTGCCGGTTGCGTTGTAGAAAACAACAACGAATATCAAAATTTTTTAGGTCAGTTCTTGTTCTTCGCCCTAAAAACGTGATTTCACAATCATTTTCTTCGTTGAATGTGTATGATGGAGGATGTATGTGCTTTTACTCTCCAGCTACTGGTAGATTTTCGTGAAGGCTTCCTTGTATCTAGTTCTTTTTATTGTACGCTGGCGGGTTTACACACAAACACCATGATGTCGGTAGTATTTGCACAATGAGAAGGATAAAAAGAGAAAAAAGCTGAGAACAAAATGTTTTTTTGATACGTGCTTTTTTCACTTTTATCCAATTTGTGATTCTAGGAACTTGCTTTAAGGAGATTAAATACGTTTTGTGTAATGGCTGTTTTGCTAGTGCATGTTGTATGTTATCGACCCGATTTCGAATATGTTTCTTTAAGATTTAAATGAACTGATCACTTCTTTATGAGTATTTAACAAATTACAACTTCATTTGTCGAATTTTTTTATGTGAAATGTTTTGGAAACATCTCATAGGCGTCAAACAACATTTTTATTTATCTTTAGTTATTTAATTATTACGAAAAAGTCTAAAATAAATTTTCTCACTTATGAGTTTCTATTTTAGTAACTTGCGAAAGATGATTCTGATTTAACTATTTTTAATTTATTAACGTGACATGATGTGTTCTCTTTCAACTATACTCACTTTTAGCATCCATTATTTGTATCCAATCATCAAGACACTTCCAGAAAAATAATATAATTAAACTTAAACTTCGTGCTGATTGTTCTAGTTTCGTTCTTATTCCAATTAGATTCACGATTCAACTAAGTTCAACATCAGCTTTTGTAAATGCTTTTGCAAAAGCATTTTGAATTGTTTACACATTTTCAACCGCTTGTGTCGCGTCCCAATGTCAAGCTCGAATTCAAATGCAGTTGCACTTAATCTAAGCGATTTTTTTTTCTTTTCATTGACAAAAGTGTTTAAAAATTTAAAACAATTCGTGACTTCTGTTAAAACTAGAACTGATTTGTATTAAGCGAATGAAATTGTTACCAAGAAGTTGAATAGAAATGGAGAAGAAAAATTACGTAAAAATTCGTTTGCGCCATTTTGGAAGCTCCATGACAGCGAGCAACTCTTTTCTCACCCTCTCCGAGCTCGATTATTGTGGCAATGATAATCAAGAGATGGAAAAATGAAACATCCCTTGTCGTCATAAATTAGAATAAATTTCAACTTCTTCTTCATCCTTCGCTTCGGAAACATTTATCTACTGTTAAACAGGAATATTCTCTGAAAATGGGTTCTCTGTTTTCGTAAGTCGTCCCAGCTGTTTCTCGAATTTATCATCACTTTATTGCTTATTTATTTATCGCCATAAATATTTACAGAATAAAAGCATCTTAAAGACTTTGAAATTCACCCGAAAAGATGGAAGAAAAAATTAATTTAGCGTGACGAAAATTTTTGGGACCTCGAAATTTTCATTTTCATCGCTTTAACGAACAATTTTCAGTATTTAGACAATTGAATTCGAGTTGATCACAAATAAATGAAACAAAGTTTTAAATCATTTTCAATATTTATTTCCCAAGAAACGAGAAACGTTTAAAATCCATTTCAATTTTTATTTCTGTCGCGGGCAATTGAAACAAATCTGAGAAAATCTCGGAACGAGTGCATAGTCATTAAACTTGCTTCAACAATGTTTCTCATCGTCAAAAAAAAATATTAAAATGACCCGACCAAACAATTTTTTTTGAAGTGTTGGTGTCAATAACTTATAAGTTAATGTTTTCCAACGCAGGACATTTCACGCTTGTTTTGATGTTTTAAACTTCATTCAAGACTTTTTTATCAAGAAAATTAAATTGATACTAAATAAAGATATGTTCAAGTCTAAATCAAAACTCTTCCAACCCATCAAACAATCACAAAAATATTTTTTGCTGACGCTCAAATATTCCTAACAACATTCCACGTCTTCATAAAACTAGTGGCTAAATTAAAATTCTTACTCAGCGTTTATCTCATCGATTGGTTCAAGTTCAAAGAAATTCTTCCTCGTGTAAACAATTTCTGCGCTTTTCAAACAAAATTCAAATGAAGACGATGAAGTGTAAAATTGCAAATAATTAGCTTAAGATTTATCAATGATTGTCGAAGCCTCACATCACGATTCATGAAGTTTACAATTACTCATCTTTTCATTCATTCAAGCGTCATTTTACGATCATTCCCTCGGACAAAAAATAGTCAGAAACGCAAAAAAGCAACGTCAAATCTGTCGCGGATAATAAAAATATTTATGAAGTGAAGTTGTAGGTACTACAAAACGAATAAGAACACTGACACTTTGAAATTTTTCACCGGGCCCGAGCTTAAATGCAAACATTGCAAAATTTCTTTCATATTTATGATTTGTTTGGACTCTGTAAACGAAATAAATTTTTTTTTTGTCCCATAACATTGATTTTCTTCATAATATCTGCATATCGTCTTTCTCTTTCAAGTTTCTTAATATTTTTATGATCATGAAATTTCATTTCATTTCGAGAAACATGTTTGAAAGATGACTCGCGTGCAATCGACTCTTGAGACATGTGACAAATCAATCTCTCATCTTTTACTTGCGCCGATCTCAAAGAGGTCATTTTTCGTGTGAAACATAAATTATAAAACATAAAATATTGGATTTCATTACCAACGGCTTATGTTATGATTCGTTTATGAAAATTTGTCAGTAAGTGTTCTAGCTAGTGACGTTTCTGTTTTCGTTTAAAAATTGAATATTTATACTGTCGGTAATGTTTTAATTAGTTGCCAAAGTTTATTTTTGTAATAAGTTTCTGGAAGTCAAACGATATCTTTAAATTGCTACTGGTGATTTGAAGCTATTCAATAACACGATCTCATATTTGCTTACTTTGTAGAAATTTTACTGAAGAAGGTAGTTTTTAATGAAAATTCTCATGTCACAAAGGATCATTGAATAATACTTAAAAAGCATTTTGATTGTAAGCATAAAAAGCATATGAATTAAAGAGTTCATAATGACACTTTATAAATATCAAAACAAAACGAAGAAAGAAATTTTATCGATGGTGATGACGTTTTGCGACAATTAACTCATGTTATCAAAAGAAGTGCTGATGCGTCTTCAAAATTGCTTAATCCTTAGTTTTTATGCAACAATAGAACTTTTTTTAATGAAGGCTTTTTGAGCTTTGTGCCATTTGAGTATTCATTGATTTTCTCTTATTCTGTCTTTGATTCTTCGCCTCTCCAATCAATTGAAAAACTTATCCACTTTTTGCTCTAATGTTGGCAGAAATTTAATGAAAAGCCTCCAATCGACCGTCGGCATGAAAGAGAGAAAACTTCAAAGGAAAACTTTGGTGATTTTTGTTTCTTGTTGTTGATGTGAAAAAATAACAAACCGAAAGCAGATCCCATGAAAACATCTTGTTAGTTCTTATTCATACAAGGATATCCGACTAGCATTAAATGGCTCATTGAATCTCAATTTCTTGCACGTGTTTCTTGCTGTCATTTAATCATAGCGTTCCCTGAAGTTTTTCCATCAGTTGCTTCTTCAGATGCTTGTTTGGTTTTTGCAATGTGGAGGGTCACAATCGATTAAGTGTGAAATATTGAGTGCAATTTGTTTTTGTAACTTTTTGTTGCCTTCATTTGTGATTTTAAATGTCATTTAAATAACTTCAGTAAAAAACAAAATCTTACCTCAATTTATTCCAGAATTTGATCCTTGAATTTTTATTAGAAATAAATTTTCTTTTAAATTCTTTAAAAGATAAAAAGATTTATATTTCCATTTTATATTTTGGATTAGCTTGTTTAAAATTCCATTTCGGAAAAAAAACTTGTTTGTCAATTATCACCAAAAATCAATTTACAATTAGTTGTTAGATTATCTCTTGTTTATTCAATCACTTAACACAAGAAAAAAGATATTAGAATAAATGTTTTCTATTTCACTGTTTTACACTGTTCGCGTATTTGATATCAAAATCGTGAGTAAATATATTAATGCTTCTCGTGTAAGCTAAACGCGACCCCAGCCAAACATCAATTATCTTAAGACTTTAAATATTTCCAGCCGAATTTTATTCACACTTCCGCCGCAAAGTTTTTATTTCTTTCCACAACAATACCGATCGCGCGACGAGCTGTCAAAAGTATGAAGCTTTTCTGTTAAATGATGAACAGTAAATGTATGCATGGACCAGAAAAAAACTCATATTCAACTCTGGTGAAATTAATTTAGGTCTTTTCCCGATGCAGCAACAAAATAATGAATGAGCATGCGATAATAATTTGAAGGCGGGTCTTAAATAACTTCAGCAGCCAATCACAGCGTTGACAGATTAAATTCTTTTATTCTCTTTTGTGTTCAACACACGAAATATAAAGCAAAATTCTTCATGTAGAAGAAAGAATTTAAATGAATTTAACAACTGCGAACATGTGCTGAAGTTTATGTTAATAAACGCCTCATAAATTCAATCATTTTATTACAAAGCCTTGCAAGGATGAAAACTTTATCTTTTATATCTTATCGAAAATGAAATGTAACAGACATTTATGCAATTCTTTGTAGCATGAAAAAATTTTTTATAATAAAATTCTTAAACAAATCAACTCGTTTTATAAAGAAAGCAAATGAAATCTTAAAACAAAAGGATAAATTTTCATAAATTGTTTGTGAGATAAAATTAACGGATTTAAAAAATTTAAAATGTTTCAAATTTTATGTCAGACGGACATGGTCAATTCTTTAAGCCCTATATCAAAATTTTATGAAAATCGGAACATTTTGGTTTTTAATTTCTATCAAGAAATTAGTAAAATAATTGATTATATCAATAATAATTGTTTTCATGTGATCAAAATGAACCAACCAGATGCAAATTACTGGTTGACGCTTGCAGCACAATGGATTCAAAGCAAATCGCAGACACAAGTAAATTTTCCAGCTTTTGCTCATTTACCACCACCCCCAGAAGCACCACGAATAACTGATGCTACTAACAATGATAATCTGGTTGAAGCTGATATGGAAATAGAAGATGCTAAGGAAGAACATGAATCGCCTCAGAATTGGTCAAATTGGCACAACAAAGAGCCAACGCCAATTGTTCCAATTATTAGTCTTCAGCCTCATCCAATAGTGCAGACTAACCCAAAGCATTTTCCAGTGAAGCAACAAAATCATTTTAATGAACATAGGAATGAATTTATCAACAATACACAATTTAACCAGATTCCAAGCATCATCGATTCTAGTGTACCAGCGAATGAGTCAATTCAATCAGTTGACATGGTTCTTGACTCTGATGATGAAGATGATGAAAATGAAGAAGAGGATATTGAAAGTGAAGAAATTCAAGCTCAAAAGCGCAAGAAGTTACCAGTATGGATTCGTGAAGGATTGGAGCGCATTGAAAGAGAGAAAAGACTCGAACAAGAAAGAATTCAGAAGGAAAAGGAGCAGCAAGAAAGTGAAGAGAATCGCAAAAAGATGATGGAAGAAGCACTTCGTGAACTTGAACGTGAAAAGTTTACAAAAAGCAGATACGTAAGATAAAAAAAAAGAAATTAATTTTGTGAGAACTTTTAATAACTTTAATGCAATTTTTAAGGAATCGGATTCTGATGACGATGGAAATGAAAATCCTCGTGCTGATAATTCAGAGACTGATCACAACTTATCAAACAGAAGAGCAGCAATTGATGAATCACAAGATGAAGAAGACAACCATGAGAAAATGGTAAGTAGAGTCAGTTGTTAAATGAATTAAATTTCTCATGATGCAAATCACTTCAGATGCTTCTCGTCCGTAAAACATTAACTGAAATCTTCCTAGAAGTAACTCATGAGAAGATTGTAGAGATAAGTAATGAGACCCTGTCGAAATATCGGAAAAAAGGTAGTTGTACAATTGCAAAATTGAATTCTTGTATATGTTTAAAATATAAAAACAGAAGATCGCAAGATCAAATATGAGAAAAATATCTTTGAAAGTTCACTTCATGTTTTTTGATATGTCGTGAGAATGAAAAATGTAAAAGAAAATCTGGTGCAGGAAACAAAAAAAAAGATTCTTTTAAACACATCCAGATGCGTTGAAAATGTCATTTCTTTATTAATTTATTAAACCCAAACTTAAAGCTTCTTCAGTGACCTCAAATAGAACGTCCGTCATTGGGCTTGTTGGTAAGTAAATTCAGTTCATTTTTTTCTTTAATTTCAGTCAAAAAAAATTTCTCCTACTTTGGCTTTCATTTCTTTCATTATTTATTTCACATGAAAAACAAAAATTCTCATGTTTCTGTGGAAATTTGCATGCTTAAGGATCCTTCTCCTTGCTGCAAAATTTGATTCCATATGAAAAACAAAAAAATTTAATTCAATTTAATGCACGAAAAATTTCTTTTTGTTTCTTCCTTTTTAATCGTTACCAGGACTAGGTGTATATAGCAACAGTAGTGATGAGGAGTCTGATGATGAGGAGAAGGGGAAATCTGATGATCAAGATGATGGTTGGGAACCCGAATCAGCCGTGAAGGTAAAACTTTTCATTAACATTGCTTAAAGTAACTTCAAATTTATTTCATTTTATAGGAAAGAATTCGTATTAAGTCAATTGCTTTCGAACAAAGAGCCAAAGAGATTAGAGAAAATTTAGCAAAAGCAGCTGAAAGTGAACAAGAGCGCTTTAGTAAAAGACATGATGATGTGGATGATAAAAAGTCATCGCCAACGAAGCATGATCCGGATAACGAACGAACAAATATGTCGAGGAGTCGTAAGAATGATGGTGAGGAAAAGTATGAGCAAATTTATTCGATTTCTTCTTCGTTTGGTAAGTTAAACCTTAACTTCCATTTTCTTTTTCATTAAATTTTCATCGTCATGAAATTTAATAAATTTTTGCTGACTATTAATTTTTTTGTGTGTGCGTATGTGTGTGTAGCATCAAGTGGCTTACCACGAGATAAGAAGAAATCGCGCTTTAACGATCCGAAAGATCGAACAACAAGTATTCTTGTAACGCATGTTGGATTAATGGATGCAACAGTAAAATCGACATCAGATTCTGTTGCTTCATCGGTTGTTGTACCAGCTGCGCCTTCATTTTATCCTTCAGTTGATTCTGTCTCGGCGACAAGAAAGAAGAAGGAAAAAAGCAAGAAACGTTCATCATCATCGTCATCTACATCTTCGTCCTCATCAAGCTCTGATCGACATAGGAAACATAAAAAGCATAAAAAATCGAGTAAACATAAGAAAAAGTCAAGTAGACGACGATCAAGATCGCGAAGTCGTGATAAACGAAAATCCCACAAATCTGATCGTCATTCAATCGAATCAAAATCATCGATTAGAAGCTCCGAATCGAGAAAACATCGTTCCAGAAGTCGCAGTAGATCCCATCATCGATCGCGTAGGTATTAGTTGTTCTCTCATTTATTTCTACAGATAATCGTCCCAGCAATAAATTTCAATAACTTCTGCTTTATTCGAAACATCTTTCAAAGGAATATTTGATGATAATTTAAATTTCAAATTAAACTCAACATCTCTTCCAAATTATTTTAATCAGTCCAAGATGTTGTCCCTTGATATGGCCGAATATAAGTAGATGAATTGTCTGCTTTATATTTGAAGCTCATTAAAGCTAATTAAAGAGAAATGATAACAGAAAAATAAATGTTTCTCAATTGAAACTTGATTCCTATACCATTTGTGGACAATTTTCTGACAATTCTATTGTGATCATCTTTGAATTGATAGAAAAAGTAAATAAATAATAAAATTCCTTTCTTTTTGCATAAAAATTTAGTTTTATTTTTTTTTGCTTTGAATTTTTCTTTTGTTTTTCATATAAACAGCACATATAATATTGGAATTAATTTATATACAAAGTTTTATGTCCTGTTCACAATTTAGATGATGGAAGAGGTAAGAAAAAAGTTCATGAAATGAAGTTGTGGAAAAATGTGAAAATTATTCACCAACATACTCAATCCAAATGTTTTTCGTCATTTTAACTTGAAATTTTCCTACTCCACCCATCAAATATTTGGCCATTTATGGCTAACCATTCACGCACATTCGCTTAGATTTGCTTTAATAAATAAATTGCAGCCTTTATATTTGGATAATCTTCTCATTTTCCAAAACGTTGCTCACACTTTGCATACTTGTATAGTACTTTAAGATATTTATCTAGAGATAATGTACGAAGCTTGTAACTGATTTGTATAAACTCTGTGAGCCGAATTTGCCACGGCATGAAGCCCATTGTGCAACAGATGTTCCCGAAGTAAACTGTCAAGTCTGGATCTGACATTTGACCATATAACTTCGAAAGTTCTTCATCGATGTAATCGATTGTAAATTTGCTACAATCTACTGTCTTACCACTACTTCCTTTATCACTTAACAATTCTCTTCTCAATAGTTGATCGAATTTTTCATGTCCGTCTTCTGACGAGTAAATATTTACGACAATGTGTCTTTTGAATCCGTTTCTATGAGGGAATTTGATACCATCATTGTCGGTCATATGTTGGAAATTTAGACCCCAAACAATGTTTTCGTTATCAGTGTTATTAGTACAATGTTGCTGGATGAATTTATGAAATGATGACGCGAGTTGATTTTTCAGAATCCCTGAAATGATTATAAAAATATTTTAATTATTTCTTATCAACCAAGGTAGAAAACAAATATTCAGTATCTTTATTAGATCTTTTTTACACTTGAAAACTTTAAATGCATTTAAACGAAAACTTTTATCAATTATTTCTAGACATCATGTGACCAAGGTCAGTGCATAGTTGAGATGAATGAAAACTTCTAAAAGTTACTTTTTGAGCAAAGGTCGTTTACGTATGAAAAATTTATAGACGAAATAAGATTAAACCTACCTTTATAATCGTAAAAGCTTATAAAGTTCACGCCTGATATTAGTGACCAATCTACTAAATTAGTCAGTTGCATCAAATCGATGTCCTTCTCACTGTCAGCATTGAGAATAACAGCAAGATGCTTTGGAATTTTCTTTATATTTTTAAGATGAAGTTCAATTTGATGTCTTTGATCACTTGAATCATGATTCCAACTAGATTTTGTGTATTTTTTGATGAAATTGAAAAAGTTTTCACGAAATTCTAAGCCGAAATAGAAAATTGTTTCTAAAACATCGGCCAATAGATGTGCAATTATCCATAATAACTTTAACAATGAGAAATTCATCTCATAGTCTAACTAAATAGATTTAAAAGTTTCTAATTCACTATTTAATATTAAAATTAATTCTTTCTCATATGTGTACTTCAATCCAATGTGATGATGTTTTATTCGTTTAATAACTCAACGAAACTTTTAGCGCCTCTTCTGTTTGAAACGAGAACTAAATAGGTAAACAAAACAAATTTTGGCGACATTTTTAATATTTTCATTTTGTTTGTTGACTAAAAAATCTTGAGAAAATACAAAATCTTCTCAACAGAAACTGTTCCAGAATGGTTGAAAATATCTCTTACCTTGATGATATTTGTCGACTGTGTTTGGCAACACGAAGCAAAGAGAACTTACAAATATTTTCTAAGATAGAAAGTACGACAAAAACAAAATTTGAAGATTTGACGCAAATAGAGGTTTGCATAATTATTTTGTGATAAAATGATATTATTTTCATAAAGAAACTTGATTCATTTGCAGTTATCCTTAAATGACGATTATCCTAACAACATGTGTTCAGAATGTAGTGATCGTCTTGACAGTTTTTACTTTTACAAGTAACTTATTTTTAAATAAGAAAACCAAAGATTTTATTAAAATTTGAATTGCATTTTAGGAACCAACTTGTTAGAAAACAAAATGAGCTCGTGCAGTTTCTCGGTATCGATAATAAAATTGCAGTTTGTAATACCAAAAAGCAATTGTACGAAACGACGGAAGATTTCATTACTGAAGAAATTTGTTTAGAAGAAGATTTAATTGAGGAAGATGAATTTGATGTGATTTATGAAAATGAAGAAGTTTTAGATATGACAGATGAAGAAATCGAAGTGTACGACAGTCATGATGAGATAATTGTCGAATCTATGGAAGAAGGAGAGAAATCTAGTTTAACAGAATTTACTGAAGATTTTCATGATAATCAAAACCAGAAAGTTCTCAGATCAGAAGAAATAAAGTATGAAATAATCGAGCCAAAGTTGATATTGACACCTTCTCAAATCGCTACTGGAATGATTAAATGTGAACAATGCAAAATGATCTTTAAAAAGAAACATTTTTATAATAAACATCTTGAAAAAGTTCACAACAATCCAAGTTTCATTTGTGAAACATGTGGGAAAATTTCACATTCGAGACTTCAGTGGCGGAGTCATTTAAGGAATCATGATCAGACACTTAAATATGCTTGTAATTATGAAGGCTGCGAGAAAGCTTTTAGAGTGAAACATCACTTGACCAATCATCTCCGTTCACATACAAAGGAATCGCCATTTCAATGTCCCTTTGAAGGATGTTCGTCGAAATTCCGACAAAAATTTGCACTAACAGTTCATTTGAGAAAGCATACTGGAGAGTTCATTACATGTGACCAATGCAAATCTCCATTTGTTACTCAATTTATGTTAAACAAACACAAAGATAAATGTAATGGAACATTCAAACCCTTGACTTTAAGAAACTCGTCAAAATTTAAGAAATCTCAGAATTATTCAGATGCTTACAAATGTTTGTTCGAAGAATGCGACGAAACATTCAAAGCTAAAGTAACTCTACAAAAACATCTTTCAAAGGTTCACAAGATGAATGTTACACCAACTTTATGTGTGATTTGTTTCCAAAATTTTGACAGTCAGCAAAGCTTGAAAATTCACCAACGTGATCATCTTCCATTCACATGTTCACTTTGCAGTACAAGTTTCAAGTCTCGAGACAATCTGGAGAATCATCTAGCGAAAAGTCACGAGAGAAATGAAAATAGACCTCATGGGTGTGATCAATGTTCTGCATCATTTAAACGAGCTGAACATTTGAAAACTCATATAGCTTATAAACACAGCAACAATCGTCCTTTTACATGCGATGTCTGCTCGTTCATCTTTGCTTCGAAGAGTGATCTGAAAGTTCATATGAAAATTCATCTAAAAACAAAATCAAATTTTTTATAAAATTATATCTGAAATGAAATAATTTTGACAAATTCCCAGAAATAAAATAACATGAAAATGCGAATAATGTTTTTAAACATTAATGAGTTTTGCTTTATTAATAAAACTTTATATTTCAGAAAATACTCAACTTTGTTTTGCTTAAAACAAGCATCGAAAAGAAATGTTTTATGATTTACTCGTTTCAGATACATTCGTTTCGATAACTTTAATTATCCAAAATATTTGGTCCTTCGCAGAATAAAGTGAACTAAGTGTGTAAAAATCATGTCGAAGAATAAAGTGAATTTAATAAGCATACGACGAAACGTATGTTGTGAATAACTGAAAGTTATTAAAATCAAAATGTGATTTTTTGAAAAGTGAAAAATTACAAAAAATGTCTGATGTGAATGTATTAGATCAAGCACTTGAATGCTTGAATCAGTTGAAGATAGTTTATGATTCATTAAATAAAATCCAGATGAAAGCAGAACCAAAGCAAATCTGGAAGATGTTGCAGCAAGAACAGTGGAATTGTGGAAAGCGATTCAGGCATTGCACATCAAGGTAAGTACACAATTATATAATTACCCTGTTTAAACCAATTAAAGGAAACAACTCCCACTTAATTTCCCTTTCCACAATTTTTATATTAAAAGCGAATTAATCGCTTATTCATCATTTAAATCATATTATAAAAAGAAACAATTCGAAATAAAGACCGCATTGTATTTTTATAGTTCAAAAAGAAAAGTCTTTCATTTAGTTTCAAGTTTATTATATTTTAAGTTTAAACCTTTTACAGGGATTAAACAACCCTGTCGAAAAAGCAAATAATTACAAAGCGAAATTAGTCCCGTGGACAAAATCATGAAAGAAAATTTTTTAAATTGCTTTCATAAAAATTCAACTGTTGAACGATCACACGAATGATCTTTTGGTCTCTTTTGTGAGAGCGAAAATAAGTTTATAAAACAAACATGAATAATTATGAAATCGACATGGACGTTGGACATAATGCCTTTACAACCTGGAGATTCCTTTCCCAAATTTGATCAAGTTAAGTTTTCAGGAGCAATAGTTCATGTCATATCACAGAAGTGAACAAGGAGAAAAAGTAAAAGTTCAGTCTACAAGAAACTTAGAAACTTTCTTGTAAAAGAAAAAACTTAGAAATTTGTCGAGAGCAATGGAAATTAATGAAAATAGGTATGGCAGAATTTGTAACAAATTTAAAAAGTAAATGCAAAGTAAGTCGATCCCTACTGGTTTTCAAAAAAAAAGCTTGGATTAAGCCAACTTTTTGATCATGAGAGTAACCGTAGCTCTATGGCCAAACAGATTTTAATCACATATTCAACTCAATTATTTTACACATAATAAATTGTGTTATTTTCGGACAATATTTAGGATAATATTCTTATGCATGCACTTTAAACCAGTAACCCAATTTCTAATACGAATTTCTAATACGAATTTCTAATACGATATTTTATTATAGATTTTTTATAAAGTAATATCCATGAATTGTTTCCCAAATGACCAAATGTTAAACAAGCACAAAACTTCAAACAGTTTCTGCAAGTCGAAAGTAATTACGTTAGATTATTTTGGGAAAAAGCAAAAAAAATTTACGAATTTTATCGAAACTTGATGAATAAGTAAAAAATAAAATAATATCGATGAAATGCTAATAAAGTGTTTCATCGGAGAACATCATCATCAGGTCATCTGGGACTTAGCCCCAGTTTGGGGTCCACATTTCGTTTGCTATAGTTTACGAAAAGGCAATGGATTTTGTGATAAAAGTTTCATTTCTTTCGCAAGTGTCCATAAATTGTCGCCATTTGTCATTTTCTTTAAGAGCTTTGCTGTTTCCAAATACAACTAAAAGTGACTTTGCTCGAGAAATTGCCACATTCATTCGCTTATTGCAGTGAATGAAGCCGAGATTATAAGTTTTATCTTGAGAAAATTTATGTTCGGTACGTACAGTGGATACGAGAATGACTGACCGTTCTTGACCTTGAAACTCTTCCACGGTTCCTACTTTGAGATCAGTATCTGCAATAACTTCTGACACTCTCTTTTGTATTTTCTTCACTTGAAGAGCGTATGGAGTTATCTGAAAATTAAATTAAATTAATAAAGACGGATCTAATAATATTTGTTTATAACACTTACAACACCAACATCTTTAAGAGGCACATTGCACATGCTCATTTTAATTAAGAGCGACATGATTGCGTTGAGTTCGTTTTGATTATACCATGATGGAGAATTTTTTTCTTTTGCATTTCGACCATCAACGTCAACAAAATAAACACCAAAATTCTCTTTCTCTCGACCCCACAAAAGAGTTTCCTGAAGCAATGCATCTAAAAATTGACTTTCGTGACTCTTTTCTCCATCGACAGCTCCTTCAAGAAAGTTTTCGTAGAACAGTTCATTGTAGAATTTCATGATGCTTGAATGTGATCGATAATTCAATTTTAGTTGTGTGACAAATCGCGGATCATAATCATTCATATTAGGGCCGGAAGATTTCGAATAACATTTGTTTGTGTATAATAAACGAGTGAGTAAAGGAGTCTCCATTTCGAAATCCATCACATATTGTGACACTGACATTGGCCCCAATTGCTTCGGATCACCAGCAAGTATAACTTGTCCGCTATTTCTTCTCAAAAATGTTAATGGAATGTAATTCGATGGCTCGGAAGATTGTGCAGCTTCATCGATTAAAACGTGAGTGAAGTGATCGTTAGGGAAACTCATTCGCATCATACTTCCGAAGCAATTCAATGTTCCGATGATGATTCTGTAATTCATGATGTTCGATTTTGAACAATTTTTTCTTAATCCCGATTCCATGTTTGTTGACTGTGAAAATATTTAATTCATTAAAAATTCTTTTAAAGAGTAAAAAGATGAAAATTTCACTTACAGACAATCCACAGCCATAAGAAATTGTTCCGCAATATCGCAACAATTCTGTAGGAATTAATTCTCTTTCAAATTGATTATTCGACACAAATCGAATAAAGTCATGAGGATTTTTCAATTTCTCTGATTTAACTAAAGCATCTGTGAAAAGGTTTGCAGCAGAGTTTGATGGCGTTGCAATGATAATGTTTGAGTTTGGAAGTAACGTGTAAAGTTGCAAAGCTAATTCGACAAGTGTCAAAGTTTTTCCGGTTCCTTTAATAAATTATTTGATTAATGATTAGTTAGAAGCTTTAAACAAGTTTTTACATACCTGGTGGTCCGTAAAGCACATATGGCAATGGGCGATGTTCACCACGAAGAGCATTAAAAACAAAATTTTTTTGATGATTGTTGAGTTTATTGTCAAACCAATTAATTGTCGTTTCCTTAAGTTTAAGTTGTCCATCAACAAGACTGACATCAACTTGAGGTGTTGCAGCTTGACAATCTTTATAGTCTGGAAATAAGAAACTTTTTCCTAGTCCTTTTGTGTTTGTCAGAGTGTCAATTGCATGATGTTGAAAACGATGCATTGTTCTCGAAAAATTAAACTCAACAGTGAATTTTTTTCCTTTTTGAAATTCATAAAACTCTTCATTAAATTGAACACAGATTGCATCATTCTCAACTTTTCTGATGTATCCTTTATATATTTTCTGTTGTTCGTTAATTAAAGGATTTGGTGTTGCGAAAATGGCGTCACCAATAATCAAAGATGGTCGTTTTTCGCTTACACCTTTCACTACTAATCTTAACGATTCTTTATCATCAGACAGCACAAAATAACTTCTTTCAATGCGATATTTTCTGAATGCATTCTCCAAAGCAATTTCATCCAAATAAACTCCCAAATGAAGCTTATCAATAAAAGATTCTTCATCGATTTCGTTATTCGATCTTAAAAATGTAAATTCTTCTGTCAGTTGTTCATGAGTTTGATAAAAGTCTTCATATTCATAACATCTCAAGTTTTCGGGGATATTAAATTGTTTTATGTAAACATCAGAAAATTTCTTAACATCATTTTTGAATACTTCTTGGGCGAGCATCAAAATGTTTACAAAAATCTTACATTTTCTCTCAATCAAGTCATGAGTCGCAGTTTCAAAAGAAATTCTCAGAAAGCATTCATGTTCGCCAATATAACGAGGTTTAATTTCCAAAGGAATGACGATTCGTTTCATTGGCAATAAATTTTTATGGTAGAATGTGCCGACGCTGACAATTTCTTTTTCCAAATTTTCATTCACGATGTCAGCTTTTAATAATTTCAATTTGATATTGGAATTATTAATGACAATGCTTTTTTTGTAAATCACATTTAAATTGTTGAAAGCAATGGTAAATGTGTCGTCTTGCATTAAAATTTTTGCTGCTATGCTTTCTTTATTTGGAGCTTCTAAAATGTCTAGAATTTTAGCCACTCTCCAATCGTATCGAATTCCATCACATCGTTGATCAGTTTCGATTGCAATATACTTGCATTCTTTATGCAATTGAAGATTTGATAAATCTTCAGACATCATTAGAACGTTGTCTTCAAACACGACGTAATTTTCTGCCATTTTAGTGATTCTCCCAAATTCCTCCTTCTTTCGCAGTGGTTCTACTTTTTCCACTGTAAAAATACCGTCGTCATCTTCTCTTCCTGTCATTCTGACCTTAATTAATTAAAAATAACAAAAGAAAAATAGAGGAAATGAATTTATGATTGTTTTAGGCATTTTGAAATTGTTTATTTAAAACCTTTTATCCTTTTTGTACCTACCCTATCTCCTGTCTCGAAATTCCAAGAAAAATCAAGCGGTCGTTCGAAATGATGATCATGATTGCCTTTCTCAATGACATACAAATTATCGACGAAATTTGATACGACGCCGAAAATGCAGCGTCGATATTCATCGTTGTTCTCTACTGCTACGCTGCATTGAGTCTCAAATGTATTGTTGTCTTCTGTCTTCTGAACTTTTAGTGAATTTATTAATGCCATAATCATTTTAACCTGAAATCAGAAGCGACGTTTTTAATGCAACTTATTAATAACTTATTGTATAACTTATTAATAAATTGCAGCAGAAAAATTGCCAATTAACTAATTTTGAGAAAAATGACAATTAGTTTAGTCACAAGGTAAGTTTGCTTCACTAAATTTCACTTCAACTTCACTTGACAACAGCTTAACTAATAATGACGGTTCAATGAAAGCTGCGAGTAAATTTAAAATCTTACAGCATCTGACAGCATTTCAAATGTGTTCGTTGAATTTCAAATATTTTAACGAAGAATTGAACGAACATATTTAACGAAAACGTGCGAGGAAATGTAAACAGCATAAAAATATCTTAAAATGGATTATTTCACATTCTCATTTCATTATAATGACATTTTGCATGATTTAAGTAGTACATGCAGATTTTGTCTTCGAAAAGCTGAAAATCATTCAATACTGCTGTTTGAAGTTACAGAATCAAGCATTAAAAATTTTGAAGAATTGACACAAACCAAGGTATGGAAATTATGAATTCAAAATTTTTATTTTCTTCAATAAAATCTCTTTCAAAAGCTTTTCAATATAGATGCTCAAGGTGATTTAATATGTGGCGAATGCAGTGGTCAATTAGAAAATTTCTATTTGTTCAAGTAAGTCAATTTGTTTTTCATGGAAATATTTTATTGTTCTATCGACATTTTGTAGGCAGCAACTTATATTGAAACAGAATCAGCTTAAAGAAATGATAGACAAAGTTTGCAATTCGATAAATTTGATGGATCAACAGGAAGACAATACGGAAATATTCTATGAAAAGTTGATTGAGGAAGATGAAGACGATGATTTGATGAATTTCAATTTTCTCCCAAGTGTGAAGGATTTAGAAGATACTTCAGATAATGATGCAATTATTAAACTCATCGATGATATTCAAGAGAGAAATGAAATGATTTTGGAAAGTTCGAAGCCAAATGTAAAACTGAACGATAAAAAACATTCAAAAAGTTCTTGTAAGAAAAGCAACGAAAAAGTTTCTGAACCTGTCACTAGAAATGAAGAATTAAAATTTACCAAGCAACTGCCAAAATTGATTATAAAGCCAGTACTTTTTGAAGATGAAACCTCAGTTGAAACTGGAGGAATTGTGTTGTTTTCACAAAATGAACTTTGCAGCATTTGTGGCCTTCAATTTCCTTCTGATTATCAACTTAAACGACATCTAAGAACTTCACATCCGCTTGAACAACCATTAGAATGCTGCAACAGGATTTTCAAATTCTTGAAAGATTATAAAAAACATCAAATGACAGATCACCCAAAGGCCATCGAATGTTTAATTTGTGGAAAAATTTTAAAGAGCCAGAAAACTTTTATAGTTCATAAAAAGTCGCATCAAAGTTTAAGCGAACGGAAGTTTCGATGTTCACATGCTGATTGTCACAAAGCATTCAACTTCAAACTTCATCTTGAAAATCACGAACGAACTCATACCGGAGACAAACCATTTAAATGTAAACAATGCGAAGCATCATTTAAACAAAGTTATCAATTAACACTTCACATAAGAAAGCATCAAGGAATTATCCACGAATGTTCAAAATGTAAACTAAAATTTTCCTTGAAAAGTCAACTTGATAAACATACGAAAGTATGTAACAAAGAAATTACAGGTAAAAAACGATTTCGTACAATAAATAAAATAGATGAAATTTAATTAGTTAAAAAGATAAACCATAGCCAAAAAAAGCATTTCTTATAAGATTTTTTATAAGTCAATAGTCATGAGTTAATAAATTAATGTCTAGAATAGTCTATCACTATGAATTTTCAATCAACGATGCGATGATTGTGTCTACACTTTTGTACCAATAGCTGTCTTCTTTGAATATCCATCGACCGATAAGTTTCATCTCGGATTTTGGTGAAATTCCATGCAAATGAAGATGTTTTATAGAATTAAAGGGAGGTACATGGAATCCTAGAGATATTTCATTCTCAATTGTTTGATTATGCTTTTTGAGTAATTCCAGCATAATAAGTTTCATTTTTACAACTGAAAAAGTGAATATCCTTGAATTAACATAATTTTAAGTAAGAAATTTTGTTAACTTACTCATGTCTTTGTCAGCAATTGTCAAGGAATTTGTATTCGCAATATGTCTTTTAGGAATTATAAGGAAATGATTCGAGGTAGCAGGTTTTATGTCTTTGAATGCAATAAAGTCCTAGAAACAATCAAAATTAAATTATTTCTATGAAAAACATGAATTTAATTATATTATTTGTCACCTCATCCATATAGAGCATATCTGCATCTCTTGTTTTATTAACAATATCACAAAAAACACAAGGCATTGAATCTTTATTTCCGTAGCGAACTTGAAAAATGCAAGCAATGATTGCGACAACTATCGCAAGGAAAAACAAAATCCAAAGTGCAACTTTCTTTAACGAAGACATTAAACCGAAATATTTAACGAACAAAGAATTTGACGAAACGATATTAACGAAGGAAATTGAATAAAAATAAAAATTGTGATAAGATTGAAAAGTTCCAATTAGTTTTTAAAAAACACGAAACTATGGAAGGCTTAAAGGCTCCATCATTAAGCTCATTAATATCAGGAACTGATCGAGGATCAAGTGACTCTCTTTTGGGATCACTAAATCTCGATTTAGATGAGGTAAATAAATAAATTGAAACTTTTACCATTTAAATTGATTTTCTTTTTCTATCCACAGATTGATGATCTTTCGATTCCACCTGTAGAAGAACTGCCTTCATTAGATGCTATTATGAGTGAATTTGACAGCGATTTAGATAGCATAAGCAATAATTTATTAGGAGATAATAGAATTAATCCAACACCGACTCCATCATTTGATGAAAAGCAACAGACTGGATCGATTCTTCGACATGTTATCTTTCAGGGCGTAACAACACAAATTGGATCTGCTTCGGTAAATTGAAATAAAAGATTTAGAATAAATTTATTTTATTTTCTTTTTAAAGGATCGAACTGAAGCTGGACTTGCGTCCGCATTAGCAGTGTCAAGAATGGTAGCAATCGGAACATCTCACGGATTTATTTTGGCTTTTGATAGTTCACAAACATTAAAATGGTGTTGCTTAGAGGGTCAAAAGAAACAACAAGGAGCTGTTTCGTCAATGTCATTTAATTCCGATGACACGAGACTTTTAGCAGGGTTTTCACGTGGAGCCATTCTAATGATCAATACAATGACAGGAGACGTATTACGAACACTTTTCGACGCCATATCACCAAATGCTGGTGTTTTAAACATTAAATGGACGTCACGTGCAACACTTGCATTATCACTTGACACTGGTGGATCAGTTTGGTCACTTTCGTTCACAAGACGAATGGGAATTCGAGGATGTGACTCGAGATGTCTTTTCAGCGGTGCCAGGGGTGAAGTTTGTGCACTTGAGCCTTTAATAGTCAATGACGAACGTCATCCGTTTCAACAAAGCTACACACTTGTCGCTCTCGCAACACTCAGTAAATTCTTCATTCTCATGATCAGGCCACGACTGAAAGTTGTCAAATATCACATGTTAAATGGACCACCAGACAGCTTGCCTTTGCTCTCTTGGCAAATGGTGTTAATTCAATCAGCTGATTCTAGTCGAAGTGTTGACCCAGTTCTGGCAACTGGTAGGGGATCGTCGCTTTATTTCCATCAACTTTCATTTTTGAATGGTCGCATTTCAGTGACACTTTTACGTCATATAAGTTTAACTTATAATCTTCTAGCACTTCATTGGCTTGGACCAAAGAACATTGCATGTGTTGAACGAAACTCAGAAACTCTTCATTTGATTGATGTAAGAACAAGTCGAGAGCTTGAGACGATTGATGCATCAAATTTCGGAATTGTTTATTCATCTGCACAATTTAAAGGAATTGCAACTGGGGGAAATGTTTCACCAGCTTTAGCTCTTGCTGGAACTTTCGCATGTTACAGCACAATTGTTGCAAATGATTTAAATGGAACGCTTTACATTCTGGGGAAGAGAAGTTTACATGGGATCAATGCTCGTAATTGGAGTGAACGATTATCGTATTTAACAGCGAAACAAAATTGGACGGAAGCTTTTGAACTTGCAATCGATGGTTATAAGAGTAGTTCTGAGAAACCAAAGCGTCATGGAGTCTCTAAAGATCGCATCATTCATTTATTCGAAGATTATTTAAATGCAACGACGAGAAGTCCTGAATTGTGCTTGGAAAGTGCAATAAAATGTTTGATTGAAGTTGACAAAACTGAATATTTATGGCAAGAGTTATGGGAGCGACTTTTCTCTCACGATCTTTACTTAAACATCATAACTCAACATATTCTCGATGATAATCTAACAACGATATCTCCGACAGTTTCACAAGCACTTTTAGATTATTGGTCGAAGATTTCTCTTGATAAACTTGAGACAATTATCTTGAAATTAAATTGGCAATGTCTCGATCTTCATCAAGCTTTAAGCCTAGTCAAGCATCTGCAATTGTTCAAAGCGCAGATGCATCTAAACACCAAAGCACTCAGTGATTACACAGCATCGCTTGTTGAATTGATTCCTTACATCAACATCGATGATAATAACGACCGATCATTGGGAAATAATTTATTGGTTTACATATCGAGTTGTCTCGCGGGTCGTGGCTATCCAACGGGTGAAATTGCTGACGATATGGTCTCGAATGTTAAATATGAGGTGAAAATGAAATTCATTTAATTTAATCATATTTAATATCTTTTCCTTCTGATTCAGATTATGAGAACATTAACAGCTCAACATTCAATGAAAGCAGATGACAATGAACCGACGTATCCTTATCTGAGAGAATTGCTGAAATTTGATACACGTGAGACGTTAAATGTTCTTTCACTTGCATTTATGGAGAATGAATTTAGCTCCGAACTGGGCTTGTCGCATCGACAAAGGATTATTAACATTTTATTGGAGATTGTCGATGATGAAGAATCTGATGTGAGTTAATTGTGCATAAATTTTATATTTTAATTAAGTTTTATTTTATTCGTTACAGCAATTTGGAATACTCTGTAACTTCATGTCACAACAAATCACCACGAAAAGCCTTCCAGACACATTAACGTATCTCACCAAGATCATCAACTACATCACGTCCGACAGTAACTTTCCAGTGAATTCTCGTCAACATGTTGAGAAGGAGCAAACATTTTTGAATCTTATGGAAGCGAATGCTTTGTGCAGTCGAATGACATTTGAAGAGCTTCTGGAAATTGCTTATAGAACAAAATGTTTCTTAGTTGCGCGGTTTATTTACGAGAAGCTTAAAAAGTATGAGAAGATAATCGAATGTTTCATTTTAAGTAACAACAGTTATGAGTTGTTTCGATATATTTTGGAATATAGAAACAATGATGAGAGGAAAATTTATCAGCAAATTTATGATAATTTCCAATCGATGATGGAGCTTGAAAGTGAAAAGACTACAAAAGTGATTATCGAGTATTATCCGATTTGTGTTCCTCAATTTCTAAAAGTTGTAAACGGAATTCCAAAGCTTCATTATGTTTTCTTAGAGTCGCTCATCGCGAATGGATCAATTCCACTTGAAACCAGTGACTACAACAAGTTCCTTACTCTTCAATGTCAGTACAATCCAGAGAATGTTCTCGAGTTTCTTCAAAACTCAAATCATTCTTATGACATCCATCATGCGATGAGTGTCGTCGAGGAAAAGAATTTGACGACGTCTTTAATTTATCTTCATGAGAAAAACGGAGATTATCAGAAAGCTTTTCAACTTTCAATGGATCTTCTCAAAGATTCACCGGAAAGTCTTGCCGAAAATTATGCAATGAAAGTTGGATATTTGTGTATGCGTGCATCAAATATTTTAAGTATTTCTGATCGTGAATCTTATTGGTTTGAGTTGATTGAAGTGATTTTATCGCGAAGCTATTTGAGTTCAATTGTGAAGCAAATTTTGCATTTAGCGAGTGGTTCTGTGGATTTATCGAAATTAGTTCAGCTTGTGATGAGAAGTGGCGAAGGGAATGGAAAAACCAAGAATTTTGGTGATGTCAAACATATTCTGATTGGAATGTTGAGTAACTTTGAATACGAATCTTTATTGTTGAAGACATCACAAAACATTCTTGGCCGTGATTTACATAAGCGACTTGTTAAAGAGAAACAAAATGCTAATGTGGGAATTTATTGTAAGTCTTTAAAGTGTCATTTATGTAAACGAAAACTTTCCGATGTTATCAAAACAGCGACAGAATCAAGTGAAGATTCGAACGATCAAATAATCGTGTTTAGTATTTGTGGACATTCCATTCACAATTCCTGTTATCAGAAAGTTTCCAAACAATGTGAAAATACAGATTCAAATCTAAACACAATCATTTGTACTCAATGTGGTATTCAAATACAAGAAGCGGATTCTTTTTATTTGAAACAAAATAAAATTAATTGGAATTCAATTCCTCAGGAAGAGTTTTCATCAGATTTACAATTGAAAGCTCCACCGCGAATTGGATTTGATTACAAGGGAAAGTAGAAATAACATTGACAAAAATTAGAAATAAAAACGTAAACAATTAAAGTTCTTCATATGTTTCTGAATATTCACATTTCAAGCATTCATGGAAATATTCTTCAGTTTCAGGATTGTAAGTGCTTTCACCAAATTCGTGTTCGTGTTTTTTCGTAGTTTTATCGTAGAGAGTTGATCTGACGGTCTTCCTGAGTTCACTTAATTTCTTGTTGAATTTCTTTGCTTTTGCCATTTCTTTCTTTTCTTCTCGTATTTGCTTTTCTTGTGCAATCTTCTCCAATGATTCGAAAACTTCCAAAGCTCTCGCTTCAACTTGTGAACGTAAATAAAGTTTCATTTCAGCCCATGTTGATTTGTGGGGATTTTTACGAGAAATAAACTTGAGTGGTGGTTCGCGACGATCAAAATCGCAATCTTTTAGAAGGAATTCATCACGAGCTGTTGTCTTTGTTATCAACATGCTGTTTTCTTCATTCTTACACTTGTCACAACAACTGAAGCCAAAGTTTTTATACAAATAAGAATCGGCAAATTCCTCATCACATTCGACACATTTTTGATACGCTAATGGAATATCTGTAGCATCTTCTTCGAAAATTTTTGCAATTTTAGCTGCACGTTCGCTTTCTTCTTCTTCTTGTTCACGCTCATCAAGCAGGAAACCACCAGCAGTGTCAATATATTTTGATCCATTGATTTTAATGGTATTAGACCCTTCATCTTCCTTTGAACTATCAACGAAACAGAAGCTTTAGAGATAAATTCATGTGCATGGAAAATATTTTTGTTTACATTGCAACTTTTGATTCTCGCAAATGTTGAGCTTTCAGTCTATTTCTTTCAATTCGTGCTTTTTCCGCTTCCGTCAATTCTTTTCGTGCAGATTCACTTTCCATGTCTGAATAAGTTCTATTTTGTGATGAATTAAGAAATGTTACGAAATAAGAATGTTTTTTTCTTAGGCGGTAAATAATTCAGAAGTGTAAACCAAGATGTAAACAAAACTTAACGAAAACCTATAATAACAAAATTTTAAAGAATTGAAAACCGTTATTTTCTTAACGATGATTTTTCATGCTCTCAAAACAGATCAAAGTGAAAATTATTCAATACTGTTAAGTTATCTAAGAAGAATAAATGAAAAGATTGAATTGACGAGAAAAATTATTCAAAAGTATATCTGAGAATAATAGAGATTCAAAAAAAGTTGAAGTTTAATTTGTAAATTATTTTCTTATTTACTTTTGAGTTTTTATTTACCTACTTCTGTAACAATATTCAGCAGTGTACTTCAAGACAGTAAACAGACATAAGTAAGGTGTTCTTTAAGTAAGGAAAAAACTAATGGAATATTCTCTACCATCATATTTTCATTAATATAGAATAAGAGGAAAACGAAGCGGGAAACATGACCTTGAAATACTCACAGGCGTATGCGTCATGCATTTCACACAATCGCGTAATATTCTCTATTTACCGGCACGCCGACTATAAAAAAGTTTCATTTTCTTTCATTCTCTGTTTTGTTTGAGTTCTGATCACAGTGTTGTAATTTTGGGCTTTTAAAAATTTAAATTACTGAAGCTGTCTACAAAATGAAGTTTGTATTTGATACTATTTGAATATTTAATCGTTTACATTTATTGATTGTGTTATTTTTAGATATTTCACAGTTATTGGATCCGAAATATTGAGACAAAATTCAAAATATCATGTCTCAGTCAATTCTTTTGGTTACAAAGAGCCTCAAAGTTTAATTGTTGCATTAAAAGCTCAGGACATCGATGAAGATAAAAATATTTATCAGAAAACTGTTGAATTGAAAGATGACAGCTGTGAAGTCATTGAATTTGAAGTAAATATTAATGACTCATTTTATTTTTAAGACCTCGTCGCATAACATTTTCTTTTTTCTCTTTTCACAGTTAAAAAATCAAACGGTGTGCGACTATTTTCTGGAAGCAAAAACACTTGATGGGGAAACATTCAAACGTCAAGTTAATCTTCACATTAATTCAAGGAAATGTTCAGCATTTATTCAGACCGATAAATCAGTTTACAAACCATCTGATAAAGTTCAATTTCGAGTTTTGTTGCTTGACATGGACACGAAACCTTTTCAACCTGAAAATCCTTTGATTTTCATAACTGATGGAGCACAAAATCGTGTAAAACAATTTTCAAACCCAACTTTCGATACGGGAGTCTTCCAAGGTGAACTTCAACTCTCAGACTCACCTGTCATGGGAGAATGGACAATTCATGTCAAATCTAACGAAATGAACAATGAAGAGTTGCAAAACTTCAGCGTTGAAGAATATGTTTTGCCCAAATTCGAAGTGATCATCGACAGTAATGAATTTGTTGATTATAAAGATGGCAAAATCAACGCAACTGTTTGTGCAAAGTACACCTTTGGAAAGTTGGCGAAAGGAAAGGCAAAAGTCAGTGCAATTGTTAAGAAAGCTTCATCTTATTCAGGTTGCTTTGGTCAACCACCAATGACGATGAAAGTGTTGAAATATGTCGATGTTGATGGAAGAACAGATTTCGATTTTGATATGGTTGAAGAATTGGAATTAACAGAAATTGAAGGAGACACTTTGGTTAAATTATCAGCAAGTTTCACTGAAGATCTTACAGGTCGTAAATACGAAGGCTCGAAGGAAGTCACAATATACAAAAGAAATTACAAAATAAGACTTGAAAGAGTTGATCACAACAAGATCAAACCTGGAATGCTTCACAAAGTGATTGCTCATGTTGAAACGATCGCTGGGCTTCCAGTGATTGATAACAAAAACCCAGTTGAATTCGACATTAGTTACTATCACAATCCATCTAAAGATTCAGAAAAAGGTGAAGAAAAAGTTTCGTTAAGAGAAGAAAAGAAGAAAATTAAGGAAAATGTACAACTTTCCAATGGTGTTGCTGAGCTGAATCTTGAAATTCCGAACAATTGTTATCGTTTATCAATCAAAGCTAAATATTTGGAGGAATCTGATTCGGAATATAATGTCGCATTGGGTTCTTCGGAAAGCTCTCAATATTTGCAAGCAAAACTTGTCACAGAAAAGTAAGATAAAAAATTGATTTAATTTACTTCACTAATAAATTTTGTTACCCTTAAATTAGGCCATTGATCGGCAATGAAGTCACAATTGAAGTGACTACAACAGAAGAAATGACCGAGCTTTGCTATCACGTTTTCGGATGCAATGATTTGATTGAAGTCAGACGATTGAAAGTTCCAAACTTGAAGAATTTCAACTTCAGCTTTAATCTTAAGAAAATGATGACATCAAAAGTGAATGTTCTTGTGTTTTACATTCGACCTGATGGCGAACTCATCTCTGATAATCTTAAAATCGATTTTGAATTTGATTTTCATAACTCAATCGAAACTGAATTGTCAAAAGAACAAGCAAAGCCTGGAGAAGTGTTGGAAATTTCTGTAGTCACCAAATCAGACTCGTTTGTTGGTTTGTTGGGAGTTGATCAAAGTGTTTTGCTTCTGAAAACTGGAAATGATATCACAAAATCTCTTGTGACAAATGTTAACGAGAAATATGGAGAAATTGAACATTACAATTCGACTTACAGTCCCGACGATCATCAATACAAATTCGTAAGCGTTTCAGCATCAGATGCCGTTCTTATTACAAATGCGAATAAAGAGTTTCGTGAGTATAATTATCAGTTTTGATAGGCTAGGAAATCACGAATCGTTTAACTTTAGGATTCCCAAACATCATGAAGCGATTTTGCGCTCCTACTTTTGGACGTGGGACAATGGTTATGGATGATATGCCCGAAGCAATGCCAATGGCAATGCCTGTAATGAGACAAGCTGCACAATTTTCACACGCTGGTGGTCGATTCGAACCGAAACCAAAAGTGAGGAAAATATTCCCAGAAACTTGGATCTTTGACTCGTTTCACGTTGGGAAAGACAAGAAGAAAATTTTGTCGAAAAAAGTTCCAGACACGATTTCTTCATGGATTCTTACGGGATTTGCTGTTAGTCCTGCTCTTGGATTGGCTTTAATGGATCAACCGAAGAAACTTCAAGTTTCCCAGCCGTTCTTTGTTTCTATGAATCTTCCTTACTCAATCAAACGAGGCGAAAGTGTCGCGATTCCTGTTATCGTTTTCAACTATTTGGAAACGATTCAGAATGTCGAAGTTACGCTTTCCAATGACTACGACGAGTTTCAATTCACTGAAGATTTGAAACTTTCAAAAGATAAATCAGCAATGAAAATTCTTTCAGTGAAACCAAATGAAGGCGAATCAATTTCATTTACGATCAAACCAACGAAAGTTGGAAACATCAAAATTAAAGTCAACGCAATTTCGTCTGTTGCTGGCGATGCAATCGAACAATTGTTGCTGGTTGAACCTGAAGGATTAACACAACATTTCAACAAAGCTTTGTTCGTTGATTTGAGAAATTCAAAAGATTTCAACACAAATCTTTCAATTGAGATTCCAACTGACATCGTACCTAACTCAACAAAGATAGAAGTTGGCGTTATTGGTGACATTTTAGGACCAACAATAGAGAACTTGGATAAACTTATGTAAGTTCTTCTTGACTGTTATTAAAGTTGTCATTAATTAATTTCATTTTAGTCGAATTCCTTTTGGTTGCGGTGAACAAAACATGTTGAACTTCGTCCCCAACATTATCGTCCTTGAATATTTGACAGTTTTAAATAAACTGACACCTGAAATTGCTATCAAAGCAAAGAAGTTCATGGAGACTGGATATCAACGTGAGCTTTCCTACAAACATGATGACGGTTCTTACAGTGCCTTCGGTCAAAGTCGTTGTGTAAGGAATCGAGGCATGCCAACATTCTCGGAGGAAAGACGAGGCAGCACATGGTTGACAGCATTCGTTGCCAAGTCTTTCTATCAAGCTTCGAAGCACATTTTAATTGACAAAAATAATATTCAAGAAGCTTTAAAATTCTTGGAAAATGTTCAGAGTGAAGACGGAAGTTTTCCTGAAGTTGGAACAATTTTTCACACAGATATGCAAGGTGGCGCATCAATGGGATTGGCTTTGACTGCTTACGTCTTGATAACTTTCTTAGAGAACAAAGAAGAGTTGGAAACATACAAATCAACGATCGAGCGAGCGATTGAAAATATTGTGAAGAATTGTGAGAATGTCAAAGACAATTATTCATTGGCAATTGTCTGTTATGCACTTAACTTAGCTAAACATTCATTAAAAGATTCATTGATGAAGAAGTTGATCAAGCAAGCTCACAATAATGAGAATAATTTGATGTTTTGGGTGAAGTCTGATGTGAAGATTGATCAGCCGAATGCGATTAATATTGAGATGACTGCTTATGCACTTCAAGCTTACATTGAAGCTGGTTTGGATGCAGAAGCAGCTCCAGTTCTGAAGTGGCTAGTGTCACAAAGAAATGAAAATGGAGGATTTCAATCAACACAAGACACGGTCGTGGGACTTCAAGCTTTGTCGAAAATGGCAATGAAAATTTATGTCCCTGACAGTCAAGTTTCTGTGACTTTGGAGAGTGAAAATAAATTGAAGCAATCATTTGATGTCAATGCCGAAAATGCTTTGATTCTTCAGAAGCAAGAGCTGCCATCAAATTCAAGAAGTTTCAAAGTGTCAGCCTCTGGTCATGGGTTTGCACTTTTACAATTGGCTTACAAGTTCAACATAGTTGAAAAGTTGAACGAGCCACGATTCATTCTTGAATCAAAAGTTGATGATAAGAATTTGAGTAAAAGTCAGCTTACGGTTGAAGTTACAACCAGCTACGTTCCTGATGAAGTCTCAACGAAATCAAACATGACAGTGATGGAAGTTTCGTTCCCAAGTGGATTCATTTTCGATTCTGATCAATTGGACGATTTCAAGACCCAAACTAAAGTTAAAGTAAGATTTTCCATAAATTTTAAGAAAGATTCTGATTGAATTTTCTTTTCATTTCAGCGAGTTGAAACGAAAGAAGGAGAAACAATTGTTGTTGTCTATTTCGATGAAATTAACACCGAAAAGCTGACACTCGACTTCAAAGCGATTCGTGCACATAAAGTCGATGAGTTGAAACCGGCAAATGTCTTAATTTACGATTATTACGATAATTGTAAGAATTCTTTTAACAATCATTTGTGATGTTTAAATTTATTGTTCTTGATTTTATTTCCAGCACGTCGAGCTTCAATTTTCTACAAGATTTAAAGGAAAACTGTTTACTCTTGAGCCTGGAGCACTTCACATTAATTCAACATTTTTAATCCATTCAATCAAATTCAAATCAACGCAACAAATAATAAATAAGAATTCTAAATAATCAAAAATCTTTGCAATTTTATTCAACCTATAAAAAGTTTTAATAATTTTATTGAAGCCCACAAAGTTATTCAAGGTTTCTGATATTTCATAAAGCATTAAGCAGAATGTTATAAGAATTTATTAAATATCAATTTTCATTATATTTCCTCCATTTTTTCCTTTCTTCTCTTCATATTCGTCCAAACATTTGCCACAACAACCACCATTGAGAGCGTTCTCACATGAAACATCAGCTGGTTTGGGTTTGTAATTTGGCGTCCACTCTCCGAGACTGTAAGTGCTGTAGAAGTCCATTGGATAGTTGAGATTCTTGTCTTTTTCATTTGGAACATCATTAATTCTCCATTCGACATCACCAAGTGCAACTGAGAGCTCGTAAGGTGTCAGTAAAGGTTTCTCAAAAGCTGTTCCCCAATCAATCGACAGTCGCGGACAAGCAACTTGAACAAAAGCGTCAACATCTTTGAAAAGTTCAAGTTTCGATGGAAATATTTCCGACAGAAGAATTATGGAAACATTTTTTCCATTCGCTTTCAATCTTTTCTCCAAATGTTCAAGAACTTTTGAACTTCCTTGTCTTCCGAGTGTCCCAAGAATTAAACCAAATCGTTTTGCCTTTCGTGCTTTTTCAATTGCAAGCTTTCGATTACGCCTCATAGCTTCATGATCGTAATACTCTTGCGTGAATTTTTTACTGAAATGAAATTCAATTTTATTTGTTTTACTTGAGCAATGAAATTGTTTAATAAACTTACTCATAGGGGTCATATTTGAACGCTTCGACATGTGGATTAGCAATCATCGCAGCTTCAAGATGAAAACGTCCATCACCAAGATAAACTAAAGCAGCGTCTCCAGGCAATTTTGGAGCGGTACATCCAAGGATTTCTCCAGGACTTAATGGTTTGGTTTGAGGAACAGTAACTTCATATCCAAGTTGTCTTAATTCATTAGCTACATGATGTAATGTCGCTACAAATTGAATTGTGCTGACAAGTGCCAGTTTCCTACCAGGTGGGAAGTTCAACTTGACACTTTCCACAAAATGTAACGAATCAATTTTGATATCAACAAAGATGTAGAGAACTTTAATTCCATTGGTTTGATCTATAGGAATGAGACAGCTATGTCCATAGTGAATAAGCATATCAGCTCCAAGAGCAATCGCAGTATGATCATCAACGCAACAAGCGCCATAGGTAACATCACCCATTATAACGACATCAGCGTCGGTAAACTTTTGAATAATGTCAGAAATAGGGCAAGCAAACATTAATAAGCCTTCTGGCATTTGTAGAGCAACTCGTTTCGCTTTTGTCTCGCGTATGCGATGTATTGTCTTGTGTATCTCAAAGTTGTAATTTTGAGGGAGATTGGAAATTGCATCGTTGATTTCAGTGTCATTTAAAATTGAATTTGGAATCTTATTTATTGTTCTTGTTGTTCCTTTGAAAACTTTACGTGTTGGTTTTGCTTTCACTACCACCACACCTGAATCTTCTTCATGGTTCACTGTTTCCATTTTCAACTTCCAGCTTTCAAAACAAAAATAAAGCAATAAAAAATGAGAACGTCAACATATATTTTTAATTGCGTAATTTAAAAAAATTGCGACAGCACATCGTCATAAAATGACGCATGAACTTGATCAAAAATTTTAACAATCACTTTTATGGTCTCTTTTATAAATAAAAGAAGTGGTAGGGATGAAAAAAACTAACCAGAAAGAAAATAAAATTTCATCATTTTCTTACTCACCAATGATAACTTTTAATCTCGAATTCTATATCAAAGATCAACAAATTTTCTTTTCTTTTTATATGTTATTTTGTCTTAATGGTTTTTAAAATGATAATGAAAGCTTTAAATAATTTCAAATCACAGCTTTTAATATTTTAATCTGATATTTTGTCTCGTTCCGAAAATACGTGATTTTCTCTCGTTCACAAACACATTCAAATTTCAGCACATGCTTCGTTAACTTCTTTTGTTTATGTTCCAACTTTTCGTAATAGCCGCGGAGTGGCGTTGTAATCGTTTTTATAACGAAACTTCGAACTTTCGAATATCGAAAATAGAAAAGAAATTTCTTAATTTTCTGTAAAACAAGTTCTCATAGTTATTTCTAGTTATTTTCTAAATAAAAGTGAGTAGAATTAAAGTTTAAATTATTATGTTCTTTTAAAACTATAAAAACTTCATAGTTTTGTCGCGTTTGCTTATGTTTAAACCAAATAAGAAAAACCTTTTTCTTTATTGGTTATTTTGCCAATGTGGATGTTTTAATTTATTTTTTTCTCTTACTCCTATAGTTAACAATGCCGGAAGAATATAAATCTTCATGGGCTGATGAGGTCGAATTGGATTCAGGCACTTTGCCTCCTCCAACCGAAATGGTTGATTCACAGGGTCAGAAAGTCATCACTGAATACAAATTCAACAAGGATGACAAGAAAACTAAAGTGGTGAGGACGTATAAAGTCACTAAACATGTAGTTCCAAAAAGCATTGCTCGTCGTAAAAAGCTTCCTAAGTTCGGTGACTCAGCAAAGGATGTTGATGGTCCTAATGCACACACAACATTCGTGTCGGAAGACATCAACATGCAATTAATTACGAACAAAGAAGAAGAAAAAACGAATGATTCCGTTTTGGATCCCAAGAGTGAGTTTATTAAGTTTATTTGTTATGATTAACGAATCTAATAATTCATTATTATTTCTCAGATCAATTCGCCAAATGTCGTTTCTGTAATGGAGGACATTTCACTACAAACTGTCCGTATAAGCATACAGCGTCATATATTGAGAAAATCCTTGACACGAAGCCAACAACTTCAGCAACAGCAACTGAATCGTCTTCCTCTAAACCTGGAAAATATGTTCCACCATTCATCAAGGATCATCAAAAGAATGCTGGAGGAAAAGCTCGTGACGAATCAACTGCAATCCGTATTTCCAATCTTTCCGAATCCACTTCAGATGCTGATCTGGAAGATCTTACAAGTAAATTCGGCAAGAAATCTAAAATGTATTTGGCTAAGGACAAGAACACTGGCTTATGTAAAGGATTCGCATACGTTCATTTCTACAGTAAAGAAGATGCTGCTACTGCTATTGATACCCTTGATGGATTCGATTATAATCATTTGATTTTGAAAGCTGAATGGTCAAAACCTGCTCCTTAAAGTGATGAAAAAATCAGAAAAAGTTTTCTTTTGTATCAATGGTGAAAGAATGTTAAAATAAACGACACAATCCAGACAGAGAAATAAGAAGAATGATTTTAAATGCTTTACCATTGCAGATGATTTGTAAATGAAGAAAAGCTTTCGATCGGAAGATTAGATCAATGCTTTGATCCACGGATTAATTTTTCAAATATTCCAGAGTTAGATTAAAAGTGAGATTAGTTTTCTTTATGAAAATGTTTTATTTTAATATTTAAACAATTCCAAGGCTACAAACTCTTAATATAAAAAAGCCATTAATATGTATTTATGAGCTTATGTATGTATAACTAATCTATCATCATAATATCAAATCTTGTGTATGATGCAAACTCTGAGTATGTAAGTACATAAGTAGTATTTATGTTTGTTTGTAAAAATTTTCACTAGGCAGCTTTTAATAGACACAAAGAAACATGAAGCTTAGTAGAAATCGTAAAAGTGGACGAGAAGTTCAGTTATGAAAAAATTCTTTATAAGTATCATTATTAAATTCAGGTACAGTCTTAAAATCCTTTCCGTCGTCGCTGTGATTAAAAAATTATCAAACTGACGCTTCTTCAATCACAGAAATCACTCGATGTTGCTTTGTTGGAACTTTACTTGAAACAGCATTGTTTTCCCTATCAATTATTAATATTGCAGTCTGCTTCATGTCCATTGTTTAACGCAGTTTTCTCTTCATCTTAACGTGATTTTCTCTCGTTCACAAACACATTCAAATTTCAGCACATGCTTCGTTAACTTCTTTTGTTTATGTTCAAGCTTTTCGTTATAGCCGAGGAATGGCGGTTGAAATCGGTTTTATAACAAAACTTCGAAATTTCGAATATCGAAAATAGAAAAGAAATTTCTTAATTCTCTGTAAAACAAGTTCTCATAGTTATTTCTACCTAGTTAGGGTAAAGTGACCTATTGTGAACACAGTTAAGAATAGGACCTATTGTGAACACACCTAATTTCGAATGCAGTTTTCTTCGCTATTTTGCATTTTCATGGCTCAAAACTTTTCAAATAGGTAGAGTAAACAGTCCCAAGTACTTTTCTGAAAAGTTTTGAGCCATAAAAATGCAAAATAGCGAAGAAAACTGCATTCGAAATTAGGTGTGTTCACAATAGGTCCTCTTTTTCACTGTGTTCACAATAGGTCACTTTACCCTAACTAGGTAGAAATAACTATGATAACTTGTTTTACAGAGAATTAAGAAATTTCCTGATGCTTTTTTAATTTTTTACTCCTATAGTTAACAATGTCCAAGAGTAAGTTTATTAAGTAGGTATGTTTGTTATGATTAACGATTCTTATTATAAATTATAATTTCAGATCAATTCCCCAAATGTCGTTTCTGTAATGGAGGACATTTCACTACAAACTGTCCGTTATATAAGCATACAACGTCACATATTGAGAAAATCCTTGACACGAAGCCAACAACTTCAGCAACAGCAACTGAATCGTCTTCCTCTAAACCTGGAAAATATGTTCCACCATTCATCAAGAATCATCAAAAGAATGCTGGAGGAAAAGCTCGTGACGAATCAACTGCAATCCGTATTTCCAATCTTTCCGAATCCACTTCAGATGCTGATCTGGAAGATCTTACAAGTAAATTCGGCAAGAAATCTAAAATGTATTTGGCTAAGGACAAGAACACTGGCTTATGTAAAGGATTCGCATACGTTCATTTCTACAGTAAAGAAGATGCTGCTACTGCTATTGATACCCTTGATGGATTCGATTATAATCATTTGATTTTGAAAGCTGAATGGTCAAAACCTGCTCCTTAAAGTGATGAAAAAATCAGAAAAAGTTTTCTTTTGTATCAATGGTGAAAGAATGTTAAAATAAACGACACAATCCAGACAGAGAAATAAGAAGAATGATTTTAAATGCTTTACCATTGCAGATGATTTGTAAATGAAGAAAAGCTTTCGATCGGAAGATTAGATCAATGCTTTGATCCACGGATTAATTTTTCAAATATTCCAGAGTTAGATTAAAAGTGAGATTAGTTTTCTTTATGAAAATGTTTTATTTTAATATTTAAACAATTCCAAGGCTACAAACTCTTAATATAAAAAAGCCATTATATGTATTTATGAGCTTATGTATAACTAATCTATCATCATAATATCAAATCTTGTGTATGATGCAAACTCTGAGTATGTAAGTACATAAGTAGTATTTATGTTTGTTTGTAAAAATTTTCACTAGGCAGCTTTTAATAGACACAAAGAAACATGAAGCTTAGTAGAAATCGTAAAAGTGGACGAGAAGTTCAGTTATGAAAAAATTCTTTATAAGTATCATTATTAAATTCAGGTACAGTCTTAAAATCCTTTCCGTCGTCGCTGTGATTAAAAAATTATCAAACTGACGCTTCTTCAATCACAGAAATCACTCGATGTTGCTTTGTTGGAACTTTACTTGAAACAGCATTGTTTTCCCTATCAATTCTTAACTGACGATTAATATTGCAGCCTGCATCATGTCCATTGTTTAACGCGGGTTTCTCTTCATCTTGAGATTCGTGGGAAATTTCAGGAATGACTTGAGTTGATAACGTCAAATTATTTTTGTTGTTTCGATTAAAGGAACTTCGTTTGTTTTTTCTTACGTCGGTTGGAGTTGCAGCGACTGAATTGTCAATATCGCTTATGGAATATTTCACCTGTATAAAAAAGAAAGAATTTTTATGTGTGGAATGTTAAAAGAAGAAAAATATTCTCACTTTATTGCAAGACGTGATAACTTCTTCATCATTATCATCGACATTATTAAAATCAAAGTCATCGAGTATATTATCTGGTAGATCCATGTCAGCGATTCCTTCTTCTGAGATACATGTCAGTTCTGGCTTTTCTAGCCCATTCACAGCATTCATTAAGACATCATTTATGTGTGGCACCTGCACAGCACCAAAAATTATCAAATAAATATTTAAGTAGAAGTTTCAAAAAATTTACGAGAATTTCGGTGCCAAGAATTAAAGCAGCGGTTCCCTGAAGTGCTGGTTCGTTATCATGATCATTGTCAAAAGATAATTTCCGGCATGTTTGTGTACATGAATGTGAGCCATTTTTCCTTCGCAAGTTAAAAAGAAATAAATTAAATTCATCTGAGAACAATAATTATAATATTTTTGATATAAATCTTACATTTTCGTGTTCCCATCTTTATGTCTTGTAACATTTCTCTTGTGTAAGTCGATTAAAAATAATGTCAAGCTTCCAATTATTGCGCATGCTGAACACATATAATATCCAGCATGATTTGAATAACTTGCATTAAGATAACCGGCTAATGGAACTCCGAAAGCTATCGGTAATGCCTAAATAAATAAAAAAGAAAATGTCTATAATTCATAAATTAAAACATAAAAATTAATTCAATTTACTTGAGAAAATTGTACAAATCCCCACGCTCTTGCGAAGTTTCGTGCTCGAACTTTTTCGAATGTAAACATTTTTAAGGAGTAATGATAACCGCCCACGAAAATACCTAAATAGCAATCATATGGTAGCAATAATTCATTTAAAAGAGGAAGATAAGAAAAAGAAAAGTTTTATACCGTAAATCCACACGAAAAGAAGATACGCTTGATAATTTCCATCAACAGCTGTCAACACCAGCATCGCTAACCCACACATGAACATCGCTGTTTGGCACAAATATTGTCTCGCGATTCTGCACTCTACATTATTCTTCACTACCAAGAGCCCAAAAATGACACATCCAAGTATCCAAGCACAGCCTAAATAAATCTGCAACATCAGCACCTTATCGCTCAATTGATCTTCAGTGATTTGATGTGCCAAGTAGAAGAGTGGAGTATTGATGCCAAATGCACTGGAAAGAAGCGATAATTTATAAAATGATTTTACAAAATTATTCATTCTTAAGAAACTCACGTTATCGATGTTGAAAGCATCATAATTCTGACAGTTTTACTCTTCAATGTGGAAAAATCGAAAAATGGTGGGCCATCAAATTGCTTGCTTTTATCTTTGATTTTTCTCTTTTGATTCTTTAAATGAAGAATTGCGCGTCGTTGTGGATGGTAAAGAGATGCTGATCGATAGCATGTTCCAAGGATGAATGTACTAAATACACAAATTGTAACTGCTTGAAGTCCCAATCTATTTAAAAACATTCAAATTATTTAAGAAGATAAAGAAATAAAACTTTTAAACTGCAAACCTCCAACCAATAGCTTCGATAGCACTTTTGATAAAAGTTGACATCACAACGATGCCCAATCCACTCCCAGACACAATAAAAATCTCAACAAATTCACGTTTGCGCTTGAAATATTGTGCTACCATTAAAGTAGAGCAATCGCGACTCATTCCAACACCCACGCCAACAACCGTTCCATAACTGAAAAAAAGTTGATGGAATTGTGATGCAAACGATGTGAAAAGACATCCTAGCGCCCTGAAGTGAGCATTAAGTAAATAGAAAGAGAAATAAGAGATTTTTTAAGTAACGTCAATCATTCATTTAACTGGATAATCATGAAAGAAGATTAAGCTCACGTTACGAGTCCACCAATAACAGCTGTCAAACGTGTAGATTTTCGCTTGCAAACTCCGATCGTTAATGGCGAGATAAATAACGCGACGGCTGTTGAAAGTGCGCCAAGCCAACCTGCAAATAGATTTATGAAAGAAAGGAAAATTAATTGAAAGTGCATCATGTTGACATTTACAATTTTCATTTGTCATTTGTTTCAGTGGTAATTTGTTATTGCGTGGGAGTAATCAATTTCCCGTGAAAATATTTTTTTTAAATAATTGCATTAATTTCATTTACAAAAATGAATTTCAAATTAAATTTATTCAACAGTCAAAACTAGGAAAATTTTTATAAAGTTTCAATTAATGGCATTAAAAAAATTGAAAAGAAAAACTTTTCATCTTAAATTTTCTTCCGAACATTTTAGTGTAGAAAATCTATGAAAGAAAAGTTAGACAAAAGAAAAGCTTTCCCGACAAATTTCCTTTTATTTTCTATCACGAAGCCAAAAGTCGAGAAAAAAGAACTTCTTGAAAGTCATTAATTAACGATCGAATGACGTGAGGCTTCTGACATGACATAATTTGACGAATTAAATCAATGACCTCTTAATGAGAAAGCTTATTTTTCAATTCATCGTCAGTGATGAAGCTTTTTCTTTTCCTTCTTGTCATTTCACTTTTTTTTCATTTCGAAAGCTTTCATGTTTCTCCGCCTGTAAATCAATCGACAAAACTACGCACAAAACTATCAATTATCCAATTCCTTTTTCTGCCATCAATGCTGCTAATTTTTGATTATAATTAATTTGGGAAATCACCAAATATGAAGTTATAAAAACCTCTCAACGCTATAATCATATTTTCAATATAATTAATGTTCGAGTGCCGAATTTAAAATGATTGTATGCTATTTATTTGTAATCTGTTGAGTTATGTATAATGAACGTTGTCGAAAATAACTGTTGGAAGTCTGATTTAAGATTATCTCTTAATTTTGATAGTTTATCGATTATTTCTTGTTGAACAAGCAAATATTTTTCTATTCATTACACAAATTGTTTCTCATTTCGAACCAACCTATTAGCCGTTAAAGCTTTTGTAAACTTCAAAAGAAAAATAAAAAGATTTGAAATAATCTCGATATGTTTAACACGCCATCAAATTATATTTCTGTTAAAATAAATATTGTACTTAAACAATGAGTAAGTTTTAATCTTGATTTGCTGAACGATTATGGTATCAAAAATGACACGAAAGTATTAAATGGTCTGGTCTTACACAAATAATAATGTCCATTCCGAAGGGAAAGAAATTAATGGAGCGAAAGACATTTTCAGACATGAACTTTTATGTATTTATGCTGCTTTCTCCATTCCACATGTTGCTAAATAGATTCTAAAAGAATTCAAAGTTTCCCTTTTTAAGAAGCTTTTTTCAATTCCTAGTTTGAGTTAAAATGATTGTAGACATTGGATAAATGCTGGAAAATGATTGCAGACATTGGATAAATTCGGGAGACTTAAAACCGAATGAAAAACTTTTATTTTTATTGTTGAATCAGACAGAATTCTTTTGTTACTTATTTATGTTTATAATATTGATTCGTTCGAATTGATTTGATCAGGAAAGTTTTTTGCTTCTTCGTCATGAATCATGATCAAGGTAAGGGACAAGGAAAGACATTTAAAAGAAGTCAAAGACCGTTTTAATCTTTATCACAACAAACAGTAACACTTGAATCGATAAATGTTAACATATTCACTTAGAATCGTCGAGAAAAAAATAATTTTATTGATCAGAACTTTAATGGCAACATAAATTTTTACAGCATTTATGGAAATTAAATTGATACTTTGGAAAAATAAATGCTGAATGAAATGAAATTTACAGCTGATTTATACGCTAATATTACTGGCGGCAAAACGTTATTTAAAGGGGTTAAATGTCGTATGAAAAGCATTTACCAATTGTGATTAATTGATCGTGTTTAAAAAAGAGTTTTGTGGCCATGAAGAAGACTCCAAATGACAGTTGAAGTCCATGTGTTAATAATTGAACTGTGACGGCAATGAAGACGATGACGTAGCTCCAAAAAACTGATTCTTCTGGATAGTAATGAATGTTAACCGTTGCATTGCTGTTCACAGACAAACTTGGAATGCTTGTTGATGCTTTGCTTTTCTCTAAGATTCCAACTCGTGACACGGGATGTTTGTGAAGGGCTCCAGTTCTATGTGAATGCTGTTCAACAACGATTGTCGGTGGAGGTGTGACTGGTATATGATCATCGAATTCTAATGAATGTGCATCGTTACTTGTGGCGATTCCTGAGTCTTCCAGAAGACCAAACAGGAAGTGATGACTGTGAACAGTTGATTCAGTGCTGTCATTGCTTACATGCTGATGGTTTTTACTACTTTTCGAATTTGCGTCGTTTGTGGCATTGACACGTTTATTTATTAAAAAGTCCATCTTGCCACTAACACCCGTAGCTTAAGCGATCTGTTTCTCATTTCACAGTCGGCTTACACTTTCAACACGCAGTGAAGTTTCAGAATGAAGCCGTCATCAACTCGCAAATTTATTGAGTCACTTTCAAAGTCTATTAACTTCACTTAACTTTGCACCAATTGAGAGTTGTTGAGATGATGACAGATTAGGAATAAAAAGAGAACAAATCGATCACTCAAGATGCATGAGAAAATGTTTCACTCCTTGTATGAATTTAAACTTTTATTGTCAACTGTCACATGAACAAATGTTTCTATCTAATAAACAACAAAAACAGTCGTATTCATCATCGCAAGCCAATTCAAACATTTTCATAACATGCCGCCTTAGCAGTTCACTGAGACACGATTGAGGCGTGAAGTTTGAAGAAATTAATCATTTTTTTCTCAATCCTCAATCCACTTATGCGGTCAATGAAAAATTCTATTTATTCGCAACAATTTTTATAATTTATTAGCATACGATGATGGTGTGGAAAAACATAGAAGTTAAGATGAAATCAAAGCTTCTAAGTGGCGAAAATGTTTTTAAAACAATCTTGGAAAATCTTTTAAAAAGTTGTGGAAATTCCACGAAAAGAAAATATCGAAGTAAGTATTAAGTGGAAAAACATGTTTTTCCGATGAAGAAATTCTTGAATTACGTCACAATTATTTCATTATCATGAGAATATTCCTTTTTGCTGACTTTAGCATAAAGTTATTTATACGTATGAAGTAAAACGAAAAGTCGACGGAAATTCCTCAGTTGAGCTGACAGAAACAATTTTTTCCTGTCAAAAAATTTCATCGTCTAATCATTTCACGTTTTATGTCTGCAACTTCGTTGTTTTCTCAGCCACTTAATTCATGATTATCCTTCTTTAATAATATGTTATATGATATGTTTTCCCTTAATTAAATGACAAAATGTTAACAACAGAAATCTGGTTTTTAATTTATTTCAGTGTTGAACTTATGTTCGAACAAACAAGGTTTGTTGAACACGCAAATTTAATTTTTTTTCCTTCGCTATTGAGTTCATTTGCGGTTCATTTCAATCACAAAGATAAGTTATTATTTTGCAAAAAGAAATTTCACGAGTTATGAAAAAAAATCAATTGGTAAGTCGTGTCGTGAATCATGCATTTAACTACATGAGAGGGGAAGTCATTAAAAAATATTTATTCCAACTATGAATGAATGATGTGTGAATTGTTATGCTTGCGACAATTATCCAGTTGATGTTCAATTATTTTTTATTATATCACACTCAATAATACTTTTTTACTTCATAAATTAAATTTAATTCGTTCACTTTCACTTCTTAATCCTGGAAATTCTTGTCGGATTATTTTATTCACAAAACTACCGGAAACAAAATTCTTGTCGATGTCAATGTCGACCTGCGTCCGTTCTACTCGCTACCGAAACACAAACTGATCCAAAAATGCTCTCTATCAAAAAATATTTTGTGTTTGTACGAAAAGGCGAAATCTCTTGCAATAAAAATAAAACACAAAATTTTTTTTCGGGGGGAAATATCAGTGGCTGTGTGTGCGAAATTGTGAAGAGACGGAGCAACAGCAAGCACATTGAGCCAAAAAAGAAAGAAAGAAAGAAGGAAAGGAGAATGTGAGTGTACGTTGGTAAGCGAGAGAAGAACTGCGAGCCATAAATCTCTGTTGCCTTTTAATTCATCAAACTATGATGTATAGCATTTTGCAAGACACTTATGATGAACATTGTGATATGTTTAGAAATAAATATTTATAAATGATATGATCAAAAGATTAAATTATCAAAGCTAAGCTTTCAAGATTTGATAAATTTATTGATTATGATTTCATCAGCTCACGTCAATATTTTCTCATAATCTGCTTGACAAAATCTTATCATCGTCATCATCATCATCATCAGCATTGTGTGAATGAACTTAATGCTTATTCCCAATCCTCCAATTCCAATCCTTAGGAAAGCAAAGTCATTCATACATAACGTAAACTATTCTATTTCTTGGCTAATAAATTTTTATCTTCTTTATTTGAAGTTCAAACAAATATTTTGGCGAAGGAATAAAAAGAGATGCGCGGAAAACGAGAGACAAAAGCTGACATGAAGGGAATTTAGCTAACAGACGAAAAAAGAAAGATTCATTTTCTGTTGTACGACTTCAGACAACCACAGAATTGTTTTAACAAAATCAAAACGAGAAGAAAGGAGAATGACTAAGAAGAATGAATGCCATTTGATTCACTTTTCTTCTGGTAAGCTCCCATTTACTTACACAGAATTCTGAAAGTGTTTCTTTGACAATCTATCCATAAATTTTCTTCTGATCAAACACTTCGATTTGCTTTCATGGTGCTTGTTGTTGTTCATTCGATGGAACTTGTGTGCCGATTAAGGAGGAAAAGACATCGATTGGCGATTGTTTGCTGATAAACTTTAATACAATTAAGCTTGAGATGAACGAGAAGAGGGCATGGCAGCTTATAAGCTGTTGAATGTTGAGAAACGCATTTCAATTTATTACACTGCTTGAAAGGATAAAGAGAACCCGATAACCAATACGAAATTCCTTTCTCTGAAACTTTTACGATCTGTTAACAGTTTTCTTGTGCGATGTTTCGTGAATTTTATATTTCGCTTGCACACTAGAAGAGTTTCATTGAAATTTAAGCATCTCTCTTAACTCTCTATTTATCTTATTTTGACCCTCGGTGCCCATTTAATCCACAAATCGATTTGAATATCGTGATTAAATCAAGTGGATTAGCAAAAAAAAACAGTTTTGTTATTTTCAGTCAATGCTTCAACTCCTCGGGCAACAATTACGATCAATTAAACTTCTTGTTCCGCTCGTAAAGCGTGGACGGCTTTATCTGGGTCTCAAAAATGAAATTTTCGAAGACAGAAAATAAAAACTTAAGCAAAGAAATGAAAAATGATTGAAATGTATTTATTTTATTTTATCTTGATGACTTTTTTTTGTACATCTTAAATAACTCGCCAATAGTTGAATTTGAATATTGTCGTTCATAAATTTTGTCACAAATTTCCATAAAAAATTATAACTTGATTGAAATTAAATAAAATAAATTTCATTTGAATTTTTCATATATGATTTAAATAAGTGACGTAATTTATGGACAAACCCCACTATGTACATAAACAGAGCATGTTAAATTATGGTTTAACTTTCATGAATGCTGGCCGAAAGGTTTAAGTTTTTTTTTCAAAACATGTGCAGATATCGCGATTCAAATATAACAAAAAGTCTTTTACGATCTATGGTAATCAAAAATAAATTAACATTTCTGACATTTACCGATAGTACGCTTTGAAATTGTTTTATTTGGCAGTGATGAGGCTTTTCTGTCCTCTGTTGATTAATTTTGAACCGTAAAAATCGCGTTAAAAGTTTAATGAAATTTTTTTATCATTAATTTTGGGAATCGCATCAGTCGCGAAATTACTTTGCTGGTTATTAAATAAGCTAATTAAGAGCTTTCAATATCATCTCAATAATAATTTCATTTGGCGAATTGAATTTCAAGAGTTTATTCCAGTCTTTTGTTTGATATTATCTCGTAAAAAAAAGACAGAAGATGAATACGAGATGAAATTAATGATCAGAGAAACGTGGAAAAGCTTCGAAGTATCCCTTTTCTTATCTGTGAACAAGAACAAGAAAAATTGATAAGGAAAGTAGCTTGATAATTAATGAAGACGCCTTAAGTGAAACAAGAAACTTCTAAGAAGAGTGATGACGACGATAAAAGTCACAAACAGCTGGAAAATAAATTTTTACTTTTACTTCTTTGCCTCACTCCTTAAAGATTTATGTTTATCTGAACAACACGTGCGCTATTAAACGGATAAGTGGATTGTGAAGTTCTCACTGGAGAATCTCTTATTGAAAACTTCTTTTGCAACATTTTTCTTTTTAAATATATTAAAAAATATTCGGAATTTCCACAAATTGTTTGTGTCCTCGAACTCAACCTTTCGATGCGATTTATTCAAAATAAACATTCAGAGAATGTTCGATTTAGTAAATATTTGGGTCAAAAACAAAAACGCTGAACTGTTTTCATTCATAAAATTTCACCCTCGGTGTGCATATTTCAATTTATCAGCAACAACATTTAACTGACTTCTTACTATTAACCATTGATTCTTATCTGATTCGAACAGTCGATTCAATTCTTCTGCTTTTATATTTATGGCAATACGTACATGGAATGATGCTGTTTAAGATTATAAGCAATCCGTTTAATGAACTAGGAAATAGATCTATTTTCCTTAAACATATCAATGCAATAAATCACTCTTCAATTGGCTTCACAACGTTCTTCTCTCCGCCGCGAGACCAGCACACATTGGCCTAGGAATTTTGCCGCTTTTCGTTTATTTTCTCTTCCCATTGTTGTCAAAAATCGAAGCAAACAAACAAACACTAAATTACAAGGAAAAATCTTGATATTGCATCGCTTTGCATTTCACAATTCGTTTTTCGAAAAGAAATTTTCAATACTCGACAAGACAATACAAAACTGAATGTCACAGTGAAAATTATTAATTCAGTTTTTATCTTTTTATCTTTAAATGAGATTAAGTTTCTGCTTGGTTAACTTCTGCTTACGTTGCGATATTTTAAAAGTTTCAACAAGTTTCTACCTCGTTTATTTTGTTTTAGCAATAAGATAGCAATTCTTGCCATCTTTTTTTAGGACACTTAATTTGGTTTTCTTCTCTTATTTCTCTTGTCTCGAGTTCATTGTTCAATTCTTGAAAGGAATTTGAATTTTAAAAATAAAGTGAGTGGATGAAGTTTGTCTGGAATATTTATTATGAAAGATATTTAGTCGAATGACTCTACATTAGCTAGTCAAATGTTATTGAGAAAGTTTAGGGTGGAAATAATAATTTTCTAAGTGATGTCGTAGATTTACATATCTGAAGACTCTTTCAACCTCAAAAGCTTTAACAATTTGACTTTTGAATTCTTTGATCGTCATTGAAGGTTTACTACAATAACATGAAAGTAAAACAGAGAAAAGTTTTTCTCTTCTTTTTTGATTCGTAATCGAATTGTTTTCGGATTTTATTGGATTATTTTTGGGATTTCTTTTGAATGCTTAGCTGATGAGACTACGAAAGAAAGATGAAGTAGCAACAATATGATATGTTAGAGTTTAGTTATGAGAAAAAGTTTTTCATACTAGACGAATAAAAAGTTTCACGTCTCACTGGGCAGAACGATTTAAGTTTTATCGGATCGTTTTTGTTTCAACTAATCAACTCTGTACTGCTTTCGTTTGAGTTTTCTTTCAGCTTTGGTGAAGAATCTTCAAATTTATGAATGCACAATGGTGAAGAATCTCTTAAAATGACAACGAAAATCAATCAATTTAATGACAGCAGATGTGTCCACTTGATTGGTATTATTGAAAGCGCATGATTCCTTTGTAAACTGTCGCAGTGTCTTCCAAGCACTTAAAGTTGCACTCAAACCCGTTCATAAACAACATGCAACTCATGAAGCATGTGTTTCGAATCAATCAACTTGCGGGTTCATTCATTCTCGATTGTCCATTTACGTTTTTCATTTCTCATCACCCGGCAGCAAGCCGTTTTGGCATTCAACCAATTTTTGACGCATTTGAAGTCATTCATTTAATTTGCTATGTTAACATGCATCTTAAATCTTAATCAACGTTTGTGTTCTTTCTTTATCCGAAGAAATTTATGAAGAATATCTTTGTAGAATTAATACTCAATACAAATAGCTCATTAACTTGTAATTTACAACTGCGATTCAACTACGTTAAGTAATGGAAAGTCATAAATTTTTTATGATTTGTTGTGATGGCGCCAACGTAGAAACAACAGAAATATTATTTACAAAAGGTATCAACAATTATCCTATTACAATTCATAAATCTTCTGAAAGATGAAATTGTAGTGAAACTTTGATGATGATATCAATCAAGACTTGAAGGTTTTCCTTTATCTTTAAATTGATTCGCTACATATTCTTCAAAAGAATGAATAGCTAAGAAGTTTATCGGACTATACTAATACTTAGTAGATGAAGCTTTTATGGATCATTATTTGCTGTCATAAACTGATGAAGTAATTTTCAGCAGATATCCGATTACTCATGTTCATCGATTTCTTTGAATGGAATGTCTCAAAATAAGGAAAAATGAATTCTAAAAGAAAATGAACGATGAGAAACTTCAGGTCTTTGTGACCTTATCGGGAAAAATTTCATTCCAATTCTCTAATAACTTCCGAGTGAATGTCTTTAGTAAACTATCGTCAATTAAATTTACAGCTACTTGCAACAATAATCGAAGTCTCAAATCTCATTTACTGAATTTTGGTGAATCAGCAAAAATCGTTCAATAAACATCCGCAGGAATCTCATGTCTCCGCATCTAATTCAAAATTTCTCTGACGGAATGAGTTTGAATAATCATTAGCCCTGAGTAAATAAGACTCTGTTCAAATATTTAACAAGAATGAACGAAACCAAAGACTTCACCTCGTTTCAAATTCTCATCATGAACAAAAAAAAATTGTTTAATCTTACAAATAAAATTTAATTTTCAAGTGTTTCTCACTTTGATGGGTGATGAGGCTCAGTAAATTGAATGCAAAAACAAACGAATGATATTAAAAACAGACAATTAATTAAAGAAAGTTCAACTCGACATATGCACATGACTGTAAATATTTTTGACGATATTTAGAAAATTAAGTTCACAGCTTACGGCATTGTTCCAATTCATTTATTTACTTAAAACACTTCACTCTTAACAAATGTTAAATTGTCATTCCACAATTAATGTTCTTTTCCTACAATGTTGCTGATTTCGAGACGTTACATATGGCAAAAGTCTTAATTAAATGTCTAATGGATCTGTGAAATCGGCCCCTGATGTGAAAATGAATGAAGAAATGTCGAGAATTTCTCGTCAGGTCTAAAATATTATAAAACAGAATGAAATGTTCGTAACTTGATTTTTCCTTCCATGCAATAAACCTTTTAGATAATAAACAACAGAGAACTATTGAGAGCGAGACAAAATTTATTGTTTTTATTCAATAGACGATATTTATGAGGCTTTCATTTAGAAGGAGGATTAGCTTCACTGAATAAATAAATTCAAATTTGTATTTATTGACCTGGCAATTCCCTGAAGGTTGCCTGACGTTCATCAAATTGTCTCAAGAATAAACTTTTAACTTCAACTTTTATATCAACATCCATTATTCATTTAAAATATTTCAATCCACAAAAGCAATTCAATTGAAAGCGACGGAGGTTGACAAATTTTCATGGCAGAAAAGTATTGCATGCAATCAATTATTCTCCTTTTTCTCCTTTTCCAAATAGTGTTGTTGAATATGATGTCAAGTGTTTTTAAAATGTTATGACAAAAACAACTCGCCAAATATCCAAACAAAAGTTTTTTGTGAGGGATAATTTGAGGAGAGAATTGTTTATCAAGACGACAAAGATAAATGCGGCATGAAAATGTGAAGAAACCGACGTTGATGTCGAATAATAAAATTTTCTCTTATCTTTAAAGAAAAATATGTAAAAAATTATCGTTCGTTGTTCTCATGAAGCGTATTTTAAATGTAAAACAAAAAGAAAGAATTTAAATTAATTCAACGAACGCTTATCATGTAAGCAATCAGTGCAATGCAATGTTTAATTTGCTGTAAGAATTTTTGCACGATCTGAACTCTTGCTGTTGTTGTTGAAGCTCAAGACAATAAATTTTCTACATAATAAATAACATTCGATATTTGTGAATTTTTGACATTTCTCTTATGATATGAAATATTTCTGCATTTCTTTTATTAGTTTCTTAATTGTAAAATATTTTTTAATAACGGAATACTTTCTTGTATCATTCAATAACATGAAATGAAATGTTGCTCTTAATTCCATACAAATTTATCAAAAAAAAGAAGTTTTTCTTATTTTTGTTGATTCAATTGTTCAATATAAAAATAATAAAACATTCACCTGATAACATGACGGTGACTTCAAAGGTTTTCATAAGCGTCACATTGAAAATGCTGTTCGATAAATGTAACCCGTGATTGATTGTTTGAACTAAAATTACAACGATAAGTATGACGTAGCCCCATTCTCCCTCTGGGTAATAATGTTGTTTCAATCTTTTTAACGTTTTCTCATCACAAAAAGCGACAAAATGTTCAACAGATTTCTTCCGCTTCTTATGATTGCCGTTCTTGATTTTTTGCCGTATTAACGACGAAACATTAGACATCGAATCTGTGTTATCCAAATTACTGAGCGATGTGCTCAAACTACTCATAGTTTCTTGTTGTGGTAGAGTTGATGTGAGTCGTGAACTCTTTACAGATGAAAACGACATTTATTATGATAATTTCTAACTTATACGTTTCGTTTAAACAATTGATGAACGACACTACAGAAATTTTCATGAATTATTCAATTAAAAGTACTCAGGAACTCAAACACCTATCAGGTTTCATATTTAAATTGTTTTCTCATAATTGAATTAATGTGACAACTCATTTTTCATTGAGTTCAATGTTCACCACTTGAACTGTAACTTAAAAAATCTTTAATTACCTAGATAAACAGCTATTTAGTAAATATGTTAATGATGAGGTTTATTTAGCAACTGTTTAAGCTAAGATTTTGATCAACACACTTAGATAAGTAAATAAAAATCTCTTTCAAGTCCAATCACTTCTTTATTATTCCCCACAGCAATTGATTTTCTCACTTTTCCAATCACTTTGAGGTTTATTGCGTTTCTTTATTGATGATTGTAGAAGCTTATACCATGTGTAGTCTGATCATTCAACGATAAATGTCAGTAATAGCAATCTTAAAATCTTCCTTCGGTCTAAGCATAAATAAATCAAACAAGACTTTGTGCGTCGATTATGTCAAATGTTCAAAGTAAAATTAAATCCCGAAAGATCAAATCTTAATGTTACTTCATTTATAAATTAATCGGGTGAATAAAATCATTTAGTTAGTCATAAATGAATAAAATTAGTCTTGGATTTATTTCTAAAGTTTACGGTATGTAAATTATGAATTTCAAGTGTTACCCAACATGTGCAATTTTCAGTTTCAATAAATCGCACGTTCAAAAGAGTTTAGATATTGACGCAGAGTCTATTTGAAACTATTTTATCGATTTGACACTGAGAAGTTAAAGATATTTAAATGCACATTGGAATTAAACAAGTTCATGAAAAATCAATTCGAAATGCTCAAAGCACTCTCGATACGGACATGCAATGGAGAATCATCCGAAGATGTTTATGCGATTGAAATAAGTGAAATAAAACAACACTATAAACAGGAATAAACTGAATCTACTCTGCGATATGTTGTCGTTCATTCTCTTTTAAGATTGCTTTCAAATCCATTGGCAACAACACGTGATTTTTCCATAAATCTCAACGCAATTTAACGGCAGCGTTACAAGCACAATTTACCGTCAACTGTTTATTCTTATTTACTGAGATGTTTATGAACTTTTATTTCTATTTCTTTACAGACACCAAACAACACTTGACTCGGTTACGATTTCACTTTCATTTCAATTGAACTGCTTAGATAGTTTTTCTCGCAAAACTTTCTCACAATAAACCGAATGAAACTCGTTGAATACTTCTCGCAATGCATTCATGAAATGAAATAATTTTATGACTGTTATTCAACATCACCGGACGAACTGACGACGTTAAAATAATCTCTCGATGAAAATAATTAAAAGAATTTAGTTTTGTTTTTCTCTTTCGTGTGGCTTTTGACTCTCTGCAATAACAAACACCGAGTTCAGCTTTCATAGAGGGTTAGAACGAAAAGTTTGACTCGAGAAGGTCATTTCGAGCCGTTGATTAAAGAAATCAATCTCAAGATAGTTGGGAATTGTTCATGATGTTATTTATGAATATGCATAAAAAAACAAGAACAAGAGCGAGATAAAGAAATCGTAGTAGCGAGAGTAAGAGTGAAGTAATGTTAAACTAGTTTTCTTATTCTTGATTCGTACTTTTTATCCTCAGATTCTTCAGCATTACTTTTTCTCCATTTCATTCGTGAATAAAAGAAAAACAAAAAAAGAAGTCTAATAAGTTCACTGCCGGTGCTGCTGATGGTGTTAAATGCTGCTGAAGAGAATAGATTGAAATACATAAATCATGTGTGCTAAAGTTTTTCGTTGAATCTCTTTAACCACTCAACGAACGTGATTGTTTTTAATAAAACAAACCGACGAGGATATTTCGCCATGACATTGAAAACATTCGAGACAGAAAAGCTTAGTTGAGTTCAAGACTCTTTTTCTTATTTTGTTTAATGTTCGAAATGATTCTTTTTTTTTAATTTCATTTTACAAGAACAGAGAAACCTTCTTTAATAAGTACTATCTACATCATTTACACCAATTATCATCAGTTAATTATACTAAATTACATCAAACAAGTGTGAATGACGCCAACAGTCGCAAAATTAAAGGAGTATCGATTTAAGAGTAGAAAGTTTTCTGTTCAAGTCGTTTCCAAATAAGGATTTACAGCTTGGATAATTGAATGAAACTTCTCATGTTGCATTTGTAGAGTAACGTTTAAGAGATCTATAAAGACAATTATCTTTGAAATTTAATTAATGGTAATTTAAAGTAATTACTAGTAGCATTAACATACCAAATAAAATGTTATTTCGGTATGAAAATGTAGAGAAGATTTACCGCACAACTAAGCGACTCATTTTATTTATTTCTTTATAATGATTTCGCTTTATTCAACTTAAAAATATTTCCTTTCATTTTTTTGACTGCTGAATTTCGCAAGACATTTTGATTGATTCTTCAATTTAAAATACTCTCCATGTGTAATGAGCGAAAAATTATTGCCAAGTATTTATTAAAACATCAACATAAAGCTTTGTCGATGTTTAAATCAAAATTTACTTGTCAAATGAAATTTACTTCATATTCGTATACAAAAATTATCATTTTTTTCTTGTGGGTAAAAACAGAACAATCACTTGCCAAATTATTTAATCTCTTCTGAAGTAAATTGAAGAAAGTTTCTTTTTGTTCTTCCTTCATAAGCATCTAAGAAGAAAACGATCGAAAGCTTTTCAAAGAGCTTCAAATGTTTCGAATTGGAATTGAAGTGTTCCAATTTGTACAAATTTTGATGAGAGTTCAAGAAACAAAAAAACATCCTTAAGTTTTGAACACAATTTAATGACTTTAACAAGATTGATTAATACATTATAAGATATTTAAATCTTTAAAATTAAACAACAGATGAAGATATGTGAGAATAATATCAAAGACACGTGCTGGTTTAATTACAAAAATTTTCTTTCAATTTCATTTCATCTTGTTGCATTTACGGTGGAAAAACAGAGAACATAATTTAGATTACCTCGTAAAATCTGATTAGCTTAAAAGCTTTTCACGCAATAAATCACAATAATGTAACCGTGTTGTGACAAATAATTAAGTTGTATTCAATTACTTAGCTTCTCGCTCAAGTAATGTACAAATTGGAATTCGAATTATTTTCATAAATCTTCCTTTTTAGAAGACATTCATTTTTGGAACGAAAGAATAATGCGAACTGTCATTTTTAATAAAGATTGATTACTGCATAAATTAAACTCATTGCAATAAAAATTGAATGGAAAGATTTAGAGTAACATTGTTGAAACATTTCTGAATTCTGATCATCGAAATTATTAAAATTTTCATTCCTTCTTAAGGAAATAATTCCAACTATGATTAATGAATATGAAGTGCACGAATTGCTGGCATCTGACGGCTTACATTAATCAATGAATTTATGAATAGTGATGCCGATATGACAGAATTCTAGTTGCAGTGCTAAGCTCTTGAACGTTCTTACATTAAAGGGAAAATTAAGTAAAAGTCTGCCAGTCTTCTTCTTATGATAAGAAATTATTCAAGTTTACTGCTGATGTGATTATATTTATCTACTTATGCAGTTAGAATATCATGACAATAATTTATCATTTCAAGATCGGATTATTTATTGCTTTAGTTGATGTCTTCCTGATGATTAAATCAATGGTTGACCTTTAAGATTATTGGGTCATGAAAGACTTTAACTGGTAGCATTGCGAAGTTAATTTATTACTCGAAACTTTATCGGACATGTCTTTAATGCTATTTATGAGATCAGTAATAAAGTTTCCCTTTCATCACTTGAAAATAGTTCATACCTTGAACCCTTATAAACTCTAAAGATTCTTGACATTTTTATAACTTTTCTACTCAGCGCAAGAAAAATGTTGTCAACTTGTAGATAATCCGGAAGTTACGAATCGGATTTATCTCATATGTCACCAAGTTATGTTCATATAAAAACTTAAGAAAATAAGTGTTCGCTTAAACATTTCATACGATCGTAAAAAGTGATTAATGAAGCACAAAAATTCACATTGTGCCGACAACTCAGCTTCAAAATTGACAGATTTTTTTTTGTGACAACATGAAAGTTTTTATACATCAAACGTTATGTAAGAGATTTTACTACAAAACCTAATAATTTCCTCTAAAATTTATATCAAATGATGGAATATGTTGAGAAAAACTAGTTGGATGAATGATGAAAATCATTTTACGTCGTTTACTTACGACAGAATAATGCGATAAAAAAAGCAAAATCAAATTATGTGCTGATAAAAAGCGTTCAAGCGAAACGGATTTCATCTCAAATTCAAACCCAACATGTCAGAGTTTTTCATGGGACTTTTTAAAATGTATTGTTGAGGATAAAGTTGACTTAAAAATGGCATTGTTGAAAATCAAACCGTATGTAAGTGGAGTTGACAACATCATTAATAATCATTCGCTTCATGTGCTAATATCCGTGCTGGTGGTTTCTAGTTGTTACTTCCTTTTACAACATGAATGAATTGGCATATAATGCAAATTTATTGAGTTCAATAATGGTATGGTAATTTCTCTCCATTCATCTTCAAACGATGATACTTTAGGAATCAATTTGATTGCCATAGGTAGCTTGTGATTTATGAACAAAGGAATTTATTTCCTTATGATGAAGGTGCATACCAATTAGTTAAGGATTTAAAGTGAATTCTAGACACAACTATTGAAATAATTATCAATCATAATATACTGACAGATGTCCAATTCCAGAATGAAAAATATTTTCTCATTTGACGTGTGACAAGAAACATACAAGTTGAGAAAACAATTTTTTTACAAGCAATTTCGTTTCAATATTGAATTTAACGATACGAGGTGCTGGGTTCAGACATATTAATCGTAAATCTGAGCTAAAACTTCGATCAACTGTCGTCTTAAAGAGTATTCTCTCTTACGTTTTTATTGGCGAATGACAGACAAAATGTTTGAGTTCCAGATGATTGCATTTCATGATACTTGATGCGAATTGAATCCAACGATGTTAAAATTTAATAAAAAAGCTATTGAAAAACTTGTATGTTTGGTAGACTTTGTAAACGGTGACATTTTCTTTCTTTGTATAGATTTGCAAGATGAACTGATCAGTTATTTGAATGATACGAAACTGCGAATTTGATTTTGATTAGCCAGTCACACTTGACGAAGTCGGAAAGATTTAAAGTTCAATATTCATACATTGTGTTCCAAAGGATCATGGAAATGGTAAGGAATTTAAAGTACGCACATACGTGACCGTCATCAATGTTCTTTCATATCAACTTCAACTCGAAATTCTGAATTGGAAAATTATTTATGCAAATGTAGGGCAATGACATTTTACCCAAAAAACAAATTCCAAATATCGTAGATGAAACTTTCCATTTCTTCATTTGTTTAGATTGAATTCGATTCATTTGCATGCACACGCCATTTCCTGTTCAATTCTCATTCAACATTGATATGAATCAAGCAGGAAATAAAGAAAATAGAATTTTCATTGAAGATTTATTACAATAAAACAATCAAATTCTGGGTTAGATTTCTCGTTAGTTTCGTGCTTACGCTACTTTCAAATATGCGGCAATTCAATTCCTTGTTCCATAAATTATGTCGGCAATAAGAAGCGAATGGAGTTCTAATATAATACAAGATAAGAAACTGCATTATCATTTTTCCTTTTGTTGTTTATTTTCATAGAAATTCATTTGACAATAGAAATGAAGGAAAAGGAAATTCAATCGTGGAGGGTTGACTGTTGATATTCGACCCATGAAATTATAATTTAATTAACAATAAAATAAAGAAACTGAATATGCAATTTTCCTTTGATAAATTGTGGCAAAATTCTTCCATATTTTTGATAGATGTATGAAGACATCAAGACAATCTGTTAACAGCCACATCAGTAGAGAGAAACAAAATGAGTTTTCTTCAAATAAGATCTTTAATATTACGCTTTAAGAAGCTACTCAATAACTTTTCTGTTTATAAATAGTTGAATGAGATTTTCTCTTAGATAATTTCCTTGAAATATTGAACTCGTAATCGTCTAATTGTGGTTTCATCAACCACGAGCACATTTTATAAATCATTAAAATAACTGGCGCTTACACTTTCAAGGTTGTTGTGTTCTCGTTTGGTTTCTTTTTATGTTCATTCGCAAAGTTGTTTACATTTTCATTGTGATTTCTTCTAAGATAGAACATCGCACATGTTGTCTCCTTCATTCTCAACAATAATCTTTGTTTCCATTTATTTTTTGGGAACGAAATCCTTTTTCAATTTTGGAGAAGATTGAAATAAAATAATTTGCTAACACGAACCAATGAGACTCGTCTTTAAATATATTTAATCCAAAACGCTTATTGTGGTTGAAAGCTTTCAAAAATGCCATCATCAGTGTCTCGTTAGAAAGCGAATAGAATCACTCGATGATATTTTTCGAACTGTTATGCATCGCTAAGCACTCAAATAAACATCTAACTATCGTTTTCTCACATAAATTTTTACACAATTTTCTGCATGGAAAAGTTCTTTTTAATTTTATGAAGCAAACGGAAAATATTGAAATTTTAAAACTTTTGGTGACTATTTTTGTAGATTTCAATATCGACAGAAATTTCCACAGGTTTAATAAATTTAATATGCTGAAACAGCAGAAAAATCAAGGGAAACGAAGAATTTATTAAGCGAACTTGTCTGTCTCAATAAATTTCCAACAAGAATGACATGACGCTCGTTTTAGTTCATAAAACTTTTCCTTCTTCTCTTTGAGTTTCATAAAGACATGCAGAATGTCGTTCACATAATTTTTCGTGGATTTATAGATTTATTTTCAGCTGAGATTTAAGAATCTCACATCATGTCATGGAAGATGAATAATAATAAAAATTATAAAAAAATGTTCAAGATCGTTAAAATTTGATTTCAATTTGTGTTGACGCATAATTTCTTATCATTTGTAACTCTTGCATCCTTCACTAAAGAATACTTTACGATGCTTTTATCACTTTTTGACCACCAAATTTATCTTTTCTTCTTAAACATAAAATTAAGTTATAAAAAGTTTATTTCGCACACAAATTAATTTACGAAATGTGACCAAGTAAGCCACACAGTGGCGGAAATTAGTAATCAAGAGAGATGCCTTTGTGAGCTTTCAGTTAATTGAAGGCTTGCGGGTATTAAAAAGGCCCAAAAATATGTTTGAAGCACTTAATAACGTCTCAACCTGACACAATGATTACAACTTTTCATCAATCTATTATGACTTCAACTCACCCAGACAATCAACTTCGACTTCGTTGACTTTGAAACGATGACCAGCGGGTATGAGAAAAGTAAATGCGGAAAGTTGTAATCCGTGCGTTAAAATGTTAACAACAACACCAACAAATACAATCACCCAACCCCAACTTCCTTCGGGATAGTAACGTCTACAAATGAGACGACGTGCTGCTATAAGTTGCTGAAATGTTAGTGCGTGCTTGTGCTTTGATCCATTCTTCCCATTCATCAAGGTATTTCCAGCACAATCTTTCTCTGTCTCGAGTGGTGATGTGGAAATCAAAGGCCATGATACTGCTCGTATCAGTGATGCCATTTCTTTCACCACTTAAAAAGTTTTTCTATTTCCGATTTGAAACTATTTCGTGAATATCTTTTTTATCCCATCTCTGTTGACAATTGACAGTTCTTTGACGGTAACTTTCGAAAATTCACTTCTGTTCGTATACTTTTTTGTAAAATATTTAATTAAAATCATATTCAGCGATAATTCATTTTTCACTTGTTAAAAAAGTTTTTTTAATTCTTTAAGTCTTTCATTGACGCGGATTATTAATGAAATGTCCATTAGCTGTTAATTAAACGACTTTTTTCTTTATTCATTACGATTTACGAAGGTTCAATTATGTTTCTGTTCTTTTTTAAAGTACTGCTTGTCATGATTAAGCTCAAGATATCGGACAATATTAATGTTAGATCGTAAAGAGAAAAATTATCACGGAATTTTCACTAAAATATTAAGAAAAGAAGGAAGGAATCTCACAGAAGACATCGACACTTCATTCCATCTTTCTCCTTGTTGAGTTGCCTTCTTTTTATTGACGTTAAAAATTTTAATTTCACGGTAGATAGGCATGCAAGATGGTTGAAGGAATCACCTGAAGCTTTGCTAAAGACTGACTTTATTCAATCAACCGTTTCATGACATCAGCTTTCAGTTTACATTAAACATGTCTTAAAATGGACAAAGGTCTTGGAGTATCATGGCGTATAACTTCAGTCAATCACTCACAGGAACGAACATCTTTGATTTCACTTAAACCTTTTCTAAACATGCCTTTAATTTATGTGAGAAATTACAATTACGAAGTCAACAATCTTCACGAATTTTGATCGCTTTTTTTTGCTTTTTCTTTTATGCATCCAACATCTTGATATGAACACTTTTTTAGCTTCTTCGAAGCCTTATAGCTGTTCATAAACAAGTAATAATTTTTAATTGTAACTCATTCCGAAAACGTAATCGTCTGGGAACGCAAAGGATGCATTTAATTATTTTCAGTCAATAAAATAGAATAACTGTGATTTAATTCCATTTAATGAATCGTTGTTTGCTTTCATGCTTTCATGGTGGTGCACCATTCACGAAATTACATTTTCATATCGAGAATCGTAGCAAAATTGTTTAACGACACTTTGAAGGATAATTCACTAGCGAACTTCAACCCCTAAACTAACATTTTAGAAGCAAAGAATTTCTCTTCGTCTCTTAACACGTCCGTTTCGTTGCGAAGATATCAAACGACTGAACACTCTTTCTTTTTCTCTTCATTTTTTGCCTTCGACCCAACAAAAACAGCAAAGAAAAAAATGTACTGAATGAAAATAAAGTATACACGCTTCACATTCGATGATGATACTCTTGAAACATCGTTTCACGATGCTGCTACAATGACAACGTGTGAAAATAGACTTTTTGTGCTCAGCTTCCTTTGGAGGCGTTAATAATTGAGTGATTCGTTTCCAAACATTAGACAAGAGTCGCAAGAGCGATGTTTATTTATGGCTCTAGTGAAAGGATTTCTTACTTTCTTCCTCTTTCCTTAAAAAAGCAGAGCAGTAAATATTTCTTCAAGAAAAGCTTCTCTTAAAGCTTTCAAAAATACTTTCACTTTCAGATCGATCCATTTAAAGCACTTTCCGATGCTGTCTCGCTTACAAACACAAACACACACAAACATTAAAAGTGATTTAAGGAGGGACAAAAGGATTGAAGAACAGTCGAGCGTAAACATTAGTCGAACCGGCAACTGAGACTCTCAACGACTCAAATTGACATTGATAGCTTTTCGATGACTTTAATCGGATTCCTTAGTCGAGGATTTCCGATTTCCTTCTAGTCATAAAGATTTTCTTATCACAACAAGAAGAAGAAATCAATCATTTTTCTTGTGACTTGTGACTTGATGATGGAGAAGTTTCACATTTTATTTGATCAAAATTTCGGCATAAATTTTGCTGCAAAAGTTTTCAAAATTTAAATCTAAATAAATAGAATAAGTTGAAAGTTACGTCATGACTAACGAGAAGAAAGCTTTTTAGAATCTTTCAGAAATGTAATAAAGAGAAAAGTTTTAAAATATCATTTGTCTTAATTTTGTTACAAATCAGAGTTCAACTTAAGAAGAAAGATTAAATATTTGACATCTGTTGGAAACTTTAATGCTTCGATTCATGAAACTTTTCTCATATTTTTAGAAATTTCTTGACAAAGTTTCTTTGTTAATGAAATTTACTTTCGTCGTTTTCTCAGAAAACTGAAATGGTTTTTGATTTTATTGTTTCCACGATCAAGTATTTAATTATCATCTTCGTTAAGCTTCTTTTTCTATTTGATGAATAAATATTTATATCGAATGTCATGCAACATTTAAAGGGAGAGAAATCGCTGTTGAATCGTTTTTCTCTTGTCCTTTGTGACTTATAAAGCCGAATTATTCATAATTTTAATGCATTTTCATACACTTGATGGGGTTTGTAATGACACCGCCTTCGTTATCACGCGAATTCTTTAATATTTGCTTACATGGACTGTTGTTGATTAATGAATTGCATGCTAAGAAAGCCGAAGTAAATATAACGCGCTACTTTGTGTTAATTCTTAAAATAAAATTAATGAATTCATTTATAAAAACAAGACTGAATATTCATTTAAAATTATTTTGAGTTATTACTCAGTAAATAGCTTGCCATAAATGATCGAAGGTATTTTAAGGAATTTTAATCGCGACGTGCTTTAATTTCTCAACTCGACCTTTGCAACTTTATTCCACGATTTTTTTTCCTTTCTGCCACTTCTCTTTGTAAATAATCTTGTATCAATTTTATTATTTCACCAAACAACCTCGCGTTTGTTTACGAGAAACATCATTTAATCATATCATATCTACATTAGCAGATTTCTTCTTACAACAAAAGCGCATTTCATTAATTATGTTTATCATGCAAGTTGCAATGTTCGTACAATAACCACGTGCTAATTTTATTGAACTTGAATGCTGCACATCCAATCGGCGATGATAATATCGCAATGCCTGGTTAAGGGCAATAAATCTTATAAAAAAGTAGACGCATTGCTCCAAACGTCAACTTTTTCTGTTCTTTCGTCTTTTACGCGAAAGAAATAAAAACCCATGAAAGTTATCAGATTTGTAATTGATAATGAAGTAATTTTTCACGATATTTATTTATGGGCTTTGTAAGTTTCCTTTTTGTGTCGACAATTAAACATTGCGAAGATTAATTAAGTACTGTTTGTTTGCTCAGAAGAATATTTATGGAGAGTTACGAGTCCAAGCATAAATAATCATTAATAAACTAGTGGAAAGCTCGTCATAAATATTTTAATTTGTCTTTAATAGCCTGAAGGAACATGGCGTGTGATTCAAGTGAATTTTATCATCACGTAATCACAACAAATTGAAAATTAAAATGAATTGACTACAGCGAAAGTCAGGCAAATTTAATAATTAATGAATCTAATCATGACACTGTCAATCACCTGCTGCTATTAAATCATTAAATCATAATTTACTTCACACTCTTTATTCCTTTTGCAAGCTTTACGCACCTCAACGCTATTGACATCTCACGCTGCTTTGATCATCTTTTATTAAATGTTTATTCAATTGCCAATTTATTACTCGTTTGAATTGACTACTGTGTGATATTTATCAAGATTCATTCCATTGATCGAATAATCTCATGATGGATGAGTTATTCATCGATCACGACTGTTGTGATTTGTGCTTTGCTTGCAAACAAATAAACGGAAAATAATTTTTTTATGCTTTTTCTGAAGGATAAACAATTGATTGTAGATAAGTAATAACAATTTGTTATGGTATTGCAATAAAAGGAAGACTTCAATTTGCAAGTGCATGCATTCTTTATTTTAATGTGAAAATTGAAAGGATAATTGCAGGGTAAAACTTCAAGTTAATGAGTAATAAAAATTCTTATCCGTTTAGTAAACTTTACCAATTATTTATAATCACCACTTTTAACTTAAAAGGTGATACATATTACAAACAATTTAAGAGAAAAAAATGATGTAATTATTGACGGTTTTAATAAATAATGGCAGGCCTTTTGAGAGATTAAAATTGAAATCATTTTCATGCTTAATAATTTTTTTATCGTTGAAGTGTGCAAAAAAAGTTTCATTTCTTCATCGTTTGAATCAACTTCCAAGAAATTTTTATACTTTGTCAACTTATATTGCCATTGATATAAAAATAAACTTGACAAAGTAGGAAGTTAGAAGAAATTTCTAATTTCAAACGCTGAATTTCTCACATGCTGTCATTTTAAAATTAGGTTGAAAGTTCCAAGAATTGTATTTTAAATATATTTAGTTGAGTCATGTTTTATAGAGGATTAGTTGAGATAATCGTGAAAGGCATATGGAGTAAGAAATAAAAATTAGCGAAGCGTCAAATTTAATTGAGCAGCGAGCTCAACATTTATGGTTTAGGGATATCCGAGCCAAAAACTCAATTTGAAACCAAATCAATCATCAGATTTCATGAAACAAATTATTACAGCAAAAACAACGATTTGTTGATGAAAAAAGCCAAGTCATTGTAGGTTGTAATGGATATAACATCGAAAGGAATTGAATTGCTTAAAATTAGATCACAATAAGCACGAGATCACGAATGCGAGATGAAAGAAACTTCTTCTTGTTCTTCCTTTTCTGTCTTTAATAATCTTAGATTGAAATGGTGTAAAATAAATAATTTTATTAAACGAATAAAAAGTTGATATGAATGGCAATTGCTGATCAATTTTCTTACACAAGACAAGTCATTGAACGAGGTCAGTAAACTCAATAAACATTACATCAAACGAAGATTAATATTTTATGCCCAAAATTGCACTCGAGGGAGAATCAAAATTGATTTTCTCGAAAAGATTTGAGAAATTGTCAAAGAATTCATTCATCATGATTCGTTACGATAATATTTCAATTCTGTTTTGTAACTCCAAAAGAAAAAGAAAACATTAGAAAATGAAAATTAATTATGATTTTGAATCTTGCTGCTTCGCTGCATGATATCGTTAAATTGAAAGTTTTCTGACTTAAATTCTAATGTAACTAACCAAACCACATTATTTATTTATAACGATGAAAAATCATCTAATAATCGTTTTGGCTTTTGTCATGAATAAGCCGACTGCTCAATCCGACACCAGCACAATAGATAATAAATAAATAAGTTTATTATCGCACATTACGAACTCTTTTGCTCGATTAAAGACTCAACGACAAAGAGATTTGCAATCTTGGGATGACAAGGGGATGTTCACCGAAATATTGGGTTCCAAGTGAACGAAAATGAAGCAAAATTTCCATTCCAAACATGAATTGCCACTCTACATTCGGATGTTACATAATTTCTCCAGTTTGATGTGAAAATTCTAAAAGAAATTTTCAAGTCATTTATCAATGCAATAACAAAGCTTTTCTATATAATTTGGTTCGTTTGCATGATCGTGAATCGCGATGCTTTTAAATTTCATTTCTATGAATCATGACGAAGCGTAAATAACTAAAATGTAATAAAAAAATCATTTTTGTGGTGTATTAAAAATATTTCTCCATTTATATGACACACTTTTATGTTAATTTTGTTTTCTTCTTCTTGTTTAATTACATTTTGCATAATTTTATGATATACATTTTATAAAACATTAGATTCTGTGATATTTGAAGCTGGTCAAAATTTGTGATTTGAGATTTCTCAATTATCAATAACAAAATTAAAAAGTCTAAACTAAATATTTAACACAATGAAGCTAAGCGACTTGAACATTTAAATAAGCAATTTAATTACTCAGATGAGCTGATAGGGGAGTAGAAATAATTATATCAGAAAATAACGCGAATTCTTTGCACGAAATTTCACTAGCATGTTCATTACAGAAACTGTAATTACATATCATTTAATTATAGTTTTTCAGCTGCATTCTTAACAATCGTATCAAATAACTAACACGATAAATTTCAAATCACTTCTTTGTCTATCAATCCAAAAATTTCATTAACACTTTTTTCTCTTGTTCAGTTTCTAAGCGTTTAACTACAATGAACTGTATGTTGATAAGCGGCATTGAGGTATGTTTAAGTTTAAACATGACTAACTAAAGATTTATTATCAGTCAAATAAAAAAGGCTTGGTTCGTGCTTCACATGAATACAAATGGATGAATGATTTGTTGAATTATGTCTCTCAGTCAAGAAGATTACAAGGATTGATAGCTTTTTTTTGAGCATTTCTAATTTAAATTTTGGTTTCGTAAAGATTATTAATACCGCTTAAGTTTCTTATTTAAATTTCATAAGGGAAAATTTTATCGCGATTCGAAAAACTTCGACATTAAAAATTGAATTTCAATTGAAACAAAAAGAATTTCAATTGTTTGTTTAGAGATTAAATATTCAGATGAGAAAGAATTTTAATATTTGAGATGACAATATTGATGTGTAAGAAGGGCACATTTAAAAATCGATATCAGCCGTGTAAATGGAATGCTAGCAAATTTATGAGGCGAGGCCTCTTGTTTTGCGTTTAATTCGAGCGTACGGTCCAATTGCTGGATCCATGATGAAGTCATAAAGTACTTTCACCCATGAATCATGTTGCGGTAAGTCGTCATAATATTCTGGAGCAATTTTTCTTACCAACGGTAGTCTTGAACCAGGAATAGCTGGAAAATCGTGATGTTCATTGTGATAGCCAACATTCCATGTAATTTTATTTAATGGACCATAATATGAATAAGTTTCAAATCCTTTTGCAAACATGTAATGTTCGGATATGAAATGGCCTGATAAATTAGAAAATAATTAGCTTAGCATTTCATATAATTAATTAAATAATGACTTACCAGCAACAGGATGTAATCCCATGGCCATTAACGTTCCAATAATCAGATAAGCAAGCATTTTCCACCCGAAACAATAAACAACTAATGAATCAAATATTATTTGTATTATTGCATTAACAATTTCCAGCCGTGTTGGTGACTTTGGATTCACTAGCAACGGACGGACGAGATAGAAAAACGGTTGTAAGCAGACCCAACAGAATTTTCCAAATGTTGTACAAAAAAGTTTTGCTTCAAAAAGTGTCGGCAAGTCTGTGTCAATAACTTCATCGCCTTGATAACGATGATGTTCAAGGTGATACTTTTTAAATGAAATGGACATAGGAACACCCAATGGAAGATTGCATAAGAAGCCGAACAAACGATTTGCCATCGGTCTAAGGTAAAAAGTGAATTCAGATAATTTGAAGCTATTTTTAAATGATAATTGAACTTACCTTGCATGTCCAAAGCTCAAATTATGTGCAATCTCATGCACAGCGAGAGAAAGGCTATGGTTTATGACACCACCGAAGCAATAGGCTATAACCAGGAGTGCTGGCCATGATTGGTTTTGTAAAAAATACAGCGAAGTGATTTGTATAAGCACAAGTCCCGTACAATACCATTTAAACATGGGATCGTAGCCAAAAAGTTGTTTGATTTCTAAAATTCACTTCATTTTAATAATGTACTGAACAAACAATTTATTCACGGAATTTTCCGATAAGAAATTTTCCACTTGCCTGGATATTTTTTTAATATTTCAATTCTTCGAGATTTATGTGGTTCTTCATCATACACCCACTCAAAATCTGTTCTTGACACTTTTTGGCCCATTTTTAACAATTAATAAGCTTCAATTAAACTCAAATAAGCTATCTACTGAATTAAAATAAATGAACGAAATTTTAATTTCATCGCCCAGCTTTTGCTGTCTGTCAGGGATTGGAAACCAAGAAATGCCCACAAAAAATTGGCGGGTAATTTTGAATTACGGATCTGAAATTTATTATTTTCAAAAGTTCGAGATTGTTTGACAATGTTTAATGAACAATTTCATTTGTATTAAAAAGAAACAAGATTGAAAAGTGTTTTGGTTTTAAAATTCTTGTAAATGAAAAGAGTTTTCTTCATTTAAAGAAGCATTTGAGTTGCATGAAGAAATGGGCATTAATTTGGGTATTTTGAAGCGGATTTGAGTTTGCGCGAAATAGAAAAATAATTTTGCAGCTATTTTAATACATAATTTAAAGTTTATCTTTATCTCGTATAGTAATCGGTCATAGTATAGCTTAAATTGATAGGAAATGTCGCGATTTAGTGATTGCCATATAATTTAATTGTGATGGAAGGTAATGAAAGGGAGGAAACGGAAAAACATGAAAAAGGAAAGATTGAAAAAGAAAATTCTTTGTTAAGTTACTCGACAACTTCACCAGAAAGCTGTGGTGATGAAAATGTGATAAGTAAGATAATATTTATTACTTTCACATGAAGTTTCTGATAAAATTTCTTTAATTTTAGATGAAAAAAATGATTCCGGATCTTTGGATCGAAATGAAGAGCAACAACAACAACAAAGAGAAACAAATTCTAGTCATAGTGGCGACTCGTGCAATGGAGCGGGATCTTGTTCGGGTGTCAGACGAAAAGCCATTTCAGTAGTTAATCAGGAGAAAGAGCCTCGTAATGGAACGAAAAAGAAAGTGCGAAAGTCGCCAATCCAAGAATTTCAGCTATGGAATCTCATGAATTGTCAAACGGAGGAAACAGATCTCGGAGGCATCACTGCCATAGTTAATTATCATCGGCCTTTAGAACGTTCATTTCCACAAACAAGTAAGTCTCTTAAAGCGTCTCAATCAGAACCCGACGACTTTGGATTTGATATTATCGACATTGACGAGTTGCGAGTTCCAATTGAATCATCTCAAACTGATAAAAAGCCTTCAATTGAACAACTTATTGAGAACATTCAACAGCCACCATTGGCGACACCGGAAACTGATGGAAGCTTATCGGAAAATACTCCATCAAAACTTTTATTGAAACGACAATTGGCGAACTCTAAAGATAGTTTAGCAGAAGGGACGCCAAAATCATCGAAAATTCTTGGTGCTATAAACGAAAGTGCTTTCATCGACAAAGAAGAGTTTAATTTTGTCGATGATCTTGCCGCTTCCACTAATCACTTGATGCCACAAAATTATTTATTTAATAGTAGTAGTAACAGCGGTGACCTCGCTGCTGGACCCAAATTCATCACTGATCATTTAATTCCTTTAATTAAACCTCATCGACCATTGGCAAGAACACTTTCAAATGGAAAGTCAAGATTTCAGCAACGAAATGAAATGTTTGGCAATTATGGAGAAATGTCGCTCGATGCGAATTTAAATTTGAGAAGAAGTCCAACATCTGGTGCATCAACACGTTCAACTTCACCATTGGAATGTGTCTCATCACCAGATAGAAGTTCGCCAGTCACTCACCATCAAATTCGAGGAAGAACTTTAGCTCGTTGTCCACCAACGCCCACGCATCATCGTCGAATCAGATCTTTGTCAGATGGCTTTAGTGCTGGCAGTTTTGATCGATCGAAGACTCTCGCTCCGACAGAAATATCGCCAAATGTTGCAGTGCCTGAAATACGACACGCTGACATTGTCAGTTTATCAAATCGTCAAGAGCCGATGCGAACGACTGAGTTGAGAAATGAAGAAAGCGAAGTTGATTCACCAATTCGTCACATTTCAAGTACAAGATTGCCGTCAATTCCAGAACGTGCGCTTGTATCACGAGGTGTTGTGACAGAAGATGAGCCACCATTGCCGACAGCATGGGAAGCTCGAATGGACAGCCATGGAAGAATCTTTTACATCGATCATGCATCACGAACAACAAGCTGGCAACGCCCAACAAATGCAGGAATTCTTCCTGGACCTGATCAACATCGTCAACAACTTGATCGTCGTTATCAATCGATTAGAAGAACAATTTACAGTCGAAATCGAAGTCCGACAGCTTCAGCTGCTTACACAAGACAAATGCAAAACAACGAACAATATGAAAGCGTCATCAACGAATCTCATCCAGCTTTGATGATGATTTGTCGACCTGATTTTTATTCTCTTTTACATACGAATCAAGAAGCTATCGACATTTATAACAGCGTGTCGGCACTCAAACACATGACAAATCGTATTCGACGTGATCCGTCTTTATTCCAACGATATCAACATAATCGCGATTTAGTCGCTTTAATTAATTGCTTTGCTGTTATTAACATGGATTTGCCATCGCAATGGGAAACGAAATTGGATTCATCTGGTAAACAATTCTTCATTGATCATGTTCATCGAAAGACTTCATTTATGGATCCACGTTTGCCGATTGATTGTCCGAGAAGTCGAAGAAGAGTTGACGAGCATCCAATTCCACCTCCGAGACCAGCAGGTTTACCACGACTACATATTGGATCACCAGAAGTTCCTGTCGCTTACAATGAGAAGGTTGTTGCGTTTCTTCGACAACCGAACATTTTAGAAATTCTTCGTGAACGTCATGGAACGAATTGTTCAAGGAGTTTAAGAGAAAAAATTAATTCGATAAGAGTTGAAGGGACAACTGCTTTAGAGCGACTTGGACATGATTTGCAATTAACAATATTGCTAAGGTGAGTATATTTATAATATTTTATGATAGTTTCAGAATGAATTCTTCGATCCCCTCCACTATCAATGTTAAAGATAAATTTCGTGCTTAAAATTCATTGTCTGGTTCATTGCTCTCCTTTTTCTTGCGATTTTATTCAAGTATTGTTCGAATAATTTTTTTATTTTCCAATTATACCGACACTAATTAACGAAATAAATTTTATAGAACAACATTGGAGGTCAGAGATTGCGTTTGAATAAAAAAAGAGCAAAATTTGACTATTGATTCGCTGTTTTAGATGAAAATTTTATTCACGATCAAGCTCAATGACTTTTGTTGTTATTTTTTATTAAATTGAATTGAAGAAACTTAAAACTACCGAATTTGAATTTGATCTGAGGTCAAGGAGAGGTGTCAGTGGTTGTGAAGAGTTTTTGATTTGACCGTCAATGAGTTCAGTAGGAAACTTTGATTAATAACACGGAAAACTTTGGCATTTCCACTTGCAACTAATTTAACTGATTTTTCGCACAATTGACCTTAATCGTTTAATTTTATTTGGGATTTCCACCACCACTTCGAACACAGACAAATTTTTCAGTTAATTGATTAAACCATTCTACTATGCGTAACACGATTTCACTATCATCTTGATCGCTCGTTTACATTACACGAAATCATGTTGAAAACCCTCGGAACGCTAACAACTCCTTCCATCTCATTTCATGAAGGTTCTTAATGTATTTTTAATGTGAGTTAATAACTATGAAGTGAAATGAATAGAAAAGTGGAAAAGATTCTTCCATTCACTCTTTGTTGTCGATAAACGAATGAAAGAAAGATTAAAAGTTATCAGTAAACGATTGTAATACGTGACAAATAGAAGACTGAACCAATTAATTTGACGTATCTTGACATGATTTCTCATAGTTGCACTTATTGGAATGTTCTGAAACAAAGTAAAGTTTAGGTCAGTGAGTAAGAATCGCTTCTTGCTTGAACTGAATTTTATCTTGTTACGAAATAATTTCAACAAATGGAAATTGCTTGAAAATGATTGAACGCTTCTTCATCTACGATGAACTGTAACAAGCAGGAAATTTCTTTTCTAATTCATTCTAATAAAATTAATTAATGCTTTATGTTTTGGATGAGCCACTTGGAAAATTGCTTCAGACATTGCACAATGTCATGTGATGAAATAAGTTGATTCTATTAAAACATTATGCGGGCTACAAAATTGAAAGTTTGAGTTTATTTAATTTGTTGGTGGAGTTTTGGCAAATGAAAAGAACTCAAGGGAGATTGAGAGATATCGAAAACAATTGTTAATATGATTATTGCGAATATTCAACCAGCTACCAGCAGCATAACTGATAAATGGAATTGAAGTAATTTCCTTCAACTCGTTTTGGCAAGTTTAAAACTACCGAATGGTATCTTTCGAAATTTATTTATGCAAAGAATTTGATGAAAGAAAAGAACAGCAGAGTAAATGGATTTGAATTTCAATGCAGAATGCAATAACGAGTGAGAAAAATGATGACATGATTGCGGTGAAACTTTTAAGAGTGGTTTTGAACTTGAACTTCATATAGTTTTCAGCATATGAAATGTGAATTTTAGTTCTTTTATTTCTGCGATAACCGACAGCAAACATTGGGTTTGGGTTAAAATGAAATATTTCTCTTATCGTGAAAACAGCATGAATCGTTTTGCGATGTGGTTTTCGTTGAAATATCAAAGAGTTTGAAGTCAAAACACAAGGCTGTATGATGTCTTAGAAATATTAACAAATGAGTTGATTCATCATACCGGAAAGGTTTTAAAGTAATTAACATTGAAAGTTTCTTATTTTGTGCAGAAAAAGGGAAAACAACGAGAAGAAGTAAACTAATTAGTAAACAGCAGCGGCTTAAGCTGTCATCAAAAATTTTCTTTCCTATTGTAAACATAAAACCTTGACATGAACTGGTCACAGATGCTTATTAACTATCAAACTTTTCTCTTCTTTATTTTTTGCAAAGATAATTTGAGGAATGTTGAGATGAAAATGTTCATTCATAACTCATAAATGTATACGCGAATTTAAGATTTGTTTACATTTAGAGACGCCTTTGAGTGACGACAACATATGTAAATAATCATCATCGCTTGCATGACTAAACTGGTTTGTTATTAATGCAGAAAATAATGCGAGTGACGAGACTTCTGGGATGGTAATCATTATTAGTTTCAAAGTTTAATGAACCAAGAAGGGGCTTTAATGTTTTATTTGTTTTTAATTGAATGAACATAAATGAATTGAGTTTACAATCGTCATTCGTAAACATTTAAAACAATAAAATTTTGTTCTGAATATTCATGGAACATTTATAAGCATGAAAATTTAACTAAAACACATGAAAAGTTGAAATTTTCATTCTTTCGCATTCCACGACGCTTTCTTAATAAGCGAAAGTATTTCATCTTACCGCATCTCAAGAGATCTTTACATTCTTTGAAACATAAAACTTATTTTACATTTCATCTTATTAGAAAAATTTCTTTCTTTATCTTTCTTGAAATTCAATTCGAAATGGGAGAATCTTTATCCGTCGGATGGAATGAAATTGCAATGGATTTGCATTCGTTTTTATTATAAATTAAAATTGCCTTCGTCTCTTCTTAAGAAGTTTAATCAGTTTCATTGTTGCGAAAATATTATTCAACATAGCTTTGTTACATGTTTCTAAAGGAATTAGATCTCGACGTCGCACAAAATGATTGAAATGTGATGATCATTGATGGAATGCTGTAAATAAACAGCAGCATAATAAATTATCGACAGCTTCAAGTCAACATTGATTACTCTTTAAGTATGTAATTTAATCGGATGTTGTGCGAATTTGAATCACTGATCTTGAGAAGATGAAATGCTTTACCGAAGCTTTGACGATTTATATTCTTAATAAGGAAATTTATTGATTTAACAATGAAGCAGCTTTGAAAACGACGAATGTTGAATTACGACGACATTCTCTTGATGAAAAGCTTCGTAATTATGTACATTAAAACATGTTGAAAGACCGCAGTTGTCTTAAAGGCTCAAGAAGAGACCACATGGCCTGAATAATGTAAATTAAGGAGATGCTAATAACTACTTGAAGTTCTAATTATTTTAAGGTTCATTATCGCTTCTTCATGGTTTTATTTTGTTCTTTTTCATTCATTCTTCTTGACTTTGTGACTCGTGCTTCTGAAGCTTCCAACCAAAAATAAAAATAAAACTTTGGTGGTCGTCTGTGAGTAAGTTTTTATGTTCGTCTTTGAAGACAAACCGTGTTTACATAAATATCTGCTTCTTAACTTCTTTTTTGAATAATGTTATCAAATGAGGGCGAAGGTAAAGTAAAGGTGTGACTATTCCAATTAGATTTTAAAGATAAAGCAGAAAGAAGTTTATTCAATATTAAAGAGATGAACGAAACCACTTGCATAATCTGACATTCGATATGCCAATAAATAAATTAAATAACAAAAGAAGGCAGAAGAATTGAGTCATTCTTATCGTTGCGTTTTTTTACTTATTTGTCTACAACTCCAAGTATCAACAACAATTAACATAAATTTGCTATTCAATCGGAAACTTCGCGCCTAATTTAGATTTCGATTACGACATATTTTTGAAATAAATTCTAACTTAAAATTGTTTTAAAAGGCTCGATTGTTTTACAGATGATTTATGATTTGAAATTTAATTAGAAAATGAAAGTTTGTTGTGCGTAGTAAATGAATAAAGAGTCGATTTGTTTATGATTATTTCTGTAACTAAACGACTGTAAAATTTGTCATCAATTAAAAGTTGAATGAAAATGAAAATGCGGCGGAGGGAGAGAAAAAGAGAAGTTTGCGAAATGCTTTAATAGAACTTAATCGAGAACATCATTTAAACGCGTTTAATCTGCTTCGAATAAGTGAATCATTAACGTGATATCATAAAAGATTGACAAAACAATACAACTTGAGCGATTGTTCTTGCTAGCGAATATACAAAGTCGCAATGCTTCTCTCGCTCTCTTCGCATGTCGTTCTGTTGCCTTACACTACGGCTTTGTGTTTTTTTTTTGTTATGAAGTTTTGTAGAAGTTTTGCTTTTCGTGAAACAGTTGTGTTTTGTCAATGAAGCACTTAACAGTTATATCGTGCGGCTCATTGTGAAATTATTGAAAAAGGATCAAAAATGAATGAAAGTCGAGAGTTTAAAAGAAACTTTTGAAGTTTTTGCATTCATTGAATAAGAATTGATATAAATAACAATGAAGAAATTTGAATTAAAAATTTATATCCAAGTCAATAAGTGAAAACCACAAGTTTGTTGAAAGTTTAATTGAATTTTCCAATTTCCCAAAGAAAAAATAATTTTCCGGTTTTTTTCTATCAAATATCTTCAAATGAATGAAATTGTTTATTTTGCAAAGATAAATTTCACTTTCGTTTACGCACGATTGAAGCATAATTTGAATGTGAAATGTTGCGTAGAATTTTATGTTTTTCAATTGATTTCTGTTTTCCTGATTGAATTAACCTGATAAAAAAAAAGCTGAAATGTAGACGAATTTAATAGAACTTGGGAGTCAACGATATCGAGAAATGGGTCACTTGTGATTGCTTGCCTCTTTATGTGTAGATGTTCGCTTCAAACAAAAACTATTTTTGTATAATACAAGCGATCACTTCCCAGTGCGTTGCTCTTTCTTAAGTTCTTTAAAAATAGTTTAATATTTTTCGCCATGTGCTAACAAGGCAGGTGAAGTTTGAAGTTGCATTTCATAATTAAAATAATCAAATGAAATGATTGGAACATTTTTATATCTTGTTGTGTATGTGCCCTACATATTTTCCAAAAGAGTTATGTTGCCGGTGATAAAGAGACGGAAATGCAGAAAAAATAGGAGTGGATTGAATGCAATCCAAATGCACAATTGCAATATTGAAAATTTCTCTTGCACATTTTCAATATCTAAACAAGATCAATGAATCAGTTGGAAGTCGCGTTTAATAAAAATCGCTTAATTGATGATTAAACAAATAAAATCTCTCGTCACGCTCGATCGTCTGCATACATAATTTTTTAAGTCTTGCGTGCGAGTTTAGAATTTCTTACACAGCAAATGATTAGAATCGTTCACCACTAACCGCCAATTGTCAAGGCTACAAACCAAAAATATTTGATTAATTCGCATTGAACTTGATTTGTTCTTTCAAGCAATTGCTTTAATCGCAATTTTTAATCGGTTTGATTTCACAACATTACATATTAAAGTTCAACTAAAAGATTAAAAATGTTTTCGTGAAAAAATGATTTTGAAAACCACAAATAAATAAACTCACAGTTTAGTGTTTGTTTTTATTATACTTTAATTAGCTCAGACCACATTTTATGTGGTTTTGGTTATTAATCTTGCGGGTAAACATGACGATACATCCGAATTTCTTATGACCCTTCAATTAGCTCTGTAAATCTCAATGAAGCTTATCGAGAATATTCATGTCATTATTTTGAGGTGATATTTGTTAAGAATCGTGACGATAATGAAGGAACTTTGTACAATGAATGCAAAAAGCATTATTGAACTTAATTGTGAATTATGTCGGTGGTAGAATTTTGTTCCACGGAGAACTCCATAAGTATTGTCAATGTCAACAAGAAAAAGAATCTTCTTTAAGCTTTCATTCGACAGATATTATGTCGATAATTAATGAAGGTTACGGCAGGTAGTAAAAAGTGCCCGACTTCTCAAGAAATCATTTGGGTTCCGTGATTATTAACAACTTTTATCACGCCATTTATTTATTGCTACTCATTGATGGTATAACATCATCGTTTGCCCGATTCAATTCTTCTTTTGTTGTCATGTTTCTTCTGCTCTGTCGACTTTTTTCTGTGTTCTCTTGTTAGTTTTTATCGACGTCTGATGATAAGTTGAAAGAAATGTGGACGACGACTTGTGAACGTCTTTAAACAGACCTCAAACTTATGATACGGAAAATGATGAGATGTGAAGAAGACGAGTTGTGGAGATTAGAACTGGTTATAAATTAACGCACGAATCTTTGATTTGCATTGAACCGAAGAGATAAAAAGAAACTTTAAAAAACATTCTCAAAAGCTTCATCATCTGTTCGATTCTTGAATTAATAATTAATCTAAAAATAAAAGCTCATCGTAAGATTTGTAGACGAAAGGAATTTATCATCGTCTGATCTAATGCTGGTGTCGCGAGCGTAACATTCTTCTCTCCTTTTCCGTTTTGTTTTGTATACAAACAGTGGAGTTTTGTTTCTGCTGAGCGGCTGATATTTATCATCTCATTGATAGGTTTTTGCTAAGTAATAGCTAATTATGGCAGATGAAGATTATTTATGTACACGGAATAATTTGTGGGCGGCAGTGTTGTAATGCTCAACGTAAATTTTAGTTACGCTGATGACTCAGTAAACAAAATTGATTGAAATGCGCTTCCACTGATTTGAAATTCATTGATCTTTCGGGTCGTGCTATGTTTGTTTATATTCAATGTTTCTTGAATTCCTAAACGTAAACCTTCGCGAAGCTGAAGAAAGAATTTTCATTGTGTTTTTTATTTCTTGTCTTCATTTGACTTTAAAACTTAGCGCTTCGAAGTGCGGCATGAGTTAAGTGAATAGAAGTTGCAAGGTGGTGTAATGATAAGACGTGATCAATAAACGAAGTGAAAAAATAAGCACACGACACGGAAAGAGAACAAAAGATCCATTAATGTGATAATAGTGATTTTATTGATAAAACTAATGGATGCGCGCCTTTCAACTGATAAGACATATAATCAACCTAAACATTGTTAAAGTCACAGTTTTGTTCAAGTTGTCTTTGTGAATTATACAAAAACGCTCCCTTGGTCAAAAATGTAAATTATTTTTTAATAAACATGTGAAACTTAAAGCAGCAAAACGCCGCAAATGAAAAAGAAAAAGAATCGACACAAATTTCACGCAATAACAAGAACAACTGTTTACAGTTTTGTCTATAAATAAATAAATAATAAATATAATTGTGTGTTGTGCTGTTTCATCCACACGAAGCCAAAGAGCGCAGAGTTAAAACCTGCACCCTACAAAATAGCACATCATGGGGGTTATCATTAAAACCATTTCAATTGTTTATTCCATGTAAGTTTACTTCGATGTTTATTTTTTCATTATTCCGTAACAAAATTTACTCCTCGCACTTTAACCTTCCGCGCATTGTGAGTTGTGAAAAATGTAAATTTTATTTTTAATTTAAATTTTACAACGAGAGAAATGCAAACGATGGTCGATTTGTGTGGACGGCGGTCGATGGTTAGCGATAGGGAAAAGGTGCAAAAATAAAATTAGGGTCGCTTTTTTATTTAATTGAAGTTTAACATGCATGGAAATCTTGATAAAAAGTTTTATTAAGTAGATCAGAACGTCTGGTTTATTTCACGTGCTTTCAAACTTAATTCTTAAAGTGTTTATTGCATATAATTATACGAAGCATGAAAAAACACTTCAAACATTTAAGCGACGCACAATTGTAGTAAAAAGCAATTCGTTGTTTATAATCACAACAAAGACCACGGTGATTAAAAGAAAAATCACCAAATTATTGTTAAGATTACGATAAGATTAGATATTCGCGTTTGTTTATATTTACTCGAATTTAATTGTAAAATTTTGCAGCTTTTTAATTGTTTACATCTTGATAACGAATGAAATCATCTGTCGCAGTTTTATTTGTTTCGTCTGCCATTCGCAAGCCGATGTGTAGATAAGTAAAAAAAAACTTTAATTTCCCTATAAACATCAAAATACTCGCTCCGGTTTTTGACCTTTCCCAATTTCGATTTCAACATTTCTTTTCTCTTTCTTATAAATACATAAATGATATTGTAGAATGGTGCTAAGTAAGCAGAAATCTTCAAGTTTTTCTTTCACTTTTTACTTGCTTTTCTATGCGTTATCAATTTCCGGGAATCATATGCTTCAAACAAAACTTTATTACTTCCTAGTTTGCTTTTTTTTTTGTTTCTATAAGCATTGTTAAATCATTCATTTCTTTACTTGTAATAAAATCGAAATAATTTTCTGCTTATTTTGCGACAAGCAAACAGAACGAATTGCTATTGAACATTTTTTATAATAATAATTTCAACAAGTGATTCTTTATAGTGATTCTTTTGTAAAGCTTAGATAAAAAGAGAATGACATAGAAATTATCGATTGAAAGCTTTTCTTTTTATTTTCTCTCTTTAAATCCAACATTTTTATAAAATTCTTTCAGTTGATAATAGTTGAAGAAAAGAAAAACTTTCCTTTTGAATTTTCCTTTTTTCATTCCTAGTGTCATTGATCTTTTTAAATAGAAATATTTCTAACAAAAGCAAGCGGATTTGATTGTATCACTGCAAATAATAAATATTTCATTTACTTCTAACTTAACAAACGAAAAAACGAGAAAATGTATCATGAATTGTTCCAGAGGTTCTCAAACTGTTTCTATAACATCAAAGCGATGTCGTGGGAAAATATAATAAATCGTGTGAAATATCTCAGACTATTGGCTTTATCGTATCAAAATTGAATTTAATTAGTTCTAACGATAATATGACGTACTCTTTGCCGCTCCTTCATTTTATTTTTAACACTGAAATTGTACCAACAATTTGGAGCTTGTCTCAACTGTCTCGAAAAAGCTTAATTATGATAGTATTTACTACGTTAATTATGAACCATTTAGATGTTCAACACTTTTTTTTATAAAATATTGCGACTCGCAAAAATATCAACTACAAAATTTTATTCATTTTTTTATCAAACAAATGTTTGTCTCTGCTTATTTGTGAGTGCGGAGGTTTGTGAATTTTTTATTACACCAATTAAATGACAATATTTATGAATTCAGAAGACCGCAAAACATGACGCAGCTTAAAGGTTTCATTCATTCAAAAAAAGAATGAAAATTCAGAGTTCATTTCTAAGAAGCAGAGAGAGATGAAACCGCATTTCTGTCTTGACATTGCAAACGTTTATGATGTCTTCAGAGCAAGCAACCAATTGTTATGATAATAAAAATGTGTTCAGAGACAATCCGTTACGCGAAAGTGATTTTAGTCTGCTGATTATGCCATACATATGCTAATCTTTACGATAAACCAGCAATGTCAACTCTTCAACCTTGCTTGACTCTCTTATCGTCCAAACTTGAATTTCATTGTTCGCTTATAAGTTATAAAGAAGATAATGAAATTATCACGATAAGTAATTGAATTATTGTGCATTAATTGTTGTTATTTCTTTTTGTTTTACTAAGCCTTAATTAGTTCAAATCATTTGATGAAAGCGGGCAATAAATTTCATTCGTTCGTGATCTAAAACTCTTCATTAATTTTCGTGTCTTTGATTCCTTTGCAGTCTTTTTGAAAACGAAATCATGAGTTATGTGCCAGTGGAAGCACGTAACAGCAATAGTCCAACGCTAGGATCACCAAATCTTAATAATTCACGTTCAACACAGCGTGCACAACCGCCAATCAGAAGAGATTTTGAAGCGAAGCTTAGAACTTTCTATCGTAAATTAGAGTCAAAAGGATACGGTCAAGGTCCGCACAAGTTAAAGTGAGTCTGCTTATCATTGCACAACTTTCTTTTATTTCATTTTTTCTTTCGTCAAAAACAACAAAACTTGTTCATTTCTCCCAGATTGCACATAAGACGTTCACATTTGCTAGAAGATGCTTACAATAGAATAATGTCAGCGAATAAAAAAGACTTGCAACGGGGACGCTTGGCAGTGCTTTGGGACACTGAAGAAGGTCTTGATTATGGTGGACCGTCACGTGAATTCTTCTTTCTTTTATCACGTCAAGTATTCTCACCGTATTATGCTCTGTTTGAATATTCTGCCGTCAACTCGTATTCAGTGCAGATATCACCACTCTCAGCTTTTGTAGACAATTGTCACGATTGGTATGACTTTCTATGTCATTCGAATATTCAGATCATGCTTAACGAATGAAGATTTTCTTTTCTTTTTATTCTTTTAAATTCACAGGTTTAGATTTTGTGGTCGCGTTTTAGGACTTGCTTTGGTCCATCAATATTTACTTGATGCCTTCTTTACGAGACCATTTTATAAAGCTTTACTTAGACTTCCTTTGGCATTAAGCGACATAGAAGCACTAGGTGAGTGCTGAAGACAAAACTAATGAAACTTAATTGTCATTTTTTTCTTCTCTTTTCTTACTTTTCCTTACTTAGACAATGAATTCCATCAATCACTCCAGTGGATACGTGATAACGATATTGGCACTGGAAACTCCCTTGGTCTTACTTTCTGCGTGACAGAAGAACTTTTAGGTCGCATTGTTGAGAAGGAGCTAAAGTCGGGAGGTAAAAATATCACCGTAAATGAGAAAAACAAGAAAGAATATTTGGAGAGAATAATTAAATGGAGACTGGAACGAGGCGTACAAGAACAAACGGAATCTCTTGTTAGAGGATTTTATGAGGTCGTTGATCCGAGATTAGTTTCTGTTTTTGACGCTCGTGAATTAGAGCTTGTGATTGCTGGAACCGCTGAAATTGACATCAATGATTGGAGGCAAAATACGGAATATCGTGGCGGTTATCACGACTCACATCAAGTCATTATTTGGTTCTGGCATGTAATCGAAAGATTTTCTAATGAACAACGACTGAGATTACTTCAATTTGTGACCGGAACAAGCTCAATTCCCATCGATGGATTTGCGAATCTACGAGGCAGTACAGGTCCAAGAAGGTTTTGTATTGAGAAATGGGGAAAGCCAAATAGTTTGCCACGTGCTCATACTTGTTTTAATAGGTGAGCTTAATTGACAATCGATATCTATAACTTTTGATTTTATGTAGGCCGAATTTACCTTTTACTCATATCCTTTCTTTCATCTACTTAACTTAGATTGGATTTACCAAATTATCCAACACCTGACGTGCTTTTCGAGAAACTTCTACTGGCAGTTGAAGAGACTTCAGGATTTTTAATTGAATAAATTTTTTGGACGGCAAACGAACGTGACTTTACATTTCATGCGAAACTGATGGCTGACATAAGAGGAAAGAGAAATAATTATGAAACTGCACGTCTCTCTTTCTCACTCACTTGATTTTTAATTTTTTATTGTATTGTTTATGTGATTTTTATGACTTTTCATAGAGCATACATACAAAGTGACTGTTAGAATATTTTTCTTAATTAATTTTCATTCCATAGAAGCGTAAATGAAATGAAGTTTTAAGATAAATATTTAAAAAGTAACAAAAAGCTTTTTTTTGCATTTCATTCGATAATTGAGTTTTCCTTCTTAATTCTCGTCTCGATTTAATTTAGACACGCCGAATTGAACCTCGTACAAGTGAAACTATTAGAATATGTTTTTAAGTTTAGGAACATAGATTATGAACACAAACCAGCACACACAAAACAGCCGTACAATAAGAAATGAAATTTAAAATAAACTTAATTACGCCACAAATGATTGTAGTTTTGCCTTCCTGTTGGCTTTCCATTTCAATTACGCTTTCAGCAATAGGCCAGTTCTTTATATTCATTGTAGATTTATGAAAAACTAAACAATTGTTAACATTAAATAAAATGATGGAAACATTAATTACAACTAATAAAGATTTAAGAAACAGAATACGAAAATTTCCATTTATAACTTACAGAGAGCAACATCACAGATCGCTTTGGGAAATTTCATTGAAAATAAATTTTGTAAAATATCAAAATTAATTAAGTAATGAGTCAATACAATCTTCGTAGTGAGGGTGGGCATTCCCAAAATAGATCATCGACAGTGATTGTTTATCATGACGTTTGTCTGAAGAAACGAGACGGTAAGTAAAGAAAAAAATTTGCGAAAAGGTTTCGACTTTGTGAATGTCATCTTAAAAGCAGTTGATTTATTACGTGGACCTTTCTGGCTTAACGATCAAATCATTGCATTCTATTTTCAATATCTTGAGTTTGCAAAGTTTTCCGACGTCATTGATAATTTCTTGTTCGTTCCGCCCGCTGTTACACAAATTTTGAAAATGAAATCGCCAGATGATTGTGTGGAAGTTCTTCGACCTCTCAAGCCTGATAAGCGAAAACTTTTATTATTCGCTGTGAATGATAATGACTCAGCGAGAGCTGGAGGGACACATTGGAGTTTATTAGTTTATTCCCGTGACGAAGGCACTTTCTTCAACTTTGATTCATTGAGCGACTTCAACACATCAAATGCTAGGAAAATCTTCACAACCTTAAAGAATTTATTGAACTGTCCATTTGGCAATTTCAAGCATGAGAGAAGTGCGCAGCAAACGAATTCATATGACTGTGGAATCTATCTTTTAGTCAATGCAGAAAATGTGTGCAATAACTTTTTGTTACGTAGAAGGGTTCAAGATACACCGATTGCAAGTTTAGGATCTATCAATGCGAAAAGGCAGGAAATTTTAAGTATCATCGATGAAATAAATTCAAATTGAATATATTCTTATCGATGAAATGTAGCGAATTGTTCACATTTATTGTTTATTGATCAAAGAATGTTTATAAAGTTATTTAAAAACTTTTTGTCTATAAGCTGAAGAACTTTATGTAAAAGAGCTTTTAAAGCTGAGCGTCGCGCTGATTATTCAAACTGAACGAAACTTAACGAAGAATTTCATGATAAAAGAAAATTTAAAAATAAATGTTTAAAGATCTCTATGCTTACGGTCTCGATTGAAAAGTTTATTGAAAAGAATTTTCAATGTACTTCTCTCGAAGTGACTATAAAAAGCTCTTGTTAAAGAAAAAGTTTTTATTTGTATGAAAGTTTCAAGAGACTTTCAAACATCTCCCGAGGTGAGATTCATAAATTGCTTCAAATTTATATTCATAAGAATTATCAAGAAAAGGTGATTATTTCAAAGTCATAGTGAGTTTTTTAACAATTTAAACTATTTTAAAACTTGTAACGCAATAATGTGATGAAAACTGAGGTGAATTTCCTTGGTCAACTTATTTATCGACATTTATAAATTCGTAACTTATTCTGTCATCTCACTTTTCAAAACATCAAAATTTATTTTAAATTTTCTTCATAAACATCTCGTGTATTTATTGCGAAACTCCTGAGTCACAAATATATTAGATAGGACAATTTTATAAATATATAAATAACTTTTTAACAGCTGTTTATTGTCAAAGTGAAAACAGACCATAAATTCATTAATAAATGTTTGAAAGAGATTGATCGAAGTGAGTTCATTTTCTGTAGCTGTGTCGATGTCTCACTTTAAGAATATATTCAAATATCGCGTTGCTTAACAAAAATAAACATTCCAATGCAATTTTTTAAGACTTGAATGAAAATCTCAATCAGAAACGTGTTTTTATGTTTTATCATTTTATTTAGATATTTATGTGCAGACTTTATGAATACAACAGCTTTTCGTAATAACAGATGTTATTGTATGTGCACAAAAAAAAGTTAATAAAAAAATTGCAATTGTACTCACCAAGGCACTCAACTTCAGTAACTTTGAATCGATTCAGCACAGGTTTTAAAAAGAACACAGCAGACAATTGCAAACCGTGTGTTACAATTGCAATGAAAACCGCACAGGCAACAATAATCCAACCAAATCCCGATTCAGGATAATAATGTCGAAAGATTGTATCAAGCTTTTGTGCACCAAGACCTGATAAATATCCATGATCACAATTCTGCGGTGACCTAGTTTAAAACAAAGTGATAGTGTGAAATATAAATTAAAAAGTGAGTACAAGTTCATAACAGAAATCATCATCAAAGCTTTTTAATGAGAAGTTATTGCATGCATACTAATAACTCGCTTTTTTCTCACTCAATTCACACTTTTTCTAATCTGATACTAAAATTATTAAATATGAAAAGTTTTTAAATAAACAAATAGATCTTATGAATTGAGATAATTCACAGAAGCAATTCTGAAAATGTGAAACTTTTTGATTGCTTCAACTCATGTATGACAACAAATGCTTTGAGCTTTAAAACAAACTTTTTCTACGAACGTGTTATGAGTAGAAAAGAAGGAAAATAGATAACAAAAGCATGGAACTGTTGATACTCACTTTGGCGTAGCTTGGCATTCTTCTGGGATTTTCAAATTAGTTCCGAACGATTTTTCCTTGTAAATGTAATCCCAATTATCTACATTGATAGACTCAGATCGCATCCGTTTGTCACGATACTCAAGTTCACATAAGCAAACTTTACCATTGCGATTTGGTGATGTTGAGTTTGATACATTTCCATTGTGACTTGAAAAGCCATTATGAGCGCGACAATTATTGTCATTGACTTTCAAAGCAAGCGACGACCTACTTTTCACATTCTTTCTGGATGTTAAATCTCTTTTATGATCACTATTATTAGGACATTGTGTGTCTGATGTATCTTCACTATATTCCGAATATTCAATTGTGCTTGGTATGTGACTATCAATTAGTTGCTGTTTATGTGATTGATGAATGTTTGCAATAGTGCTGTAACTATATTTTCCTTTCTGATCAAATTTTAATTGCACAACTGCCATTGTAAGTATTGAAGGCCATGTTCTACTTGACTTTAACATGCTCATCTAAACGATTCCTTTTGACTCATCAAAACGAATGCATGATAAGCGCTTTTCTTTCTCGCTTTCTTTCTCTGTTTGTTTACTTAAGAATTTCTGGTTCATGTCTTTAACCACAACATTAAACTCAACAACAGTTTCCTTCCGTAATTTTCCACTCGAGAATTTTCATTTTCCTGTCTTTCATCTGAATCTAGATCAGAAGAATTGAAAAGCGATTGAGAAGAAGTATGCAGAATAGATTTCTAATCTCTTCACGTTTATTAAACTTTCAACTCATACCAAACGAATCAAGTAAATAAATTAAAACGAGAAATTATATCTAATGAAGCATCAGATAATGATTGCGATCTCTCTTTTTCAAGGATGATTACATTTTAGGATGCTTCGTAGGATTAATTTTGAGATAAATAACAGAGAAATTCTTATGAGCTTTTCATCTCAATCATTGTAATTTAACCACCAAAGATTAAAAAAGGAAGCAAGAAATTTTAACTATTATTACTTCCATTTCTTATTTGACCCTTAAAGATTTATTTTTAAAATCAATTTGAATACTTTAATGGAATGTTTAATACTAAAACTTTATGTTTGATGAAGGCATCACTTCATTTTGTCAACAAAAGCTGTTATTAAAGCTTTCTGGTTAGTCTTATGAATATATCAATGACCGTTTTTAGGGACAAACAACTGGCGGGCAAGTCAACAAATACCATAAAACCGGCCAGTTAACCACAGCACCATAAATTTCTCCCTCCAAAACGAAAAAAAAGTTTTTTTCATCCGTAACTTGTAGCATCAAACATTTGGCAAAATCCCATTTAACCCAGCATCGTTTCAAGCCAACACCAATCTTCTGTTCACCTCATTTCAATATCAATCTGGGGAAAAATAAACTATGTCGATAGTCATTCTTTATATATATTTAATAAAACATTTGTGCATAGCATAAGCGTATATTTATGATGACATTCTCTTGAACTAGTTAACTTTGCAGACTACTGTCGCTGTTTGATTCCTGGCACAGTTCACACAAAATAAAAAAAAAAGCTTTGTTGCTTTCTCGTTTAATGTCGATTATGTGCAGCATCATTGATGGCGACAAGTGACAAAAGCATTTTATCATAACTTTATGTTATAGAACTGCGATAAAAGAATGAATAAAGTTTATGAGACGTTTTCGATGCAAACGAAACGCATTTTATTGGATGAATCAAAGAAATTTCATGATTTTATTTATTTTGAAGAGAGCGAATTCTTATGATTTTAATTTAATATTTTTTTATCCTCTTCATCTTTAATAAAATATAAAAGAATGTAAGCAAGAAGTGTAATATTATTGCTCTCAAGAGGGATTTGAATTTCCTTTATGGCACGGCACTTTCATTCTCAATCTTGCCGACATTAATTCCGCGTTTCTACTCTGGAGATTTATGGTTGAGAAATCAATAAAGTGCGTGGAAGATGACAGTTGGAGCATTGAACTCGAATTAAGGAATTGATGACCTTCAATCTATCTAAAAGAAATAATTCGTAGGTTTTCACTTCGAATAGCACTAAGAAAGGAAAAGAGTAGAAACAAGAAGCATAAATATCCTCGCGCTCATCAATCAGAGCTTTTGTGTATTCGCTACGTTTATATAATTAAATGGTGGAAGTAACATTCGTATTGATTAAAAGCCATAAATTTTGCGAGGCGTCAGAAAGATTCCATTCTCTGCTGTCTGCTTTTGTGCGGTGTATTCATGATATTTAGCAAAAGGGAAAAGGAAATAAAAAAATAAACAAAGCACGTTACCGGAAAACTCAACTTGTTAGTGAAATAAATAAAATTTAACATCAAAACCCTAATTAATCAACAAACTTCTCCCGACATTCTTAGTCTTGAGTGTTGATTGCTCATGAAAATGAAAGTAATTTAATTTGACAACACAAGGCTAAATTTTCATGTTTGTTTATTTGCTCCCGGTTAGTATCCCATAACTTTAAAACTAATTGAATGCAATGAAGAATAAATTAAGCTCTTCAATGTTTATGACAAACATATCCGCATTTACTTGTGGAAAGTTTTTTGTTAATTGGGTCAAATTATAATTAAAACAGGTAATTTCATACGGAAAATATTCGCTGAATACTCGAGAAGCCTTCAATCAATTAGAATTATCTAATTACATAAATTACGCTTTTAATTGTTTTGTTTTTATCTCATTGATATTTATTCTACGTGAATTTATCTAATAAAATATGTTTTTAATTTGTATGTAATCTTCTGCAATTAAAACCACAAAACTTGTTTGTTGTTTTATAAAACCATTGCATACAATTTAAAGCATTTAACACGAAATCATTGTTGAAAGTTCTGTGAATTGAATTTCTTACATTTCTACGTTTTTCCTCACAATTTATCTTGATATGAATTTTATAACTAGATTAAATTTCTTCGTTCTGTTTAAGAGTAAATATTTAGTTCACAATCATGACTGAATGTTAAAAAAGAACGTGACAATAGAATTGTTACAGCCATTTAAAAATGAAGAAGTGTTTAGAAGACGTCATATTATTCATAAAAATATCTGCAAAAAGTCGATTGGTAGCAAATTTTATATGCAGATTACTCGACTCATAGCAAGCATGTCGTTGATATGCCACCTAGCTAGCTTTCTCAGTTTTTTGGGTCACTAGGATAGATTGCTTCTGCATGTAAAAGCATTTTGAGTTCTGTATGTTATTTAAAGAAGCATTCAAAGGAATATAAAAGTCACATTGACCTAATAAACTCAAAAGGAAAGTGTTTGAAAAGTTTTATTTATTCCTGCCTTTAAAGCCACAAAAAAGTTTCTTACATACGCGATTTCAAAACTTACATCGAACATTTAACATAAAGCAAATCTATTCATTTTTAACGAAAGTTTTTATCATAATTTTCATGTTTTTGTAAGTTACGGGAGAACACGAAGGAACCTTGCGGTGAAATTTATTACACGTTTATTCATAAAATCATATTTTTCTCTCGCTATGCTGCATTTATCGTCATCAGAGAACATGAAAAAGTTTAAGTTGATGCTAGTAAAAGAGTCAACATTGATGGTCGTAAAACTGAACATTGCCGATGAATGATAAATGAATGGGAATAATTTTTCACCTTTCACATATTAAATGAAGTTCGACAGACATCAGAAAAAAGTTCTTTTGAATTTATTAGTAAATTTTAGTCAAAAAATCTTGTAATGAGAGTTCGAAAGTTGAAATATTATTCATTTAAAGTGCGAGTGAAGAAAGAAGAAATAAAATAAACGATGAGTGTTTGAAGGAAAATTTTATTCATTAAATTAAAGTCAAGAACGGTGAAAAAATGTTTGACGCGTTTTTAAGATGAGAAATGTTTTGTTTTCTTCGATGTTCACAACTCAGAGATTGCAGGAGAAAGTTTAAGATTTTTCTAAGTGATAACAGCCATCGTGAGTATTTCTTCAATGAGTGCATTGAAAGATTTTGGTTAAAATATTGCAGAGAAGTTGAAAATTTGTTTCATCGAGGTCGTCAACCTTGATAAACTTTAATGAAGGTTACAGAATGAAACCTTTAAATATTTATGGCGTCTATTAGGTAACAACAACTCACTTATAAGGAGTAATGTTTGTTTATGTGTACATTGCAGAAATTCGTTCATAAATATGACATTAAAAATAAACGATAAAGGCTCGCTTATTAGGCATTTTCATTCACCTGTTGCTGGCAACATCGTGAACAAGAATTCTAAGAACAAAGATAGATTTTCGTTCTAAACCCACACATAAATAGAGTGAAGCAAGAACTTGCAATGACGTTAACGCTTCCTTTTCCGAATAAGCAAACATCGTTGTTTGGTTCGCCCACATTAAAAGCTCACTTGTTGAGTCATTCACTGCTTTTGTTTCATGAGAAATCTTTAGAAATGATGGAATTTTACTTGAGTGAAAATTTGAATTGCAAAATTTCTAAGGATTTGCATCGTCTTATTGAGAGCCTACGCTTTATTTTTTGTTTTGTTGATAAGGCGAGAAAATGCTGAGTGATGTCTCGAGGATATTTCAAAGATTTGAAGGGAAAATATTTTTCTTCTCAATTTTAAGATTTCCTTGTCATGTTTTCAATTTCCGATTAACTTACTTTTGTGTTGAATTGAGTCAGTTCGACTGACACTATATAAATAAAGAATGAAACCTTTCAACACAAAACTTATTTTGCACAATTTACAAATGTTTGAAAACTATTTGAACGGAATTTATTATTTCAAGATTCACAGATCACATTAATTAAAGTGAATATCATTTTCTTTCGCAATCATTTTTCGCTCTCAAATAAACGATTTTCATCTTCGACATAAATTTTTCATAAAACATTTTTTATTTTCTTGCATCAGCGTTATTAAATATTTTTTCCATTTTAGTGGAATGAAAACTTCTCATCAGTTTATTCACGTGAATATTTTCAACTAGCCAAATAAATCAAACATCGAATCGAATAAACTTTTCTTTGATTTTCATTTATGAAGCAAACAGGCGTGAAATTTTTTGATTCACCATCAAACTCTTCAAAATTTTGTTATCATCAACTTTGAAATCACGAAACAAAATTACAAATTTTTACACAAACTTCCTTTGCCCTCGCATTATTTATGATCTTCAATTTTTTTTCTATTTTACTTCTTTTCCCATTCGGATTAAGAGTGAGAGAGAGAAAACGTTTATACTTTGCAATAAATCATTCACATCTTTTTTTATTATTATTTTGCTATGAGAATCCTTTCGAAAGCTTGTTCTATGGAGTTGTGATACTTTGTCTTGTGTTGTTGATATGACACTCACAACTATCACTTTTATAATGATCCAATTTTGTTATGTTCACGAGATTGATTCGTTGTCATGAATTGTCGTTTCTTATTTGACTTCTCATGAAAAGCTTTCAAGCCTTATCACAAAACATTCGACTTAAAACTCGCGTTCTAAATGATCACAATCATCATTTGCATCTTATTGGGTTCATTTATTATTCCATTCATTTATGTTACTTTTCAACAACACACCACACGACAGGTAGGTGAATGAACTGTCAACTGATGTTCTAAAATTCAGCATAAAAACTTTCATAAAACCATCAAAAAATCAAGTCGTAGAAACTTTCAACATTTAACGAAATGTAATTTTAATAATTGACGACGGTGAGCTTGCAAATTGTGACTCATATTTTGCCATTCTTTTTTGATAGTTCTCAAGTTTAACCGACAAGCGAAAGCACAACCGACACGAATGAAAGAGATTGAACAACTGACTGAAACTTGCTTTTCCTACTGTTTCGTGATTTTTGATGCACATCGTACAGCATTTTCATTTCTTCTTGTTTTTCTCTGTGAGAGAGTGAAAATGTTTTTCTTTTCGAGAGTTGTTGTTATAGAAACTTAAAGAAAACGAAAGAAATTTCAGTGATTATAAAATAAAGAAAATTAAGTTAATCGGAGCTATTATCAACATGACAATAAAATTGTTATTTAATTGAATTCAGTTGATAAAGAAAACTTTCCATTTATTCATCAGAATCATCAAGTGCATTGGGAAAATTTCATTTCATTTGAAAAACAACAGTTGACCTTCGAAGCTCTAACCACCGTTCTATGCAACTGGAAGCTTCAAGCTGATATTCACGCAAGCGCAAATTGAAAACGAAAATACTTTCGTTTCTTGTGACCTGACACAGTGAACGAAATTCCAATATTTTCTATCTTCCTCCCGTACACGAAGTTCTATCAAAATGTAGATCATTGGAAGGTTGGAAAAACGTGGCTGCATGCTCGTAAACAATCGTTATAAACATCATCTTACTGAGGTACATGCGAAGAAGAAATCAAGAATAATCAGAATCTTCTCCAGATGATGAAGACTTAAATAAAGAAAAAACGACGAGAGTGAAGTTAAATTTGTGCGTCACGCACGAGTCATAAGATTCGCTCCCGAGAGAGACTTTAAATATTTACTTCGCACATGAACTGACAAAGTTAACTTTCACATGATTATTAATTGATTACACGCACTTCATTCTTTGTCTTCATGAATGATACTACGTGTTATGACTGTCAATTACCACGCCATTTATTTACTACCTTAAGTTACAATTCCTTACAAATTGATTGAAAGATTTAAAAACTGAAAGTCTGCTATCAACTATGACAACCCAAAATTCGCCATTGTGGCCTAAACTAACTAATTTCATTTCTTTTTTTGTTTATTTATTCTTTGAATTACAAATTTTCACTCAAGACCAAATTGACTTATAAACAATTTAATTTCAGTAATCGAACTAGTCGAGTCATTCAATCTCCTCCAATGGACAGAAAACGAAGACGGAAGGAAAAATAAAATACATTTCGACTTCTGTCACATAAAATGGGGCAAAAATGTAATGAAATTAAATTTTCAAATTCAAACTGAACACATTGAGATGTTTAACGATGAATTTGACGTATTCTCATACAATATTTGTTTGTTTTCAATCGAAGTATCAAAATAAAAATTTATAACATTGACATTTGTGTCTCATGTGTGCAGAGAAGTTTAAAAAAATTCCTTTTAAACTCATCCCAACTCCACACCGTTGAATAATAAAATACTTTAAGTTATGCAATGGCACAGAACTCAAATCTTATTGCGACACACGAGAGAAGAGTTTGAAAAACAAAATAAAAGCAAATACAGCTAAGAAGATTGAAACACTCAGCACTAAGGAGGGAAGAATAAAAATGGGTCAGAGATTATAGATTTTCGATGAAATAAGATTTTATTCCTTTGTTTTTCTTTACTTTTTTAATTTCACGAATCCGTCTTTAATGAAATGTTGTATGATGAAAGTTCTCGTATTTTATTTTTTTTATCTATCTATGGATGAAACACTGAAATTGGGTCAACTACCCTTAAGCAACATTTTCCCTTTTCTTCCCGAAGAAGTTTTTCGCATGTTTGCACAATTTCAATTATCTGATTGTTGTCTAACGCTACCAAAAATATCTCAATTGAATTTCTTAATAAATCACAACTTGTGTTAGAGTTCAGAGGGGAAGAAAAGGAAGCGTCTAAAGTTCGGATGTTATCGAATGATTCAACATGGAATTAGGTCAGCATTTGTCAATAAGTTGAAGTAGAAAAACAATAATTTTGATGAGAACGATTTTTGGTTTTTATATGTTGCGAAATGCGGGAAAAATTCTAAAAACTCGATTGAATGAGAAAGTCAATCAAACACAGAAACCAAGTGAAAAGTTTGCTTAGGTTTGCTTGTTAATAAGTGACTTATCACGCTTCTGAATAAAGTCAACAAGGGTTTTGTCTTCTTCTTTCCCTAATTTCAATGCCAAGCAATCAAAACTTCATTTATCAACATCGACGAAAAAGTCAATAAATGAGATTAAACTAAACACGTTCATGATTACGTTCAGAAATTTCATTATCTTCTGACATTAAGTCAAGCTTTTCCAGACTCTTTAAACTTGGTTGATGGAAGCTATAAACATCAGCTGTTGTCAGCTCACGATTTGGTGAATATGTTGATCTCGATGCTGACCGAGAATCATGTTCAGTTGACTCGTCACGTGATGGACTCTTTTTATGCTTAACAATTTTAGTGTTGCCACTGCATTTAGCGATGAATTTGACTTCGGATATCAGTTCTTGAAGGAATGAAGTCTGTAATAAGAAAATTAAGATTTAATCAAACGATAAACTAAAAAAAAAATCACCTCAAGCTCTTTGGAACGATTTCTAATGTCGATAAGCATTTCAAAAAGACAAACAATTATCGCAACGCCACCGCCTGAAATTAAAACAACGAACACTCCACCAACATTTGCCACTTTCAGCTCTTCAGCTCCAGAATCTGCTGCTACATCCTGTTTTTAATTAAATTTTCAAATGATTATCAAATAAAAAATAAATTTTACCGTGCATGCCCCACCCCCGCGTTTCTCCTTCCACCATTTAATTTTCATTTGTGTGATTTCACCAGATTCTTGCATTTGTAATACGGCTTCACTTAAAGCACCTCGATAAGGGCTGTCTGTTTAAAAAAAACAAGCAATTAATTAATTTTTGATGAAGCTTTCAATTTAAAATACTTTTCTTCATCGCAAGTCCATAACCTTTGGCATCCAACTCTCCACCAACCTGCGTCACTTCACAGTTCCTCTCAATGATATATTCAATTGACGACGATTCCATTAAAAATGCATATTTGCCAGCTTTGGCTCTTGTCAAGCCTTCATCATTCGTTCCTGTCATGTGTTCAGGATGATTCGACATAAATTCGTACATTTTTTGATAAATTGGATTTTCCGATTCCTTGAAGAAGCCAAAAGTGCTTCCGCCTCGTTTAGCACCATATGGAATGGCACCGTTAGCATTCGCAAGATCTTCAACATTGCTGATTGGTGATGAAAGTGATTCGATTGTCAAGAAAGCAGCTAAGTTGGCTGTGTATGACGAAACCATAATAAGAGTGAAAAACCACCACATTGAAGCTACGATGCGAGTTGATGGAGCTCTAAAAAGATTTTTATTTATTCAATTTCGCCAAGTCATAAATTTCTTTGTTGTTACTTTGGAGCAATTTCACTTCCTTGTTGCAACAAAGCGCCGATGGAAAACCAAACTGAATTTCTAAAACTGAATTGATTCTCAAGGACTTCTGGTTCTTCAATGCATGGATATGGATTATCCCACTCAGCTGGTGATAAACGACCCATGACGAAGAATGAAAGAGAAACTAAGAATAAAGCAGTGCCAAGATACATCCAAACTTCACTTGAGAACGGCGACATGAAGGAGAAAAGTTCCGGTGGCTCTTTTTTTGGCTTCTCAAAGAGAATCGAAATTCCAAGATTCATAAAAGGCATTGTGAAGTCAGCAGCACCTTCTCGATCTGAAGTTATCGTCAAATCAGTGATAGCTAAGTCAGCTCGATCATCCATCAATTCTCGAATCATTCCATTCCACTCTCCAGTTTCTTTATTCAATGACCCATAAGCTCCATCTTCTTGAAGCTTAAAAGTGTAATTGAATCCAAGCTTCTCTGAAAGCTTTTGAATAAGTTCAATGCCAAATCCTTCAAATCGATCGTTGCCTGTTAATGCCAGATGAGTTTCTCTCAACATTCCGTACGGTGCACTCTGAAATAATAAATAAGAAAAAACAATTTGAGGATGAGATTTTTCTCTTTTCTTTCTCACCTTACCAAAGCAGTTAAAACTAAGAAAGTTTTGTTTCTTAAACTTAATTCACTATCATCGACATTTGGCAAAGCTCGTGCAAGTGAAATCCCTTTAGTTGTGTTCCACATACCAATTCTTCTTATTCCATCTGATGCCAATTCAATAATCTCAACTTGAAAGTTGCTTCTGTAACCTTTTTGATCGAAATGAATATCGCCACTTAAGCCTTTTATTGATGGAATTGTCTTCATTGCCATCAAATCAGAGAATCCATGAACTCTTAATCCATCATCATCATCACATTTTATATTTTTATTTCGAATTCCGCATTCACGTTTCACAACTTCAGAGAAAACTAAAACAGCATCGTAAGTCAGTGCAGTATCGAGTCTCATATTGTCAGCAGTCAATCCAGAAGGAACTTCATCCATTTCGTTGTCATTCTCATCTTCCTGATCAGCTTCACTGTCATAATCATCATTGGGATTGTCGTCATCTTCAATATTGTTAATACTTTTATATTTCTCCTTTTCCAATCTATCAAAATATTTTTGTTTAAAGAATTCTGTGACATGAACAACCATCGGATTATCTGGGAAAATCATTCGAACCCCAGTGATGTTAGCACCACTGTGTTGAAAGGGTTCCAAGTCTATCGTATGCATATCGAATGATGTGATGATAAATTGATGTAAATCTGTCAATAGTCCGACTTGTTGTGCTTGTTTGAGAATTTCTGGTAAAGCTTTGATTGAAGATGAAATGATGATGTTTTTATCACCAGAATGCTTCACTCTTCGTAGTTGGTGTCGATAGTTTTGATTTCCTGTGATATCAAGCTCACGAACTGTCACAGTGAATCCATGTTTGTCATACATCTTCAGTAAACCATTCATGAGCGGAAGCCTTAAAGCATATTTTTGTAATTAATTTGTGATTAGCATAAATTTATTTCTCACCATGGTGAACTTTCATAGACTATTGTGAAACTATCCCACTCCCACGCATTAACTAAGTCAAGGAAAAGTTTTGACATAACCTTTGGATGTGGGTGGAGATTTATAATCGGTTGTTCAGTAAAAGGATCATATCGTGTCTCTAGTAATGGCATCTCTTTAGTGTCACAAATACTTTGAACATGAACAGCAGCTTTAGATGAAAGTGGGCCATGAACAATTCCAGATATTCCATTCTTCATTAATCTACACAGTTCTTGTGAAGCTTGAAAAGCATTTCCATATCTGATTCTTCTCGAAACTAAATAAATGTTTAAAATAAATTTCACATTCATATTTGCTTAAAACATTATCAGAAGTTGAGTTGAAGATATTCTCTGAAAATTCCTTTTTGTGATATTAAACTTTGTTGAGCTTGTTCTCAGTCCAAATTGAATTTGAAACCACATCAAGAACATCGAATGGATTTAATTTTTTAATTCAACTTCTGTAGATATGTATTCGTGTTAGCAACTAACCGGCTTCTAGAAATCCATCCGTTTGTTTATTTCTCTGATTATTAATTGCTTGCACAGCGAACTTGAACGCCAACTCGGCGTCGTGTGATTCATCATCAAACAAGCCACCTGATTATTTAAGGTTGTTGACACATAAAAACGTGACATTCAGTTCATGAAATTATATTTTTATTTATTATTAGATTCTGCACACTCTCACGATTTTTAAATAAAATTAATTCGCTTAATTCTCACCCAATTTTATGCGATCACTGTTTTCCTTTCTTGCATTCACAAAAGAGTGAGAAAATATGAAAAAAGTTATGAAAATCCATTTTCCGAAGAACATTTCTCTGATTTTTTTTGATAAAACTTTATCAATTGTGAAATTTTATTATTAAATGAGATGGAACTTTATAGAAAATCTTAGATAAAAAAGATTTCAAGAACAGATTTTAGAAAATATTTCTTTCACAAATAAATGCACATTTATGCATCAAGAGATTTGAATAAAGACTAAATTTATTTATTATGCAAAAGGTTTGGCACGGTTTTATCTCGAGAGAAAGCTTTCAACGGGATTTATTTAGAGAATTTTATTTAGAGAAACAAAATATTTTTATTTAAAAATTAGAGTAATAAAAACATGAATGAAAATTTTCCGATGTTTCTTTTTATTATTTCTGCATTTTCCTTGTGATTGTTTTCAATCATAAAAAACGACAAAACATTTGATTTGATTATTTGATTAAATTTATTTTATTTGGTCACAAATTGAAACTTTGTTCGTTTTAACAAGTTACGATTCTCTTCAATGGATTGTAAAATTAAGTGGAAAAAAAGGAGACAAATTAGGGTTTCCTCTATGACGTCATGGCGTATATGATAACCCTAAGTCGATAAATTACATTCACCTGTTAACGTTGATCAAGGGACAAAAGTTTTCAATGAAATTAAACATTTAATAAATTTTTGAAACAAAAATCATTTTATTAAAATTTCAATTTATTGCTACAAATGTCATGAAAACTTGATTACTTGATTAGTTAGAAATGTAATGTCAACAAAATTAAATCAATTTGTTTCAAAGTCATCTTCGTCTTGAGCTATTTTATTAATATTTTTTAAACTCATTCGCAAGCTGATTGGATGTGAATCATTTTGAACATTTCCACTTGATCTTGATCTTGACCCATTCGATGCACTGATTGAATCAAGCTGGGATGAACTCTTTCTCGTAACAACTGTTTTAACATTTGTTCCAAACCTTCTAAAGAATCTGAATTCTTCTCGTAACACATCCATAAACGGAACCTAACGAAAATAATTTCCTTATAAATTCCAATAATGATTTAAAGAATATTTCACATACATCGAGTTCCTTTGAAGCTTTTTTAATAAAAACAAGCCATTGGAATATTCCCATAATCAATGCAAAGCTAGAACCACCAGCAAGCACGACAAAAACACCTCCAACGTGCCTCATACTCAACTCTTCGACTTGTGCATCGTCAGGGCTCTTGAAAGTAATGAAAATTTAATGTATTATAATCAAGAAGAATCAGCATGTAAAGATCCTACGAATTCATAAAATAAAAGAACTTTTGGCATTCATTCAATGGAATAAAGATAGATTGGACAAGGATAATGAGAATTCATTTGACAATTCAGGGTTTCCAACAAACCTTCATTTAAATAATCCTTTACAATTTCCATGAAAACTTCAAATAGTTGTGATGAAATTAGTAGCACTAAAGATTTCAAAAGTTTGTTTTTTGATTAATTACTTACTTCACAAGCTCCACCACCTCGCTTCTCCTTCCACCATTTCGTTTTCATTCTTGATATTTCACCGTTCTCCATCATGTTTAGAATGTGTTCACTTAAAGGTCCACGATAAGGTGAATCTGAAATGCGATTGTTGAATCATTGAGTTTTAATTAATGATTTTAATTAATGCAAACTTTTCTGCATAGCAATTCCATATCCTTTCTCGTCAAGTTTTCCTCCAACTTGAACAAGACTACATTTACGTTGCGTATTGTATTCAATAGTTGATGATTCCATTAAAAATGCGTATTTGCCTTTCTCTGCTCTTTCTAAGCCTTTCTCATTCGTAGCCATCATGAGTTCTGGGTGATCAACCATATACTTATACATTTCTTTATAATCATCACTCTCTGAATCTCTGAAGAAAGAAAGAGTACTGCCAGTTTCTTTCGCGCCATACATAACTTTCCCAGCAACTAAATCTTCAACGCCTTCAATTACAGTCGAAGGATTTTCAATCGTCAAAAAAGCAGCTAAGTTGGCTGTGTATGACGATACCATAATAAGAGTGAAAAACCACCACAATGAAGCTACGATGCGAGTTGATGGAGCTCTAAAAAGATTCTTTTTTTATTATTTGACTTCATCGAGTCATAAATTTTTTTGTTACTTTGGAGCAATTTCACTTCCTTGTTGCAACAAAGCGCCGATGGAAAACCACATTGAATTTTTAAAACTAAATTGATTCTCAAGGACTTCTGGTTCTTCAATGCATGGATATGGATTGTCCCACTCAGCTGGTGATAAACGACCAAATACAAAAAGAGAGACTGAGACAAGGAAAAAGCATGCAACCAAACAAATCCAAACTTCCCCCGAAAATGGTTGTGTGAAGGCAAAGAGTTCGGGATCTTCTTTCTTTGGTTTTTCATAAAGAATCGAAATTCCAAGATTCATAAAAGGCATTGTGAAGTCTGCTCCACTTTCACGTTCAGCTGTAATTGTCAAATCAGTGATAGCTAAGTCAGCTCGACCGTCAATTAATTCTCGAAGCATTCCATCCCACTCTCCAGTTTCTTTATTCAATGATCCATATTTCTTATCTTCCTGAAGTTTGAAGGTGAAATTAAATCCAAGTCGTGCAGATAATTTCTCAATCAACTCAATTCCAAATCCTTCAAATTGACTATTGCCAGTGAGTTGTAAAGGAGTTTCTTTCAACATTCCATATGGCTCATTCTACACGCAATAAAATTATTAAAGAAATTATTAGAATGAATTTCAATCATTTAACTTACGATGACCGTCAATACTATTAAAGTTTTATTCTTAAATGGATTGCCATTGCTATTTATAATTTCGATTTGGTTCCCTGGTAATGCTTGAATTCCTTTTGTTGAATTCCAAGTTCCAATTTGTTTTAATCCATCAGTTGCAAGTTCAAGAATTTCCAATTGAAAATTTTCTCTGTTTCCATGTTGATCAAATTGAATTTCGCCACTCAAACCTTTAAAAGGTGGAACTGTTTTCATTGAATTGAAGATTGAAGTTCCATTGACAAATGATGATTCAATGTCGTCGCATAAAATGCTTCCAGAATATATGCCACGATGTTGTGACATCACTTGTGAAAACAACATAATTCCATCATATGTGAGTGCTGTTTTCAATTGTAAACCTTCAGCTGTCAACCCAGCAGGAACTTCTTCACTCCTTGCTGAAGGATCATTAGCCGGATAATAACTTTCCTGTTGTTCCTGCTGTGGTTCTATTCTATCACCAGATCCACCCAGATACATTTCTTTAAAGAAATCTGTCACCTGAATCACCATCGGATCAGTAGGTGACACTAATCGAAATCCAGTTATGTTCGTCCCACCGTATTGAAAAGGTTCCAAATCAATTGTATGCATGTCCAAAGATGTGACTATAAATTGATGTTCATCGGTCATCAAACCAACTTGTTGTGCTTGCTTTAGAATCTCAGGTAAAGCTTCAATCGATGAACACAACACAATATTCTTGTCATTCGATTGCTTAACTCGTCGTAGTTGTGGACGATAATTGTTATTGGTTGTTATGTCAAGTTGTCGTACTGTTATTGTTTTATCCATTTTGTAGTTTTTGAGAATATATTCAACAAATGAAAGCCTGAAATATGAAGCTTGAGAAGGGAAGTTGTGTAATGAAATATGAAGTGTGATAATTACCATGGAGCGTCTTGATACAATATGGTGAATCCTTGCCAATCCCATGAATGTATCATGTCCAAGTAAGCTCTTCCTAAATCTTCTGGTGTTGGATGCAAATTTATCACATGTCTTGATGATCCATCAATTTCAGTTTCAATTAGAGGTATTTCTTTCGAATCACAAATGCTACGAACATGAACAGCAGATTCAGGCGATGATGGCCCAATAATTCCCACAGCTCCATTCTAAAACAGATTAAGATGTTATTGTTGTTGTTAGAGTCGAGAATGGAGTGAAAATCGAGAACAGATCATTAAAAAAAAGTATCGCGAGTGTCAGTAATAAAATTCGATTCAACTGTTTACTCGTTTTAATTGCTTTGAAATGTTCGTTCATTGATTTGATTTTAACGATTTGTTTTTCTATTTATCTTTTTTTCTTCGCTTTAAGTGGAATAAACTGTTAATGAAATGTTTATTAGATAAACTCCTCGCATCAATGGAGAATTTCCCGAATGAGGCACGAACATCAAATAACAGTAATTGGTAATTGAACTTTATAGGAATTGTCTGGCAATCGAACGTAAATAATTTTCCCGATACATTTTCTTTTTTAACGAGAAGCAGATGCGCGAGAAGGTTGTAAAAATGGCACAAAATTTAAGTTGCGAATATTTATTTACCTCAATCATTTTGCAAACTGTTTGTGCTGCGGCGAATTCGCTTCCGTAAACGATTCTCTTTGATGCTTAAAAATGAAACTCAAATTAATTAAAAAATTTTGCACGAACTTTTTTATGTTATTACTTCCTAAAACTTGCACAGTGTGTCGGTCACGCTGATTATTCATACTCATAATAGCATATTTGTAAACAATTTCAGCTTCTTGCGTATCATCAAAAATGCCACCTGTAGAGGAAAAGAAATTTTTTTTATGACTCAGAGTCGCAAACAACAACAAATCGTGTTGAAGGAGAAGAGATAAGTGAACATGATGAAGCGAATCATTTGGTGTTGACAGTGATCAAAAGGAAAAACGAAACGTGTTTCATAAATAGAATGAACAAACAAAATATTGGAGCACGTTCTGGTGGAAATTTTTCGTTTGAGGAAGATCACTCACCAATTTTCGCCGCCTCGCTGAATTGACTGACAAAGTTGAACAAGATGATGAGAAATTTTAATTCAAATTTCATTTTTCTCCTCGTTTCTTTTATTAATTTTCCATCAAGTTGATTGAATTTTTTATGTTTCACAATTATAAAAATGTTTTTAAGAAAAGAAATTCATCAAACATTATAAATTGAGTGATAAATTAAAAAAACCCGTTTCGATACTTCTTCGTTTTCGTTTGAAAGTTGATTAAATTTTTATTGATTTCTTTTTCATAAAAATTTCCTTTTATTGCTGTAGAGTTTGATTGTAAAATTTCTATAAAACTCAATTTACAAACATGAACACTTCTTCTTCAACGAAAACTTTCTCAAAAAATAATTATTTTGAATTAACTACGCAAAAGAAATAATTAATGAATGAAAATTCTCAAATTTTTCCACTGAAGAAAATCGCTTTTTATCTGCCGAACAACTTTGCAGTGACTAAAACGATTGTGCTCTTCTCGAATTTTTAATTTATTTATAACTTTCGTGAAGAACATATAAACACTGTGAGTGAAAAAAATAAAAATGTCTCAGTAAATGAAAATCTCGATTTAAGCTCTGAGAATCTGTTGCTGTTTTACTTGATTTTCACGAGAAGAATTTACTTCAACATGTGTTTAGTGAAAACAATAATATTTAGAGATTTTCCATTCTTCTTTTTCCTTTATTTTCAAAGTATCAAAGAGAAATGACATCAGAATGACAAAAGCTTGTTTCTCGATTGACGTTCTCATTTTCTTATTTATTGCAAAACTGTTGTGACTCATTTCTTACGAAATTCTTTCTTTATTATCATGGAAGTTCAAAGACGATAATAAATTTATCAAAACTTGTGACACAATAACATGTTCGATTCTTGTTTATTTTGCTGATATCTTGACAATTTGTTTGCTATATAAGTTGGCAAACTTCATTGTCGCTATTCATCAGTCTTGAACAGTACTCGGTTTGAATAAGTGAAATGAAGCTTTCAATTTTATTACTTCTTGTTGCTATCATCGGCTTTGCTGCAAGCACGAATTCGACTTGGGGCGAAATTGGACCTCGCGATATTGTAATTCATCACAGCATCATCCGTCGAAAGTCTTCATCATTCATGCGAATTGTGACTGAAGATGTCAGATTTCCACTTCCCGACGAAACGAACAACAGAACGATTTCCGCAATTCTTGTCATTGATCAACTTCCTAAGAGCAAAGCCTACGCTCAAATTTTTGAAGGTGGAGTGAATTTTAATCATACTTTAATTCACTTCAAATCAGAGCGAGGAAAAAGTTTCAACTTCGTTCTGGAAATTTATGGACGACCATAATCAGCTTGTTGATAAATAATAAAACTCATCAAAATCTACTTAATTTAAACATCATAAAACTTTTATTTCGTTCGGTTTGCTTTCTTATGTACTTCCTCTTTGGTTGAATATTTTTCTTTATGTTCAACAAAAAAGAATTAAATAAAATTTAAAAAAAGTTGTCAAGCTCCTGTAAGGCGCCTTAATCTTATTTTCATTCACTTAAAATTATTCCAGCTCATTGTAAACATTTACTTATTATTTGGCAACATTTTCTGTTTATTTTACTTTTTATTATTTTAATATTGGAACGGAAGTTGCAGTCACGTTTGCTGAATTAATACTGAATTGATATTAATTGATTGAAATAAAATTAATTTAACAATTAAAATTATTCAATTTTCAACCTATTTTTAGTGTAGCTTAATTGAGAGAATACTTAGATTGTTTAACCGCTAAAACCAGTTGTTGTTGTTCTTAGAAGTTGGAAGAAATCAATTTGAAATTAAATTTTTACAAAGTCAATTTACAAATTGCAAAAACTTTGATTTTATCTTCTTCTTGTTATCTTTTCTATTACTTAAATATTTCCATTTAAAATCCCTTTACATGCTTGAGTTTAATAAGAAATACATTTCATGTCTAGCGCTACATCGATAAGATTACAAATTTTATTATTTATGGACTTGTTGAATATTCAAAATCAAATCTTCATCGAGATAATGGCGACGAGGGAGGGGGAAAATTGTTTGAGTATAAAAAGGGAGTTTTACGGCATTCCATGTCCTTTGTTAGAGTCAAATTCATATTGTGCATATGGTGGTCCAAGTGGGTGAAAACGATCCGAGATATCAGAAACATTATTTGGAGATGAACCTTCTTGTGTGCTTCGCTGCTGACGTGGCTTTCCACTTGAACTGCATTTAAATGCAAATCGAAGTTCAGATGCCATCTCCGAACAAAGCGATATCTAAAATATGTTCACACGTCACTATAAATAATTTAATCAGCTAAATTTTCGAATCAAAACTCACCTCCTAAAAGATTTTCGAAGCAACATTTCAAGTAGGCAAGAAAAAAATGAATCAGAAAGTTACCAAAAGAAAAACGACACGAGACAAGATCAAAGTGTGAATGAAAAGTTTTTAAATTCTCAATCTTCATTACGTGCGTGAATTGTGAATTCTGAACATTCCTCAGTTTGCCAATTAAAGCTTAGATAATTAAGGAAAGCAAAGGGAAACTTTTTTACTTCAGTGATGATAATTGAAATCACTAATTGAATCGATAATGAGTTGCCTTATGTGATAGTCAGTAAATAGAAAGTATTTGAAAGGTCGAACATTCAACTAATTGACTCTCTACTTCCTCTATAATCTCATCAAATTGTGCTACAATTTATTCGAGTTCTTTTCCACTTACACGCTCGACACATCATCAATGTAACAACGATGGAAAAGCGTGCTGATCGGGTAGTTTCGTTACCTTTTCTTCTATCGCAACTTTTCTAGACTTCCACACAAATTCACAGACTGCAATAACACAAGCGATACCCATTCCTCCCATTAGAACAACGAAAACACCACCAACATTTGCCAATCCCAACTCATTAGCCGTTGAGCTTGACTTCGATGTATCATCCTAAAAAATAGATTAAGATTTTAATATTCAAATGAACCTTTTTGTTAAGCTTTGTTAATCTTATTAAGCTTACTTTACATGCACCTCCCCCTCGCTTTTCCTTCCACCATCGTGTTTTGAGAACATGAAGTCTTCCTTCTTCTTGTAGTTTTAGGACCGCTCCGCTTATTAATGTGCGGTATGGTGAACCTTGACGCATAGCAATTCCATAACCTAAAGGGAAAAACATATTTAAGCATTTATAACTCTGAGTATGTGCTGATGTAGTTAAACCTTTCGAGTCAAGCATTCCACCGACTTGTGTTAAATCGCAAATTCTTTCAATAGTATATTCAATCGAAGTTGATTCCATTAAAAATGCGTAACTTCCTTGTCCTTTAATTACACGTTCGACACCCTCTTGATTACTTGCTGTGAAAACTGTGGGACGTTGTGCCTCCATTGCCGCCCACATTTTCTGATATGTTGAAAAGTTTGAGTCCTTTTGTGTTGTGTTCAATGAGAAGTATGAGAAAATTGATAAAACGTGCAAATACTGAAAATATTTTACCCTGAAGAACGAGACTGTGCTTCCACCTTTCAAAGCTCCATACTTGATTTTTGTTTGCTTTGCTAAATCTTCAGCACTTTCGATTGGTGAATCCATCCGTTCAACTGTCAAGAAAGCAGCAAGGTTTGCAGTGTAAGATGAGATCATAATCAACGTAAAAAACCACCACATTCCAGCAACGACTCTAAAGATGTTGAATTGGTTAAGTAGAACAATATTTAGATATGTTTCAATGATAAACTCACCGTGTTGAAACAGCTCTAAATAAGTTGAGGTTTGTGAAGAGAAGATTGAAAGTCAATGACATCGTTATGTTAAAATTTTATGTGAACATAAATATTGAAATAAATGTCAGATATTTTTCTCAAAGACCCACTTCATGTTTAAAAGTGTGTAATGCGATTTACATCAGAAGAGATCTTTGAGAGATTTATTCAACACAAACCCTTACAAGACTTAAATTTAAAAAGCAATTTTTTATAAGCGAAATCATGCATATTCATGACTGTAGCACATTATCCACACATATTCGCTTTGTTTGACAACCGTTAAAAATGTGAGATTTATTTCTGTTTTAAATTCTACCGCATGAAGCAGAGAATGAAAGCAAAATGAAAATGAGGAAAGCGGAATTTAAGCATAACAGTGAAAGCACAATAATAATCCCTTCTCAAAGCTTGAATATTAAGAGAGAGAAAAAAGCAAACAAATAAACCAAGTTTTGAGAGTTTATGAACTTTTTTGCTTTGTTGTTTGCTGTTGTTAGATAAAACTCTAACATTTTCTAAAACTTATTAAATATCTCAAAGCTATTTGACTTTAAAGCTTAATTTATAGGGAAAGAATAATCAATTAAAGTTCACATAGAACAAAATGTGAAGCAGTAAAAAATTATCTAATTGAATATATTTAAACATTGAACGACTTTATGTTGTTAAATTGAAGGGAGAGACTGGAGGAAAAGCAAATTAATAATTTTTACAGCTTTTTCATGATAAAACATAGAAAAGCTGCGAAGTAATTTTATGATCTCTCACTGAGCGCTATAAAAAAAAAGCAAGACAAAAGCATAGAATGATAAACTTTAATTTTTTATGAAAACATTTTAATGCTTTGTTCTGATATCGTTTTTAAATGTAAGATTTTTTGTTTAGAATTCTGATATGACACTCCATGAAGGGATGATGAATCGCAAAAAACGTTTATATTGTTGAGGGAAATGGAAAACAAAGTTAAAGAATGAAAGGATAATTTAAAAATAAATGCTATTGCAAAGCACAAGCTCTGATAATCCAAAGGTGTTGGAGGTGATAATTCAGGTTACAAATAGCTGTGCAAAGTATAAAAAGCGACAACAAGTTTCATTAATTGCTGATTTTTCTCTGTTCACAACATTGAACGTTGTAAGTATTCTACTTGTTCAGCAAGCATCGTTTATTACATACTACTGTGCTTTATCAGGAGAGATTTTTAGAGAATCACGAGGGTGCAAACTAAACACTTTCTACTCTATAAACATTTGTACAATTTCACGAAAGTCTAATGTTTAAACACGTTGAATAATTTACAGCTTTTCACGTGCTTCTTGCATACGTTTTATTTGCTACGTTATATTTATTGTTCACGATTAAGAAAGACAAATTCACATTGAAAAGAATAAAATGAAATAAAATGAATTTTAACACACGAAAATCTCTTACCAGACACTTTGTTCTTTTCTTAAGTCTACAATCAAAGATTTTTTTCTCTTTTTTTCTTCTATTTTTTCTCATCTTACATACCAAACGTGCTTTAGGGTAAACGCAAAGAAGGGAGAGTGAAGTGTTGAAGTTTTCTTGGAGATTATGTTCTTGAATCCCTCCACAGAAAAGGGAATAAATTTTCGTAAGATGTTTATACAGTTTATGGTGTTTGTATTCAAGTATGGCAAAGTCTCTTTAAACATTTGTGATGACACGAAAATAGAATCAGAGAAATTTTAAGTGGAAATGAATCAGAAATTTTAAACGAAAATCTTGAGGGTTGCCTCGGAATTTTTTCTTGCTTTCTTTCTAGATATTTAAAATAAAATCTTTGTGTCTCGTCTGTCGAACGCTTTTCTTTATCGTTTCTTTGCGAAGGACGGAAATGAAGGAATCTCTGATATAATCATTTTCAAGAATTTTAAGACAGGAAATCGACTTTCTCAATTCTGTTGTTTCCTTTTGCCTTTTATTTCGATATGTCGTGTGAAAAAGAAAAAAAATGTCATAATTTAATTTTTTTTTGATGCTTAAGGGATGGAGAAGTGGGAAAGTTCCGAATTTTTTGTTTTCTTATTGCTTTTGTGTACATGTGCAAAGTTCTGAAATAAAAGAAAAAGAATTCGAAGAGAAAAAAAAAGTCTTTAAAATTCAATCTTATTATATTAACAAATCACAAAGAAAGTAGGAATGGCGGGGATTAAAGAAGCTTTGTAGAAACAAGACATGCTTGCAGTCAAAATGTATTTTAATTTCCCTAAAATTCTATAAGAAAATTCTTCTTGCTGCATCATCATGCAGATTGCTTGCATATGGCAAAGTGTTTCAAGTTTGCTTTTCATTTTGTCTAAAAGTTTTCTTGCTATCTTCTAAAATTAAGAGAAAACTTTTGCCTAGTAGGTGCACAATAAAGTCTTACAAGGATAACAAGAAAGCATTAAATTCAACTTCAATTTCATGATATTTTCTTATGCTTGTGAAGCTTGTTCAACAAATGTTTTCTTTAGTGAAATTTTTATTTCTGTTTTTGTGAAACAAAGAAGAAGAAACGGATTATGTGCTTGTAAGCTACGTCCCGAATGTCAATATTGATCAACGAGATTGCAATTGAACTTTTTTTATCAAAGAATTTTATCAATTGAACAAGCATTAAAAATAAGTAATCATGAAGTCTTTCAAAAACAATTTCTTCACCCAAGTCACAATGAATGAACGTGAAGAATATTTATAAAAAAAATCTTGAAGGAAATGAAAAATATCATTGGAAATTTTCCAACCATTTGGTTTCCTTTAAGATTTAAGATTAAATATATCTTGAGCTGAAGCTTTTCTTAAAACCACATGATGCAGTTAATAAAAAAAAAGAAAGCGTGAAGGAAAGCATTGAAAAAAGTTGATCTTTGTTCTGATTGGAAACGAAAAATCTTTTCAATCGTGGAACGATAAAAGAAAAAACTTTTTAAAAGATTTAAATATGAAATGAAAATGCGTAACGCATCGTGGGAAGGAGTGGGAGGAAAGAAAATATGAAATTAAGAACATTTTGTGAAGCCAATAAGACTGTAAATGATATTTGAAAGTAAATTCAAGATTACATTTCTTGAAGTACTTACTTGGGACTTAAATCAGATCCTGTAAATTGAAACCATGGGAAGAAAGAAAGAAAATTATAAGAAATTTTCCTTTCTCAGATACTTTTTTTGGTAGGAATAATATCAAAGAAAGCGGAATTTAATTAAACAGACTTGGTGGTAAAGTTACAAAACATATCAAATTTAAACCTGCCTTGTTGCATTAGAGATCCTTTTTCCCATCGAGAATGATTTTTTAATTTATAACGAGATTAGAAAAAAGTTAAATTATTTAATTCAATTTTAAATTGAAAATCCACAGGTGACTTTTATGTTTAAGTGAAATTTGTCACGAGTCTCGAAGCAAGTTCATAACAAATTGATTCCAATTGAGTTGAAATTATTTATTTCAATTATATTGCCATCACTTTAACGACAACCCAGTGACAAGTGAAATTTTCCTATCAACTTTGACCTGGTGACAAATCACACGCCTCCTCTTCCCACGCAAATAAATAAATATTTATAAACGTACAAGGGTAAAATCATGAATGAATGATACATTTAACTCACCGATAGTAAACCAGAGACTGTTTAGTAGAGAGAATTGGTTTATTAAGATCCCTTCCGAGTCTTTAAGGCAAGTGTGTGGTGTTTCCCACTCATAAGGCGAGAATCTAGGGAATAGAATTTGACGTAAACATGTTAAGAACAAGTTGTTTTCTTGTCTTATTTGCCCTTCTTTCTGATCCTTCTCTTTATATTATGTCACTCGTTTTGCATTATTCGAAAGCTTAAGATGAAAACAAGCACCTGGAACAAAAGTTTATCGTTTTGCTGTCGGAAAATTTGGCAAAATATGTCACGGGAGTGGTTGGAGACTTTCAAAGAAAATTACGAAGCTACGAACGTTTTCCCTTCCTTCTACTATTTTCTACATCATCATCATTATGATCCATTAAGACTCATCTTTACCGCAAAGCACGTTTTTGTCTGCTAACCTTCATAAGAACTTCATAATATCATCCTAGGAATTTTTTGTTCTTTTTTTTCTTACTTCGTTTCTTATGAACATTAACGAACATCTAGACAACAGTCAACGGCGAAAGAAACAATTTAAAAGCACATTTTGTTATATAAAAAACACACAAATACACATACACACACGCATTAGAAAGCAGGTAGCAAAAAATAAGAAGAACTTAATGTAATAAAGCTTATAAGGGTTTCGTTTTGCTTGCTTTTATCTTGTTCACTTTTCGGTTGTTATTTTGTGATTTTTCAGCTTACTTTGGAAGGAAATCACAGCCTTGTTGCATCAACGATCCTTTTGAGGTTTCGATTGAAGTTGTTGAAGAAATTGTTTTAAAATTTAATATCAAATGCAACGATGAAAGGAAGGAAGGAGAAGTAATTGCGAATTAGAGAACTGTGGAAAACTTTTTTATTAAAGCCCAACTCGTTTCGTTGCTATGAATAAATGATTCAGCAACTCAATTGTTGTTGGTTATATGTTTCATTATTTACCTATCATGAACCAAAGACAATTAATTAGCGTGAATTGTGTTTCTGGTTGTACAGGCTGCTCTGGTGCTGGCCACTCATATGGCGTGAATCTAAACGTGATAATTTAATTATTTTTATGCTCGAACCGAATGATTCGTTATCATTCATAATTTCATTTTGTTAAGTGACGTTTTGATGCTATTAAATAAGTTAATGTTTTAATTAAAAGATTTCAATATAAAATTACCTTGCGAGGATGAAAAGAAGAACCGAAACACCAAGGTAAGCGGTCTGAAGAAGAATGCCGACATGTTATTGGAGAGTAGAAGCTTTATGATGTTATAAACACAATTTTACGACACACTTACCGCCATATAACACCACACATCAAGCGAAAGTGGAGAGAGAAACGAGAAAAGATTCGGTGGCTGTTTTATCGGTTTTCGGTACAACACCGAGATTCCAAGGTTCATGAACGGCATTGTGAAATCAACCACCTGCTCGCGATTATATGTTATTGTTAAATCAGCTATGGCAACATCTGCACGTTGATCGAGAAGTTCTTTAATCATTCCATCCCATTCACTTTAATAGAAATGAATTTTCTTTTAATTGAAAATGTTTGTTTTTGTGGCAATATTTAATGTAATTAAAGGATAAGAAATATCTCGAGCCATTTTCACAGATGATTATAATTATGATGGCGAAAAATTAATCATATGAAATTCACTTACTGTGTGTCTGAATTGTAACCACCATAACGACCATCTGGTGCCAATCTAATTGTATAATTAAATCGGAGAATTTCAGAAATCTCTTGAATCAAATCAATGGCATATCCTTCAAATTGTGCATTGCCCGCTAACTTCTCGAATGATTGCTTCCTCATACAATATGGGGCACTCAAGATTGTCGAGACAACAAGCGTCTTATTTGCCAGTATTTCTTTTATTTCTTGTTGTTGGTCAATATAAGTACGTGTCAGATTGACACCTTGCGTTGAATTCCACGTGCCACATTTTCGCAGTCCACTCGGTGAAAGTTCAATAATGTCAAGAACAAAATCAGTTCGAAAGCCTTGATGATCGAATTTGATAACATCGGTAAGTCCTCGCATTTCAACAATTTTCATGTAATTGATAAGACTGTATCCATGTGGCCATGTGTCTTGATTGTCACACGATAAAGGATGGATGTCAATTTGTTGACTTGAATCGAGATCATGAAGTGCTTTTGCAAATAAATGTACAGCATCGTACATAAGAGCAGTTTCAGCTTTGATGACTGAGCTGTTGTCGTGATTGAAATTAACTTTCTTCCCATTCTTTGTGTCACCAGATGTCCAATTTTTCACAGTTTGTCTCACAAGAGAATTATTTGGATCGACCAATCTAAAAGCTGTTATATTCGTTCCACCGTATTGAAAAGGTTCGAGATTCACGGTATGTAAGTCTAACGATGTTATCAGATAACTATGATAATCACTCATCATTCCAATCTGTTGAGCTTGCTTAAGCACTTCGTAAATTTTCTCGGTTGAACAATCCAAGACAATCTTCGACTCTGCAGAGTTTTTTATTTGCTTAAGAAGCGGCCTTAAGGAAATGCGAAGTGAAAATAGAATAAAGAAATAAAAATATCATTAGAAATGCGTCCATCAAGATCCAACTCACCTGTAATCCCCGGAATCACTCAACTGTCTCACGGTAATCGGAAATTCTGATGGTCCATGAGCTTTCAAAAGCTCTTGCAATCTCACCAATCCCTCATTTGTTTCGTAAATGATCGTAAATGATTTCCATTTCCAAGCGTTTACAAGATCCACATAAGCTTTCGACAGTGTCGATGGATGGGGGTAAAGATTCACTAAACAACTCTCTCTTCGAAGTCTGTAATCCCAGCGGGTTTCCAAATGTGGAATCTATTAAGTAACGAGGTAAAGACATTATGAACTTCTTCTTCTACATCATTTAATTATTTCATTATGAAAACATTATTTGTGAAGTTTAACAAGCAAAGTTCATGACGATATTAAAAGTTTCAAGTTGAAATTTCTCGTCAACATTGCTATGTGATTTGTTTACAAAAAAAAATTGAACAAAGTTCTCTTCCCACTAAATCTTTTCATCGTGTATTTATGAATATAAATATTTAATTTTATTTCTTCTTCCTCCTTGTTTATCCCTCGATACACTTTAAAGAAGCGAACAGTTTCATCAAGTGTTTATTGACTGCCCATCACTTGAAGTCCTCTTGCCAAGGCGTTTTTTATCAACAAAACAAACATTTACTTTTTTCTTTCCATAATTTCTTCAAAAGACAAGCTGAGAATTCGAAATGTTTTCGCTTTTCTTGTTCATTGAGTTCAAGTTTGTAATGCTTTCGAGATTTCTAAATCATTTTACATCAAAAATTTCAGAAAGTTTTACAAGTGTACTTGACAAATATTTGATGATATCTACGTATGGATTTCTTCTCATATTATTTATGAATTTTCACGTTTTCTGGCACATGAAAATATTTTCCTTATGACTGATACAAGTGAAAACTCGAATTTCATTTCTTTGAACAAATATTTTCTTTTACAATTTATTTTAAGAGTAATGAAAGATTAAATTCACATTCACTGACTTTCATCTGTAATGTAACGAGTTGTTTGTCTCAAAACGTGCCTTTGAATCACATATGTAAGTATCTGATGAAAGGTTGCTAGCTGATGTTTTATGCCTTATTTAAATGTGTCCTTATGGAAATGATTTATTCATGATTTACGCAAAGTTGAACAATTTGGACATTCTTTTATGTGTAACTAACCCTTGAAAGTAAAAAAATCACTTTTCTTTATAAATTGGTTGTAAAATAAAATTGAAAGCCTTCAAATGGAGCATTCCATGTCAGCACTTGATAATGAATTATTCAGATTTTTTCAGCAAATTTGCTGCTACTGTGGAATGTCCCATATAAGCATTCTAGTCACTTTCACTCGTCTAAGCCTGGTTAAGTTTTACTCAACCCTCAGATTTTCCAGAAAATTTCCCTGCATGGAGAGATCTGATAAAAAGTTCTTTTCATTCCATGGAAAGAACTCATAATGGAAGAGAGATTATTGTTTGTAATTTCAAGCGTCTTCTTGCTTGCTTTTATCCAAAGATCCAAAATTTTAAAGATCTTCTTAAAGTTTCCATGTCAATAATCTGACTTGTGATGCACAAAGAATGTAATTTGTTAAACATAAAACAACACTTGTAACACAACGAAACATAGGCGCTTAAATATTTGCACAAAGAATTTCACTTTCTCGCAATTCAGATGAAATAAAAAAATTAATGCTATGGGGTGCTTTGGGGATTTATGATGCGGCAAATACCTACATACTTTCATATTGTCCTCGTGGCACAACCGCAAGGCAGAAGCTCAAAATGATTCGGATTTCAGCAAAAATTTAAAAATAAACAACAAGCAGAAGGCAAATGGAAAAAGAGAAGCCGCAAACCGCATTTATTTGCTTTCGTTTTTACTTTTTAATGTTGTTGAAATGGAGTAAGAAGCGCTAATGCTTTGTTTTACACTTTTACATAAAATGACTGAGAAAATGAATTTTTGTTACTCTTAATTCGTTCTTACCTCCATTGTGTCGCAAATACTTTGAACATGGGAAGCTGTGTGAGATGATTGCGGACCGAAAATTGCTGCTACGCCAGTTTTCATTAAATGGCAAACGCGCTTCGAAGCATGAAAGCTATCTTGTGGTAAAATTCTCTCGATTTCAGCTTGCAGCATTGAACGTGGTAAAATCTTATTGTCGGCGTTAATTTTGTCCACTGCATAACGAAATGCAATTTCCTGTGGATCGGTTGTCTGATGATCGTTGTCAGTAGGCAGTGGGGAGAATAGTCCGCCTATGGATATTAGAAAAATAAAGAAAATAAGATCAAATCAGTTGATTTATCGGTTAACGTGAATGTTCAGCAATTTATTTATGTTTCTATAGATAACTCAACACAAGGGAATGTGTAGAAGCGAACGACGAAGCTTCTCTTTATTTTATCTTCTTCTTTAACCTCACGTCTATATTATTCAATTCAAGTCATAGAAGCATGATAAGAATTCTCAACCGTCAATTGTACATATAACAAACCTCATCGTATGTCAAGTCAATTGAGATGTGAACGAGGATGAATTCTTTCCATCCTCCATACATCTATATGCAAAATTTTGACAAGCTTTCTATGACTTTATAGATAAAGTTGACTTTCTTCATATCATCATGATGAGAATTGATGTGAATTATTAAATTTGCAGACGCTTGTAATACGAAGACAACGAAGATAAACAAGAAAGAAAAAATTAAAACAAACCATATGGAAGGAATGGAACATCATAGACAATAAATAAAGTTCACAAGAAATCCAACAAAAACTCTTAACTTGACGCTTTCAGAAGCATTGCTGAAGTGAAACTTTTTCATAGAAGTCAAGTTTAACTTCAGTATCTGCCTACATACATAAAAAGTCGTAACATGACACTATTTAGAAAAAGAAAACAGTTTGAGTTCACTCTTCTGTGATAGGAATAAGCAAACACTGCCGCTAATTTTTGTGAACTGGAAAAAATGTTTGTTTATCCTAAAGCAGCCTTTTATTACCATCCTTGATTCATACGAGCTTAAATATTGATTGAATATATGATATTAAGTAAACTTCCGCGAAAGTAATAAAGTAAATCATAATAAACGAGAAGATTTAGGATATTCATTCATTTCTCAGTGGGCTTCTTAAGCGATTTATGTTATTATTATTCTCTATCAGAACCATCGAGAAGAGATAATATTGATGATGAAGTAGAATGCTGGATTGAAGACTTTGCTTATGATCTTATCCTATTATTTAATAATATTAATGCTTATTATGCAATTAGTTGATACGATTATTTGTACGATTTTCCGATGACTCTTAAGAAAATATAAAAGCAGTTAAATCTATTACGAAGAATGAAATGATTTTGTCGAGTGACATTTCACGTTTTTATTTCTCGATAAATGATTTCATTATTTGTTGATTGCAAAATTGATTTCATAAAAGTCATCTCGTTACTAATTAATTCACTAACATGCACCCTTTGCACTGATGTGTGTGTGTGTGTGTGTGTGTGTGTGTGGTTATTAATGCATTAAAGCTTTTAAACAATTTTGACGACAGTTTCATGGAATTTATGTGAAAAACCAGATACGCTGATTGTTGGTTTTGTTTGTGCTTTTGTTTTCATTTCACTACCGCTCGCAATATTTCTGAAAATTTCATTTCCATCTTCACCATGGTGAATGAAATTTGAAGAGAATTTAAAATGTGCATTTCCATCATTCATTATGATGGTTGCGCTTGCATATGCTACGAGATCAAAAGAGCATCAAAGTCAATCATCTTTTATTCAAGAATCGTCACGTTTCTGTTGCTGGTTGTGTAATTTATATCAACGCTAAACTTTAATAAACGAATTTTAAAGATATTTGTTTTAACAATTCAAGAAAAGACAACTCAAAATTAAATTTTCAGCATAAATGTTATGCTTCTTAAAGTGTTTCTTTTATTGAAAGAATATTTACTTCGAAAAATTTTCCATACATATCACAACGAACGTCTTTTGTGAGAAATCATGGAAATGAAGAATATTTGATATCTGTTACCAAAGCAGGCAAAATGTTTTCATCTAGGTAGTGATGAAATTTTATTTGTATAAGGAAAACGAACATCTCAGCATTTTTGAGTGAGAAAGATGTGATTTCCTATTTTAATTGCGGTAGCACTTTTGAATTTTCACAACGCGCTGTTGTTATTAGAGAACTGCCGAGTCAGATGTCAAATAAGAGAAGATTTGACATTTTCAGGAGGCACTTTTGCGATGAACATTTCGATTAAGCTTTAAATTGACAATTATTCGAACATTTATACCTAAGACATTGATAGCGTTGCTTATTTTGTATCTTATGATAACATTCGGATTAGCCTTTAAGCTAGGATAAAGTTTGTTCCTTTACTTCGATTTCTATAAATACTGATTCTTCATCTACAAATTTAAAAGTATGCAAAGAAGAGACTTAACTTGAAGGAAAATAATTGCTGTGTATGTAAATAAGCAGTTGATGTAGGTGGAAATAAGTTGACAGGCTTTCGAACTGTTATTTATATCCGAAGCTGAAGCATTGTTTGACTTTTTCTTCTTTCCTTTTCATGCTTTAACTTAATAGACCATTTCAATGGTAATAAATTTTTCAAAACCATTGAGGTCATAAATTTTAATCAAACGTTTTCTTGTCCAACATAAAATCCCAAGTCGATTATTCGAATTCTTTTATTTCACTTTATCGACCACAAGAACAAAAGTCTCATTCGAAAACTCAATCAACAATGAAAGACGATTTCAAATGAAAATATCATCCCAAAAGTATTCAATGAAAGGCAATTAATATTGTTTGATAAGGGGCAAGATCATGACACAAAAGTCGAAGTATTACTAAGTATTCAAATTTATTATTTCATTTCTACTCAAATTTCTTATTCCTAGGGGTGGAAACTTTGATATAAAAGAGAAAACATCGAAAGCACCAAATGCCAAAATATCCCTTTTTATGATCTTCCCGACTCTTTGTCATTCGTCATCCTTTTAAGAAGTTGGAATCATTTATAAATGCTATCAATGACAACACCGACTTCTGAATATTTATGAAACTTTTTCAGTAGAAATGTAAACCTAGAGGTGACAAAAAAACATTCTCACAAAGACATTTTCGATATTTTTCTTCTTCTCGTCTTTATGACAAAAGAAAGGAAATGACTACCAAGAATCTCAGATTCCCAGCTTTGTTCACCAATTTTATTTGATTAATTTTTTCCATTCATTGTATTCCCTCTTTCTGCTCTATTATACATGCAATTTCGGTCCAATGAATAGCGAAGGAAGATGTATACATTTTTTCTTTTTCTTCATTTATTCAGTTCATGAAAGAGTACGATAAGTAATTCTTTCCTTTTCTAGTTATTCGTGGCAAGAAAGTTCTCTTTGTTGAAAACCTCAAACATAAAATTTTCAGTATAGTTCAGAGTTGATTAGAAAATATCTGACGGAGTATCTAACGTGAAAATTCTTTGACTCAAATAAATTCTTCTGACATTGCTTTAGAAAATATTTTAAAATTTCATGGGATTTGCTATCATCGGAGGCTTTCTTGGAATGATTCTACAAAATTAAATTTGAATATTGAAATCAAATTCATTAAATTTTTCAGAAAGCTGTTTAAATTGAGCATGAATTGTTCTTTTCACAGGTTCATAAGAGCTTCCTTACACTGTATTTAAGACACAATAAAGCAACAATAGTTGAAAGTTCATTCACTAAGTGTCAGCCATTCTTCCTTCGTCAACAACAGGCGAAAGAAAGAGAAAAACAAGTGACATGGAATTGTGCCTTATTGTTGTAGGAGATAAAAGAAAGCCTCTATGAAAAGCAATTTACCAGATATAGAACAATTTCTGTCTCACTTTTCGTGAACAATGTAGGAAGCCAAAAAGTTATTACCGTCTTTCACGTCTTAGGGTGTGCGCTTGATCGTAAAAACGGAAGAACTTTAGCAGAAATAAAAAAAAAGCATGATGGAAAACATTCGAGATGAAATGTAAATTTTTCATTGAAAACGAAGCGCTGAAGACAAAAACTTCAATTTAGTTTACTTTCGGGGGAATTGTTCGGAAGAATAATAATATTTCAAATATTCTAAGACCTTATTCTTTGATGCTTTAAAATTGAAAACCTGACAAAAGTTTTTCCTCTGTGTGGTGAAAGTTTTTCTCTTCTTATTCAACTTAACTCATCATCGAATGAAAGTTTTAAGGGTTTCAACCATATCTAAAGTCAAAAAGTTTCGCCAACTCAAGGTATAAATAACTGCTTATGCTTATACGTAAACAAATAAGAGAAATACTTGACTGAGTTTGCTGGTCTCAAGTGACTAATTCGGACGAGTCTTTATTGAATATGCTACGCTTATCTCTAGATTACATTTAAATATATCACATACGTTTGACCTTACTCATTTTTCATTCAACTTCGCATCGTTTTATAAATTTTATGTACATCATTGATCAAGAGAGGAAAAAAATTAGAAAACATTTATGCCCGATATTTTAACCCTTGATAATATTAAAAATTCAACAGGATCTTACATTTTGCTTGAGATAAATTTATAATAAAAAAAACTTTGCCTCGTTCCGATGAAAAATTACGCCTTGAGTGCTTTCAATTGTTTTCATTTTTTTATATAAAAAGCAAATTTTTTATTTTCCAAATCAAGTAACACAAGAGAAGACGAAATTGTTTGTTTAAATTTATAAAATTTATCGACAATCAAACGAGAATAACACGAAAAAAAAACGAAGTCATTTTCATGCTTCAATCGAGAAACATTAAATTATGATGCTATGATTTCTACAATTTCTTCTTTTTCATTGATAAGGATTTGCCGAGACACCCTGTGTTGCATGAAAAAGGATTTTCTTCTCGACAAAATAATTTTTCGTTGTTGTTGTTGTTTCCTTTCCGATAGAAAAAATTCTCACCTATTCGAATAATATCGGGTAGAGACGCTGTATAATCCAGTTTAAAGCAAATTAAAACTATCACAATCACTTTAGTTATCATTTTTCTACAGTTTTTGAGTCGTATTCTGTCACTAGCACATTATTTTAAGCGAAAATTTCAGGGAGTTTTTCCTTCCTAATGAGATTTTTTTTCTTCCTTTTTCCTTTATTCACGCTTTTTCTTTCTCCGTATTACAATTCTAGTCGGATGCTGGAATCACACTGAAGTGCAACGTTATCGTGAGTTGTTTATAAAACGAAGATGAATTCTGTGTGTTTGATGACATGTGCGCATGTTTCGCATTTATTGTACTAGATTATGATAAGCTTTTAAGGATGCGAATTTCCGTTAGAAAGCTTTTATGAAGCTTTCGAAAGCTTTTGAAATTTGAACTATTTGAGCTTTCGGAAAGTTTGTCGTTTAGAAATACCAAAAATGATGTAACAACAAGAAATCTTCGAAGCCGAAGAACTTGAGAAAATAAAAACCTTTTAATTTATTTTGTCCTTTATATCTAGCGCTGAAACTTTCAGAATTCAGCATAGAATGAATATTTTCATTGTTATTTAATGCTTGTAACAGTTTTCAACATAAGTAACTGGAAAATGGTTGTTTCTTCTTTTGAAAGAGCAATAAATATAAAGTTATGCTCCACACAGCATCATGGAGTGATAATAACTTTTCTAATGGCTCTACAGAATATAATTGATAGATATAGAACAGCAAACTCAGAATGTCTCAAGCATACGAAGAAACTTTGAGACTAAAAACTGAAAATTTAATTTCGAGAGATGACATACAGATGTAATTATAAAATCGTTACAAGTGTAAATACTATAAAAACTTTTTTCATTTAATTATTCGACTTTTGAGTTCAACGAATGCTTTCGAATAGACTCTCTAAAATAGTCGTTCGTTTGCCTTTCAATGGCCAGGTTTAAATCACATTTTTAATTAAAAGTTTTAAGCAGCAGACGAACTATTTGAGCTAAAAGTTTTTTTTGTGGAAAATTAAGCAGAAAAGTTAATGGAAGAAACATGTTAACGTGGCTTTTGATTTTAAATAATTTAGTGTTAATTTTATCGAAACGACAAATCCACATTGGTAAGAAATAGTTTACGTAATAAGCATAAAGTCTGAAAGAAAAGTCACAATTTTCTAATCTTCTCTTAAGTTTTGCCATGAATTTTTTTGTGTGTTGATATAAGTGAGAAAAACAGCAGAAACGTGATATAAAATTCAAGACAGTGACTGTTCTAAGTGTTTCAGCTGTGACATAATTTATGCACAGTTTGTGTGCAACAGAAAAAAGAGATCAACTAAAACATGAAAAAAATTAAATAGATAATCATTTTCGCAAAATTTGAGATCGTAAAAATCAAGAAATTTTCTCATTTGCGAGAGTCGTTCAAACACATTCAAATTTTATGATTTTAATTTTGAAATTTTCTCACGTTGTTTTCGGATTATTTTCTGTTTTCCTTAAATTTCGTTCTCTCCATTTGTTCTTTTTTTTTCGTTTAAATAAATAAATACAGCTAAGTATCTAAAGAGATAAAAATTCTAGCACGTGCTTAACAAAATCAGCATTTCGTAATTGATTATATTTTAAATATTAAGCAATCATTTTTGTCTCTTTTCATTTGCATAAAATCAATTCAAAGGGAAGTCATTACGGAAAATTTAATATAAATGTAAAATGATTAATGTGATTGTTCTTTTTATAAATTTGTTTTTATATTGTTCTGTGAATTCAGCATCAACATGTTGGAAAGTCTCTCAATTTAACTAACGAAATTGTGCAGACAGATCTCATTTGTTACTTTAATAATCATTCATCTTCTAGGTGGAATGTTTCACGAGCATAACTATGAGTCAGAAATTGCATTTCGGCATTCTATTGAACGCGTCAACATGCATGAAAGAACTTTCGAACTCGTTCCATTAATTTATCATGTGTCACCAACCGACAGCTTCAAAGTTGAGAGAATAGGTGATTAAAATTATTGATGATATTCTAGATTAAGTTTTACATAGAAAAGCATTCATTAATCACCAATGACAAATTCAAAAGTAATAAATAATCGTAATAAATTTGACGAATATTTTCTATTACAGTTTGTGAATTATTATCAGAGGGTGTTGCGGCAATATTTGGGCCGAGTTCATCAGAAACATCTGGCATAGTGGCATCAATTGCCGAGAGCGTTGAAGTACCACACTTAACGGCTTTCTGGGAACGAGAGTCCACAGGCGGTGAAGGAAAGCCAACTCAAATGACTCTCAATATGTATCCTGACAACGAAGTTCTATCGCGAGCATATGCTGAGCTTCTTATAGATTACACTTGGAAGAGTTACACAATCATCTACGAAAATGATGATGGATTGATAAGACTTAAAGATGTTTTGCAAATTCACGATCCACAAAGTCCCCCTGTAACTGTAAGGTAAATTTATTTGATAATGTATTAACATGACGATATAAAACGCGAAAAAATATTCAATCGCTTTTTGGAGGGAAGAGAAAATCGAAAAAGAAGAAAACTTTTCTAATGAATAAATTATTTTTATTCTTCTTCTGCTTTTGACATCGATAATTGATTATATTCAATACTTCAACTAAACATGTGTGTGTGTGTGTGTGTGTTTGTTTACGGATGTAATTTAGACAACTTGAAGATGGGCCCGATTATCGACCACTTCTGAAAGAAATTCAATCATCTGGAGAGAGTCACATAATACTTGATGTTAGCCCAGATAAAATTGTTACTTTGCTTCGTCAAGCTGCGGAAGTTAAAATGATGGAAGAATATCAAAGTTACATCATAACATCACTTGAAACGCATACTTTGGATTATGAAGAATTGAAGTTCATGAGAGCGAACATCACAGCGATGAGGATGATAGATCCGACAAGTTTTGAAGTAATGAATGGTAAGTACTTTCCTTCAACAGCTTCAAAGTTCTCATTTTACGGGAGTTTAATTTCATTCTTGTCAATGGATGTTTATAGCTATCAATGATTGGGAACAAGGCGAGCGTCAACATCGGAGAAACTTCCACATTACACCAGAGAAAGTGCTAACTGAGACAGCTTTATATCATGGTAAGTAATCAATCATCATACTTCAATGTTATGTTTCTTCTGTGTCAGAGAAAAGATAAATTAGAGAATGCTATCAAACTGTAATCTCTCGTGTATTCACTCAACTTTTTCTCTACCATTGAAAGAGTGTTGAGAAGCATCTGCTACAACATCTCAAGAGTTTTCTTTTTCCGTTGTCTATTTCAGATAGCGTGAGATTGTTTGCAACAGCTGTCCAAGAGCTTGAATCAGCAGAAGATGCGGACAAAATCGAGGCTAAGAAAATGAATTGCAAACACCCAACGCCCTGGGAACAAGGGAGCCAACTTGTAAATTATATGAGACTTGTAAGTTAATCAATGACAAATTTATAAGATTGGAATATGATGTGAAATCTTTTGCGGCGCAGAAATTCTTTGTTCGATCCTAAACACATTATGAAGGCTTGAAGAAATTTGCAAAGAGAGATTGGAATGAAAATGAAAAAGGATTTGTTTTCCTTTCAGATTTTCTGATAACTTTTCGAAAAACTTTTAGGCTTTCTTTGAGATGTTTTGTGACGTGCGTCACCTTTTCATGTGGTTGATTCACATGAAATGTCTTAGAAAAATTTGATTCTTATTTCTATTTGATTATTCTTATCCACTTGAATATTCAAAAGTATTTAAAAACTTCCTTGTGACGTTATTTAATTTTAATCCTATTAATAATAAATATCAAGTGAAGTTTCTTCTAAATCTTATTTCAAACATGGCTTAAATAATCTGACAGCCATTAGAAAGCACTCGCTGTGCGACGTTGTCAAAATTTTCCTTTTACTTTTATCATTAACAGAAAGCTGATAAAGGAATATCTGGCGAGATCCTCTTCAACGAACAGGGAAAGCGTTCACATTTTCATCTCGAAATCACTGAACTGTCAAAAGAGGGCTTTAAGAAAATTGGCACGTGGGATCCTGTACATGGAGTGAATTATACTCGAACACTTGGTGAAGCTTACGATCAGATTGTTGAGTCGCTTCAAAATAAGACATTTATCGTAGCGTCACGTATCGGAGCTCCATTTCTCATGTGGAGGTGAGTGAAATAGAAATTCTGACATTCAAGTTTCAATCAACTTCTCCTTTTATTTGTTATCTCGATCATATATCAAATTATTGGATGGCAGATGAAAGGATAAATTGGACATACGTATACATATCAATGTCAAACACTTAAAATTTCTCGAGATGCTTTCAACCTTTATTATCTTTCATCTTAATGATCAAAGGAAAACTTTACGTTCCATTTCACTGACACTTTTAAATTCATTTCGGATAACTTTCAAAGATTCCATACCACAATTTATCAATCTAAAATAGATTCGAAACTCACCACATAAATATCTCGCATCTTTGCGTCGTCAATTCCCATATCAACTTAAAGTTTACAATCAAAGCTCAAAAGGCAGCAAGTGAAGATTTATTGCAAATATATAATAGAAAACTTTTTGCCAATTCTCAAGGGGTGTATTCGAGTGGAAAAAAGTTCTATGTGATCATTGAGATTTATTCTCGCATGGAAAACTTATTCAGATTGAATTTGTCAATGGAAAGACACGAAATGTCGTAAACAGAATTTTATTGGAAAAAAATTTATTTAAAACTTTAATCGAAATAGTTCGATAGTGAAATTCTTTGATGTCGGAGAAAAGTTTTCTTTTAGATCTTAAATTGAAATTCCGTGAATTCAGAATATTTGTAAATTAAATTCATGGTTGAAGTAATTTATTAGTAAACATTGTTCCTTTTAGTTTCTCAAATTCCAAAGGTTAAAACATTTATGTGCTTCATTTTACGATATTTCCATCAGCAAATTCTTCTTTAAATGCATTTATCCATAAATATTTAAAAACTTTTAAAGTCACAAGCCTTATAAAATATGCAAAATGAATAATCAAAAGCGATTGTAACTTAAAATTCATTGAAAGAATGATTAATCATAAATGCTTCTTTGCACGCTATTATTAAATTCACCACATAGAGAGACAAACATTCTCGTCGTATTTTCCTTTTCTAGTCACATTACTAAAAGCTTTAAGGTAATCAATGTTTTTGTGTCTTCTCTGGAAGAAATAACTCAACAAAACGTAACAATGGTTGATGTAAACAAGTTTAACATAATCATTAATGATGTTTCTTATCAATCTTCAACTTCAATTAATGTTAAGTGTCATTAAGTATAAAATGTTCCTGTCTTTTGATGTTTCTATTGCAATTAGGGAGGTGGAAAACGGCGTAATTTATGAGGGAAATCATCAGTGGGAAGGCTTTTCCATGGATTTGATTGATGCTATCTCGAAAATTCTTCACTTTCACTATCGATTCGAGCTTGTCCCTGATGGTAAGACAGTCGATTATCATGTTTCCTTTGTACTAATGTCCATCACACTTGTTTATTGATTCCAGGAAAATATGGATCATATAACAAAGTCACCAAACAATGGGATGGTCTTGTGAAACATTTATTAGATCGAGTAAGTTAAGTTAAGCATGGACTAATGAGAAATGTTTATGATAAATCAATTGCGTCAATTTCTAAAGCTTCGATATAACATCAATAGATTTTATTATGTGAAAAGTTTCATCATCACTCAGTCCTTGAACAACACAAATAACCAGCAGCAGAAAATAAGAAACTCAATTTGATTTATGTTTCGTTAGCACGAACAAACCCAGCGGAGATAAGATTCTTTTTTATCTCGGTCAGCTATTTTTGTGGACGTTTTATCACAATTTTTTTTTTCATAAGTTATGAAAAAGAAAGAAATTTGCGACCATAAAGAGAAAATTTAATTAGCGTGTTAAGTCATCACGTAGCATTTTCTCATGATGTTAATTCATATTTTTCTTTCTTTCTCTGACACACTAATTTCTTTGCTATCTTATGCCATCATAACAACATCTAATGAATGTTCACGTTCAAACTTAAAGACTTTATGTTGACGAAGATTGATTGAAGTTTATCGCTTATTTGCTTTCCTTCCGGAAAATTATTCATTTGTTACGCTCATCGTGAGCAATCAGAAAAAATATTTAAAGCTTTTTAAAAGCTGCGGCTTTTTAAAAAATATTCCACTGATGGATTTTCGAATTAGATTAGAAAGTAAATGATGGATTTGGCAACATAAATGAAATTCTAGCTTTTCAAATGTCAAATTATGATCCAACTCAAATCTAATGAATGACGATTCCAAATGCATTTAATATTTGTAAACAATCAACGCTTTATGATGATTCATTAGAAGAATGCAGTGTCAGAAACCTTGGCATTGAACACATTCTTGTAATTAAATGTTCTGTCGTTGTCATCTATAATTAATCAATGGAAATCGAGAACATGATAAAATGCTTACTCAGCTCAGCCTTTTTGCGCCTTCATCCGTAAAACACCTTTTGTTCATTGAATTGTGTTTGTTTCGAAAGTGGCATTAAATGGAAAGGGCACTGGGCAGCAACAGGTTCGATTCGTTCGGAAAACTCACGTTAGGAATAATCCAATTAATGTGTATGTGTTATGCTTTGTTACGCTATTATTAAATGTTAAATTAACAATTTCAAAGAAAATCCATTCGAAAGGAAATTTTACGTCTAAAAGTAGATTTTCATTGTGGTTATAAAAGTTGATGCGGAGAATAATAACTAAAGCAAACTGTTCATTGTTTTCCAAATCAAAAACTTTGTTGTATGAATGAAGGTTCTGTTTGTAATTTTCCAAAACTCAACAAGAAAAACTTTTGTTAGTTATAAGATGAAAGAATGAAAGCAGATACGAACATTTTAATTAGAAAACTGTAAAGGAGAACTTGAAATTAATATTTTTCAGGATTCAAAATTTGATTCCTTTTCTAAGCTGTGATGTTAGCACTTCAAATTAACATGAAAGCTTTGAGATGTCATCAACACGATCAAAATGAATTCTCTCATCTGCTTTTAGTACACTCGACAATTATGACGTTAAATTGTCGCTTTGAACATTTAAATAAGATAAAGGCGAGTTTGAGATATTCTTCAATTAGATAATTGCAAAAGAATGTCAAATATTTTCAACACGGTGGAAATTGTCATTAAAATCCATTTTCGGTAAGCTTCGAAAGTTTTCTCAAAATAATTTTTTAACTCGCAAGTTGCTCTCCATTTAAGTAAGTTTGAAAGTTTTGTATAAGTTAAATTTGTGAACCGATTTAATTCCCCATTCAATTCAAATGTTTTGAGCATGAATTGGCTATAAAAGTTTACTTTCATTCGTGTGCTTTCATAATCTTTCCATTAAAAATTCATTAAGTCTTTCAACAGCTCAACGAAAGACTTCTAACGAAAATTGAATTGTGTTTCATAAAGAGTTTCACTTAATTACAGCTTTTGAAGTTTTCTCCTTCGAAGGATGAATTATTTCATTTATCAGCACAATTTAATCGCAATTTGTTTCAAAGAAGATTCTGATGCGCTCAAGAGAAAATAAAATTGGAACACAAAAATGTAATTAATTATTCTATTTGAATTTTTTTTCATTGAGATTGATTTTAATAAAAAGAAATTATATTGAGCTTATGAAATATTCTCTTGAGAACTAATTAAAGAATATATTGAAGCAATTAAGACGATAATTTTATTTACAGAAAGCCGATTTAGCAATCTGTGACCTGACGATTACTTATGAAAGGAGAACAGCCGTAGATTTCACCATGCCTTTCATGACATTGGGTGAGTCTTCCATTTACTTATTAAATTGCAATGGTTGAGGTAATTTTATGAAATCCATTATCATTAGAGCTCAAACAGAGCGAGAATAATTTGAAGAACGTCTAAAAGTTTTCTTTTTTTTACAAAAATGCTTTTACCTTAATAATCTTCAAAGAAGCAACAAATGTAATTTTCTCAATGTGAATCAAATACATTCTTGAAATTTCTTGAGCGAAATATTTTCGGTGCTAAATATGAATTCACATTACTTGAAACTTTGAATTTAGGTCACAATCAAGCTTTTGATAATTTAGGAAAATGTTTCTTTAAACAGATTGGGGTTTTCATAGGATACTTTAAAAATTAATTTGCTCCTTATAAAGAAAATCAATTATGGAAATATGCATTGAATAAAAGCAATTTATTGATTTTCACTTGACAAGAGCTTTAATATAAATTTTCAATATCATACGCAAGCGTTTATTTATTATTCGACATCGGACATAAATTTTTCTTTGCTTTAGATATTTAAATAGGCATTAAAAGATATTATATTCTGTTATACAGAAGGTTGTATAATGAATACAAATCTATAAAACCAGAATTTTTTGAACACATTTTGAAGATTAGATGAGAAACATTCAGGCAGAAGTTTTCTTCATGCTGTTCAAGTTTTCCTGTTAATTTGAAATTTAGCTTCGTAATTATTCCGGCAGAGGACGTCGTTGTAGAATATTCTTCGTTAGCTACAGATACAGTTAATTACAGATTGAACAAAATGATTGATCTTTAAAGTTTAATATTTGTTCGTTCAAAATACTCATTTGAAAACAACTTAATCATAGCATAGAAAATTGTGCGTCTCCTTTCTTTACCTTTTTTCATACATCTTCAAGTATAAATACTTAATTTAGACATTAAAACAGTCAAAGAGATTACCCTCTCTTAGGAAATTCATGTGAATTGGATAAAATATGTATTCCCATTAAATAATAAATGATTTTAAACGCAAGATGAAAAGAATTGATACGAGAAGAAGAAGAAAAAAATGAGAAAAGAATTAAATTTCATCAAATAGGGAAATTGGAAAAACAATTTCAAGCTTCTGCTTCGTTAAGGAAATGAAATTTAAAATTATTTATCTTCCCCTGTTCAGTTCATGTTTTATCTCTCGAAGCTATATTTAAAGATAATACGAACAATGCTACGAAGGTAGAATGTAAATTTTTATAATTTTAATATCGAGATAAAGCGTTGTTCACGTGCCTACATGTTCAAAAAATCATTTCGAACAAACTTTCTAAATTTAGACATTTTATAAAACAATTCAAATACCTGAAGCAGCCTAAAATAAAGCCGAATTCGGACAAAAAAATATTGCAAACCTTCATAAGAGAAACCCCTTTAACAAGCTTATCCTGAAAGCATTCGAATTGAATAACCTTTTTCTAATACAAATTTATACTATTTCATGAAAATACAAAAGCTCAAATAAAATAATACTAAAAGCTTGAAATGTCTTAAAGCTGCTCAACAGTTTTTCTTTGAGATATTGTTAAGGGAGAGAACAACATTGGAATGCAAACAAGTGACAAGAGGAGGAAAAAAAAGAGTAAAGAAAATAGTAATAAAAATTTTAAGCTTGTAATGCTGCATTAGCTCTTGAGTAACTACAAGGAAAATAGTTTTTATGAAGCTAATAGAGCAAATGAGAACATTGTCCATTAGCAAACAGATGTGCTCTTATTTATTTATTACTCTTTAAGGGGAAACATAAATTTTTAAGTTTTTTCTTCTCTATTTTTAAATTTCAACGATGTTAGAAGATTCTTAAAGTGATGTTGAAAAATGTTTTAACTTCATGATTGAATTAAATTTTTATTTTTCAAAATTCTGTCGTTTTTATTTCTTTTCATATTTCTTGCTTTTTATTCAATTTAAATTTCTTTTCTTGAGAATATCCTTAAAGCTTTTATACGTGAATAAAAAAATCAGATACGAAATGTCTGAAACTATAAAACTATTGCCGAGGAATAAAAAGAAAAATGCAGAATGTTGAAGTGAGTTTTATGTAATCATAAAATAAAGCTCGCATGTTTTTGAGAGAAAGTTTTGTACGTAAAGCAGGGTTGCTGTTTGACGTCATTCGGTACTTATGGTCAGTGACATCAGTTGAGATCGTACATTACAAAAGATGTCAGTTTGGGGAAAAATTACTGCCATTTGCAACCCTGCTAAAAAGTATTCTCATAAGATATTTATATGCATACATACATGTGAGGTAAAACATAAAAGCGAATTTGGTAACCCGTGGATTATTCTCGTGATACGTAAAATCACATAAAAGTAAAAGCACCCTTAAAGTCGCCTGAGTATCCTTGTGTTCTATTTTCCTTTCATATGCAATTTGCTATACAAAATTTTGATCGCTCCATGGTTGATCATTTTGTCATCGAATCCATAAATTATGTGTATTGTTTGACAGTCATTTCAGTTTGATATCTGCACGTTTCAAGAATAAAGAGAAAATACATGAAAATGAAGGAAATTGTCGTTCCTAGGATTCGTTCAATCTCATCCTGAATTTTATGTCTCACGGTTGCTTCAATATTGTCGTCGATTTTACGATATTTTGTTATTGCTAAGTGTGAATATGACAACAATAATAGATAAAAGAAAAAACAGAAATCAGAAAAAATTGAAATAAGAAAAAAGATTTCATAAAAGTTTTTTCGTCGTCGCATTTCCATTCAAATAAATGTTTTCTGGTTTTTGTTTTGAACTTTAACAAATTGACATCTTTTCATTTTTTTCTCTTTATAAACCATTTAACGTTTCCTGAACCACCTACGCTTTATGTCAACTTCTATGATTGTGAATAAACATAAATAAAAGTCAATCTCTGTCTAATTTTTGACGCTTTCCTTATTCTAAATATGACAGGCATCAGCATACTCTTTTCAAAACCTGTTAAACAGCCACCAGATTTATTTTCCTTTCTTTCACCGTTGAGCGTTGAAGTTTGGGTTTTCATGCTTGCCGCTTACCTTGGAGTTTCCGTTATGCTGTTTGTTCTTGCACGGTAAATATTTTCTTTCTTATTTTTGTTGAAAAAAATTTCAATTTAATGATGATAAACACGCGAGAGTAATTTCAGAATTGCTCCAGATGACTGGGAAGCGTCACATCCATGCAATCAAGAAGCTGAAGAGTTGGAAAATATTTGGAACATGCACAATTGTATTTGGTTGACGATGGGCTCGATTATGGGTCAAGGATGTGATATTTTACCGAAGTGAGTGTCAATTCAATCATTTTAACCTTCCATTAAGCTTATCTTTCACTTTGAGTGATTTCCAATCATTCGTCACTCTGGCTAATCTTGATTGAAACTCATAAAAGAGAAAACTTTTCTATGTCGGTGAGCTTTAACTGAAAATTGATTGGAAATTGTTCTTTTCGATATTAACAACAAGTTAAAAGTTATTGAAAAACAATTTAGGTGATTCGTTGTGGGAGAATTAATTTGAATTGAATTTCGTTTTTTACATTTTCAGAGGCTTGTCAACTCGTATCATCACAGGTTTGTAGAGAGTGCTTTAATGGTTATAACAACACATGTTTGGATTAAATGAACATTGAATAATTAAAGGTATGTGGTGGTTTTTCGCCCTCATCATGTTGGCTTCATACACGGCAAATCTGGCGGCATTTTTAACTATGGAACGAATGGATGCAACAATTGACAACGCCGAAGATTTAGCGAAGCAAAGTAGAATCAAATATGGAGCAGTTAAGGGTGGCTCGACCATGAAGTTCTTCCAAGATTCAAACTTCTCAACTTATCAGAGAATGTGGGCAACAATGGAGAGTACAAGACCGAGTGTTTTTACAACAAGCAATGATGAAGGTCGTGAACGTGTTGCCAAAAGCAAACGGCAGTACGCGTTTTTGATGGAATCAACTTCACTTGAGTACATAACGGAGCGAAGTTGTGATCTCACGCAGATAGGTTGTTAACCGAAAACGCCTGATTGGTGTCATAAATTAAATTATGAATTTGATTTTTATCTATTTTTCCACTACAGGAGGTTTATTAGATTCTAAGGGCTATGGAATTGCGTGAGTGTCTAAAATTGATAACTGAGTGAAATTTATCTTTTTTATTTACATAATTCTTCAATATTTTCTTTAGACTGCCATTGAGTGAGTACTTATGTGAGATCTACCTGAAAAATCAAACGGGAAATGTTGATTGAAAAGTCTCTTGAAAATCATAAGAACGGTTTGAGTAGATAAATATGAAACCCATTTTGAATCCATTAGACCAATTGGCAATAAAATGAAAATTGGTTTGGGTTTGAGTGATATCGGAATATTCATTGAAAATGGGTTCACCGATCTTTCGATTTTTCCCGAGCTTTCATCATTTTAAACTCCCAGGAAAAGTTTTTTTCATTCTTTTTTTTGAAACTTTTCAACAAAGCTCACTGAAAAGTAAACGAATATTAAAATTGTTTACTCAACTAAAAAAATATACTCAAGGCAACAAAGAATAAAATTTTATGACAATCACAGTGAAAATTAATTGAAAAGACTTTGAAAGAAAATTAAATCGGATAAAAGTTTGAGAACCTTTTTGTCTTTATGAAAGCAACTTAAATCGTATGAGCTCATGATTTTGTGGATGTAAGTTAATTTCATTAAATTAAATTAAAACCGAGTTATCTCTGACAATCTTCTTCTCCATTACAAGAAGACAAAAAACTTCATGGTGCAACTTCATCTCTAACGTCACATTAAACTTGAAAAGTTTTAATGAGAGAAAAAAGCTCTTCAAGCATCGTCGGAAGCGTCTTGAAGTCTCAAAAGGTTTTATCGATATCTGGGGAAGTCTTTAAAATTTGAGACACTCAATTTTATGTGATTCTTAGTGACGAACAGACACAAATATTAACTCATTGTGGTGAATTTCCTTCACTTCACGTTCTTATCTCACTTTCTATTGTCTAAAACACAATGGTTATTAGACAAGAAAAGTTTTCTTTGAACTTTTAATTGCATTTCTCTGCTTTAATAGAATGAAGACAACGTGTGAGCATCACTAAATATCTTTCAATGAAAGCATTTTCCATCTTACAAGCGAATGGAGGAAACCTTTTTTCATGCCACAATAAACACAAGAGAAAAAGAAAACATAAAGCTTTATGACGCAATCACCATTTTCCTTTAGCTTTTATTTCATTGCTGTAGCAGAAAGAAAGAGTAAATGGAAGAAACTAACTACTGAGTTTCTCTTTCTAAGTAAGCCTCTATTCGTGGTGGGAAAACACAAAGTGTTGTCAAAGTTACGATGTTAAATTATAAGTATGAACTTTAATAACCGATAAAATTATTGTTCTTTCTGTGGAACGAAGTGCGAAGCTCATAAGTCTTGAAAAGAAGTCGAGAGAACGATATTTTCGCCATTTTACTTGATTAATGATTGCAAAGCTCGCGTTAAAATTCTCACCCCTAACTATGTGAAATTCAATGTTAAGAAGGAAAGCTACGAGCGAATTATGTTGAATTTATTCTAATTAATTTCTTTCAATGTTTTTATTCGGTTTCTTCTACTTATAATTACTTACATTACAGCAATCATTTAACTTATTCTATGTTAGTTTGAAGGGAAATAATGTTGCGTGCAGGAAAACATCAAACACTTGTGTAAAGGGTAAAGTGATTAAGAAGAAAAATTTCCTAAATTCAACCCAGCAAAAATTTAATCAAATTCAGATTGTGTTTGTATAACATAAAAGTCTTTTGTACTTATTATTAATGATTTTTTTATTTCAATCACCACATCTAAGCATAATAAAATGTTAAAATATTTTACTTATCTAATCACGTAGATAGCCCGTATAGAACAGCGATTAGTGGTGCGGTATTGAAGCTTCAAGAAGAAGGTAAACTGAGCACATTGAAGGAGAAATGGTGGAAAGGAGGTTTGTAGCAATTTTCGCACTTCCGTCCATTTTACTTAATTATTTATTTGTTTTACGATTATTTCTTGACCGGATGGCAACGTAAATAGGAAAATGTAGAGACGAAAGCTCATCTGGTGGTGGTGATGATGCTGCCGAATTGGGAATTGGTACAAACACTTTACCAACTACTTTTAAACATAAACATAATCATAATTTTCGTTAACAGCAAATGTCGGTGGTGTGTTTTTAGTTCTTGGCTTCGGTTGTCTTTCTGCGTTAATTGTTGCGATAATTGAGTTTCTATGGAATGTGAAAAAGGTCGCGGTAGAGGAAAAGGTAGGCAGGCAGGCAGGATAACAAATACTTAAATGTGTTGTGTTCCACTTTTTCCACCCTCACATAATTATGTTCCTTAATATCACTAGGGTCAACATTTTGACCTTTTCCCTTAATTAAATATTTTCTCATCAGAATTTTTCAACTTATGTTGGAGTATAAAATCTCATTTGAAAATTCATTCCAGTTAACACCATGGGAGGCATTAAAGGCTGAACTATTGTTTGCTGTGAATATCTCGATAGTCACAAAGCCCGTTCACAATCGCTTGTCAGAATCGGAAAGTTCAAAGTCAACAAGACGTTCGCAAAGATTCGGATCGGAAACGAGAAGCACCTTGAGGGACAAGTCGGAACGAAGTGTTAATATCAATAACGAATCACCACAATTTTCCTCACGAAGCTTAACTGGTCTCAATAGGATTGGAAACTTATTTGGCAAAAAGAATTCTGATTAAAACCGACCATCCTTCAATATCTTTTGGCTATATTTTCTTCCCTTCGGATTAACAGAAATTTTGTTATTCTTTCTACGTAGAAAGTCGATCAATCATTGGATGGATGAAGTGCTGATAGAAAAGCATTGTCTTCAGCATTCTTGATTGAATTTTTCCTATCAAATTACGTAGCAGGAGTTGTTAGACAACATGAAAGTGTGATGCAAAAAAGAAGCTTTTTGTTTGTTTGATTTTGAGTAGCATATTCACTTGAGTTCAATAAAATTGATGAGAGCGAGAAAAAATAAACGATTCGTTTAACACTTTTTCTGTAAATATTGTTTTAAATTTAAGTCTCCCAGAGAAGCACACAATCGTCGGTTATTTAAAGATGTGCGGGAGAAAAAAGAAATTTTCAATCTTTCAGTCAGTCGCAAAATTGTTTCACTCAGAAAAAGATCAAAATCGGTTTTTATGAGGAAAAGTTGGAAAATTTTTGCGGAGTAGGAAAATCACGTTCAGCCGCGATGAAGTTTTATCGACATTTCATCGTTTTTGTATTATTCTGCATAATTGAAGTGAAATCACAACCAAAACGAGTCGTTACTGTCGGTAAATTAAATTTTTCAGATTTCTTCAATGAGCTAAGAAAATTTTCCCGTCGCGATATTTTTGGAAAACTTTTTTTGCTTGTGTGGCTGTGAAAACAGAAAAAAAGAAGATTGAGATCGCCACGCAAACATCAAAAGAACGGAAAAATTTCTTTCTCATTTTCTTATTCTCGTGAAAATTATTTTTAAAGATGTAAACAAGCTTCAATGCATATTTCACCGACACGCTTTTCCTCATTTCCTTTACTTTTTAATGATGTCGGTCACGTTTGTGAACTGAGTGGAAAATCTCGTGCAAGCAGAAAATAGGAGAAAACTAAGCGACATCAACATAATGTTTTATAGACTATCGCATCGTGCTTAAGGCGAAAGCAATTTTTTTTCCTTCATTCCCAATTCAGAGATCTTTTTCTGTTTGCTCATGAAATTTAATTTCGCTTAAGGTGGAATCTTTCACGGTGACGATGACATCTCGCAAATTGCTTTTAAACACGCAATTGAAAGAATCAATTCACGTTCGACACTTTACCAAATCGTTCCCATGATGTTCAACATCTCACGTACAGACAGTTTCAAAGCTCAAACAATCGGTGAGAATATTAAATATTGACAGTAATTTAATTACCGATTGTACTTTAATTTTAAAATATTGTGAAGTTTGTCAGCTTGCATCTGAGGGCGTCGACGTAATTTTCGGACCGAGTTCTGTTGAAACTTCAGGCATTGTTGCTTCGATTGCTGAAAAATTTGAAATTCCTCACATAATTTTTCACTGGAAAACAAAGCCATTGTATTGGGAGAAATCAGTTGAGCACACAATGACATTAAATCTTTACCCAGATTCCAATGCGTTAGCAGAAGCTTATGGAAATGTTCTCAGTGGATATTCGTGGAAAAGTTATACGATCGTTTATGAAAACAAGGAAAGTTTGATTCGATTAAAAGACGTGCTTCAAGTTCACGATTCATCGTCGCTAAAAATTGAAATAAGAAAATTAGATGACAGATATGGTTCGATTTTAAAAGAGATTCGTGCAAGAGGTGATGTCAACATCGTTCTCGACATTGGTCCTGATAAAATTGTTCCATTTCTCACTGAAGCTGCAAGTGTGAAGATGCTTGGTGACTACAATAATTATTTCATTACAAATCTAGACACTCACACATTAGACATATCACAAGTTCAAAACAGAACAGCAAACATAACATGTATTAGACTTGTTGACATCAATAGTGATGAGTTGATTAACGCACTTCGTGTTTGGAGACAAAGAGAATATAATTTCAATATGGACGAGAAGCAAGTGCCACACGAAGCTGCACTAGTTCATGATGCTGTTCAACTTTATTTTAATGGCTTACAAAGTATTGGACACAACTATAGATTCCAAAAAACAACGCACAATTGTTCAGAACCACGAAGTGGCTCAAAATCCAATTTCGGTTTTCAACTTATAAACTTTTTAAAAAATCAAGAATTTGATGGTGCGACGGGAAAAGTTGTTTTCAACAATATTTTACCAAACAAAGGTGGTCGAACTGAATTTAGAATTGAAATTTTAGAAATGGTTAAAGACAAATTTATCAGCATTGGTCATTGGGACACGACCGAAAAAGTTGTCGTGAATCGCATTGAAGAAGAACTTGACATGCAAAGAACCGAAGCGATGCACAACAAAACGTTTAAAATTATAAGTAAATGGGGAGAACCGTTTCTGATGCCGGCAGAAGCACCGGATGGCACAATTCTTGAGGGTAACGCTCGTTTCAAAGGTTACGTACCGAGATTGATCAAAGAACTTCAGAAGAACATGGGATTTAAATTTGTTTTGGAAGTAGTGCCCGATGGTGAATATGGTTCACTTAATAAAGAGACAAAGAAATGGAATGGTTTGGTAAAACATTTATTGGATCGAAAAGCTGACTTGGCTGTCGCTGATTTAACAATCACATACGAAAGAAAAACTGCTGTCGATTTCACAATGCCATTCATGGGTCTGGGAATTGGCATTTTGTTCGTGAAGCCAGCTAAGAAAGAAACCAATTTGTTCTCGTTTCTTGATCCATTCGATATAAACGTTTGGAAATTTACTGGAGCCGCATACCTTTCAGTCTCCGTTCTTATTTTCATTCTCTCAAGAATCAATAGAGATGATTGGGAACCGGCACATCCTTGCATGCAAGAACCGGAAGAAGTTGAAAGTATTTGGAATATTTTGAATTGTGTTTGGTTAGCTATGGGAAGTATCATGGGTCAAGGTTGCGACATTTTGCCCAAAGGATCAACCACAAGAATCGTTACAGGTAAATATTCAAGTTTCAACTTTGAACTCGATATTTTAATTAGTTTTTTGTTTCATTGACAGGGATGTGGTATTTTTTCGCGTTAATTATGCTGGCATCTTACACGGCAAATCTTGCTGCTTTCTTAACCATGGATCGTATGGATAAAACTATCGGCAGTGCTGAAGATTTAGCAAAGCAGGTTAAGATAAAATATGGAGCGGTTAAAGGTGGATCCACAATGAGATTCTTTCAAGAATCAAACTTTTCAACTTATCAGAGAATGTGGGCAGCAATGGAGACAAATGGCGATGACAGTCACACTACATCAAATCAAGAAGGTGTTGCTCGTGTTTTAAAAGACAGAGAAAAGTATGCATTTATGATGGAATCAGTTCCAATGCAGTATGCTATAAATAAAGAATGTGACTTGAAGCAAGTTGGTGAATTACTTGATAGCAAAGGATATGGAATTGCTCTGCCAATGGGTAAAAAAAAGTTGATTGTCTTTGAATGTTGAATTAATTTAAAAAATTTTATTAGATTCTCCTTGGAGAAAAGCATTTTCTGAACAGATTTTGGCGCTTAGTGAAAAAGGAGTTTTGGATCAATTGAAGAGGGAATTTTGGAAGAAAAAAAATGGTTTGCGAATTACTTTTAAATTCGTGAAATTAAAAAATGAATTTCATATCACTAGCAATTAAAATATGAATGAAAAAGCATCTTAAACATGTTCATGACGAAAAGCTTGAATTTTCTTTCTTTCATTCAGATTGCGGAGAAACTAAAACTAAAGACGAATTGGGTATTGAGAATGTTGGTGGTGTTTTCTATGTACTTGCTTATGGCTGTTTAATCGCTTTTATCGTAGCACTGGCAGAGTTTCTGTGGAATGTTGAAAAAATAGCAGTTCAGGAAAAGGTAGAATTGAAATTTATTATCGATTGAATCAGGTTAATCAATGGAGAATTCCTTAGATTACACCTTGGGATGCATTAAAATCAGAGCTCGCTTTCGTTCTGAAGTTCTTTATCACCACGAAGCCTGTTCGATCGAAATCCAGTGAACTTATTAGCGGCAAATCATCTCCACCTCGTTCTTTAAAAACACGATCACGATATGGATCTGAATCAAGAAGTTTGAAGAACAAATCAACACGAAGCTTGATTTACGATGACAGCAATTCGAAAAGTTTATTGAATTTAAATTAAAGGTTTGAATTTTGTGAAGTTTTCAGGTTTTTCGTTTGATTTTCAAATAAAATTATTTAAATACGAAATAGTTTTGTATGGTTTGGAGAAATTTTTATTCCCCGCAACATTTCCCAATGGCATATTTAAACATTTAAACTATTTCATTCATCATCTAAACATGTAAAAGCAACAGTTTCACATTACCAGTGCTGCGGTTGTTTCAGAGGTTTAGGAAACTAAACTAAGCATTACTGAATGCTTATCTTGTTGAATTTTTCATTATAATTTTAATGTGGTTCGTCCTCAAAAAAGATTTTCTCTGAAACAATTAAAATTTAATCAGAATTCAAATTTTAAACATTGGAATTGGTTAAATTTTAATGACACTACAAAATTTCAAAGTTCCGCAGTGATCATCCAACTGTGCAGTTTCCATTCACAATTTCTTTTATATTCATCGAAATGTTAGTTTGTGGCTTTTGTTCTGGAATTTTAGAGGAACTTGCCAAACATAAATAAAGTCAGCAGTTTGAGAAAACCGCTTTGCATAGATATGACATCACAAAAAGCATATTTCATTAAGCATCTGACTGGGGTTCAAGCTTCCTTGTTTTTCCTGAAACTCAGCTCTTAATGAATAATTGCAACTCTAGCTCATAATAAATTCTCAGCACATTCTTCATCTTCGGAGACACTTTCGAGTACAAAGAAGGAAGAAAATTAATTTATTCATATCATGAAAGAACTGCGGATAAGCTTGTCTACTGAAATAAATAGAAATTTAATTAAACAAGCTCAGCGTTGTTAATTTTCTCCAACATGACTAGAAAATTAAAATGAAATGTTTTCAGATGAAACTGGCTGCTATCCAAGAGACAAATGGCTTCTCTTTGAATCAACAGGAAGTGTTGCGAATCTAAAAAGATTCAATTAAAGAAATCAGCTAATTTTCTTGTCATTCTGACTTGGAACAAATTTTTTTATAAAACTTGACGATGATGATGGTGAATAAGGTTCATTTAATGTATCCTGACGAAAAAACCTTTTCTAAAACATTTTCAGCAACACAAAAAAATTAACTCAATAAAAGTACTCGCTTACCTTTTCCTGCTACAATCATTAGCAACTTCACCGATATCTAACTTCGTTTCTAGCTACGTAGAACAATTGTCGATATCGATTTTCAATTAAGCTCGCTCAACATTTCCGAATTGAAAAAAAAATCCTCAACAAATTAAATTAAAATCTTATCGGAGAGCTTCCTGGTGAAACGCTTGACATTTATTTTTAGTAATGCAATTGACTTTATGAGTTGAATTACAAGGAATTGTAACGATGAAGTTAGAAGGAAAATTATCATTTCATAAATGAAAAGTTGTGTTTTATTCTCTTTCACCATTATTTATTATTTGGAACAAAATATAAATCAAAGTTATTGACTTATTGTTAAGAATGCTTGTTAACGAAAGGAAACTGTGTAGTTAAAAAAGTAATTAAAAGCAATCGTAAAAAATTATTCGTTGAAAAGCTTCGAGTAGAAAATTATAATTCGACTTTAGCATCGAAATATTTTTCCAAATTCTTCAACATTTCCTTGGGCGATGTGTTGGGTGAATGACGTTCAACTGGTTTCCCGTTCTTATCAACGATGAACTTTGTAAAGTTCCACTTGATGGCATCGAATAATGTTCCACCTTGTTCCTTCTTCAAAAATTGCCACAATGGATGCGCAGTCTTTCCATTCACATCGATCTTCTCAAACAAGTCAAATTGAACTTTTCGATCACGAACGAAGCATTGAATCTCTTCAGCATTGCCTGGCTCTTGATTGCCAAATTGATCACAAGGAAAAGCAAGAATACGTAAACCTGAGACAAGGTAGGAAAATCAGTTATTTTAAGAACATTCAATTTTATGAAGCTTAACATCGTGAAAAATAAACTTCATTTAAAACTCATTAAAAAGCACAAAAGAATAAATGGCAACCCTAGATGTTAATTAGGTTTTCAGCCTTTAAGCTGTGTTCAACCTAGATATCCATTTATAAATAAAACAACGACAACTTTTCGATGGAAAACTGAGCTTAACTACATCAACACAAAAAAAAAGTAAAAATGAAATAAAAAAAGGAAAATAAAATTATCTACTTGTGAAAAATGAAACCAATTTATGAAGACGAAGATAGACGAGATGAACATCGATGAAAGACATTTTTAAGGTAAGACGAGAAGAAGCGATAAATTACTTTCAAGTTCTGATCTTATTCGTGTGATCTTAGAAATTGGATAAATTTTTAATAAAATTACGTTGAGTAACCTACAGAAGGTTATAATTGTGGGTGGATGAGAGAAGAAAAGTTTTCACGATGAGAAATTGCCTAAAGCTTTAAATTTTCATATTGTTTAAAATTTACTACTTCACTTGAATGACTTTTGAACTCTCGAGAGTGTAACCGCAAGTCTTTTATTGCTTAATAACGAAAATTAATATTATTAACTAAAGTATTTAACCGAAAAAGCATGGAATTGTAAAGTTTTCATATAAATTTCCTACTTTAAATGAGATTTAATTTTGAAGTTATGTCAGCTTGCTTGTGGATAAACTTTAATCGATAATGTTGTAAGCTTTTCTATGCCTAATAAATATTTAATGAAATGTTTTTATTAGAGAAAATTTGAAAATTTTTATTCAAAGCTTTACAAATATTCACAGAAGTGTGTAAAATTACACAAAAAAAGCGAATTCNAGCAATTTATTATGAATATTTATTTATTTAGTTGTTTAGACTGCGTGTACAGGATATTTCCCAAGAGTCGCAGTATATAAAATAAAAGTTTAACAATTTATGTACATTTATATGTTTAATTTAAGTAAACTGTTTTAATGTTTTATGTAAAAATGTTGTCAAATGAGTAAATGTTAAACTGAGTATTTATGCTTGTTACTAACTGTATTAATGTAAGCTGTAATGTCAATAATATTTTAACTTTTAAATTGTTGTGAAAGTTTGTGGAGAAAAAAGTATTAATCGGTTGCACTCCTGGAAGCAAGCTCCATGTTACTCCCTCCCCCAAAAGCACTCCGACTAATATAAAAAAACTCCTGTTCAATGATTTTTCTTGACTAAGTGAGTGGCTATCTTGGCTCTGCTAATAATGTTGAAACATTTCTCACAGCAATGTTTTGTTAGGCAGTCAAAGTTTCCACAGAAAAGATTGAAGGTTTGCATGAGCCTGTTGCATATGGAGTGATGGCCAGTGTCAGTTCGACTCTGTTTAGTCTTGAACACCTGATGGTTGCGTACTGAGCGTGTGGGAACGTATAAGTCGAGTGAGTGCATAAATGTTTGTCCATCGATTTTTCCTGAAAAAACGTTTCTTAAATATTTCATATCAAATAATTTTCTTCGCAATTCGAGTGTGTCAAGTTTGTATAATCTTTGATATGTTGTGTAGTCGATTTTAAAGTCTCGGACTCCATGAAACTTCCTTGCTAAGAAACGAATGAATTTATGTTGAACTGTCTCGATGGCTTTGATATTGTTGGAAGTGTGAGGGTTCCAAATCTGGGATGCATATTCGAGATTGGGACGAACTAAAGATTTATAAAGAGTCACTAAAGTCTCGGGTCTTTTAAAGTCCTTACTGATGCGAAATATGAATCCACTCATTTGCTTTGCTTTACAACATATATTTTCAATATGGTTGTTGAAGTTAAGCTTTTCATCATAATTAACACCGAGATCTTTAAACTCACGTCTTCTTTCCAGGCATGTATCATCAATTTGATAAGGAAATGAGATTTTGCTTGGAAATGAGATTTATAAATACTATCGCCATAAATATGGAGATTGTTAGTTAACTGCTCGTTAGTGTCATAACGTCTTCAAACAATGAAGAAGCAACATCGAGTTATAGTAAACAAATAATTAANAAGCTTTTCATCATAATTAACACCGAGATCTTTAAACTCACGTCTTCTTTCCAGGCATGTATCATCAATTTGATAAGGAAATGAGATTTTGCTTGTGGTTTTTGTGGTGAAGCTCGTAACAATACATTTCTTTATGTTCAGTGAAAGTCCATTTTCGTGTGTGTATGAATGTAGTTCAGTGATACTTCTTTGTAACGTTTCACAGTCGGCCAAGCTTTTAATTTGTTTGCTCAATTTTAAATCATCAGCGAATATTGAAATTTCAATATCGTTGAGATTACTACAGACATCATTGATGAAGATGGAGAATAAAATGGGACCGAGATGGCTTCCTTGAGCTACGGAAGAAGTTACATTAATTAACTCTGAAAAACACTCACCGATTTCGACTTTTTGTGTTCTTCCAGTGATGTAAGAAGTGAACCATTTCAGCATGTTGCCGTTAATTCCAAGATTCGATAACTTGTTGATTAATTTGGAGTGAGAAAGTTTGTCGAATGCTTTGCTGAGGTCGGTGTAGATGACATCGTATTGGCTATTTTCGTCGATGCATCTCTGAATGTTTTCTGTGTGGGCGGTGAGATTTGTGATGGTTGAACGATGTTTGAAGAAGCCATGTTGTTGAGGCACAATAAATGCATTAAATCGCTCAAAAAGTTCTTCACAAACTATCAGATCCAGAATTTTTGCTGCAATTGAAAGCTTCGAAATCGGTCGGTAATTTTTGATGTCATGAATAGATCCCGATTTATGAATTGGTCTAACGTGTGCCAATTTCCATGCAGAAGGAAAAATTCCAAGAGACAATGATTTACTGTAAATCATATGAAGTGGAAATGCTAAGTTACATGCACAACGTTTCAAAAAAATTGGTGGAAGTTCATCAGGTCCTGTCGATTTGTTTGTGTTGATGGCATTCAGATGGTCCAGAACTCTGCTTAAACTGACATTCAACTCACTCCAATTGTTGCCAATGACTTCATTTGATGGAACTCTTGAGGGCACTTTGTCATTGGTATAAACACTGCTGAAGTGTTCAGCGAATAAATTTGCAACATCGTTTGGTGTCGAAGCTTTTTGATCATCCAATTTCAAATATTCTGCAATACTATGACCATTTGTTTTTTGATTATTTACGAAGTTCCAGAAAGCTTTGGGTTGATGGGAAATTTTTTCTTCTATATCTTCTATGATTTTTGATCTGTCTGAAGCGACGCTTTTCTTCACGTCTTGTCTTAATTTTTTAAATGATAAATAATCGACTGGATTCTTATATTTCTTCCATTTCGAATGAAGATTGTCTCGTTTATTTATCAATTTCATAGAATCTTTTGAGAGTGAATTGCATGTTTTCTTCTTAACTGAAATTTTAGGGCAGTGAACATCAAGAAGTTTATTGATTTTGTCATAGAAGCTTTGAACCATCTCATCTAAGTTTCCTGTTTCCTTGAAAATTCTTTCCCAATCAATGGTGTCAAGATCAGAATTCAATCTATTCCAAGAAACTTTTCTCCAGTTACGAAAGGTGACTCGATGTTGTTTTGGTTGTGATAATTTTGTGTTCATTGAGATAAGTAGGGGTGGGTGGTAGTTGTCAACTGGAACTAATGGATCGTCACATTCTTCAATATCCATAAGGAAGTTGGTGAAGATAAGATCGAGTAGATTGTTACTTAATGTTTTGCTTCTTATGTTGTTGACTTGTTCCATTCCAGATGTTAGTACAAACTCCTTCAGTAACTTGGCTTTCCTTGATTGTGAATCACCGTCGGACGAAGCAAAGCTTGGAACATTGAAGTCACCAAGGATAACAAATCTTTGATCTGGATGTAAGATGATGCGATCAGAGATGTCATTAACAAAATATTCAATATACTTAGCTTCGATATCACCAGGAATGTAAACTCCACATATGTTGATGATTGGTGATTTGTTTGTTGGTTTCAGAGAAATCCAAACATTTTCTATGTTGCACGTTTGCCAGTCGAGTTGATGAATTATATTGTAAGAAGAAGATCTTTTCACTGCCAGACAAACACCACCACCATCTTTCTTGCTTGAAGTTTGTTCACATCTGTCTCGTCTAAATACTTCATAGCGGTCGTCGAATAATTCTCTATTAAAAACTTCAGGCTTCAACCAAGATTCTGTCATCACAATGATGTCAAATGTGTTAACATTGACGGCTTGTTGAAGGGAGGTTGTTTTGCTTCGAAGTCCCCGGACGTTCTGGTAATACGTTTTGAGACTCATCTTGTGATTCATCAAACAAACGATCCAAATGTTCCTGAGATTTAATGATGATAGGATTTGCTTCACTATTTTTCTTCAAATAGACAGAACCGTTTGTAAACCAAGAAAATTTGAAGCCCCTTGATTTCCCGATAACTTTTGTGTTATATAAGAGCTTCTTTTGTTTTGCTGTTAATTTCTCGTTGACAAATATTTTATTGGTGTTTTTAAAACGTTTTCCCTGTCTGTTGAATTGTTTTCCAGCGTTTAAAAAATCTTTCTTTTTCAGATGAGATGAAAACTTCAGAGAAAGCTTACGACGCGATTCACTGTCTGTAACAACGCACTCAAAGTCTTCTTGTTTGATAAAGCAATCAATTTCTTTAGCTACTTCTAATGTGGCTTCAATTGGGTTTGATATTTGATCGTCAGATAATCCTTGAACTTCCAAATATTTTTCTGTTTCGTCGACTTGTTGTATTTCACAATTAAAATTGTTTGAGATTTCACCGGGTTTATTAGTTTGACCGAATTTTTCAGTAATAGCACCCTCAAGTGAACGAATTATTTGATTTGTTTCACGACGATCAAGTTCAACTTTAGTTTTAAATTCTTCGAAGGTCTTTGTGAGTTCAATGAGCTTTTCAATTATTTTGTTTTCAGTGGTTGTTGATAGATGTGTAGGCGTAATTTGTGTTTTAGATGTTGAAGGAAGTGGTGTTGTCGGAAGAACAAGAGAACGTCTTGCTGGTTTATTGCAGTCCTTACAAGACCAAGAAAGTTTATGTTTCTCAACGACGTCGATGGTGGAGTCTTCGAGACCTGCACACTTTTTTGTATGCCAAAATTTCTTGCAAATAAAGCAACTGATTCCTCTTTTTCTTGATTCGGTGATGTTCTCGTTGCACTTCACGCATTTATCCTTTGAAGAGACTTTAGACATTGATGTAAAATGCTACGACTCCCCACAAGTCGATTTATGCAAAGAAGCTGAAAAGGAGATCCAAAGAAACAGGAAAAGAAATTCTTATGTTTTATTCGACGACTCACCGGGCAAAAGCCACCGGTTGTTTGTATAAGCAAACAACCTTAAAGCGATGTGGGGATAGAATTCCAATCGTAGGATGGTGTTAGTTTCGGTCTGCGCTTAGGGTTTTCAATTGTTCTTTTAAAGATAAAAGAACAATAGCTGCTTGTTTCTTTTCTCTAATGAGGCTTCAAATGCCTTTTTAAAATTTCAATAATTTTTAATTAAACAACTTCAAATCTAAATTCATTTAATTCGACGAGGTGCATTCACCGCTTAACTATCGAGTTCTCTAATTTTCTTATAAAATTTGCTTGTAAAACCATTAATTTTCATAAAATATTCGCGATCTAATTTGTTGTCTTTACACTCTCACACTCTCACAAAAAACATTCAAGTGTATCAAAACATTCAAGTTTTATTTATTTTTTCTTTCTTTTTTATTTCCAGTACATGCTTTGACGGATTGTTCAAGTTTGAGTCAAATTTTTACAAAGTTCACGCTTTCCGAATTTTATTGAGTCACATTGTGAGATGGGCAATTGAAACGCTTTTAACGAAGAAAATTTTATAATGTCAATTGATGATTCAATTACATATGAAATTTATTCATTTTCGTGTCTTGGATCCTTCTTTCCTGACCAGTACAAGTTCACATAACATCTTGATAAAGAAAATGTTTTCTCTTAACTTTGTGAGTATTTCTTTTCAAAGCTTTAAGAAAATATTTTCATTTTTTAGTTCATCAAGGAAAATTACGAATTCATCAAGAATTTTTAAGTTGAAAAGTGTTTTATTCAAATATAATTTATGAATGTTTTGTTGATTGTAACAATTCATGCAACACAAGAAATCATCAAGTTGCTAATCTCCATGAATTATTTAATGAATTGTGTCACTCAACGACATCGAAGGAATTTGTCAGCAAATTCAAACAAATTGAAATATTTCCTGGAATTCTATTTGACAAATCTCTTGCAGTAGCGACGGAAAAATCATTCAAACATTGATGTAAATAAGAAAACATGACTGTCAATGACATTTTATATATTTTCAAATTATTGAAACGTCAAATCTGACTTTTTATTATTATTACTCATGGTAGCATATTCATCTCGAAACCTTCAAGTTTCCTTTCACATTTTATTCAATAAATTAAAAGAAAATTCTTTGGAAAAGCTTCGAGAAGAAAATATTAAAGACTTTTACAATTCGACTTTAGCGTCGAAATATTTTTCCAACTCCTTCAACATTTCCTTGGGCGATGTGTTGGGTGAATGACGTTCAACTGGTTTCCCGTTCTTATCAACGATGAACTTTGTAAAGTTCCACTTGATGGCATCGAATAATGTTCCACCTTGTTCCTTCTTCAAAAATTGCCACAATGGATGCGCAGTTTTTCCATTCACATCGATCTTCTCAAACAAGTCAAATTGAACTTTTCGATCACGAGCGAAGCATTGAATCTCTTCAGCATTGCCTGGCTCTTGATAACCAAATTGATTGCAAGGAAAAGCAAGAATACGCAAACCTGTTAGAAAAGAAAAGTTCAAAAGTTTCATTAATTAAAAAAAAATTGAAAACAAATTTTTCATATCCACCCACCCCCACGTAACAAAAGAATTTTAATTAACCTTAAAGTGAATGAGGGATAAAGAAAAAGAAATTTCGACGTCATGTTTGAATGAACGACAAGAACATCAAATTTGATTTCCAACTTTGAACATAAATTTATTGTAACAAATTTTAAGCAAGCAAGCAAACAAAACATTTGTCTCTCGTTCTTTGAAGCGATTGTCAAAGATTAATTTGAATTTCAATTGCGAAACATTTGTGAAGAAACTTTTTCATTTCTCTTTTCCTGAATTTATTGAAAATTAAAAAGTAGCAAAATATATTTGCGTCACTCCCCTTAACCAAAGTCAGAAACGTTAAAAAGAAATTTATTATGCTGAAAGTTATCGAAAAGGAAAGGAATTCGCTTCCTTTCGATTCTCTTGCTGTCTTTGATAAATATTTCCAGCTCATTGATAATTGATATGAAAAGCGAAATTTTCTCTTTGGCTTCGCCGATTGGAATCGTATTGTCGAAGAGCTATCGTCAATCGAGAGTGCCCGGAAGAAAGATAGAAAAGAATGAATTGAAGTATGAGTGGAAATGAGGGAAATGTGGATAAATTATTCCTGTTCAGCACTCGCGATATGAAATTTATTCGAAATAGCTTTCGAAGAATCTTTTTCTTGGTGAGAGCTCGAGTTTGTTTTCATGATTAATTGAATTTTGATGAACCTTCACCGATAAAATTATTTTTGTTTTTCCTCGAGGGTGGAATAGACATTAAAAAAAAACATCGAAAAACAGATTGGAAAAACGTGGCGTGTAATTAAAAAAGGTAATGCGAAAAGTCGTAAAAATTTCGACAACAGACTCGCTCTAAAAAATTATTGTTTTCCCACTCTACCATCTAAAGTATAAGTAATTTGAACCGTCTTCATGGTGTATCAAAACATTCAAGTTTTATTTATTTTTTCTTTCTTTTTTATTTCCAGTACATGCTTTGACGGATNTAAAGAAATCAGCTAATTTTCTTGTCATTCTGACTTGGAACAAATTTTTTTATAAAACTTGACGATGATGATGGTGAATAAGGTTCATTTAATGTATCCTGACGAAAAAACCTTTTCTAAAACATTTTCAGCAACACAAAAAAATTAACTCAATAAAAGTACTCGCTTACCTTTTCCTGCTACAATCATTAGCAACTTCACCGATATCTAACTTCGTTTCTAGCTACGTAGAACAATTGTCGATATCGATTTTCAATTAAGCTCGCTCAACATTTCCGAATTGAAAAAAAAATCCTCAACAAATTAAATTAAAATCTTATCGGAGAGCTTCCTGGTGAAACGCTTGACATTTATTTTTAGTAATGCAATTGACTTTATGAGTTGAATTACAAGGAATTGTAACGATGAAGTTAGAAGGAAAATTATCATTTCATAAATGAAAAGTTGTGTTTTATTCTCTTTCACCATTATTTATTATTTGGAACAAAATATAAATCAAAGTTATTGACTTATTGTTAAGAATGCTTGTTAACGAAAGGAAACTGTGTAGTTAAAAAAGTAATTAAAAGCAATCGTAAAAAATTATTCGTTGAAAAGCTTCGAGTAGAAAATTATAATTCGACTTTAGCATCGAAATATTTTTCCAAATTCTTCAACATTTCCTTGGGCGATGTGTTGGGTGAATGACGTTCAACTGGTTTCCCGTTCTTATCAACGATGAACTTTGTAAAGTTCCACTTGATGGCATCGAATAATGTTCCACCTTGTTCCTTCTTCAAAAATTGCCACAATGGATGCGCAGTCTTTCCATTCACATCGATCTTCTCAAACAAGTCAAATTGAACTTTTCGATCACGAACGAAGCATTGAATCTCTTCAGCATTGCCTGGCTCTTGATTGCCAAATTGATCACAAGGAAAAGCAAGAATACGTAAACCTGAGACAAGGTAGGAAAATCAGTTATTTTAAGAACATTCAATTTTATGAAGCTTAACATCGTGAAAAATAAACTTCATTTAAAACTCATTAAAAAGCACAAAAGAATAAATGGCAACCCTAGATGTTAATTAGGTTTTCAGCCTTTAAGCTGTGTTCAACCTAGATATCCATTTATAAATAAAACAACGACAACTTTTCGATGGAAAACTGAGCTTAACTACATCAACACAAAAAAAAAGTAAAAATGAAATAAAAAAAGGAAAATAAAATTATCTACTTGTGAAAAATGAAACCAATTTATGAAGACGAAGATAGACGAGATGAACATCGATGAAAGACATTTTTAAGGTAAGACGAGAAGAAGCGATAAATTACTTTCAAGTTCTGATCTTATTCGTGTGATCTTAGAAATTGGATAAATTTTTAATAAAATTACGTTGAGTAACCTACAGAAGGTTATAATTGTGGGTGGATGAGAGAAGAAAAGTTTTCACGGTGAGAAATTGCCTAAAGCTTTAAATTTTCATATTGTTTAAAATTTACTACTTCACTTGAATGACTTTTGAACTCTCTCGAGAGTGTAACCGCAAGTCTTTTATTGCTTAATAACGAAAATTAATATTATTAACTAAAGTATTTAACCGAAAAAGCATGGAATTGTAAAGTTTTCATATAAATTTCCTACTTTAAATGAGATTTAATTTTGAAGTTATGTCAGCTTGCTTGTGGATAAACTTTAATCGATAATGTTGTAAGCTTTTCTATGTCTAATAAATATTTAATGAAATGTTTTTATTAGAGAAAATTTGAAAATTTTTATTCAAAGCTTTACAAACATTCACAGAAGTGTGTAACATTACACAAAAAAAGCGATTTCAACACCCACAATGATGTTAAGCCAATCACCCACGATGATAAATTGTGATTTTACTTCATCGTTTACACGCTCAAGATAATGATGATGACATTAATGATTAATATCTTTCGCTTGTATCATTCAAAAAGAACAATTTTATAACTTCAATTTTTTATTCCGTTTGAATACATGATGTCGCTCTCATGATGAAGTGAAGCGCAAGAGAATTTATGACGGAAAAAGAAGGAAAATTAAAAATCGTCATGTACATTGAGGCTTGTTTAGAGCAAGAAAAATATTCTCGTTTTTGAATCGTATCGTATGTTTAGCTTTCGTCCTTATCAGAAAAGAAATTTTTTATGGCGAAGCAAAAATGACAAAAGATATGCGAGTTCTGTGTCGTTGATGCTATAAAAAAAGGAACACTGGAGACAACTTTAAACTCATCTCACGCATGAAGCCTAGGCAGAGAGATTTTTCTTTATTTTATTTTTTATAAAAAGGTTTTACGCATGAAAAATATTTGCAAATTTATAAACAAAAAAAAAGATTCTCCTAAGGGGGTTAAGTTTACATCGTTTATGAATTTAATGACAAGCTTCACTCGCTGTGAGATAAATATGAGAACAGAGTTTGAGCATTGAACGATGTCTCTTTAGTTTGAAGCATCTCGGAACAATCCATGCATGGAGAGATTTACGAGCGCGTATTTTGTCATAAAACATAGTCATATAAAATGATTATCATACATATGTTGATTCGTTATGAAAGCCCATAACGTAAAATGCCATTAAAACCTTTCCTTCGTTTCTAGCTTGTGAGAATGAATTCCACAACAATTTTACTGACATGTTCAGCCTACTTATAATATTTAAAACATCGGAGAGAATGTTGCCATGCGTGATTTCATGTTTTACATAATTCCAAGACATAAAATATGAAGTTGAAAGTATGTGAAAGTGAAATAAGTGTCTAAATAAATTGAAATCGCAAATTCTTCCACCTCGCTTTTCCCTCCATTCGTTGCCATATTTTTTTGGTGGCATTTAGCAAAGGAATTCTTACTTTTTCAATCTTCTTCCTCTCGTATGTGATGAAAAAGAAATATAAATAGACAAGAAATGTCATGATCTCGAAAACTTTATCAGCATAATAGTATGACAAGAAACGTTTCATCAGATATTCTAAGAAACAGAAGAGAAAGGTTCTTTGAATATCACATCAAGACTTTAATACGCAAAGCTCTTTGAATATCAATTCATAAACGATGATAATCGAAAAAGTTTTAGTTCTTCTCTATTTAAAGTGAGTATAATGTCATGAATAAGTAACACAAGTGTGGGAGGAAACAAAACATGCATTTAAATGAGAAAATCAAGAAGAAGTAGGTAAAGAAAAATGGACAAACTCACCCTTTGACTCAGCATATTGATCGTAAAGCTCATTCAACTCAGCGTAATGTTTTGCTGTGTAGCCACACTTTGAAGCCACATTAACAATGATTAAGACATGTCCACGATATTTATCCAAGTTGACTGGTTGGCCTTTAATATCATTGACTGTAAACTCATAAACTGACTTCGCTGTGCTGGGATCACCTTGATTTGCTGCTGCCATTACGCTTAAAGTAAAATTTAAAGATGATATCATTATTAAGAATTTCAACAATGTAGTCATTTTAATATTTGCATATAAATCAACCATCAAATTGGACTACGGTTCTCTGTTCGGACCATTACAAGGAAAACAAACTTTATTATTTTTTCATTACACTCATTTTTCACCGGAGGGAAAATAAACGTCCCAGCAGTAAAAAAATTGCTGAAAAGATTTTTTTTTAAATCTAGAATAAATTCTATCGTGACTCAATAAAACTCTGGGAGGATTTTCTATTTTCTTTCGATGGAAAGGAATTTCTTTGCAGATATTTTTTCAAGTTATTTGCTATATTTGTTAGAGTTTTGAGGCTTATTTACTTCTTCTTGTGTATAAATTATAAGGCGCGGAATGTTTTCTCCCTCCGTTAATATTGCCACAAACATTTCACATTGTACGCATTTTTATTTATTTTTTGTTTTCTTTTCTGATGTTCTTTTATTATGACTGCTTTTTTCGCTTTATTATCATTCGCTTTCACTTCTATTTTATTCTTTCCTTCTTCTAGATTATAGCGAGTTACGAGAATCGTGATCATAAATCAATCAGATGACGGATTTTATTAAAAAGGCGAATGAATTCTCATTCAAAGTAAATCTTATTAAGTCTTCTTTTTCGTTTCTAATTCTATGTGAAAGCTAAATTTGAGACTGGAAGATGAGTGTAAACGAAGAAAGGTATAAAGTAAAGCTCACAATGATACTGCACAAGACTCAACGTCCCTACCAACCATTAACAAAGAGAAAATCGCGAGAAAAACTGAAACATGGAAACAGGTGGTTGTCATAAATAAAAACTTGAAAGAAAAGAAGAAACAAAATCTAGCAAGATTATGACAATGAATTTCACTTCAAGATTTCTTTTTCACCGTCGCGATTTTACTTAACTTCGAATATATTCGAGGTAGAGAAAAGTTTTCCACAGATTTTCTTTTTATAGTTTCTTCAACACCGACGACAATGCGTTTAATAAGAAAAAGTTTTTCCTTTCTTCTTTTTCACATGAAGTCATTGTACTTGTAATCGGTATTCGAAGTTTAACAAAATCTTTTATCTCATTTATCGTAATTGAAAAAGATCAACATTCCTCGCACAAATACTTTTAGACTCAACAATGAATGGAATCATTCTAAAGTATTTGTCGTTACGATTTATTTCTTAACATTAAAATGCTGCATAAAATGATTTTGAAATAAGAAGAAAACATACAAGAAGATTAAATATGATTAAAGTAAATTGAAATTTCGTATTCTCCGCATTTTGAAACTAAGTGAGTTAACCGCGTCGTTTAAGCATGAAAGAAAAATTTCATTTGCTTTCTTTTCCTTGTGCCTTGTCGTAAAATTCACCCAAACGAGGCTATCTGTTTATTCGAGCATGTTTTCAAAGATAATAGATTTGTCGTGTAGGAGTAGTAAACGAGAAGGGCATGTTTAAGGCAAACAACTAAGTGGGAGTCGATGAAACATTTTTATTTCTCACTCGTTCGCTATCAAAGAGAAGCGAGAACTACGTGAACAAATATTTAGCATTACAGATTGAATTGAGAAACTTTTCTTCAATGCTTGGAAACCGATAAGAAAAGTTCGTGAAGATAGCAAAGAAAACTTTCTTTTTTATTTACACAAATCAGCAATCTTTTTATTTTCATCTATCCTTTGGAAATTCGCTTGTCGATTGCATAAGTTGAAATTACTTTATGAACTCTTTTGCTACACGACAAACTCAATCAGGATGAGTCTCATGACGATTCTAATAGCAGCAGAAAAGATTCTCAATGTAGTCACAAATGGAATTATTTAATTTTTTTTTTTGTCGTGATGCTTTTCTTTTCTTCGTTTTTTTATTTGACATTCGTTGAAACGTTTCACCGAAGAAGCGAAATATCTCAAGAGTATCACTAGAATAAGTTGAAGCTTTCAAGAAACATTCAATTTGAAGACGAAGGGAAAATGTTCAACGATAAACGAAAAAGAAAGCAGAAATCCGATTTCGAAATTAAATGACATAAATAAACCGCTATCTGAAATTCAACAGACCACTTGCTTTCAGTGACAAGCTGCCTAAACAATAACCAACTGATGGTTTGGGAAATTTCCATTGTTATTCGGGATGAACTTATCAGTGATATATATGTGAGAAATTTCATTTCATTCGTTTATTAGATTTTCATCAGAGCCATTTTGAATGCCGCAATCAACAGTCGCCATTTCAACGCATTGTCTAAGCAAAAATTAAATTGATTCAAAACACAATTTGATGAGATATTCTGAATCTGTTAAGTTGTAATTGCGAGGGAAACAGACATATCATCACGCAAAAGCTACCATTATGCAAATTAAAAGAATGATGATGTGATGACATGAAACATGAGTTACATGTGCGTCATTGGAGAACTTTTTGGTGAGAAAAACAAATGTCTGTGTTTGTTCAAACATCATTGTTTAGTTGTTATGTCAATGCAAGTCAAGTGAATGTGAAGTTTCCAGAGAAATGTTTTGAAATTTTCTGTCAAAAGCTTTTAGTTTCGCTTCCGCTGCTGCTTTTAGCATAAAAACTTACGCTTCTGCTTTTCCTTCCACCATTAGAAACTTTTATAAAAATAACCAAAAGAAAGCTTAAAGAAGACGAAATTGCAAATCTATGTCAACCTCTAATCTCAAAAATGAATATTTTTCAACTCTTCTAAATTAGAAAATTCTCGTGTCATGTTTGAAAAGCTAAATTTACAAGAAAATTTAAAGAAATGAGAAGGAAAAATCGATTTTATTGTAATTTGAGTTCAGCATTGGCAATATGATTTATGAGCGGAACGCGAATGATACTCTTGAGGGTAAATTACAAAGCTTTATTTGAAATAATTTTCTTTTCCTAAACTCGTAATCGAAGCATAATTCTCCTCCCTTTGGAATTTAGATTATGTAGAAGGAACTTTCTAGCTTATGATTCTGAACGTGACTATGCAGTTTCTTCCGATATTTAGACGCTAGAAAATTAATTGCCATTCATAACATTCCTAATGGAAGCAATTATTCAATAAACTTCAAATTCACAAGCTGAAAACATAATTTATCAATTAAATATTGATTTAAAGCTTTTTGTATAAAACGTGATGGCCACTTAACTGATATCAATCAATTCAAATTTACAGCAGCTGCATTCATCCCAAAAATGTTTTTTTCAATTATCTACGTTTCAACATAAATTTAAAATGAAGGCGAATCGATTATTTTGGCTCATTCTTTATGGACGGTTTAGGGATCGAAGGATTAAGAAAAAAGCTTGAAAAAAATCTCACGCCACTTACCTCGAATTGGAGATTAAACGGAAGGCCAACACCGCCGATCCAATGAGACCAATAGATTTCGAGAGTGACGTGTAGACCATATTTCAAAAGGAAATTCTGTTTAAGAAACATTACGATGTGGTTGGTAATTTTTCATAGTAGTAAATAGAAGGAAAAAATGCATAGAACATCGTACAAGTCCCAGTGAGACGCAAATGTAGTGAAGTGAACCCATAATCCGACAATGAAAAAGACAGAAAGAGAGAGGAAAAGAACCATAAAAATAAATTATAATAAAAAATGATTAATAAATAATTAGGGTAGTTGGCTAGTAGTGCACCACCTCGAAATCGTCGTTAGTAGTGCACC